GGAGACCCTCATCCTCCGCACACAACCCGGCTCCGAGCAAGAGCGGAGTTTGGCAAATTTCTTTGCAAGGTTGGTCTATTTTGAAAATGACGCATCTGGATACCTTGGCCCCTGTTGTTGAGGGGAAGATGGACAGGCACAGGCACAGGTACCTAAGGCGTTACATACTATCATGTACTGTCACGGGCGCGGCCCTTTTTCGCAATGCCGCGGTTGCCACACGGTGAAGGGGTTGGCCGCGCGCGGTGACCCTAGGGGTCCAGAGCCTTGGCCTTTTGAGAAAAGCCCATCATTTGTGATCGCTACCAATGCACGAAGCCAGTTGACAAGGAAAGGGGTGGGAGGATGGATGGAGTATCTCACCACTTCGAGTCCCCATACATCATGCTCGTCCCGTCCCTCCCTCTCGCCGCACCATCAGGGGTGTAGGGGTAGTTGTTTGCTGCAACGTCGATCCCATGCGGCCCTGAGACTACGTGTCTCGAGATTTCTGGATCTTCTTATTTGGGCAATCGGCCAAATTTCCTGTCCTGAAAAACATCCATTACGCTCAAGCTGCAACTCACCGACGACCTGGAATCTTCTCGAAAAAAAGAGGGAAGCAACAAAGGAGGGTGGGTGGGTCGGATGTACTGTCCAAACTAGGGAACTTGCGAAGCTTGACACGGCCTTGTTTCGAAGCTTGGCCTCGACCAGCGAGGCCTGCCTTCCCCATCCTGCAAGCAAGAGCAGCGCATGCCAAGGGGGTTTCCACTGTTGAGGAGATCATCTGCCTCCTCACCTAAATCTTCAGCTTCTTGAAGCCCTTGTCACCGCAGCACACAGAAGCGCGTGCGAAGCTCGGGTGGTCAAACCGTTACCTACATGTCCCCCTCCCCCCCCCTTTTTTTCTTTCTCTCTCTCTCTCCCTCCCCCTCCCCCTTCCTACCTTCCTCCTTTTAATTTCAATGACTGAGCTGCCTACTTCGGCTCATTTCTCCGAATGGTGTGGGCCATGACACGAAACACCATCAGTTCACTCCCTCGGTCGATGTGTGCTGCCTTCCGGCCTGGGGACGAACAGCTTCCCGATCTGATCTACATGGACCAAGCCAGCAACCTCCACCCCTCTCTTTGGCCCATTTTTAGGCAAGATTCCCCTAAGATACTACCGCTCGCTCTTCACTGTCGTCATCGAAAGTCTACAAGCACTTTATTGTCCTTTTTTTTTTCTTCTTCTTTTTTTTCTTTCTTCGCTGGTCAAAAATTGGACAGGTAAAGTGACTAGCCGTGCAGGTATAGCCGGCATGGGGTACATACCCAACCGTATACCCCCCTCCCTATAACCCACTCCGTTCTAAGATGCACTGACTGGAGCAATGCATAGGCATTGCCACGTCAAAGCATCCATCGGCTTTTACTCAAAACACATGCTAAGCCCTTCTTGCCGTCCCTCTCTTCTCCCAACTCGTTCAGGAGAACCACTGGTTTTCCCGCAAGGAATGATGCCCTGACATGTGGTCAGCACCTTGTTTCTGACGGGACTCGCCTCGCTCCTGTCAACGAGATGGAGGGAGAACTAAGAAACGTGCGGTCAAACAGATCTCGTAGATACCCCTCCTCCTTGATTTTGGGTTTGTTTTCTGTTTTCCTCTCCTTTCCTAGGCCAGGGAAGGGGGGAGCAGGTGTTTCGTCGTTTCCCATCCCAAAGACGTCTGAGAAGGGAAAAGGACACACAATAAAACACTCACGGGCTTCTTCCCCGACAGCAGATCTAGTAGACCCAAGGCCAGTCAAGGCACTCTTTGGGCCCCTCCTGTTTCCTCCCCCAGCAACACAGTCAGAACTCAATTCGGGGCGCGGGAACCAGGAGAAAGGGTGTCAACAGAGGAACGGTAAGAGACGCCACATGGCTTCTCGTTTGTCTTTTCCCTTTGGGTGCTCGGCCATTCGCCATCTTGAACCGATGTTGCCCATTAAAAACGTGTACGTGTGTGTGTGTGTGTGCCTCCAGAAGGGGGAGGAGAAGGAGGAGGAGAGGACTACCTGCCGGGAGAGATGGGGGACTCCGAGTCAAAGGAAAGGGGGGGGAGGGAAGGAGGGGTGGTGGGCCGACTTGCTTGCTCTTCTGGTACTGTGACTCTCGATAGCTGCAAGTGTGAGTTGTTCTTTTGGCGGGTTGGCTCCCTATTTGCTTTTCGGTGTATTGCGACCTCCAATTTTCCCTTCAACACACCCCATCCCTCATTCTCTCGCCAATCCCCACCCCCCTGCTTCTTCTTTTTCGGGTTACCTTTGTCCCTTCTTCGTGCATGTGCGATGACACATGTCGAGACGCCTTGCATCTATAGCACGACAGGCATTGCGCGATAGCTTAGGTCCTATTTCCTAGGTCCCCTTGAGATAGAGGAAAGGGGTGGGGGTGGGGACGGGAGAAAGAAGATGGAGAGGTATGAGAAGAGAGAGGAAGGGGGGGTGTCCCAATCAGGATTCTCCGGACACATCACTGCCGAGATTATTCGTCCACTTACCCCCCCCCTCCAAATTCTTCCTCACCAAGGGGCCCTGTTTCTCTTTATTGCTACTACTGCCTAGTGATGCAGGTGATGCGTCTCTTTGGCCCTAATGTAGGTCATAACGACCGGTGAAGGGGTACAAGAGCCTCAAGTGGTGGCATGCGTACTTCAAATGTTCCGAAACAAGTACAGCAAAACTGTAATAATAACAATAATAAAAAATGACCTATCGGGAACAGGCCATACATGTAGGTTTTTTGCTTCTTGATCTGCACACCTCAATGGTGGGGTGATAAAAAAAAAAAAGAGGAGAGGAGGAAGAAAAGCAGAGAAAGACAAGAGGGGGCCCAAAGTCTCTCCCACCCCCCCCCCTTCCGCCCTTATCATAAGGCTGCGCATGTTGCAACTGCGTGGGCATGACGCCTTTGGTGCTTTCATGGAACTTTTCTCATATCCGTTCTTCTAACCAACGAACGATACAGCCGATAGATCAGAATACATCTTGACAACCCTAGCCGTCCTTTTCATTTCCCTCATATCGACTCAATTCAAATCGTGGAGGCGAGAGCAAGCCGAAACTAGAAAACAGAGTTCTAAAACAAAAAAAAAAAGAAAAAGTACAAATTTGTATTACAGCCCACCAGCCTTGCGCCGCCCGCGTCGAGATTCCATGGTACGGATGCACAGGGAAGCAAGCGCCTTTTCCTGGGGGGGGGGGGGGGGTGGGAGGAAAGGCCCACCCAAACGGCCGTGTACAGGGCTTGAGGCGGTTATTGGATGGAAGAGAATAAAAGAGAGAAAGGGAGGGGGTGTGGGGGGAGAGTGAATAATAACAATGATAATAACAACAATGATAATGATAATAATCTTGAAGAAGAAGGGAAAATAGAGTGAGAGAGAGAGGAAAACGAAACCCTTGATGGTTCGTGTGGGCTGCGGGATGGAACGGTCGACCTGTCCCCCCCCCCCCCCAAAGGCCATCTTCAAACCAGACCAGGGTCTCCGCGCTGACAGCACACAAGAGAGAATGGATGTCCCATGTATGTACAGAGTATGTACCCCAGGTCCTTGTTTTGTTCTGTTGTTCCTGGTACAGTAAGGAGAGACGTTGGTAATGTTTCCAAACAAGTTAGTTCCAGCGGGTGTGCGTTGCCTAGAAGGGAAACACACAGCTTGTTGGGTTGTGTGGATCTGCCTTTTGGGGCGGGAAGGAGGGGAAAGGGGGGGGGGCGGAGGGGGTGATGAGGTCTAGGTACATTGCAGGGTGTGTTTTGTGTGTGTGTTCTCAGGTACTTGCACATGCACGAGACAGAGAGAAAGAGACAGGGAAAGAGAGGGAGGGAGAGAGAGATAGAGCGAGAGAGCGAGAGAGAGAGAGAGAGAGACACACACAGAAATTGTGTGTGAATGTGTGAGTGAGTGAACTTCAGGGTCGCCCACCCAGGATATGCCAAGTCAGCAGGATTAGATCTGATCGAGATGCTGGCTGCGGGCTTGCTAGACTTTGGTAGATCTGGGGGGGGGGGGGGAGAGAGAAGGGAAGGGCCCGGCATACCAACACCGATCAGCCTGTTCGTCCGAAACCTTTTCCCTCCCTCTCCCTCTCTCCCTCTCTCCCTCTCTCTCTCTCTTGGCCCTATATTTTCATTTGATTAATTTCTCTTTTCCTCTTGGGAAGTTCCCCTGCCGGGTAAAAAGATTATCAAGGAACCCGACCTGGCCCCATGTCGAAAAGAAGTGGAGAAGGAGGCTCAAGTCGACATAGAACAACATGACCCATGGATAACGTGGCTCCACCGGGGGGCCACGTCCGATGGATTTATGAGGCAATGGGTACTACGTCCTGGAGGCAGGCAAGATGGAGAAGAGGGGGGGGGGGCAAGGAAGAAGAACGGGTTTCGGTGCATGTGGGCAGGGGTTGTTGTCAATCTACAAACATGCAGAGAGAGACAGGGTGTCTAAGACGGGTATAGAGCCTTCATTTTATCATAAGCATGTGGGAAGGGAAAATATACAGTTGTCGAGGGCAGAGAAGAGAGGGGCGGGGCGCGAGGATAAATTTGAAGACAAGAATGGAAAAAGAGAAGAAAAAAAAAGACTAGGGAAAATATATAAAAGAAAAAAAAAAGAAAGTGACCAGCTAGTATGTACTCAAGTATATACCTACTGGGGCCCTAGCCAGGGGGAGGGGGGGGGGTTACTCTGTAATGTTTCTTTTTTCCCCATATGCAGACAACGTTATGGTGATGCTACCTTTGACGTAGCCTTCTGGCCTTGGCCAAATGCAGCTGCGGCATGCAAGTTCGTTGTGATTCCCCAGCAGCAAGCCTCATCAACACGCAATGCAAATAGTGGTGTGCTGGCAATGGCCCTCGGTCCACCTTGCCGGACCAGCCAGGGTGTTGACTCTCCAAGTATAAGTAAGTCTGTTGCTCGTCGTCTTCTTTTTCCCCCTCCCTAAGCTCTTCTCCAGCGTAAACATCATCCTCCCCTCTCCCCCTCCCCCTTTGTATCTCGGGACTAGACAAGCAATCGCCGCATTGCCTCTTGCATAGTCCGCACTTGGCAGTCAAAAGCACCAAGTCACACTTGAAAGATCTTATTCACTGCCTTCCGATTCGCACGAGGTGAGTATCTCTATGTCTCATACTTTGAAGAGGCACCTTGATTCATCGTGAGATGACCTCTTCTGGGAGGAAGAGAGCAGACCATGGCGAGGACCCAATACATACATGGAATGTGACCAAGGACAAAAAAGCTGACCATTGGCAGGAATCACCAGCATACGCTGCATCCTCACGCTGACATTTGAAGGGAGAAAACCCCCTCCTCCTACTTTCCAAAACCTCTGTTTCTCTCCAGAAATGTGCTATTTCGAGCACACACGCTGGAAGTGTGGATACTGGAAATGGGGAAACTTCAGACAACAGTGCAACAAGGAGTATCGAACGGGCGAGACGTGCGGCCTCAAGCTTGTCTACGACACCTCATATAGGAATGAGGACTGTAAGCTGTGCGAGCAGATCCGCAAGAAAGATCGGCGGTACAGGAAGATGGAGCAGGACGTGGAGCGGTGGAGGAGAGAAGGCAACCGGAAGGCAACCATCGAGAAGACCTTGAACGATATGGAGGATATCAAAGACGCCATGAATAAGATCCACTACGAGCATCAGGAGAGGCTGATGATGCTGGGATAAACTTGGGGCGCTCATGCCATTGATTGAGAGAGAGAGAGAGAGAGAGAGAGAGAGAGAGAGAGAGAGAGAGGGGAAAAGGTAACGCAAAATTCCGAACGCAACCGAGATCTGTCGGGTTCAGTAGCTAACGTTTCGGAACAGCATCGCAGGTGCTCTGTTGTACGATAGGACATGAGTTGAATGAAGATGATCGAAGCGCGGCCAGGCACGTTTTGGCCAGGGGAGGAAGGCCAAAGAGAGGGAAGAAAAGTAAGAGGGAAAACAAGGAAGGAAAAGAAGAAAAAAAGGCCACGAATCTCCTTGACGAGTACTTCCTTCTTGTTCTTTTCTTTCTCCCTTTCTTCTCTTTCTTTCCTTGTTTTTTTCTTTTTTTTTTCTCTGGCCGACATCACAGCCCGGGAAGGGCCGGATAATAATCGGGACAGGGCTGTTAAGCCCTGGATGGAAGAGAAACGTTATTTGAGAACCATGGTTTGGCGTCAACTTGTGATTTCGGAAGGGGGGTCCTGTAGCCCGGATTTTCCTTACAGAATGCTGAGTAGGCTATCAGAAAGCCCCAGCCAAGGGAAAAAGGAAAAGACCCAAAAACAAATCAATAAAGACATTGTCTGCGGAATAACGGCTGCTGCTTGCAAAGGTCCACTACTCACTGGAGTACCGGCCCCTAGACGAGTGCGAGCAGTAATTTGGAGGGGAGAAAGGGGGGGGGGGTGGATGGAATGCCGAGCGAAGCGAGAATGTAGGATGCCACCACGGCACAGGGTGTGGCACCCCTCCCCCACGTTCGCCTGCATAGAAGGGAACCATAGAAGGTTCTGACAGGCCCACCTTCTGCTGGAGTGGTGCCCGTCTGCCGTAGTATGTACTTTTTCCTCTTGCCCTCAAGTGGGTAGCCAGGCCCCGGCGAATGAGACGTGGACGAAGTATGAGAGGGGGCCCAAAGCCGTAGCACCATGCCCAATGGTATCGAAACCACCTTAGTCGATAAAGTATCGAGAGGAGCATTGTGGGACGGAGAGGGCGAACAATGCCTAAATAGTGCCTGATCTCAAGTACGGTGCGGCCGAGAGGAACAACTGGCAGTAGCGGGGCAAGCATCTCCGTGCCAACGGTGGCGTTGATCCGCGCAGAATGACGAGGAGTCCGTATCAAGAAGTACTGACTGGCCTTGGCTGGTTGGGTCCCGTTGGTCTGCTCCACGTATCAGTAAACTCCGTACAGACAAAGTAGCCGGCAAGTCGCTAACGAGGGGGTTTTCTTGTTGGTGGTATTTTTGGATGAGGAGGATTGGAGAGAGGGGGGGGGGGTGGTTGGTGCCAGGGACCAATCATAACGACCAAGCCCCTCCAGACCCATCCAACATCCTACCTAATTGCATCCTGTCGACATCACATTATCAGTTGAGCCTGTTAGACCTGTTAGACCAAGAGGCAGAGAGGTTTGGTCTATTCTCAAAAGAGCTTCAATCCCATCGGCGCCACCCGTCAATGTCTGGGGACCGCGATACGTATGCGCATTAGCCCATCATCCTTCAAACTTAAAAAGACGTTTCCCCCTAAACAAAAACCCTAGGACGGTAACCTTCGAGGGCCTCGGCTTAAAGAGAGCATGCAGCGGGGGCGGCGAAAGAGGTCGCAGTAAAAATTCTGATACAAGTGCAGATTAGCGAAGCTAAACACGATGGGGTCTCCACTTCAGAGCAACGCTGAGCAGTCAGTGAACGTGGCTGCTGCTCAATGGGCCCGGTACGTTGGCCAATATCGCCCGCGGCTCCATGGTGGCGGCCATGATTGGTGGCACGGGGGGATAGGGAGGAGATCAGGTTCAGACTTCCGAAAGCGCGCTGCGCAATTACTCGGAGAAGAGAGCGGTGAGAGGGAGAAAGACAGAAATAATAGAAAGGGAAAAAAGGAAAGAGGGGAGGGAAAAAGAGAGATATAATGAATACTAAAATGGACAATTGGGTATTCTTCTGGTTTAAACGATGGAATTTATTAAAGGCTGACATCATGCGGCTCTCTCTCTCTCGTTGATCGCCCTAGTACATAAACACATACTGTGCAAATATTTTATGTCTGCTTGGCGCGCTTGATATCAGACGGTGGGTCTCAACCCTTTGCCATCAGTCCCCTTCGACGTGGTCCAGAAGGGACCACCAAACTCCCCGATGCCGGGTGATCTCATTGAGCAGCACCGCCGGAGAGGTGCAGCACGTGGAAGTCATATGACCCCGTAACTATGATGTCAGCCAGGGATTAAGAGGCTGGAACAAAACAAGCAAGGAAAGTCGAGAGCCAAGTGATTGGATGTGATACGTCGTCCGCGACCCGCGGGACGTATGGTTGGAATGTGGGAGGGGGAACCGGGACTGATGCACGATGCACGATGCACCAAGTCGAGGGGCCCCTAGCCCCGCAATGTTATGCCATGGCAGAAGCTGCTTCACTAAAGTTGCCGACCAGCGCGTCGCTGGATTCGGTCTTGACATGTGGAATTATATTGTGCTGGTCCAGAGCCTCCTCGTCGTCATCCGCGAGCCAGTCCACGCGGGCTCCGGCTGCCGAGACGTCTTCGGCGCTGAGTTTGGAGAGTAGGGACCTGTACCGCATGTGACGTGCTTCCTGACCCACAAGAGCGTAGGGTGTGGTAGGCGCGCTGCGTTGTGCATCCTTGGTCGGCGCTATCTCGAAGATGTCCACCATGTTGCTGGAAGAGAAGGCAGCGAATCAGCATCTGCTCACGTGTATCTTCTGGGTGGAGAGCCAGCTTGCAGGCTTCGTATGGGCATGGAAAGGTTTACTCGGAAGTTTGGGCAACGACCCGCTGCAGAGCTTCAATCTCTCGTTGGGCCTCCAGGGGGTCATGCTGCCCTGTCATCTGCTGCTCTCCGAAGCTGCCATACTGCATCACGTTCGGGTCATCGAAGAGGAGGCGCGATTCTTCGTCCTGCGGGAGCGAACAAGTGTACGAGTCAGTGACCAGACATAGTTTAATCCGCAAACGAAACAGAAGACTCACTTCTTGGACAGAATCCCTTCGACGGCCACCCAGGCACGATGAGCAGGCTCCCATGGCAGCGGCAGGAAGGAAGGAGATGGGTCGATGGAGGCAGCGGCGGCGCAAGGGGAACGAAGTTTGCGACAAGGAGGAGTCCCTCGGCAAGGGACTAGTCTGGGTGTCGCATAGACGCGCAAAGGGGGGGGGGGGCGCTCAAAAGAGGTGTATCATGGCAAAATGGATTCGCCGTCCACAAGGTAGCCGAAAATGATCGTATCGAGTGGCGTCGCGTGTTTGTGATGTTGTGATGTTGATCCGTGGTGTTGCTTTTTCTTGGGGGCCGGGAAATTGGATGGAGCAAAAGGCACAGGCCCCTAGCAACCTAGCAGTAAACCTCGCTTAATCAGCCGTTTTAGACCCAGCACCGCCCCTACCTCATTGGCCAACCACATATGCCACTGTCTTCCCCCAACCAACAAACACTTGAACCTACAAAGTCAATCATGATGCTATCTTCTCCCTTGCGCCAAGAGGCGTGATTATGTCTCGCTCTGCTACGGGCAATAGAAAAGCAATCATATAAGGACCACGTGGAGTTTTATTCACGATTCATGCACCCTGCTCCAGAGTCGTCCCGTAGTCCACATCCGCAGAGTCAAGCATCTGAACTATTTGCTGCCCGACGTCGGATCTTAACAAGAAAACTGAGGTGGTGTCGTATGAACTCGTAACATGACGACGCTCTCATTGACGTACATGGTGACAACGGCTAAAACCTCAAAAGTCGTCGTCCCGGAAGTTGTCCCAGATGAATTTAAACTGATGCTAGGGATACCAACTCGCAATCTGCCCACCCGTTGCGGCGCTCGCAGGAAGGGTGGCGGTCCGACTTTCTCAGCCGCACCAAAGCTTGACACACATAGTTTGAGAGCTTTTCGTGCTCTCGAACGCACGAGGCACTCAATAGTTCCAAGAGGCAGCATGAACTCTCTGTGCTGGCTGTCAGGCCGCCTCCCCTCGGGCTTTTCAATGTCGCTAAATCTTCTAGACGATGGCTTCAGTCCCCGTTGGGAAGGGAGACTGAGATGGTAGTGACTAGCTGGCGGGTGCCCTGCCGCAAGCCTATCGGCGAGGCTGTCGACTGAAAGGCAACCAAGCCGAGGCAGGAGGGGGCTCGGATCTCAAGATTATGTTGGCAGAGACAGGATCAAGCCATTCATCCCTCGAGTTTCGTGCATACTAGGTGGGAGGGAGAATGGTGTTCGACAGCTGTTGATACATCAGGAGTTCGAGCTATAAAGACACAGGCACAACTCTTAATCCTCAAGTGTAAGCCCTCTTTGTTTCCCACCTCGCCACCGCCTCCATTTTGAAAAGTGCTGCTCGCTCATTCCATTGAGATTCTTCTCATGATGTCTTCTTCCTCTTCCTCCCTCCTCCTTCTGTCAGGCCTGGCAGCCCTGCTCTTCCTCTCCCCGGTGGAGGCAGGCCTCGCCTTCCGGCACAACAACCCTCGGGTCCAACCCCGACAGGAGGTTTCGACGGACATGCTCACGACCATGACCTTCTGGTCCTGTACGGAGACAAGCACGGTCTTCTCGACCGTCATATCCATTCCGCCGCCCGTAACCGTCACCTCTGTCACCACTGTCACCCAGACGCCGGTGCCACCCCCACCGCCAGTGACTATCACATCTATCCTCAACTTCACCCAGCCGCAGTCGTCTCCTTTCCCGTCCACAGGGACACCACCTCTGTCCTTCGCAAACAGCACAAGCACTTTAGCCAATACAACCTCTCCTTCCTCGTCTACGGCGTCGTTCCCCTCATTCATAAATACCACCACGACTGCTTCCCAGGTTCTCTCAACTCTGTCTTCTCTGGTCAACGGTACCTCCACTGCCACTTTGACACTCTCAACCTTGGCGCCCTTACTGAACACTACCATCACCACGACGGCGACGGCAGCGACGACGACAGGTTCCCCTTCTCTTTCAGCGAACACCACCAGCATCCCTATCGAGACGCTCTCGCTTCCGCATATTGAGACTATCACCAGTATCATCATCCCTATCACATCATCAACCTCTTTGCTTTCGTATAGCAACAGCACAGCCCTCGCATCTACCACCGAGCTCCTCACCAGCAGCTCGAGCGGCGCTCCCGAATTGACCCCGTGCGAGACCGAGACAGAGATGTTCACATTCACGGAGACACTGGAGTCTCTGACTCAGTCTGCGCCTCAGTCGCTGAGCTCCAGTGTATTGACCACCGACGTCATCTACATAACAACGGAGACGGTCGAGTACACCCCGACACAGACGACTGACACCACTGTGTATGTGACCGTATACAGTACGGTAACAGATTTTGAGGGGGCGGTCATCACTCCCAGGAAGATGAGACCATGAATCGGTGCCTGTTGTCTGTAATAGTCATGGACCTGGTAACACAAGTTGGTAAGGCACAGATAAACAGTGGTGTGTTGCGCTATGCGCGTGTATTTCTTAGATAGACCGAGACTTCCGATATACGTGGTCAACATGGTCCATAATTTGTCTGTATGTACTATTACCATGTTAACCTGCTGAGAATTGAAGAAATAAAAAAGAAATACAATGCAAAGAAATGATCATCATCCCACCAAGACTTGGTGTGACCCATCGCCGGATCACGTCCTTGATTCGCACGGATGAAGGTATTTAGTTAAGGCGGGTGTCTCTTGCGCGGATACGTTTGCTAACGCGGATGGCTGGTACAGGCGCGAGATCTCGGCGCCGATGTGGCTTCGGTGTTGGAAACGCCGTCCGCGGGACGCAGAAAGTAGGAGTGGCATCCCTTGCAGCAACAAAGCTATCCTGGGAGGGATCAGAGAACTCCAAGTTTGACGTAGACCTTGTCAGCACAGCGGTGGACGATGGCCTCAAAGAGGAACTCGGAGCAGAGTTGCGCGTCTTTGGTGGACGAGGCATTTGATGATCCGGATCATTAGGCAGCTCATCCAGAGTGCCCGATTCGTGTGACGGCACTGAACTTGCTCGCAACCTTGATCGGCTGGAGGCCAATGATGTTTGTGACTGCCAAGGCTGTGTCGGCGGCAGGTCTTCTGCCGTCTCCTCAATGACTGACTGGGGCTCCTGTCAGCAGGAAGGGATGAGCGCCGATGCATAAGATGGTGACTCACCAGGTTGCAATCGTACTTCTGCTGAAGCACCTCAGCATCAAGCTGTCTCTGTGGGCTGTGCGATGGCCCCGGGATGTAGCCACTGAGCCAATCAGGAACATCGTCGAAGTTTGCACTCTGCTCTGCTCGGCCCAAAGACCGATGGTTAAGGCCCCAAGAGATATTATCTTCGTCATGGATTTCATACTCCTCCCGAAAGAAATCGGCTCTCCATTGCGCTGCCAGATCGGCCTCCGCTGCTTGACGGGCCTTTTGCTTCTCTTCCTCGAACAAATCAGCCGTAGACCAATAGCTAATACTTCAATTATCAGCTGCTGAATGACTGCTACGAGGGAAATAGGAGTGGGGTTACTAACACAACCGTGCCGATCCGGCCTCCACTCGCATCTGCATTGCCCTGCAAGATAGAGACCGCCGTCTGAACGCCGTCGCGGAAAGTAGACCTCTGTTTGTCGTCCAAGGGCTTTCCATCGATCGAGAAAAGGAATGGGCAAGTATAATAGGTGCCCCGGATGGGAGGTCGCGTCCTCAGGAACTCCTTCAATGGATGTCTGCAGTCTGTTGGAATGGGGGTGTCAGACTGGCCGCCCCAGCTGATATAGATGTGCATGCTTCCCATTTTAGTGTAGTGAAGTTTGAGGCTATAGAACTCGATCAATGCGCTCGTGTCCCAAAGCTTGGACCCCGTGAAGCAAATTTGAATTTTGCCAAGGCGCTGCTGCTCGACAGCGGCAAAAACACGTTCCTGCCTTGATGTCAGCTGCAGGAGGAAGATGATGAAGCCAGAGACCTTCTAGGCGCACCAGGGCCTTCAGCAGCCCAGCCAAGCGGTGGTTCTCAGCGTTCCGTAGGTATATGCAGGGCCCATCTTGGGCCAGTATGATCTCTCTGGGTTGCCCAGAGACAGAGAGTGGTTTGCCGGAGCTGATGAGGCCCTCATGCGTGATCTTTGGATCGGCCCACTGCTTATTCGAAACAGCCCGAAAGCAGTCTTCGGGAAGGGAGCCTCTGTCAACTGGTCAGGTCGGAAACTTATACAGGCCTGAAGCAGTTGGAGTGACAACTGGAGATTGAGCCTACCTGGCATACAAGATGAAGCTCAGCTGCCCGATATCATGTCAGCTACCTAGTCAGCCCAGCAGAATGTAGGCATCGTATGCGGGATTGCCCTCCCAAAAGGAACGCGTACCACGGACACGAGGCACCTCTGTGCACCTGCGACATCGAAGCTGGCCAAATTGGCATTGCCACCGACATCGCCATCATCCTGCATGTTGCCTTGGCTTGTGTTTTGGGTAGGGAGAGGAAAGGATTGGCAAGAATCACAGAACTTGGATCATGTGTTGACAGGGTGAAATTGTATGGAACCTATCTCACGTCTCCGCTTGTACCTGTCCTGTTTATGATACCATCCACGCCTCGAAGAAGGTGCACCCGCTGCTAACCTTCTCATTTCTCTGCTTCAATGTATTAAGCAGTATCCGAGCTTGAGGGGGCAGGAACTCCGGCCACCCAGCAGGTCCCCAAAGGAGGAAGTCACACTTGTGCTCAAGCCAAGAGCTCCTGCAGATTGCCCGTTGGAGATGACTCGAACGTATCTCGACCCACATCGTCGCCATCAATATTGTATTAATCTCGTAATACTTGATATGAGAAGACGATTGTAGACTCGAGTCAAGATGATGTGGAGGGAATGAAGCAAAACCGTGCTGACTGCCTTATCAGCAAGAGACCGTGTTCTCGAATTGACATTCCATCATCCGGGGAATACTTCGCCGTCCCTTGGAAGCCCCGACGACAATGACGAAATTCAGCCCACAAAGACGATGTAGCTCGTCTCTGTTTAAAAGCGACCGGGCCAGTCCAGAAATAAGGCGAGGCCGCCCTTGTTATTCTGCGGGTTTGGCGTCGAATGCCACCGGGAGGGACTTACAGGGAAAACATGGATCCCCGCCTTGGTCTGCAAGGCGACACTCACTGCCGCTCATCCATTATAGTAAGTACTGTTAGTGCTTTACCCTAGCGTGTTTGCGTGCCTAGTGCTGCTATGGAAACAAAGGCTTGACGAGGGAGCATGGGATTCTCCAGTGGGCGGCTTCAGATGGGGTCTGACCCTACCGAGTAAGTTAACGACACTGACTGACTCTCACCAGCCACTATACTCCTCTGGTAGGGTAGTGTGGCAGTGTGGGTAGTAAGAAGAAGCCTGACCTTGGGGCCGCTAGGAGAACCCGAGGCACAGCCGACCAGTGACCAGCACACAGTCAGGTCCTGGTAGTTGAACAACGGCGTGGAAGATTTCAGGGGGAGGCCATGGGGCACTTTTGGGGACGGCCTTACCCGCAGACTTGGTGTTCCATGCAGGCTCCTCGACGCTCCTCTCCCCCACCGCTGGAACAGCACCTGTGACTTGAGCGGCCGTGCCAACTGGACAGGAGCCTTGCAAGCAGTACCCGCCAACTCCTGATTTCTGACCGAGCAGAGTTGGTCCTTATTTATTGACACTAGAAATCACCAAAAAATCACTCCACAACCATCACAATCACCACAGCGAGACGGCCTGACGATCGAGACAGCTACGATATACTCACTGTGGCTATAATCTCGCTGAAGAGGCATCTTCAACAAACTGGTGTCCTGTTCTGTCTATTGGTCGTTGTGTGTGGTTTTATTAATTTTCTCCGGTTTTTCTTTCTTCTTTTCCCCGGTTTTCTTTTCTTTTATACTTTCCCTCTTTCCCCCCGCCTTCCCCTTTGGTGGCCTCTTTCTGCTGACTGGTACTTTTTTTTAAAAAAAAAAAAAAATTCCGCCTCCACCCACTATCCGATCCCCGTCTGACCTGGACCCCCTGGCCTCCTGCCTGCCTGCCCCTGTCCCGCCTCGCCTCTCTGGTCACAGTCCACTCCACGACCACCACGACCACCACCGACCCACGACCTCGTGCTCTATTACCCTCTCTCGTCATCCTACCTCCGACCGAGTCTTTTCCCACCCCAGAGGCACGTTGTCGCGATCACAACACGCAGAGAAGATTGTACAACGGTTTCGTTCAGCCTTCTGGATTTCTCCTAACGACAAAGGGGTTACGATATGGTCTACAGTGTCTGAAGAATCCTTTGGCGAAGTCTTGCCTGAATCCCCCCAACCCCCCAATCTCGGCCTCAGCCCCAACCACCATTCGCGGCCCTCACCGCAGCGCAACCCGACGATCGACGATCGAACCCAACTCCTCTCGACGCCTGTGCAACCCCTGTGCTGCTCGCTCTCAGCACGCGTCGCCGCTCACGACACCAGCCTTTGAAGTCTGCACCCTTTGTTCCGGAGACGCGTCCATCCTGTGTGCATCTTCTTTGTCATCTTGACTCTGCCGACCGACCCCCTCGATCTTCACCCCACGCCGCTTCTCTCCCAGACAAACCACATTGCGTCGACGATACCAGACCAGACGGTCTCGTTCTGGCCGTCCTGAGACCCCCGATATCGACCGCTTATACCGCCCTGGCGTGGTTTTCGCCCGCCATGTCCCTCGTCCCTCCTTCTAAAGGGTCGCCTCCTGCCCAGAAGACCACTGAGATTCGACGCCCGCGGACAAATCAGAGGCTTACTGTCAGTTTCGATGACAGCGATGAACCTGATCTCGCCGGTCGTGCCGCTGCAAAACTTCAATATGAGGTTGCGCAGTACGTCGAGACCAAGACCGTCACCACGACCACCACGACGAAGCGCTCCTTTCCTCCCCTGTTCATCCGGCAACCGCGGCCTCTCGAAGCCCTTGATGCAAAAGAATACCCCTTGGCGCAGGGCCCCACGCCAGCAGGTCTGCGGAAGTTCTCTTTGGACCTGAACGACAATGACGACGAGTTTGCCTGGTCCTTCGCCGAGCCAGCTTATAGCCCGGTGTCTTCTGAGGATCACGTCAGTCCGGCTCGCGAGGCCATTAATCCTCCTTGTGTCCTACCTTCCGATGCTAACATTACTCTCTAGCCAAAACCCTTTGAGTTCGAGGGCAGCGTCAAGTCCGTCTCGGAGCGCGGCACCCCGGTCCCCGAATTACAATCAAAACCTCCTCGGCCTGCTACCGAGTCCCAGACGCGTCGCTCACGCAGACATATGCCCAACTCCGGCGCCAGTCCCTCTGCCGGCAAGGCCTCTCAGAGATCGTCACGCAGCCATGCACCCACTTCGCATGTGTCCGACCGGCTCCGCAGGGCGGTGTCTAACGGTGCTCGGGACAGGATCACACGCCAGACGTCTTCACAGTATCTCGCCACCCCGGATAGGTCTGACTCGGTGGCGGGCAGCACCGAGTGGCCCCAGAGGTTACGTCCCCTCAATGTCGATAGGCTAGTGGAGCCGTCCACCTCCAACCCCAGCCAGTCCACCGCTGCCTATGACGCCGCCAGTCCAGCCGGCAGCGAGTCGCAGACGGTGTTCAGCAGCAGTGTGGCCACCCCTCCTATTACCGACGCCGACGTTGAGCCGTTCGCCGATCCTCTTGACGATCTGAGGCCGGTCTCGTCACGAGCATCCCAACCACCGCGTTCCTCCATCACCGTTGCTGCGGGAGATGCGAGCCTGCCTAGCCCACGGCTGTCTCCAACCCTGGCCGCTGCCCAGCTGCACACGACTGAGACGCAAGATGACGAGATCGAGGAAGAGGAAGAAGAAGAAGAAGACCCAAGCTTTTCGAAGAGTATTACCAGGTCGTCACGGCGGCGATGGATTGACGAGAACCAGGACACACAGTCCACGATCGATCTGGACATGGAACTGGCTCTGGTCGGTCATGATTCGCCGTCCAATCGTGACCGAGGTTCTTTCGATCGCTCTTCCGGGCTTCTTGACACTCGCTCCATGCTTGAATCCTTTGACGCAATGCCCAACGAGATGAAGACATTCATGATGTACCAGTTTCTCCGCAGATGTCCCAGGAAGACCCTGCACATGGTTGCCGATGTTGTGAATCCGGCGCTCAAGTGCGATTTCCTGAAGCAGCTGCCTGTCGAGCTGGGTCTGCATGTCCTGAGCTTTCTTGACCATCGTGATCTCTGCCGTGCGGCGCAGGTCTCGAAGCACTGGCGCAACCTGATTGACACCAACGAGACTGGCTGGAAGGAACTCCTCGATAGAGATGGGTTCAAGCTCGCGCCCGGCGAGCTCAAGAAGGCCATCAAGCAGGGCTGGGGCTGGCAAGATCCTGAGGGTCCGGAAGGCGCTGAGCTCGATGTCAGCTTGCAGAACCGCCTGACTTCTACCGAGGCCGAACTGTGGTCGCCGGGGGCCGACGGCCACACGAAGACTCGTAGCTCTAAGCGGAAGCGTCTAGAGCAGAGCCACTCGCACTATGCGCAGCGCAAACGGCGGGTGAGTGCTCGTGAAGTTGTCAAAGACGACTCGCCTTCATCTCCGCCGAAGCTGTTCAAGCCAGACGGCCCCATCTCAGCGGCCGGCGAGGCAGCAGCCGCCGTTTCTGATCCCCAAATCGGCCTGCCGAGTCTTCGGAGACTCCATCTTTTCAAGTCACTGTACCGCCGTCACTACATGATCCGCCAGAGTTGGACGAGTGGCAAGGTCAAGCCTGGTCACGTCGCTTTTGCCGCACACCCACGCCATGTGATTACCTGTCTGCAGTTCGACGATGACAAAATTATTACCGGAAGTGATGATACTCTCATCCACGTTTATGATACCAAGACTGGCAAGCTGCGAAAGAAGCTCGAGGGCCACGAAGGTGGAGTCTGGGCTCTTCAGTACGAAGGCAACATACTGGTGTCCGGGAGTACCGACCGGTCTGTTCGCGTTTGGGATATCGAGAAGGGTTTGTGCACACAGGTGTTTTTCGGCCATACCTCTACCGTACGGTGTCTTCAGATTCTCATGCCCACCGAGGTGGGTAAGACATACAGTGGAGAGCCGATCATGATGCCGCCGAACCCTCTTATTATCACTGGATCGCGAGACAGCCAGCTGCGCGTGTGGAGGCTGCCCGAAGCAGGATCTCGTAGGTATATCCAGACAGGCCCCCCCGCTAACGACGCTGAGTGTCCCTACTTCGTCCGAATCCTGCCTGGTCACACTCATTCTGTCCGCTCCATTGCTGCCCACGGCGATACTTTGGTGTCTGGTAGCTACGACGCGACGGTCCGTGTGTGGCGTATCAGTACTGGCGAGGCGCTGCACGTCCTCCATGGTCACACTCAGAAGGTCTACAGCGTGGTCCTCGACCACAAGCGGAACCGTTGCATCTCTGGATCTATGGATTCCTTTGTCAAGATATGGGATCTCGACACTGGTGCTTGCCTCCACACTCTTGAAGGTCATACTCTCCTCGTGGGCCTTCTCGACTTGCGCGACGAACGCCTGGTCTCTGCTGCGGCAGACAGCACACTTCGCATTTGGGACCCCGAGAACGGGAAGTGCAAGAACACTCTTATGGCCCACACTGGCGCCATCACTTGCTTCCAGCACGACGGGCGAAAGGTTATCAGCGGCAGCGAGAAGACTGTAAAGATGTGGGACATTCAGACCGGCGACTGTATCCAGGACCTCCTAACGGACTTGGGTGGCGTGTGGCAAGTCAAGTTTGATGAGCGTCGATGTGTCGCAGCTGTGCAGAGAGATAATCTCACATATGTCGAGGTAACTATCCACCAGTCTGCTCTTTCTTATGTTTCCTTCTTTCCCTTTTTCTTTTCTTTTTTCTTTCTGGTGCTAGCAGCTGACTTATGTTCCTTTTCAGATCCTTGACTTTGGAGCCGTCAGAGATGGAAAGCCACCTGAGGAGCTCGGCAAGCGCATCCTGCTCAACGGACCCGAGGTGCAGCACATCATCGAGGAAGAGCCTTAGTATATCTTAGCCCTTTGTGGCTGATCTGCAGCTTGTTCCCTTACCCACAATGGCCATAGCCCATAGACACCTGCAGGATGGGAAGCATGGCCACTCACGAACACGAAGTGAGGTGGCCTCGGAAAAGGTTGTTTGCTCTACCGCGGACAAAAGCATTGTGGATACGCATGTGTGGTTTGTTGTGTTCTTGCCCCTATCGAGTGCCCTGTCACACCGCATTGTTCATGTTTTTGATTTTTCTTTCTGTGTCACATACCTGGAGCGTTCCTCATTTCGAAACAGTTTTTTGTTTTTTCCCTCCCCTCCCAGCGGATCATTCAACCAAATCTGCAGTATATATCAATCATGGGTCTGGTTTGTCATTCCATTCTCAATGTTAGGCGGTCTCGTTTTGCCTTCTTCTTTTTGGGCGTACAGGCATCGGGACCTTAACTGGGCCAAGACGAGGTATATCATGTCGTTCCGTCGCGGGGTTGTTGGTAGATAGCGTTATTCGCGAGTCTTAATCTGATGCTTAATGACCACATATCAAAAATGCTGTGCTATGTCTACAGTCTGGGTTCTTTGCTTGTATTGATATTCGTGACTTCATCTGGCCGTCTGGGCTTTGACCCTGTTTGGAGAGGGGTTTTGTTGAACAGTGACTATGAGCAATGATTACTGTAGTAGGCTTTTTCTTTCAGGCAAACACATGTCCCGAGTTCTTTCTGAGGCGATTAATGGTTTCACCTCCTCTGTCCCCTTCCCCCCTTTGCACCCTTTCCCCCCTTTCTCTTTTTAGTCACAGTGCTGGTCGCATCGACTGTATGAGATAAAACGTATGACACGCAGGCGGCAGGATGTTATGTTATTGACGAAGGTAGAGGGATAGCATCGCATTTTAGCCATGTTTCAAGTTATTTGAGCACAGGGTCCCTTACGAGTAAAACGGTGGCAGGTCTCAAGGGGAGCAAGCAAACGCGCGCACACACACACACACACACACACACACACACGCACGCACGTAGAGAGAAAGCCCCCCCCCCCCACCCCGGAGGGGGGATGGACGGATTATCAAACATCAAAACATTTCCATTCACTAAAGATCTAGTAATCTAAAGTACAAGACCCCAAATTAATGTACTGAGTACCTTCAAAACGCCCATGTCGTGATCCCGAGCGAACAAGAAATAAGGACAAATAACAGAGGAAAAAGAAGAAAAAAAATTTGGTATCACAGCCCCCACAGCGCAACGCCGATAAGCTTTTACTGAATCCGGAAAAGGAGTGTGTACAGCTTCTCAATCTACCCCCTAAGCCGGAGGCGCAGCTGGCGGTGACTGGGCATTTCGTGCTTGTGCCTGGGCCTGTTGGTAGGACTGGTGGACAGATGCCGGCATTCCAGGGATGGTTGGGAGCGAAATGGGTGTTTGTCTTGGGGCCGTTTGGGGCTGCTGTGTCATGGGAGGCATTGCTCCAGGTGACGATGCCTTGGCAGTATTTGCTGCAATGGGCGTCGTCTGAGAAGGGGTATGAGTTGACTGTTGCGGCTGCTGCGCTGGTTGTGATTGCTGGGTGGCTTGGTGCCGGGTTTCGGACTCCTTTGCTATAAGAGAACCCAAGACAGCCAGGTCCTCCCGGGCCTTGGGCTCTCGCTCCAGAACACGACGGATGATGGACCACTCGTTAGGCGCCATCTTATGAGCGTGTGGCATCAAGAATCCTAGGGTCGGCGCAGTGGCAAAGGGTCCAAGGATGGCCTTGGCTTGTGCCTCAGCGTCCTGGTGGCCCGTTGCAAACTGGGCTGGTGCCGGAGCAACACCTGCTTGGACGTTCGAGTGCATAATGTGATGTTGGCCCTGGACACCAGAGTAAGGCACTGGAGAGACGCCGGCACCGACCTGCGGCGTAGTCGGAGAAAAGGCGGGCCCAGCCATGGGAGTACCTCGTTGAGGAAATGTTGATGGCGCCGGGCTGGGCGACGCGTTGTTCGGCACGGGTGATGGACCCGATGAGTTGGTGTTGGTGTTCCAGTCAGGACCATGGAGCTTCTTTAGGGTGTTCTCATCGTTTCGGAAGACGATGACGAGTAGCAACATGTTCTCCGTTCGGCTGTTGGGGAGGTAGTTCTCCTCCAGGTTGAGAAGGAATTCGGGATGATTGCCAGTGCCCGCCGGCACCGGAATAAGATATGTGTCTTTGACGTTTCCAGTGCCCTTATCTCCAACAACAGCCCATCGCTCCTTGCTCACAAAGTAGTTGAATATTTTGTCGAAATCGGCCTTCCCAGCCTCTGTTGCTGGGGTGAGGCTGGTCACGACGAGATCAACCATGGAGTTCCATCGGAGACTGCACAGGTACTCAGTAGCTGAGTTCGTGGCGATACGTCCTCCCACATTCAACTTCCTAGGAAGAAGGGTCGTCCAAGGCAGGTTGATCGTCTTGAAAAGATTGGCTCCAGCCACATGCTTTGCAACAGCCTGGAAGTCCGCGGTTGCAGCCATGATGAGCTGGCCTCTCCACACCACATCCGGATCGGTCTCCTCCGTTGGCGAATATGGAGGAGACTCGTTGCCATCATCTTCAAGAAGTCTGTCGACATCAGGGTCAACACCGGGTCCTTGAGAAGGAGCAGGTCCTGATGGTCGCCGCATCGTCGTGGCTGTGGGAGACTTGACGCTGGAGAAGACCTTGTTGATATCGAAATTACTTGTCGGTGACTGTTGCTGCTGCTGCTGCGTGTCAATCTTCATCGGCTCTCCTGATGGCTTGCGGCTGTGGGATTGCTGGGCACGCGATCCACTGGCTTTGGCCGCCTGAGGAGGCTGTCGGGCCGGAAGACCAGGAGAATCGGCGCCAACGTATCCGTCGTCGATGAGCTCGTCGCCCTTGTGCGTTCGCTTATACCGGGGTCCCGGCTGTACTTCGTCCGTGGCGATGATCGACTGGCGCACGTTACGCTCCTTGGCAGCCGCGGTCTCTTGCTGCTGCTTCTCTGTCTGCAGATCGTCCGAGGTCATGACGGCCAGCATGGGTGGAGTGAGGGAGTGATTGAGCAGCTGGCCGATGAGCTCCTGATTAGACTTCAGATTGGCACCCAGTGTTCGACACTGTCTTCCATACTCATCACGGGCAGGGTGTGAATCGTGTACCGCCCGCTCTATGGCAATGGCTAGACGTTCCGATCGAGAGTCGTTGGAGACTCCATCAGAAGGGTTGTATCCGCCCTTCTTCTCGTGTTGGTTGAGCGCGTGAAGGAGAGACTTTTGCAGCAATTTCGCAGGCCCCTGGCGTCCCTCGGCCAGCCCAGCTATGGTGTCGGGCAGGTCACTGGGGGGCTCATAGGGCGGAGCGGCCACAGCCTGGCTCTCGGATACCTTGCGCAATTTGGACGGCTCCTATGAAGGGTGATCTGTCAGCTGTTATTCCTACATATCTGTGGGGTCTTGGAATCCGCTTACCTTGGCAGCAGTATCGGCAGAATCATGGCGCTCTTTGCGCTTGGCGGCAGCAGCCTTTGTTGCTGGCAGCTTCTTCTCGGGAGCGGGGGAGGCTGAAGACTTTGTGGATTTCTGAGCAGAGCGAGGCTCATCGTGAAGTTCACTCTGCCGCTTCCTGCCCTTCTTGGGCCCTTTCTTCTGTTTCTTCTCGGCCTCTTTCTCTTCCATGTACTCTTTGCGCCTTGTTTCCCAGATGTGTTCTCCCTTCTTCAGGCCTTCAAGCAGTGCCTTGTGATTCTGGGGCTTGCACTCCTCGCAATAGTACTCTATGTCCTCGAGATCTTCGTCGAAGACACTCATACCAACACAAACGTTGTGCTGCCACACGTGGCATTGATCACAGGCGATCCAGGGATCGTCTGGGTCATCGGTGTCCTGGCTGGTGGCGCCACAGACACAGCGGATGACCTCCTCCTCCTCATCCTCTGGTTCGGGCTCGGCCTGTTTCTTGCTGGCGGCCTTCTTGCCGCGGCGCTTCGGTTCGGCGGGCTGCTCGAGAGAGTCGGGGAGGCCCTTATGTTGGCCCTTGGTGCTGCGCACCGAACGGCGTGGTTCAGCTTCTGTACTCACCAAAGCTGGTCAGTGAGGCTTCTCATCATGATGAAGGATATTGTGTGAGTAGAGGTGGCGCCCTCAAGGGGGAGGGTGTAGGGTAGAGGGAGACTGGGCTCTCCTGCAGGCGCCACAAGTATCATGGGGTTCTTACCAGACATGATGGTCTGATTGGCGACAGATTACAAGTACTGAGATGACACAAAGCCAGGCACTGGCTGGTAGATGGGCAGTTGATTTACTTGGGGCGACAGGGCTGGGTCACCGTGATGGCCCGTTGTGAAGAGACAGTAGACAATGGTTACAGAGGCAAAGACGGGTATGCTACGAATTGAGATGCCCTCTTGGCTCAAGATCAGTCCCTCCTGCTCTTGTCTGGAAGCTTGTATTGGGTGCCGTTGACGTCGGATTGTTGTGGCGCGTTATGTCCTGCCGTATCCCGTGGGTGTTTTGGTGAGGAGTTGTCGCGTCGGTGCAGATGGGACTGCAAATAGAGAAGGGCGACCGTTGTCTGATGAGCTTCCACTTGGTCAGGTACAGAGCTGTGGAGAGCTCTCGTGACAAGCAGGAATGCACTCTGGGGGGGCCAGAGAAAGTCTCAAACTGATCGCAAAGATGTTGCGACACTGATTCTGTGGTGCCAACTCGACACCACTACGGTGTTATCGAGGGAGACAAGATGGTATTTAGGAAGGTTGGAGAAAGACTCACAAATGTCGAGGTGGGGATGGGAGTAGATGTGCTAACACGCGCCGGCCGGCTCTCCAGGGTGGATTGGGGAGGGGCGACTCAAAGCCTGATTGGGTCTAGCCTTATTCCTGTCGTTTTTGCTTACACATCAGTATCAGCCTGGCACTTCCCGTCAACTTGCAACCAATACCAATTGCTTCATTCAAGTCTTGCTGCTGAGATACCGTATTTATGATACATCTTTGTTTTTCTTCTTGTTCTTTATGTGTAAAGTTACAGAACTCCGAAAGGATCTTTTTTCTTCTTCATTTTCCTTGTCCATGTCAGTATAGGCTGCTGCTGCTCGAAACACGAGGTTGTAACGTTCGCTTATACTTACATAAGCCCATTCCTCATTAGCTTGACGCGTTGTGTTGCCCGTGCCTGGAGCTTGCTGCAACGAAGCTCCCCTGTTGCCTGCCCCCGTACCTACGTAACTCTACCTTCAACCACAGGTAGCCCAGCCAGCCAGCCAGCATCACTTACTGCACTTGCACTGCATTGCATACTGGTCGGTCTGTCAGCCAGCCTTCCAACAACCAACTCCCAAAGACTACCCAGCAATCATCTGCCCCTTCTCCTCGAGCACTCAAACGGCAGTTGACCTCATTTCGCTTTTCACCAGCCTTTCTATTCTACCTGTCGATCGGGTACTCCGCCACCATGTCTCGAAGATACGATTCCAGGGTAAGTCGACGCAGTTCAGCTGGAATGAAGCTGCAGAGGGCACTCTCACTCTCCATCTGCCGACACAAGAATGCAGGGCAACACAGCTTACCATCCGTTCTAGACAACCATCTTCTCCCCTGAAGGACGCCTGTACCAGGTCGAGTACGCCCTCGAAGCCATCTCCCACGCCGGTACCGCCATTGGCATTTTGGCAAAAGATGGCATCGTGCTGGCCGCCGAGCGCAGAGTCACCTCCAAGCTGCTGGAGCAGGATACCTCCGCCGAGAAGCTTTACATCCTCAACGAGTGCGTCGCTCTAGCCCTCCACCCTCCCTTCTTTTCCTGGCCTCTCCCGCTCCCGCTCCCCAAACTCTCGCACCTTAGCCCAAACGATCTAAAGTATAACGTCTTGGTCACTGTACTGACATGTATCTTTTTACAACATAGCAACATGATTTGTGCCGTAGCAGGAATGAATGCCGATGCCAACATTCTCATCAATTACGCCCGCCAGGCCGCCCAGCGCTATCTCCTGACATACAACGAGGACATTCCCTGCGAGCAGTTAGTCCGGCGGTTGTGCGATCTAAAGCAGGGTTACACACAACACGGTGGTCTGCGTCCGTTCGGAGTCTCCTTCATCTACGCGGGCTGGGACCCCCAGCGCCAGTTTCAGCTCTACCAGTCAAACCCGTCCGGCAACTATGGCGGCTGGAAGGCGACAAGCGTGGGTGCCAATAACGCAAGTGCGTCGAGTCTATTGAAGCAGGACTACAAGGAGGACTGCAGCCTGGATGAGGCATGTGGCATCGCTGTCAAGGTTCTCAGCAAGACGATGGACTCGACCAAGCTGAGTAGTGAGAAGCGTAGGTTGCTGCTGAATCTCTTGAATCATCTTTTTCCTGTTGCGTGTGCTAACATCAGACTCCAGTTGAGTTCGCGACGGTGGGACAAACCGAGGACGGCAAGATCTACCACCGGCTATGGGATGCGGATGAGATCACGGCGCTCCTGAAGAAACATGACCTGGCGAAAGAGGAGGCTACTGAGGATCGATAGGCAGGTTCATGGCGGCAGAGACGGGCATCACGATCGCAGAATATTTCAGCGGAAACAATGCTCATACATGATGCCCCCCCAATGTACTAATAGAACATGGATGACACCACACCAAGCTACCTGCATTAAACCAGCATTAAACCACTTGATGACAACAACCAAAAAACAACCCCTACCGCTCTTGTTTCCTATGCATGTCCATGATCCAATCCCGCAGCTCTCGTATTGCATATCCATGTTCGCATTTTGTATCCAAGTTGCTAGCTCTATGAAGAGGTCCCAGAGTCAGCATTCGTCATGTTTCAAGAAGGGAGGACGCCCAGCTCCAATCCTACATTACTCCTCGTCCTCGTCCCCGTCCGCGGCCCCGTTCCCCCTTCCTCCTCATCTCTTAGCCTCCCATAAAGCGGCCCGCCCACATCATTGCTTGGTCCAGGATATGGCTCGCTGCAGTGCCAGCTGCCCAGCCTCGGCCAGTACCTCCTATAGCTCCAGTATGCCATAACCGACCCCAGCAAGGAACCCGTGCACACATCATACACATCATGCCTGTAATCCTGGCACCGGCTGATGGCAATCATGGCCGCGCCCAGCACCGGCGCCAGACAGAGAAGAGCCCGGGCGAGATCGCCCCTCGCGTAGACGGCCCTCACCTGCTCGCCCTCATCTCCTTGCGGGACCGCGCCGCCGGCGCCGCCAACCACAAACAGCCGCACCTGGCCCGCGACGAACAGGCTGAGGTACCCCAGCCCCGCGAAGCTGAAGCTCGAGTGCCCGCTCGGAAAGCTCCGCCAGCCGTCGTGCAGCACGTGGGGGCGGACCTCGGTGCACACGTCAATGCCGACGAGGGTGTTCTCGGGGGTGCCGGGCGCGGGCTTGCAGCGGGCTACCAAGTCGGGGCGCGGGCGGCCGACGGCGTTCTTGACGGTGTCTGTGAGAAAGGAGGTCAAGACGAGGGCGATGAGGAGGCCTAGGATGGTGACGTGGTGCTTATGGACCGAGGCGCGAGTGAGGGTGTTGATGGCGATCAGGAGGAGTAGCGGGACGGCGCCGGCATAGAGGACATTCCAGACTGTATCAATGGAGGGAGGGAATCCGTTAGCATGCATGTACGCGAGGGCAAGGCTGTTCTTCTTTTCTTCTTCCTTTCCTCCTGGGTCAAAGTGCTGTGCAGGGACGTACCGACTGGAACACGCTCGTGCTCTGCATGGGGAAAGGAGATGGCCAGGTCATTGATGAAGAAGAGTCGATGGAAGGGCTCGACGAGAAGAGCAATGAGGGTGTATGCCACTGCCAGGATTACGAAGCCAAGGTAGTCCGGCGCGTAGGACCGCTACACCCACACACATTCCACCGTGTTGTCAGCCCTGGGAAGTGGACAAAAAGGGATGGGAATGGGTTTGGGTTGGGGGGGGGGGGGGGTTGTTCGCATACCGTCCAGAATCTCGCTAATGCCGACATTGATGCTTCGTTCAGTGGAGGAACGGCCAGTCGTGTCGCCAGCACACGCAGTCACCGTCGTCGAATAGCCTTGAACACAGTCCACAGCATCTTTGCCCGAGGATCGCTCAACGATCGTTACCAAGCCAGCCAGAACGTCACTTTCTGGGTTTGTGTCCACGAGGCTGGCTCCGCTGGCCGATCCCTCTTCATTTCGAGCTAGGCCTAGTTCTAAGGCCTGGGGGGGGGGGGGGCGGCGTGGTGGGGTTCCGCAGTGCGTCAGGGCATATGCATGCTATAGGTCATGTATACAAGGAGCCTGGATAAGTGCATACCAAGAAATACTGACCTGGAAAACCCGCCAACATTACCAAATGACAGCGGCAACGTCAACTGAAACCCTTGGGGGTCCTCGAATCTCTTAAGCATCCCAATAACCGTAACGAACAATATGAATAGAACCTAGTTCTCCTTGTATTTCTGCATGTAGTGGCTCTTGAAGATATCCCATCTACCATTTGTTGCTTTTTTCTTCTCAAGGAAACGGCGCAAGTCTGCGCTCTGGACAAAGCCCATATTCGTGTTTCATGAGTATACCACACGGTTTCATACCATAATTTTTTTGTTCCCCCCAGAAGAACCATTCCTAATCCAAGGGGACAGATCTGAACACACGCAAATATCCACCCAGTACTACTGCCATTCCTTCCCAGTAATCGTGTTGCGCCATAATCAAATCAACTGTGACCAATCTGCATAGTACAAACTGGTCAAATTTTTGTAAAGTCTCGCCACGACTCGAAAGCGTTTTGGGAAGGGGGGGGGGGGGGGCAGCCAACGCCAGCCGAGGAAATATCGCGTTGTACAAGCCGAAGCGAGAAAGAAACAAGAAAAAGAAACAGAGAAAAAATTGGGCGTCTGTGAAGTAGCCAGTCCGCATAATAGAAAGTGCAAACAGATCGTGCCGTTCCCGCAGTACAGTCGTCGATCTTCAACTGATGCTGGTGTCGGTGCGGAATGTTGTGCTGGATATAGCGCGCCCAGCAGCTGAGGGCGAACAATGTAGATGAAATGGCTCCACACCGCGATCATCACTCTTAAATCTCATCTTCCGCATCATTTACCTCGACGTCCCTCATGTACTGATCCTCCTGCTGTGGCGTTGCGCTATCGTTCATCGAGCCCCTCATGACTGTCTCCTCGAGGTCCGAAAGCTCTCTGACGGCCCGCTGAAACCGCTGCAGTTCGGCCTTGAGCTTCAGTCGCTTCTCGGCAGTAGACTGCTCCTCCTCCATCAAAGCGACGAAAATATCCGGGTCGGTTCGCTGAGTGAGACCCATCTTATTCTCGAGATACAGCTCGATATCGGCGACAAGATCTGGGAAGAGCCCGCAGGTGATCTGCATGGAAACAACATCGATGAACCTCATGGCCGCGGTAAGGTAATAGCCACGGACGTGAGATGCAACGTCGAGCTCATCCTTGAAAGGGTCTTCACCCAGCTTAACCGCCTCCTTTTGGGTCTCGATCTCCTCCTTGCGGCGAGCCTCAGCTGACATCGTGCTCCAGTCCTCAAGCTTAGTGGGACTGTGATCGCCGTTGTATTGCTTCATACGCTGAAAGTGCCGGTTACGCTTCAGCATGTTTCCCTCGTGGACGCGGTGACGTGCAAAAGTCTCGTCGTCCAGCGTATAGATTTTAGTCGTCTCCATTTTGTAATTGCGCTCAAGCTGGTGGAAGATCCGGCCACGGTGGTCTTTCAGCCATTCCCTCGTGAGCTTCTGGACGATGCTGTACACCTGACGTTTCTTCAAGTCCTGAAAGGACTCGCCGAGAGACGCATCCAGTTCGCGTCGCAGATGGAGCATCGTCTCATCCAGAAATTTTTGCCAAGGAGCGCTCCACGGTCGTACCGCCTCCATACAGAGACGTTCGATAACGTCGTATGGAATTTCGCCGGGCTTGCCGGCCTCGCGTTCTGAGCGAATCAGGACCCGGATCTCTTCGAGAGTCTTGCTGGGGATCCTGCCATTCACAGGACCAGGGGTCCCTCTTGGAGAGCCTAAAGAGAATGAGCCATTGCCCTCCTCGGTCTTCACACGTGTATTCTCCACCCGGCGTCGCTGAGCCGAGGGAGTTCCCTCCGTTGTGAGATCGATGGGACGGTGACGTTTGTTCGAGAGGCTCGGCGAGTTATTAACTGAGTAGACACTATCTCGATCGCTACCATCTGCGTGTATTGCAAAGCCCTCGGGTTTAACGCGGAAGCGAGGGTAAAGGTCGATGATTCGCGCCTTGAAGCCTTCAGCGATCGCGCTCCAAGAAGCCGCAAAGGCCTTGCTCTTCAGGCGGGCCTGAACGTCGCTTGTAAACTTCAGTATGCTCTTCCGCACTTCGTATTCCGGGTTTTGAGGCATCTCTGGGAGTCTCCTAAGGGATTCTTGGGTGCTGTGAAGTTTGGCATGGAGCTTCTGTGACAAGCTGGGCAGATTCTTGGCGAACTCTTGCGCAAGGTCTTGTGCCAAAAATTTGACGAGTTGATCAATTCCACATCGATCGTCAAAGGGAGAGAATTCATCTGGCCATGTTCGGTCAGCACTGGGCACTTGTCGGTTAAAAAAGGCCTCTTCTGCCGCACGTTCATCGGACAGACTCGGACGCTCCCGGCGAAGCTCATTGCCGTGAGGGGTGCCATCGAGGTTCACAGAAGGCGGGGCTCGAGATGTAATGAAGTAGCCCCGGCCGACCTGGTGCTGTTGTCCGGCAAGCATAGCCAGCCATTGGGCGTGTCCGCCACGTGGCAGCAGATCGGCTTTTGTCATAACCCCAATTGTCCGACCTTGCGCCCTGATGTTTCTTATCAGAGTGAAGGTAGACGAGGTCTCAGGATCATGGTTCATAGGCACTGCCCACATAATGATCGCTTTCTCATGCGAAACGTAGCTCTTGACCAGGTTCTCGACGACCTTGACCAGGAATTGGTCCTCTTCATGCTTCGCATTTCGAAAAACACCGGGCATATCGTAGAATGACAGATCAGGCAGTTCGGGGCCCTTCACTTCAATGGCCACTGTGTTGGGAGAGAACTTGGCCTCAGTATGTCGCTCCGCCTCAGCCAGAAGTTGTGCCTCCACCTCGGGGTCTTGCTCCTCGGGCGTACGTTGGTTCCAGTCTTTGGGCACGTAGTTTTTGTAGTTCCGGTTGTGATTGAGAATAGCGATCTGGGCCCATCGAACAATGTCGTCAATAGGATCCGTCTTCTGGTAGACCATCTTGAACTCCTTGACTTCCCGCTGTTGTTTTACCCAGGGCGGGAAAGGGTTCTGGTCGGTCACATCCGCCTCAGTGATGGGCTCGTTGTTGGGTGGCCGGTAGGCATAGTCCTGCTGTAGAGAAATGCGGCACCGCCATGCCGAATCGCTGGAGAGGCGGATGTGGATGGGACAACGGGTACAGACGCCATCGCTTCGAGGAAGGATAATTTTGGAGATGGCTGACATGAGACTTGACTTTCCAGAAGACTGATCTCCGACGAGGATGAGCTCAGGGAGAGGAGTATCATGATGAATACCGAGCTGCTGCAGGGAGCCAAGGGTATCATTAAATTTCTTGAGATGTTGACCAATATCCTTGAGATTCTTGTCGATATCGCCTGGCTCGGCGCCTGCGAATGGCATGTCGATTGCACCGTCCGTTCCAACTTCTATCTTCGTCCTGGGCCGGACTTCCATGAAAACACAGTCATTATCTGTGTCGGACGACGGAGGTGGAGCCTGCAGAGCAGCAACTCGAGTATCGACAGTAGCTGGGGCTCTGGTCAGTGTTGCAAACGCACAGGCAAATCAGGGCCCATGAGGATTGGACTGATCACACTTACGAGCACCCGACCGGCGACCACGCGGATCTTCTGGGGAGAAACCTGAACTTGAATCCGCTGAGGGTGCTGGGCGACTAGGCACGCGTGTGCGCGTACGGGGTGTGCTTGGGTTGTTTGGGCGTGGGTTGCCGCGGCGGGGGGGCGTCTCAGGAATAGTCGCTCCAGGCTCTGGTTTGACACGCGGTGGCATTGTGGAATCCGTGATGGGTCGAATCTGAGGGAATGGTCAGCCTGAGGCTCTTGTTTTTGAAGCATAGAAAGAAAAAAGATGGTGACCTACTTGGGTGGGGCGATAAACTTGTTGGCGTCCTCCGAATCGACCAGGCTTGATGCTGGAGTAGGGGACGGCGCGTACAAAACAGCCAGGAACTGTGGAAGGATTGAGGACGCAAGGATGCCGAAGATTTTTAAGATACAATTCAGTTAATCAGGTATTGTATCATTCTCAGAGGTTAATTATCAAAGAACAGTTGAGTGTGGCCTTGCAGGTACAAACAAAGTGGGTAATGGAAAACAAAATGCAGAGACGATGGATGAGAGGTATGGTGAGAAAGCAGAGATGGAAGGGGGAGGGGAGCTCAGTGGTCTTTTAAGCCTCGTATCTGAAGGGGGAACTGAACTTTGGAGTTCTTCTCCAGATGCACTCCAGATATGTCAAGATCTGCTAAGGTCTTGCTGCGAGGATGGGGTGCATCTTAGCAGAGACTACTGCAAACTGGAGAAGTTGAGGTGCATGAAAGATGTGACAAGGCTGCGGGGTGATGTGGCTGGACGATAAAAGCGGGGCACCAACCAGAATTCAACATACCTGCAGGGCAGGTGCACATCTTGTGTCCAGATATGTATCTGTCCATCTCAGCTCTTGGCTAAAGCCAGGCAGCAAGGAAAAAGTAAAAGGGAATAAAAAGAAGATGGGGGGGGGGGGGGTGGAAAGAGACAAAAACCACAATGAAAAAAAAAAAAAGCCTAAGTAAAGAGTGGTCGTTACCATGCAGTAGTGAAGAGTAAATCTATTGCTGCTAATATTGCCTTTGACCAAGCAAGCAATATATCTGACATCAAGCTGAACTCACTACTAGGAAGGGTATAAGAGAAGGTCCCATCCTCAAAGTAAATACACCCTAAACAAGGTGCTCAGATGAACCACAGAGGGAGCAGCGTTGGCAACAAAAGTCATTGTGTACTCAGTAAGCCTGTAAGTTCAAGTTATTCGACCAGCTTCAAACAATTTGTCTGCCTTGCATGTGCTGCTGCAGACTTCTAGTTTCATGATGAGAAGGAAAGAAGTGATACGCTTTCTCTTCAGAGGTTCAGAGGCCTGGAGAAGGAGGGGAGGTTAGGAGGGGTAATGCCTGCCGGACTCTTGCCACCTTTTGCAGGGGTCTCCCTCCCTTGCCTGGAAAGCGCCCTTCAGGGGTCTGAAGTTGTGACGGAACAGTGACCTCCAACTCCAACCACCATCAAGCCAGCTTGCCAGTTGCACAACAACTCAACAGCAGAGTTCCTGATCTTTCCTTCCTCACCATCACCACTGATCTGGGCATATTCTCGATTTGAGCCATTACTGTTTCTTCAATTGAGTCAATATGTCCCTACAGGTGCCACACCGAGCCAAGCCCAATGGTAGCGATCCTCACGGCGCAACCAAGGCTGTCATCCTAGTAAGAACAAAGTCCTGATGCCATGGAACCACGACGCAGCGCAAAACTACCCAGCCTAACCTCCGATTTTGTCTTTAGGTGGGTGGCGCATCCCGTGGCACTCGATTCCGGCCTCTTTCTCTCGATGTTCCCAAGGTGAGTGACTACTCATGCACTCTGGAAGTTCAAGCACATAGCTGCTCCTGGTGCTGGCCTCCGCACGTCCCAAAACAACATGCTCGCTGCTATTGACTGACAATGTGCCACCAAACTACCACAGCCCCTTTTCGATGTTGCCGGCCACCCAATCATCTACCACTGCCTGACCGCCGTCTCCAAAGTTCCATCTGTCCACGAGGTCTACCTCATCGGCTACTACGACGAGTCCGTCTTCCGCGACTTCATCAAGGATGCCTCGTCCGCCTTCCCCAACCTATCCATCAAATACCTGCGCGAGTACCAGGCCCTCGGCACCGCTGGCGGCCTTTACCACTTCCGCGATGCTATTCTCAAGGGCAAGCCTGAGCGCCTATTCGTTCTCAATTCGGACGTCTGCTGCTCTTTCCCTCTGAACGAGATGCTACACCTATTTAACGAGAAGTATGCCGAGGCCGTCATCTTGGGCACGCGAGTCGGCGATGACGCAGCCACCAACTTCGGATGCATTGTCAGCGACAGCCATACCAAGAGAGTACTGCACTATGTGGAGAAGCCTGAGGGCCATCTCAGCAACCTCATCAACTGTGGCGTCTACTTGTTTAGCACCGATGTCATCTTCCCTTCCATCAAGAGCGCCATCAAGCGCCGTGCCGACCGTCCACGCCTCTCCAGCTACCGCAGCACCGAGAACCTCGAGAGCTCCTACGTGTTTGACCAGGAGGACGATGACGACGACGAGAGCAAGAACCAGATCATCCGCCTTGAGCAGGATATCTTGAGCGACATGGCCGACAGCAAGCAGTTCTTCGTATACGAGACCAAAGACTTCTGGCGCCAGATCAAGACAGCAGGGTCAGCCGTCCCGGCCAATGCACTGTATCTACAACAGGCTTGGCAGAACGGCTCTGAGGAACTCGCCACACCTTCCGCCAACATCATCCCTCCCGTCTTCATCCACCCTTCTGCCCAGGTTGATCCCACTGCCAAGTTAGGTCCCAACGTGTCCATCGGACCGCGTGCCACGATCGGCCGCGGTGCGCGCGTGAAGGAGTCTATTGTCCTGGAGGACGCTGAGATCAAGCATGACGCTCTGGTGATGTACTCGATTGTGGGCTGGAACAGCCGCGTCGGCGCCTGGGCCCGTGTGGAAGGTACCCCTACTCCGGTGACCAGTCACTCCACGAGCATTGTCAAGAATGGCCTTAAGGTGCAGGCTATCACGATCCTGGGCAAGGAGTGCGGTGTCCATGACGAGGTGCGCGTGCAGAATTGCGTCTGCCTGCCCTATAAAGAGCTGAAGAGGGTAAGTTGCTTTTTCTCATGTCTTTTGCTGAGCTTTGGACCATCGTGTGCTAACACCGTATAGGATGTTACAAGTGAGGTCATCATGTAAAGGAGTGCTTGGGTTGAGTGACTTTCGAATAATGACGGGATATTTCTTGTGGGCTCCCGGGAACTCATCACGCCGTTCACGCCTCGACGATCGCACCGCGTCTTTGCTTTGGATGATGGTTGTGGGCAAGGGCAAGGAGTTCAGCACGCAGCGTTTGGTAAAAGACAAGATGTAAAAGTTCAAAATTTCAAGGTGCTCGCCACGTTCTCAGTATGATGCAAGTGCATTGCAGTGAACACCAGGCACAGCCCTCTCATCTTGGCCATGCTTTGCGGGACTGCGGTGATATCCCTTTGATTAGGACGAGCGTAGGTCTACAGACTTGTGGGGAACACACGATATCCAGAATCTAAGATCTTCGACGAGTAAAATCGATAGAACGTGCGGCTTAGAGATCGTTGACCCTCGTTGGCTGGGCTTTGGCAGGGGAGCAAGGCACCGGTGCTTACAAGCTTCCACGTACCTATACAACAAGGTACATCATGGCAGCACTGGGTCTCTCGGCACGATAAGCTCCGTACTATACATGTCACCCGTCTCTTTTATTCTGTTACACCCCGAAATTCACTGGCTAACGCAAGAATTCTATGCACCCGAGACGACCCTTACCCTCCCAGCTTCCTCCCAACCTCTAGACGTTCTTGTCTTGTAAACCGGAGGAACGAAATGGCAAATGATCGTACCATGTTGGAGGGAGGCGGAGGCGGATCGCAGACAGGAATGTGACTAAGTACTCAGCCATAATGCCGCTGGTCCTGGCACGTATCTTGGTTAAGGAGGTGCAGAAGTGGCAGTCGTGCATCTTATAAGGCTCACGAGGATTAAAAGTCATGGCGAGAACTCATAAAGAGCCGGATGGACAACGGCCACACGTAACTCCTGGGCAGCCCCTCTCTTTTGTAGCGCAGTCTGACGTCGACGCGGCCCGGCAGAGAGTTTGATGCCTTGCTTGCTTCTCAGGCTCAATTCACAGAGACTGAGAGAATGTAAACATTGATAGTCCTCTATGTTAGGGACGAGGTAGGTGAGAGAACCATCTGGCAGTAATCGACATTAGGTAGGGCCCTTTGGGCTCCTCCTGGTGTGTGTGCTCACGAGCCATTATGTGGATGCAGTACAGTGTCAAGGTGAAGAGCCACAGCACTTATAAGCCATATTCAGCAAGCAGTCATCAAAACTGATCGGCGTCCGTGTAGTAAAGTGGTTAATACGTCGCATTGTGGCATCAACAGCTCTAGTGCTGTTTGAAACGCGGTCTGCGGAGGCCCATGTTCGATTCATGGCACGGACACATGTTGTTTTTGGCTTTTTTTCCCTTTTTGTATGACTGGGTTACAAAACTTCATCTCACTCGCGCGTTGGCGTGGAAGGAGGGGCGCGTCAAGGCCCCGCGGCCTATTATGTACGTAAAAGCTCGTGTGGCCTATAGAAAGTGGATACGAGGGGGAGAGGGTGAGGAAAAAGACTCTTGACAGTCCATTCTTGCTCTCCACTTTTTCAAAACCACATGAGCTCTTGAATAGGACGTCAATTTATGTGTCCCATTGCGCAGTGATTTCTCTGTCTGAAGTGTGAATCAAGACGATGGAAGCTCGGCGCTCAAGTCCTAAATGCCAGAGACTTTGCATTGTAACAGATTAGGTGATTCAGAAGAAACATCATGTATACCAAATTCATAAATTTGGCAAGCGGGTATGACGACTGACCATATTATGCTCAAATCAAGGTGTTGGATATTTATATTATGTCGGCTACTGCAGTGATGCAATGAATGATGAACAACCTGGTTCATTCATGTTGATATAAATCATGACTTCTGTGTTTTACAATAGCATCTTCGCATATCACCGTGAGACAGCCCGTATCACTCTCATAAGTAACTGGTCAGCAATGTGCCCTCGTATACTACCTATGGAACCCATATTGGCAAATTCAGCAGGTAGTGGTCGCCACATCTCACTCTCCTGACCACGTAACCATCTCGGGTGGTGTTCATGCTGTGCATGAGACGAAGGTCTTTAACTGAGGAGGGAGACAGACTCTAACTCCTGTCTATAGATAGACAAGGCATACCGTTCACATCACTTTGGGTGATGAATCATTGATTGGACTATCGGAGTGGTACAGTATTCTTTTGCCAACTGCCTGAGACACCCTAGACCGAATAGTCTTCCAATGCTGCTATCGACATGGAAGCCTACAGCTCAATCTTGGTTCCGATGGTATGAACAAATCTCAAGGGTAGGAAAGAAGAAAAATTGATCCGTGGTGTTGCCAGCAACAATGAAAAGCTGGGTATATCAGGGGGAAAACAGGCGCGTTTACAAACCAAATTACCCCACCTTTTCTCGCTACTATGAAAGCAGCATGCTTGCTGTGCAGTCAAGAAAGGGCTGAAGCTGCAGATCGCCGGTGCCACAAAAACGAGTGAACAGCAGGCTGCTGTAACATCTCACAAAGTAGAAGACCACAATCTTGAATGAAAATGAAAGCAAAGAGAAATAGTATGTTGAAGATAATAAAATGAGTTAGGAAAAGGGACCCCAAGTCTGTTGCTCAGCCAACAAGGTGAAAAATGGGACCCAGTGAAAGGACTCAAGCTTCCATCCCCCCGTGCTGCGGCCAATCTTCCAGGAATCATGCCATTAGACCAACTGGGCTCTCGAGAATACATTTTCTATACAATAAGATTCAATCTTCATGAGACTTGGTGCAAATTAGTGTTTGAAGATTGTGGTAATTCTCTGGGCTGGAAGGCGAAAGGATAAGTGTGATGCCATAGTAGCCAGAACAAGTCTAATATCAGCAAGCGTGTGTGAACCAGAGTCCTATATAAACGCGATCTAGGTAAGTAGTTGAGTACTTACAGGCTAGGATCAGTGGGTCACTATCCAATCACAGCATTGACAGCTCTCGGAACCAGCACCAAAGACGGGTTCAGGTGCTCGGGAATTACCAGTCTGCCTCAACATCAGATCCGGGCGGAGAACCGGCGTTAAAACTTCAACAATTCATTACAGCACATACGAAGCTAGCATACAAATGATATAAAAGCTCCTTGAGATTCGGCGTGGAATTTCCTACAATCTTGCCCAGGAATTACGGCAAGCTGTTTGTGTTGTACGTATGTCTTGAATTTCGTTCATACACTTACTCTCTCTCCTTCTACTATAGTTTCCTGACCTGATCCTTACCCTCCACATGCAACATCACATCAGCAAACTGAGCAACATGTTTTTCAGGAATATCAATACCAAAGGAGGGCCGCCTCTTCGTACCTTTGCAGCCTCGAACACCAGTAGACGCTGTTTCTCGTCCAGTCCAACTGCATACTTCAAAATGTCACAGGAGCACCACCAAAAGAGCACCACCACCACCACCACCTCCTCCTCCTCCTCCTCCTCCTCCTCCTCCACCCAAGCCACGCCGGACTGGTCGGCAAACCAATACCTCAAATTCGGCAGCGAGCGAACCCGCGCCGTGCACGACCTCGTCGCCAACATCCCCCTGCAGGACCCCAAGCACATCATCGACTTAGGCTGCGGGCCAGGCAACTCGACAGCCGTGCTTGCCTCGCGCTGGCCGGACGCCCAGGTTTCAGGCGTGGACTCGTCGCCCGACATGCTCGCCAAGGCACGCGCGAACCTCCCCGGCGTGACCTTTACGCAGGCCGACCTGCACACGTACGAGCCTCCCACCACCACCACCACCAGCAGCAGCAGCAGCATAGGCCCCGGCACCGCGGACCTTCTCTTCAGCAATGCCGTGTTTCACTGGCTGCGGCGGGAGCAGCGGATCCCGACGGTGCAGCGGCTGCTGAGCGGCCAGTGCGCAGGCGGGGTATTGGCCCTCCAGGTGCCCGACAACTACGAGGAGCCCTCGCACAAGGCGATGCGGGAGACGGCGCTGCTCGAGGGCCCGTGGACCGAGTATTTCCAGGAAGCGCCGGCCGAGCAGCGCCCGGACCTGGACCCCATCGAGACGCCTGCCGAGTGGTACGACGCGCTGCAGCCCCTGTGCGCGCGCGTGGACGTGTGGCATGTGCTCTACCAGCACGTCATGGAGTCGCCGGCCGCCATTGTCGAGTGGGTCAAGGGCACGGGGCTGATGCCGTTCCTGAACCTCCTGCCGACGCAGGAGATCAAGGACGCCTACTTGAAGGCGTATGAGCAGAGGCTGGGCGAGATGTACCCGCGGCTGATCGATGGGAAGGTGATGCTGAGATATCCCAGGCTGTTTGTGGTCGCGACGAGGAAGTGATTTCTTGAGGATCCAGTTGGACGTGAATATGAAATTCAATTTGTGAATAGCATTGACCTTGGCTTCCTCCTCACAATTGTAATATCCACGTCTTGCTCGATTAGCATATAGCCGCCCAAAAAGATAGCCAGCCACTGCATCCCAACCCAAAATCTACGATGCCCTCGATTCGCAAAAATGAAGACAAGGAAACTGAGTCGAATTTTTGGTAGGGTCGATGTTGAAATTATTGTGTCAGCGTAACTCTATGATCAAAAGGCGGGGGGCACCATAGTGCCTGTCACGAATTCTAAGTGGAAAGAGAAACTGGAGGTCCTGAATGGCAGTCCTCCGCTTTCGTTTGAGTCCACAGTCAATCTCGTCTCATGTCTCAGGTAGCACCATCTCCCTCTCTAGCTCTAGCTAACTGGCTCTGCAGGCCCTTCTTGGACACTCCCATCGCGGCCTGCAGCTCGCGCTCCTCATCCCTGAGTATCGCCTTGCTGTGCTGGAGCCTCTTCTCCTGCCTGCGCTTCTCCTCCTCAACCGCCCTCTCGCGGTCCTGCAGCGCCTTCTCGCGCCTGCGCCTCAGCTCGAGGGCCCTGCGCGCGGCCTCGTCTTCTTCCTCGGCCGCCTCTCCGTCTTCTGGCGGCGGAGGCAGGGTCTGGATGTAGGCCTCAACCAGGGCGTCGCGCGTCTTGGTGTCCAGGGAGATGTAGCGGATGTCAGTGACGATCTGTGGCGGGAGGTGGGATGGTAATGTCTGGCTGTTGAGTTGTGCTAACGTCGCTGTCTTGAGGAGCGCGGCGAGGTCGGATTTGAGCGTGGCCTGGGGCATCTTCAGCCTGTTGATGTGTTCCCTGTACAGTTTCTCCCTCTCCTTGTCGGGCAGCGACATGTCCTTCATCGCCGGTTCTTTTTTGTATTTCCTTTTGAACTCTGGCCAGTAGAGTTTAGGCGTTGCCTTGTCCTGCAGGAGCGCCAGGTAGGGTATCTTGGGGTCCGTCTTCTCCTGCTTGGCCCTCTGCTCCTTGAGCTCTTTCAGCTTCTCCCTGGACCACTCTTCCCAGACCTCCTTCCGCTCTCTTGTGGTGCCGAGAACTGTATACCGGGTATCGTCGACGATCTTCCCCTCCTCAATGAGTTTGTCCCAGGGGCTATACGGGTTGATATGGAAGTCGTTGAGGAGGTCCTTGAACAGTGCCCTGGCATCGTCTTCCGATAGCTGCACACCCTCTGCGCCCTCCGGCCACTCGTCCATATGACCATCGTCATATTCGCCCTGGTCCAGCCCGTACTCCTCGCCCATGGCTTGGAGTTGGAACGCTATGTCGGCCTCGTCAAACTCCACAGGCTGGTCGTCCTCGGTCGGGTCTTCTGTTCGCTGCCGTTTCGTCGCATGCGCGCCCCCATCGTCCTCTCCTTCCTCGTCGTCGGTCACCTCGACTTCCTCGTATTCTGAGCTGTCATAGTCGTGTTGGCCTGCCCCTTCCTCGTCGTCTTCTCTTGCTTGTCCTCCTCCCACTTCTTCTTCTCTAGCTTCAGCGTCTCCATCTCCATCACCTGCAACCTCAGCTTCCACTGCCTCCTCTTCCTGACCTCCATCCTGGTCCTCCTCCGCCGCCACCTCCTCCTTCTTGTCGACGATCCCAGCCTTCCCCCTTATCCTCGCCTTGTCCAGCTCCAAAATCCCTTCCTGCAGCTTCTCTGGTATGCGCCAGTAGCTCGCATTCTTGACAGGGTTATACGCGAACCGCCGCCCATACTTGGTATACACCAATACCCAAGGCTCGCACCCCGGTATCGCCTCCTTCGACCTCGGTTTGTCCGAAGGCTGCGGCCGCGGTCTGCCGTCGCCCTGCCCGCCCCCTCTCCCACCGCGGCCCCTCCCACCGCCGAACCCCCCCCTGTGGTGGCTGCCGCCCTGGCCATGTTGTGGCGGGTTGTTGTTGTTATACTGCGCCATGAAAGCGTTGGCGACGCGCGGGTCGGCGAGGTTTACGCTGGGCAGGGCATGGTGCTGCATAAAGCTGGCAGATGCGCTCATAGTGGGCCCCGCCGGCACAGGAGCGGTCGACGCCGCTGCGGCGCCGGGCCGTGTGTATGTCGACGTCTTGGTCTCGGCATGGTAGTAGTAGGTGTGTCCTGTCGGTGCCTTGTGTTCGGTCCACCCGGGCGGGAGCGCGTTCGCTGAGGGTTTGTATGTGGTCTTGAGCATGGTCTGGGAGTATCAGACCACAACGGACAAGTCAGGAGGCGAGGAGAGTATGAGCCTCGTGGCAGGGTATTTATTATGGACGTAGTCGTCATTCAAAATAGAAAGAAAAAAGAAAAAGTGACAGGCGCTTGCTTGTTGAGTTCGTTCGTTCTTGAGAGAAAAGTTGCCTGCCGTCGTAAAGAAGAAGAATGCTTATGTAATCAGACACCCTAGCCTCACTGGGGTGCCTGCCATAACCTCTCGATCCTCCTCCTTCGTCTGCACACATGTCATGCCTGTGCCCTCATCACAACAAGTTTTAAAGCTTGATTGGTAGTCTAAATCCTCGTGATTCTCGGGTCAGTCTACTCTAAATAACCTGGAAGTGGAGGATCCACACAGCTACCGCAAGTCCTTGAAACGCCAGCGCTGATGCACAAACCAACATAACCACTGAGTAAAGAAAAAGACCCCCTCGGCCCTAGAAGATGTCCCAAGCACAACCCACTCCAGAAATCAGCTACGCAATGTTTACCAGATTCGCTTGGCGACCATCTCGTACCTCATGACTCCATTGAGGTCCCGGTCACCATCACCGCCCTTGTCCCGTTTCTCCTCCGTCTTTCTCTCCCTCTCCCTCGCCTTCTTGAGCCCCTCAGAGTCGTCTCCGTAGACCCAACGCCGCCTGTCGTCGCCAATTTCGACAGCACCGAAGCCGCCGATCCGCTTCCCCTTTGCGTCAAAGCTCTCCTTCTCGGCCTTGCCCGTCGCGACAGCGTGTTCCTTGAGTTTCATGCGAGCATACCGGTCGCGGCTGTACCGGAGAAGAAACATACCCAAGAAGAGCTTCACTATGAGCAATACCAACCAGACAACGAAGACCACCATGATCAACGTAGTCACGGCAATGGCATCGTCAGTGTTCCAGGAGAACCAAGAAAATTTCCCTCGGCCTGCCGCGGTGGCATTCACGGCATCACCTTCTAGCCCATAGACCGACCGGCCGAGGGCATTTCGGATGAGATGATCAAGCCGATCAAGCGCCGCTGTGACTGCTGGCGATGTTGGTGTCGACTCCACGGATAACGATGTTTGCGTCGATGGCGGTAGTGGAGCCGGCATATGCGTGGCGAGAAACATGTGATAAGTCTGAAAGGACGCGCGTATGAAGAGCGTGGATAGCGGTAGTAGTGGAAGACCAAGTCGGCGGGTAAGGGTTGGCGCGACGAAGGCCTGGGGTGAGAGAGCAAGAAAGATTAGAAAAGAAACATATTCAAGGTGAAGTGTTCATGTGGACAAAACTGACATTTGTGTAGTAGTCCTTGCATAGGATATCAAGGACTCTGCTGTAAAATTTGGGTTTGATGTTGTTGAATTTGTTGATATATGCGTGTTTGATCCAGTCCACCAACATCTCACTGCCGATAACGACCAAGAACGGAGAAAGAACTTCTCCGGACCAAAGCCATGACGGCAAGATTGTGAAGCTCATGGGGAGGATCGAGGGATTGTGCAACGGGACCTTGGCAGCCATGTCTTCGCCAAGGTCGATGCCGGCGCCTGGCACACTAAGACCGCCGACCTCCACCACGTTCCGCATGCCAATGATGAGCAGCACGATCCAGAGCTGAAATCGTTCAACGACATCGGCACATGTAAGCTGGAACGTATTCTCCTTCTCGAACCGCTTAAAGACACTGCCTTTGATCTCAACAAACTGGTTGGACATCAGGAGGGTCAGGAGGGCGTTGGAATACGAGTTGACGGCCACATTGAGCGTGATGACCTGATAAAAGAGGGTGATGGCGTGCGCGCAATTATAAGCCAGAGCCAGACAGAACATGCCAAACGGCAGCACTACTTTGGAACGTCCAAGGCTGTTGCGTGACAGGACCTCCGAGCTGAAGAGGCACTCGAATATGTCCTGGCCTAACGCAGAGAGCAGCCGATCGCCAACCTACAGCATAGATTAGAAAAGGCTACAGCAGTTGGGGTACATGCTGAATACTCACCTCGACGAGGTTGTAGATAACGTAGAGTTTGACGGCCGATTGTGCGCGGATGAAATGATACATTCGACTGGCATCGAGCTGCGTAAGGATGAGAGAGCTCACCATGATGACTGCGAACTGGAGAAGGTCTGCCTTGTGAAATGAACTCAGATTCGACGGCACAGACTTTGTCCTTTTATGGTGAAAAGGGCCAGTCCGTGGACGGGAGGACGTGTTGAGTGCAGGGAGGCTGAAGCCGTTTGGCCGAGTCTTTGTCCGTTCCGAAGGCGTTCGCCGCATAGAGACACCATTGGGATCACCATGGCCTGTCGTCGAAGAGCCATTGGCACCGAACTCTCGCAACGGCTCACGTGCGGCACTTGAGCTGCGTGAGAAGGCCTCCGAGCTCCTGCGGCTGTCAATGCTTGGTCTCCGAGAGGAACCCCTGCCCATTCGGCCTCGTCGCCACATTCGGCCCAGGCCTTCCCACACAAAGCCAACCAGCCATCTTGCTTCCTTGGCGAGCACGTACGCCCACCACCCGACCAACACTCTCACCGCCAGACAGAATCGTATTGGGAGGATGGTGAGTGTCCACAGCCATGCATCCAAGCACGCCAGAGCGCCAATCACCAGGGTCCGTTCGAGATAGGGAGGGAGCAACAAGAAATTCTTCAAACGTTCAAACTTGACTGCACTCGATTCGTAGGGTATGTCGCTGGTATGATATACGTAGAGTGGACTCGGCCGCTGAGCGGCAAGCTCGAGTTGGAGGAAGGTTGGAGCGGACAGCGGTGGGATAGGGAATGACAGAGGTATCGGAGAAGGAGCCCGAGGGCCTCTCGGCTCGTGGAATTCCCTCGCTTCGTGGGGTTGCGAGGGGTCGGGAAGATGGGATTTTGGCGCTTCAGCAGGGCCAAATGTGCTCTTGGCCTCGGGATTCGAGGTTGGTACCGAGCGTGATATATGCTGAAAAGTGTCTCGTCGTGAGGGAAGGGAGGGGCCGAGTGGTTGATTGCTCGATTGTCGATACTGTGCAGGGGTGGACAGAGTCCTTGAGGAGATACTCGGCCGTTCAGAATGTAGAGTCCTGCCCAAAGGCGTATCACCAAAGGCTTCCAATCTGCTGGTCTCGATCTTTTCAAAAGGACGTTGGGGATGTACATTGGTGGAGGAGAGCTGGGTAGCCATAGATGCCCGCATAGTCGCTTCTGCAATGCCGGCGGAGAGGGGTTGTTCGCGAACAGGTGCGATGGGCAGAGAATCGGGCGACGCGGTCAACTCCTGGATCTTGGACGCAGATAAACGCCTGACACTGCCGTGATCACTGGACTTTGTACCAGAACGATCTCTTGTTCGCCTTGCTGTAGATGGCGTTCTCCCTGGCGGTTTCTTCGGAGGATCTTGAGCATCAGAGGGTAGGGGGAAGCCATCGGTGGACGACTCGATGGCGGAGGTGGGAGCATCTGTGTCGGTCTCGGAGACAGCACAGGATGGCAAGTCGGTGGATAGATTGAGACCAACACCATTCCCACCTGTATTTATCAAAATCGGTCGTGGAGGGGAGCGGGAGTAGGTCGAAGTTGTGGCAAGGGTCGCGAGCTCATCCCGGGGAGAAGGGAGAGGTGATGGAAGGTATGTCGTCGCATTGTCGATCGGTACCGGTACTGGCTTCTTGTTCTCCTCCTTGACTGGACTGCCCTCTGGGAGAGTCTCAGTGGTTGAGACACTGTGGTTTTGCGATTCGGCCGTCTTGCCACCACTGCCGACCCCGCTACTACTCTCATCTTCGCGTTCTGTTGCGATCCCTGGCGTTTGCTCTTGTTCCGGGCCACGTTCGTCTTCTGACGCTGCCATGTCCACCTCAGCAGCTGCCATAACGACAATCACATTGGAAATAGATTTGCGAATCTTGATTGAACCATATTTTGAACCTGAAAATTAGCCAACAGTAGTTGTCGGAGCGGTCAGGAGCAGATAGCCAAAGGGATGGCTGTTGTTGTTGTTGTTGGAATGGGAAGGGTGAGCTTTGGTTCTAAGGTTTTAGTGGATCATCGTCTCACCAGCGCGTTGGGGAATTCGGGAGGCTCTGACAGCCCTAGCAAACTCAAAAGTTCCAGGCCATGACGTCGGCCAGGGACCCCTTCTGACCCCACTATTCTAGCAACATGCTGCATGCTGCAGGGTCCTGTAACGGCAGAATACAGGTCACAGAGCAGCAGCTGGGGGCAGCACAGCTCTCAAGCCGTCACTCAAGCTAATAAAAACATCAAAGCTCCAATTCTGGGGCCATGACTTATAACATTACAGAGCACCTGCACCTTTATCCATATTTTCATCTCTCTCAACAAGCAGGCTTCAAATCCTCAAGAAATTTCCACATGGTCTTCTCCTTGTATGCTTTCTTTTTCCAGTTATTCGCAGCCTCGGGAAAAAGATCGATCCCATCCAAGAGCGCTGTGTCGTGCGCAATTATGACCCACACGTTTGGGTCAGCATCGACAATCTGTGTCCACTCAATCGTCTGGTCCGATAATGCTTGGTCAAAGCAGGGACTTGGCTCAAGGAACGGCTCATCAGCACTTTTACCGCGTTTCGTATTCAACTGCCGGAACGCAGCAGCGGACCCTCCCCCTACCGATGACGGCAGCTGATCCGGCAGGGGCAGATACGGTGAAGGACGGATCTCTCCGCCATGATGACAGAGATCGCCGCCCATCATGATGAAGGTGTCTCCTTCATCTGACCCCTCCTCAGCCTTAGAGGTCCGGGCGAGACCAGCCATGTGGCCCAGGCAGTGGCCTGGCGTGTCGAGGAGATAGAATGACCCGTCGCCGAAGAAGTCATACGCCGAGAAAGGTCCCGCTTTCAAATTATGACCTGCAAAGTTGATCTCGCGGACTTCCCGACCGCCGAGGTCCTGTTCTGTCATCGGGGACTCCGGCTTCGTGGGATATCCCGGAAAGTAGGTGTCCTTGAAGCCCGGACCCACGACGACCTCCGTACTCGACGGGAACGTTGTCGGATCGCCGGTGTGGTCAAAGTGGTAATGACTATATTATGGGGAAAAGAGAGGTCAGCCACGAGCAACGTCAGAAAGCCCTCAAGCCGACAATACATGCCTCCAGATGACGCTATCTATCTCCTTGGGATCCATGCCATGTCTCTTGATGATGTCTGCAACATGCTCTCTGGCCTCTGGTGTCCACCCATCATCCTTGATGAATTGCTGGATTCTCGGGACGTATCTGGTGAGATCAAGGTGCACGCCCAGGTCGAACAGGGCCTTTTTTCCGTTCGAGCTCTCGATCAAAAACGACCATGTCGGTAACACAGGAAAATTGTGAAGACCCCCGGGTGGGGATTTACACATCTGATTGAATTTTATGCCACCCAGTCTCAGGGTTGAGTCGATGATGCTGACTTTGGCTGCAGCCCCAGAGGGGACCGTGAACAGAGGCCGTTCTGCAGGCATTGCTTCGAGTTCTGCGCGCAGCGCGAAAGGTCTTTATATGGATATGAGTGTATTAAATGCGCTGTAGAAAGAAAGGAATGGAAGGACAAGCGGAGGCGAGAATAACTGGCTGTGTGAGGCTATCTAGATGGAGAGTGCTTGGCGACAGTGGAGGCCAGTGACTCACTGGCCCTCGCGCGCTTGAGGTTTTGGCCATACGGTGGAGTTGATATGATGAAGACTCAATGACGTGCATAGAACCTTGGTCCGTCCGTCACTACTCATTCTAGAGGCGGGCCGCTCACACAGACGGCGGCCCGCTCCCCCCCCCCCCTGTCCTACTTGCGAGAGGATGCACTTCCAATTATAACGAGCAGCTCTTATATCGCAGGAGAGGAGATTGTCTCGCCAGCCTTGACGAGAACAGGAGAGCAGCCCGGGCAGAACAGGACAAATAAGATAGTTTTCTTTGGTGCTCTGTCAAGGCTTTTACATGATAACTAGCAAGTCGTTGAGGGGTTTTCGAGAAAATTCTCACGGACATAACCGATACCCGCACGAATAAAGAATTCCGCTGATGACATTTCTTAAAAAATGTTAGCGCTTGTGGTTCCACAGGCAGCCCCGATCGCTCACCTTCTCTTCAATGGAGGTGAAGGCAATGAATAGATGGTGCTTCGGTCAGCAGCATGTATAGAATGAGAGGATGACTGTCCACTCATCCACATTGTTAGACATGGTTACTTAGCAGACAGTGCTCCAGTTCCACTATAACTAACTATCCCAAGAATTTTCCGGACGACCTCTATCACAACCCGTACTTGGAATGATGATGGACTGCGGAGATTGCACGGCATTGCGGGTTTACCTTTATGCGCTCGCGGCACCGGCACACCGACCCCTAGCGGAGTACTGAGGGCGCTTTATACCGACCGCGGCACCGACGGCTGGCGGGGTTAAGTAGCTATAGCGTGGGGCTCTCGGATTTTGTACCATGGAGCAGCTGTTGTGTGACGCATGAGAGCGAGACGGGAGGATTTTGCATGGGAAATGTTGATAGAGCGGGTGGAGAGCCAGTGGAGGCGTTGCAGATGCGATACATAAACGTCTCAGGACTCCATTGCGAAATCCAGGAACACGAATGCGTTCTCGTCTCCCCATACTCCTTCTCAAACACCTTCTTGCCCAAACCCGGTTCCGCGCTCTTGAATCAAATCCATTACCATAACAGGACATTGCTGCATCTAAATCTTCACAGCCTTTATCGTCTTCTTTTAAGATCTCTCAAGATGGCCTCCAACCCTCCCGCGCAGTGCTGCACCGTCGGTGTCAAGCATGAGTGAGTGTGCACTGTCTTTCCTAACACTTTTTATTCCCTCATCCTCCTCTGACCCCTCCCCTTCCACCCCTCTGCCGAGCTCGTGGTCTGGCTTTGACATGGAGAGAAAACTCAGCTAACCAGTACCTCCCTTTTCTCTGCCTCTCCTCCATAGAGGCGAGCCCACCGGCACCACAATCAAGGTCGGCCAGTACGACGCCTATGTCGCCGAGCCTAAGGGCAAGAAGCACGAGGGCGCCGCACTGCTGTACGTCCCGGATGTCTTTGGCATCTGGCAGAACTCTCAGCTGATGGCCGACCAATTCGCCGCCAACGGCTACTACACCATCATCGTCGACATCTTCAACGGCGACGCCCTCTCGCTCGAGCGTCCCAAGGATTTCGACCTCAAGAAGTGGCTCACCCAGGGTTCCGACGGCAAGAACCCCCACACCAAGGAGGCCGTCGACCCTATCGTGGAGCTGTCCCTGAAGTACCTCAAGGAGCAAGGCTTCACCAAGGTCGGTGCGGTGGGCTACTGCTTCGGTGCCAAGGTTAGTAATACCCTCTCCCTCCGCCCCCCCCCCCACCCCATAAAAAAAACCCTGTCACCCATTCTCCGCCCCACGCCCATCCCATTATATCTCTACATATCCTCTCTTTTGGCAGCAATGTCGTCTCTGACCTTGCTTTCTTGTCTCCGCTTTAAAGTACGTGGTCCGCCACTACAAGGACGGCATCAAGGTCGGCTACGTCGCCCACCCGTCCTTTGTCGATGAGGACGAGCTGGCAGCCATCACCGGTCCTCTGTCCATCGCCGCCGCCGAGACCGATGAGATCTTTCCTACCGAGAAGCGCCACAAGTCCGAGGAGATCCTGGCCAAGGTTGGCCAACCCTACCAGATCAACCTCTACAGCGGTGTCGTCCACGGCTTCTCGGTCCGCTGCGACACGTCCAAGAAGATTGAGCGATGGTCCAAGGAGCAGGCCTTCCTGCAGGCCGTTGCATGGTTCGATGAGCACCTCCTTTGAATCGCTGAGTCGAGGGCGGCGAGGCTGTGAGGGATTGTATGTAAATACGAAATAACCAAGGGAAGCACTAGAGGAGATCCTATGTCGTGTAGGCTAGAGGAAATGTGTATCTCGAAACACAAATAAAGTTTAAATCGAGCATGTGAAGTATTTGACTGTGATTACACGTGGTCCTTGCCATGACACCAACGCACTGTATCGTGACTGGTTTGTTCATAATTTGGCCCATAGAAGGGTCTTTGCCAGCGTCACGATCCGCCTTACGAGGGCCCGAGGCCGTAGGTCAAAAAAAGGTCCGCGGGCAAGAACGGCTTGTGCCAGACCTGAGTAAGCCAAGAGCTGGGTTGCCTTGCTCCTTCCAAACAACTATCCTTGAATGCAAAGTATCTCAAATTGGCGATCATCCTAAACGCATATTTCCCCTCAACGACCCGCTCGAGAGAGGCACGTCACTACACGCCACGATGTTCAATTTTGTGATGAGACCGACAGTGCCAGAGTGACGCGCTGTGATGATGTCATTATTGCTTCTGCGGCCCTCGATTCGTCCGGTGGCCGAAACATTGAATCAAAACGCAGTGCGCGCTGGTTGTATATAGTATTACACATCAACTTAGAACGCATTCATTATGCTCTTAAATAATACCCATTTGCTAGTTTTTCGTCCTCATCTACAGCTCAGAAGGCATTCATACCAAGATGCGCCTTTTCATTGAGGAGCTCCGAGCACTGCAACATTGTGCCCGGCTGATGCTAGGGAATCTTGAGGAACTGTTCCAGGGAAAACAACGAAGAGGCGTTGAAGTGAGGCCGGTGTTAATTGGTATCTGTCTTGGTAGGATGTATTCTTGCGAGTACAGCAGCAACGAGAATGAAGTCCGAGACAATAGTATGTGAGTATAATAGGAATTGATCGCTGCGGTTATACTGTCATTCCTAGAGATATCGGAATGCATAGTGCTTGATGATTTTTCAGAGCTCTGGATGAGCCTTTACATGACAATCCTGTGGTGGTCAATTCTGGGCTTAAGAAGGCCTTTCTCTCGAGCTTTGGAGCTCAGAGTTGGACGATGGTGGTGACTTGCACTGTCTAAAAGGGATACATCCGCGTCAGTTGTCTCATCAGATCGACCACAACCTCCGAGCTTGCAGGCAAGTACGCCAGCTAGTAAGGGCGTCTGACGATGGTTCACTAAGTTTAGGCAAGCCAATTTCTTATTAGACCACAACAAGCCCTGAATGTCTATTGCATGGTCTGACTTCTAGCCAAGCTGAATGACTAAAGCAGTTGTTTCTAAATTTGCTGCCTTCTTTTTGACGAATGAGACTGCTTGTTGTCCATGTGTCTGAGCTTGGAGGCGGTCGGTCATGCGTGATTCTACAACAATTTCAGCCATCCATAACATTCTACGGGCCGAGAAATTTCCTTTTTTTTTTTTTTTACTTTCAACTTGCAGGGAAGCGAACGCTTGCTGCATATTCCGGCACATCACTGATTGCTAACGTCCCGTTGAGGATGCTGGTCGCCATATTGTAAACCATCCGTTTCGTTCCGTCCTAATCTGGGGCCCACCCCCTTTCTTGTGACTTCACTGGGCATATACTAGTTATCACTTCTACAGGGACTTAATCCCCTTGGCTCGTCGTTCACACATTCTCGGGCTTCAAAAAAAGCCGGTCACGGCGCCTCTTCGGTGATGGACTGATGCCAGGCGACAGATTTTACAAAAGGACATCACAATCAGCGCATACCCAGGCCACCCATCCAAGAATAGAGACTCAAACACGCAACTACTAGTGTACTCTTCTTGCCTTCGACCTGATCTCCAGGAGCCTCGCGTACTTTGACCAATGATGCAAATTTGGTTTATACAGCTACAAAATTTCAACAGGTTGCCACGCAGAACATCCCTGTATTTTGTCTTGTAATGTTGTCGCCAACATCAGTTAGACCGTGGCCCACCTAACTGAGGTGGACAACCAGGAGTCCGCGCGCCGTTGCCAGATGCAAATAGTATCGTCAGCCTCAGCGGGGACCTGTGGGTCTTTGGTCCTCCAGCCTGCGTGGGCGTGAAAAGCGGGCTGGCTAAGGCTAGAATCTTGGCGGTGATCCTTCTCGATCAGATAAAAGAGGCATCACGGGGAGGGTTTTAAGATCTGATAAGAAGGGGGTCAAACATTCCAGACGTTGCGTATGGTGTCACTTCCGAAATGCATAGCAATATAGTGGCAAGTTTTACAGGCCATATATCGATGAGTATAGCTGAGTTGCTAGGTTGCTTCTGTGTGACCTGCACATGTGTTAAAGGAGACAGAATCAATTCATCTTTTGAAAGCACAGAACCAGCCAGCTGATAGCACCCTTAGAGATACGTGATTGACCACTTCGAATTAGTACAATAGCAATGTTTATCTTGCATTTCTGGAACCTGCACAGGAGTGATGTGCGAAATGCCAGCTACGACCACTGACGACCACCTCCTAAGCGATCTGTCTCTGTCCTAATCCACTTTGAACATGCGATGCTTTTCGGAGAAGGAACCATATGTAGGCTTTTACTATGGTAGTCAGGTGAAGGATGCTGATTCTGGCAGCTGTGACTCGACTGCAATGTACCACCTAATTAAATACGCAAAAGGACACTGCCCGATCCAGACTTTTCTGAATAGGCATTAATGTCGATCAATACTATATCCACAGGTTCGTCTCTTCCATAGTATCTGCAGGAATCGCAACTACTGATTGGTTTCATCCACAAGCAAAAGCTCAATGGATCGGTATATGGTCTCTCCTAACATGGTCAAATAGCTAGTCAGCCTTGTATTTCAATCCACTCGACCCACTTAGTGTCTAGCTACAGTAACAATCATCCTTCTTGTGGTCTGTGGGCGATCATTTGTCCTTTTGTCTATCTCCACTGGGTGGGTTATGCCTCAGCCAAATCCGAGTCGGGTAGCGAGGCTGCTATGGCTGCCTACATTAATGAGGACTATTCTGGCGAGCAGACCAATTAGAAGAAAGGTTGAAGGCCCATATGGTTGCAAAATGGAAACCTCATTAGGCTTGAAAGTATGTCCACCTGAGGCTTAGCATTGTAGGAAGTCTCGTTATCAGTAGTTCAAGTGAGGCTAATCGTGATGTCTGTCACATTTTGTGTCCATCGTCAATTGTATATAAGTAACACGCAAGTCCCCAAATTCCAATAGCCAAGGTACATCATTCCCTCATCACCTTCACACACCAACAAGTCCAAGCCTTCTCTATACCTTGAAAGACTTGCCCACGAGAATTCCCCCAAAAAGGAAGAAGAATAAAATGCATTACTCCAAGGTAATTAGACCGATCTCTCCACAGCAGTTCCGTTCAACCTGAGAATCAATGAACTGAGCGACTAACCACTCGGCCAGAATATCCTCGTCCTTGCCGCTCTGGCCGTCGTGTCCGCGGCTCTTCCCAATGGCAACGGACTGAGCTCCGACATCGCCGCCAGACAGGACAACTGCATTTACGGCGGAGACTACTTCACATGTGTTGAGCGTGGCGAGGACGATTGTGCGCTCGAGTGCACGTGCGATACCGAGAACCCGAACGCGTGTCTGGTGTGCTCGAGCGCGTGCATCACTCGTGTCCAGAGCGAGGATTGCTCGAGTTGCTCTTGAGCAGACCTCCAAATTTTGAAGATGGATGGCTGGTTAGAAAAGTATCATAGCTCTTTTCTCGCCCCAAGGACATCTGCTTTCATTGGAGAAAGGGAATTGTGGATGGCGGAGGGAATTTTCGTTTCTCATCATGACTTTGTTCAATATTGTTCGGAAACAGATCTCAGGCTTGTAATCATTACTCCCGAGAAAATTGTACCGAGTGAGCGCTAAGAATGCTAAAGTACTTACTCGTATCAGATTGAGAATTTCATACGTGCACATGTATTTCAACTGACTTGGTTTAACCCCGAAATGTATTGTTCAAAAGCAAAATTTTGAGAATCTTCAAGCTCCATGTTTTTGTAGAATTCAGGGCCAGCCACTTTCTTCGCTCGGAGTATGCGTTACGTATTCAACAGTGTCTGCTGTTGAGTAAATATCTTCCTCCTTGAAGAAGAGCTAGAAATGCAGTCGGGTACAGATTCGAAGCGTATTGAAGTATAGTACATCTCTTCCAAGAGAAGTAAACTTATAGGTCTTGGACTTGACAACGACCTTGGACTATTTTGATAATGAGAACACGAAATGATGTCGACAAACTTCTCTTCTGAGTCTTGACACCCTAATAGACCATGTCAATTTGCACCTTCTGAGATAGACCCCTGCGGACATATACTCGAATCTATATTCGAGATGGTCTGCGTATCGATCCAAGTAGCGCATAGGTGGAGTGAACAGCTGCCTTGGTTACTTGAGTTTACCGATTTATCCAGATTCAATTCTTGATTTCCCGAGTATAGCACAGTTACTGCTGTACGCGGCGGAATAAGACTCAAACAATAGCATGTCGTCTGTGAAAAAGACCGTGGGTCGATGAGCCCTGCTGTGCAGTGTGGCGCCAAAGCTGAAGCGGACCAAGAGATCTGCCATCCCTCCTTCAGCTCAAACTATACCACTCACCCTATCCTCTGACCACCATATATCACACAGCGATATAGGTATTGGTCGAAATCAAGGCGCCATATTTCGGGCTACGGGACGCCTTGCCTCAACCTGAGAGGCCGTCAGCAGGCATCTGGTCCACCTAACTTCTAGACCTACAGTAGCTCACATTGCAATCTACCGTTGACGTTTCAGCCTCCAGGAGAAGGGAGGAAACAAAAGTCACACTATATAGTACATCTGCTTTCCATATCTCCTACAAAGCCTCGGAAAAAGCACACAGCGATCGACGGCTTCATGTGCTAAATATCATCATATGATACCCCACCACGTGCCTACTTGAGGTTTCTCCCTCAATGAACATCTGAAGGTCCCATATGTGGAACGCATGGATCGGGGCTAGCTCCATGTGCGGCAAACCCCCGGAATCTACCTGACCGAATTTCCCGTCCTGGAGCAAGGCTGCTTCAGCACTGTCTAGCCGACCCTCTGATGCGGGGAAAGGTGTCTAACCTGACGGGTGAAGGCGGCGGACGGGAACAGCCCTCTTGATAAAGATCGGCCCTTCCCGCGTTGTAGTCTGCGCGGGACAGCGAGGAGGCGATTGGATGCAATTTAAATGAGGCAAAGAGTCCTGTGCCACCTTCCCACGAGATGAGAAAGAGGAGAGAGAAAAGAAAAAGGGCCGTCAGCGCTGAGTGCTGCAAGGAGAAGGATGCCGCTAAGCCAATATTGTCGAGGGCCCTGCTGCAACACAGTGTCAGCCACAGCACGGTACAGACCTCCCGTCAAACCGGGAATTTATCCACGACTTTCACAAGGTCATGGCCCCACCGGAGACGTGACTCCATAGACACATGCATAATGTCCTAGCAAGCCTCCTTGGATCCATCGGGACTGGTTTGCGTTCTCCAGAGGCCCGTTTAGCCACTGGCGAGTGTTGGCCACACACCACCAGTGTTAGTTGCCAATGAAGTCGCATTTTGCATATTGAGGTGGGCCTGCGTGTTGCTTTTTCGCGGCATAACTGTTTTCGATTGATGGGGGAGGGTCCGTTGCGAGAATACCTGGCCATAGATATAGCAATGATTACCGGCTCAAATGGGTTCTCAACCTTTCATGATCCTCCTCGTCTGACTGTTCTGTGCCTTTGTCTCGTCAACCTGGCGATGCACGCGATCCTCGTCCACCAGTGCCAGACTCAGTCCTCAGTAAACGTAAAACACATCCTCGACAGGTCAAAATGCCAGAACCCAGCGGAGAAAAAGCCCGGGCTCAGGTTGACATGGCTCGGGCCGAAGGCCCACGCTTTGAGAAGGTGACCTGGTACAAGGAGCCTCACCTGAGAAAGCTGTATGCCATGTCACTCGTCCTCATGATCGCGTCTAGCACCACCGGGTACGATGGCAGCTTGATCAACACGTCCCAGCAGCTCCAGCTGTGGCAGGAGTTCTTTGGGGAGGCCATTGCAGACAATAACAAACTCGGTATCCTGGTCAACATGTTCAACATCGGATCGATTGCGTCTTTTTTCATCACACCTTATGTTGCTGACCATCTCGGCCGCAAGGTTGCCATTACCTTTGGTTGTTTATTCATGGTTTCCGGAGGATGCATGACGGCGTTTTGTAACGGCTATGCAGGTAAGTTTGTGTCGTAATCTAATGAATTCAACTAGACACAAAGCTCTGCTGACCGGACTTCAGTCTACATCTGCGGTCGCTTTGCCCTTGGATTCGGCAATTCGCTGTCCCAGATGGCCTCGCCTTTGCTGTTGACCGAAATTTGTCATCCGCAACACCGTGGTCCTGTTACAGCCATCTACAACTGTTTATGGAATTTTGGTGCCTTGCGTAAGTTCCGTCGCTAGAGGTTCCTTGTCATCAGGTACACACGCTGACAGAGCCCTAAGTTGTCTCTTCCATTGGATGGGGCACCGCATATATTCCAAATGACTGGTCGTGGCGTTCTATCACGCTAATTCAGATCGTCCCGTCCGTGGTACAATTGATCTTCATCTGGTGGTTGCCTGAATCACCACGATACCTCGTCAACAAAGATCGGAACGACGAGGCTTTGCTAGTCTTATCCAAGTACCACGCCGGCGGAAACGTACACGATGCCATTGTCCAGTTCGAGTATCTGGAGATTAAGCAGACGATCCAGATGGACCGAGATACCGACAAGGCAACCTCATACCTTGACTTCTTCCGGACAAAGGGAAATAGGTGGCGACTGGCAATTCTTATCTCGCTCGGGATCATCTCGCAGTACTCCGGGAACGCTCTGTTCTCGAACTATATGAACACCATCTACGAGGGCGCGGGCATCACGCATCAGAACCAGAAACTGGCCATCTCCACGGGAAAGACCATTCTTGACTTGTTTGTCACTATCGTCGCCGCTCTGAACGTGGACCGATTTGGACGCCGTCCCCTATTCCTGATATCTACATCAGGAATGGTCGTGTCATTTGCCTGCTGGACAGCCACAGGTGCGGTGTACGAGAACTCTGGTCTCACCAATGTCCAAAGCGGCTATGGTCAACTGTTCTTCATCTGGATCTTTGGTATCTTCTACGATATTGGATTCTCTGGTCTCCTGGTGGCATATGCCCTAGAGATCCTTCCCTTCCACCTGCGTGCCAAAGGCATGATGATCATGAATATCACCGTTCAGGCCATCCTCGCGGTGGGAAAGTATGTATCTCATCCATCCAGTAACCACCTAGTCCACATATCGCTGCTAACATATGCACTATTAGTCAAACGAATAAGATTGCCTGGGACAGCTTCCCTAAGCATTGGTACTTCATGTTGTTCTACACAATGTGGGATGTGGTCGAGCTCATATTTGTCTGGTTCTTCTACGTCGAGACCAAGGGGCCGACACTTGAAGAGATTGCCCGTATATTCGACGGAAACGATGCTGTGGCACATATCGATCTTCATGAGATCGCCAAGGGTATTCACGGGGAGTACAATGAGGATGTCCACTACGACGCGTACATGCCGCAGCGAGGAAATGCGGCGCGGAGGTATTATTCCGAGAGGCGGCGATACTAGGTTTCGAACTACTCATCTGAAGTCAAGAAAATTTCATCTTTTTGCATGTGCGACGTGTCCTTGAAAACTTCTGTTCCACTTAGGAACTGTGTTGTTCAGATATTACCTTTCTCGGGTTTGTATCTGCATACTCCGTAAGTATCTGCTTTAAGGATTGAGCCAAAATCTGGCTGGCTTTAGTTGGATGCTCTAGTGCGCCACCACCCTTTCTATCTAACAACGTGATTTCTTGTCTGAACATGATGCCCAAAAAGTGTTCACTGCGAATTTGGTTCGCCTTGCGCCGTCAACTCTGCACTCATCTATCTCTAAATCTGGCTCTTGAAAGGTAAAACGTGTCTTATAATCATGAAGCCAACGCCTCGTCAAAGCAGTATCGAAGTCCTGTAAATGCGCATTCCCACCGACCTAGACACCTCTAAGGAAGCCTCGTTTTCGAATCGGTGGCTTTTCTCCCGTTTCCTTTCGAAGTTCTTTCTCCCCATCTTCAGTCTCCACCACATAGCGGTCTTTGTCCTTTTCAGCCTGCCTTTTCTCCCGCTCACCCTTCCAGCGCATGAAGTAACAGCAAATAGGAAACAGCGCTGTGTTGATAGCCGCCCATACACATAGGATGCCCACGTTCAGGCCAATCCTGGAATGCAGATCGAAAAGCATCTGCCGACTCGCTTCGACAATATTGTGGAGCGGCCAAGCATAGCCCCATCCGTAGAAGCCTGGAGCGAGATCGAGGCTGTAGAAGGATGTCGAGACGTTTGAGATGACCCAGAAAATGAGCCACAAGGCGACCCAGGGTTGACCAACGATCATTGCGACGTTCTCGCATGCTAGGCCGAGTGCGATCATCCCAAGGTAGTTGACTAGCCAGTATACGAGGAATGTGGCGTGGCCATATGCCGTTGCGCCTGACGGGGGAGGAGAGTAGACGTGACTTGCGGGTGGTTCCGTGAAGGGAATCTGGAAGGCGAGAGAGATGAGAGAGTAGCCGAGGCTGATGAAGCAGTATGATGCAACGGTGGCGAGCCAGCGCCATATGATGAGCTGCCAAAAGTGTAGTGGTGGATGACCTTGCGGTTGAATGTATTTCTAATAATTAATGAAGTTTGTCAGTCACGCAGTAAACTGTCGCCAATGAGTGACCTTTCCAAAACTTACCATGTGTATAGGCAAAAAGAAGGAGAAAGAGAAAAAAGCCATGATGATGAGATAAATCAGGCCGATGCTAACGGTAGGTGTCGCAACAGGCGGCTGAAAGGGTCGCAGATCGTAGAGAAGCGGAGCAACGCCCGGGTTCACAGCCGCAGAGGCGCTCGCTAAGTTCTCCCGCGTGAGGCTGTTGTTTGACATGATAATTTGCCCCCACATGGGTCCAAACATGGCAGAGAACTCTTCTATGAATTGGACGAGGTAGGGCAGGATATCACTCTGCATTGTGGTAGAGTCCCGTGCTGTTTGTATTATGATTTGGACGGCTCCTGTGGGATCGTATGAGGTGTTGCCCGTCGCGACCGCTTCTTGCAAGAGGGCTGTGGCGTTAGGGTTCACGACGATAGCGGCCCATGCGTCCCATCTGTATACTGCTTCACGGACCTGGAGTGGATCGTTATTGTATTGTGTTGAAGGTACCGTCGTATATCCAAGAGACGGCTCAGACGAATCGTACAACTGCTGAGTCAGGCTTGTGACAGCAGGGCCGACAATTGGCTGCACATTATTGTACGGTGCAACTTGACCGTCGAAATCCACCACATTGATCAAGATGGATCGCAGATTTGCGTCGACCCTGAACAGAACGCCCCAGTATAGTGACAAGACTGCCATGATAGCGACCAGAAGGACCACGACTGCGCATCGACGTCAGTATTCGCAATTGGAATTGGAGCAGTGACAAAAAGCAGTGCAGCATTGTCCAACTGACCAGTTCTAATCCACAACAAAATTACGTGCCTCCGTACTTTACTCATATGGGGGTGCCAAAAACCAACCGAGTGATGAGGCCGCTGGTGCTTGAGGTGATCGAAACCGCGCTCGTGCCCCAAGCCCTCGTTTGTTTCGCCCGAAACATCATTATTCGTCCCCCCGTTTACAGCCGCCATGCTGGGCTGTGTTTGCAGAATGCGTCGATGGATGTGTTTCAGCTGGCTTCAATCTGAGATTAATCTTCAAGGAAATGCTGAATATATTGTCGGCCCTAACATGGCTTGCAAAGACATCCGATGACTTCCAGTGACGCCATGAAGGTCAGTGAGGCGGGTCCCCTCTACAATTATTAAAGACGAATCGTCATGCATCATCTTTTCACATGGTTTGCTAAGAGGCTAGGATAGAGGATATTGGAGCACGGAGTCATGATGTCACTTAGCGCCCGTTCTCTCTGCCGAGACGCCCCTGGGAGTTCTTTGGTACGTGGTGTTTAGTGCAGTATAGCGTAGTATTTTAGCCTTTAAATCGTTCTTTAAGCTTAAGACTAGGAGGATGAAACTGCTTGCAGAGCTCTTTAGCGGTCATCATTACTACAGTGACGAGGTCTGCAAACGCTCACTCCTCTGAGAGTCACGATAACCCTACAATTGCACAACTGAGGGCTCAAAAACACCATCCAATCAAACAATCTCTTATGAATACGGAAATCGACACCAACAACCATGACTACAAAACTGGTACCGGTGAACAACCTTGTCGTTTCTGGTTGAGCAATGGCTGAATGGCGTAATAAATAGTACCTAAGCTAGGAGAACTAGATTCCAAATTTGAAATCCTTCTATACCTATGATGAGTTCACGACTCATTGGATTTGGGAGCAGGTCAAGGACGTACATCACATATAGAGAAGAGAGCTTCACGAGCAGCTATAGTACATCTGTACAACATTTCACGTAACCGTTTAGCTGAAAATTTTAGATCATTCAAAGACTCTTAGCGGTCAAAAATCCTATTCTATCACCAAAGCCACTCGATCCTAGGTTCGGCTGAGGGCTTTTTATGAGATCAAGCTGTTAGGGCATGGATAGGAAGATGAGCCTTTATGCAATGGCGGATGAATTTCCAGCGACGCCATGAGTCAAGCGACAGCATTTTCTTGAGAACAGGAAATCTATGTTGCTCAATGAAATATCTATATGCCTCTATCTTCTTTTCCCTCCAAGGCTAGGGCCCTCTGTGTGAGATGTTGAGCTGCGACCAGACATGAATGCGTCTTCATCAAGGAATAATATTGCCCGGCTATGGAGTGTTCCACGCGTTTGACCCGACCTGCCACGCGCGTTGACTTGATTCTAATCATAGTGTATTCTACTGCAGTATTTCCCAACGTTAAACATCTGTTCCAGATTAGGACGGTGCTTAGTGAAGCGTAATCGCAGGTTGCATCGGGGATGTAAATCAAAGATGCGCCTCGAAGGCTGCGGCCGCAGCCAATGCTGGACTCATTTCGGTCTCCGAGATGCATCCGCCACAAGCAACAGAAAAGGGTGCTTTGTCCATACCGTCAAATACCACCACAGGCACATAAGGTCATTATCAGCTATTGATTGCTCTTTGGCATTTTCCCATACCAAAACTGTGACGATTTTGTCTCTTGACCCCTCACCCCACCCCCAAATGTAAAATATTCATTTTCTTTGAGACCTATAGCTTTCGAATTCACCGAATCTCCCGAACATTCCCAGCAACAACCTCCCTCAAAGCACCAAAACCAACCCAACCACAGACTTCATTTTGACACCACTTCAAGACAAACCATGGGCAAACCCAAGATCCTCTGCCTCCACGGAGGCGGCACCAACCCGGACATCCATCAGTTCCAGTCCCGCAAGCTCAACATTCTCATCGACAGGAAATACGACCTCGTCACTCCCAAGGGCATCATCGACTGTGGCGCCGGCCCGGGCATGCTCCCCTTCTTCGAGGGCTCCGATTTCGCACAGTGGATTTGGGACGGCAAGGGCAACGAGGAGTGGAATAACAACCACGAGGTCGAGCACGAGGAGTGGGCCGACCTGCCCAAGCTGGTCGACATCTACCACAAGCAGGGCCCCTTTGTCGGCATCATCGCCTTCTCACAGGGGGCCAAAGTCGGCATGCACCTGGTCAAGTGGCTGCAGGAGAACGAGCCCGACGATGCGCTCAAGTTCTTCGTCCTGATTTGCTGCACGTCGCCGTTCCGAGGCAAGAGGCAGCCCGGCGAGCCTGGTGTGCCGGCCGCGGAGAGCATCACGATCCCGAGCCTGCACCTGATCGCGGAGAAGGATGAGTGGCATAATCAGGGCGAGATCATTGTCAAGTGCTTTAAGGACCCGGTGGTCATTCGCTCGCAGGAGGGGCACCATATGCCAATGGATAATGGATTGAACAAGAAAATTGTCGAATTCGTGAACCAGCGCGCGGCAGCTTGACTGATGGTGGCTGCGACGCCAGGTGGGAGACGAGTTGAAAACAATGTCAGAAATTTACAATTTGGAATCAAGAATTTGGTCTGGGTAAGAAAGACCGCCGAGAACGCCAATGAATGACTTCAGAGCAGTAATCGGCAGCTTGCTAACTCGAGTTGCACTCCTTCCTTGCCATTTCCACGTCGAATCCCAAGAGAGAATCGAGCATGGCGTCTTTGGTGAAATTGATCAGATCGTCTTGTAGATCCAGAACAGTGCCGTCTCCGGGCAACTTGTCGAGCAAGTTTGAGACAAAAGGCTCAAAAGTTTTTGGTTGTCCAGTGAGCTTCCTGTTCAGAATATCTCTGGCCAACTTGCGACGTCGTTTCCACTCTTTGCCATCTGAGACCACCATCCCGCTCTCCAGACACGGGGCCCACGAAGAAGCGAGCCAGCCATCAGCTTTCCGTGGGCCTTTGCCAAGCTTGCCAACTCCTCCTGTCAAGAAGGAGTCCTGGGTGCTTTCTATTCCGCGGGTGAATAAGTTCTTGCTAGATTCTCATTGAAAAGTGACCGTGTTTGTACCGCGTAGAGTACCCGTTATGGAGGTCAATATGCAGAGGACTGTCAGGGGGAAAGAAGGAATGGCCGTGTACTGGACTGATGGAAAGGGGTATAATGTCAACCCAAAAATGAATATTTGGATGTGGAATTGGAACATTAAAGGGTGAATTGACAACCTGTCGCTGCCAATGATGTTGTTGAAACGCAACGTTCAAGTGTCAACAGGAGATATCTCCTGCATAGTGTCTTCCTAATGCAAGCATTGTGGCGTAAACATTGCACCCGGCACCCAGTCGTCATTGCCTCCACATCGCTTCCCAGAATGTGTTTGCAGCTCTGATAATATATCAAGGAAGAAGTAGTCACGCCTCGTCCTTACCCGCGGGGTATGAGTGCTGGATGCAGGAGTTAATATCGTCAGCTCGCTGCTATACCGTGCGGTTCATGTTGACGTTACATACTCTTGAAAATTCATGCCTTGGAGTTATCGAACTCCTCCCTTGGTATTTCAGCCAGCTCGTCCGAGCCTCTCAACTTGGTACAGTCGTAGTCAGGTGCCTGGCCATTTCCTGCTGCCTCCATGTCCAAATATCCTGGCGCATACCTCTCGATATCGTCCATCCACTCGTCAATGCCACCCCTGAGCTCTGACATGCATTTCTCCAAGATATCAAGGATTGGTTGTTCCATGTTCAATCTAAGAAAAGTCAGCAATCTGGGAGTAAAAGTCCTAGTTCCGTGAATCCTATGAGTGATGACTCTAGAAAGTTTGGTACTCACGCTCCATCAGATTCCGAACCACCACGCATCGTCACCAGCTCCGCAATCGACTTGTTCAGGACGTACGGGTCGATGAGATTCCACAGCTCGTACATCTCATCAGGCCGAACACGTGCATGTGCCTCCATCAGGCCATTGTTGGCACACTCACACAGCAGCAGGAGACCTGTGTCCAAAGCCTGCTGGTCAGCCAGGAGCAGCGGCCCGCGGCCTCCGTATGAAGGGAAGACCACGGTGCCAGTGCTGGTCATGGCCATACGTTTGAAATTGGCATTTTCGACGTATCTCCACATCAGAAACGCCTGCATCGTGGTCAAAGACGACCCTGGGCCGAGGGCTGGGTTGGGGATGCACACGGCCGCCTTGCCATCGTCGATCACGGGGCCGTCCTCGCCGTCGAAGTGATACAATAAGATGCGGATCTTGGTCCACATGGCACGATTCCGTGCGCTCATGGGCTGCGGTGCCAAACAGTTGACAGTCAGCTCCGTGACAAGCGTGTCGTCCTCCCAAGCCGGTGCTTTGAAGCACGCAGGGGGCGGCTTCCATCTTTTGCGAGGTTGAGACTTGACATAGTAGGCATCACGTTCTTGTTGGGTCATGGCGATCCATCTGAGCATCAGATCACGGCGTTGCTGTAATTCGAACTGGTCGTCAGGGGGATGGCCAGCTGGTCTCGTAACGGCACTCTCCTGAGGCGATGGGTCAGCGATTAAGTCCGACAGGCGTGATGACCTAGCTAGCAGCTCTTTTTCAAATGTGCTTACCTCCAGAAACTGAAGCCAGCCTTGAATTTCAGATTGCAACTGGTCATCAGAAACGGGGCTCGGATGACACTGAACCTGCTGCGGAACACCTCCAGGCCAGTAAGGAGGGTTGTCTCTGATAGGGCTTTCATGACGCATGTTAACGACAATTGGAGAGGCTTGTTAAGCACCCGAACAATCTCTTGTAATCGTGTTTTCGCATCTTCTACTACGTAAAACCCGCTGCAGCCATGTGAGGTTGGAATTTTGTTGAAGGATCCATATTTTGTGAGAAGGCAACGGCGCGAAAAGTGGACCGGCCCGCGTCCACTAAATTCTATGCCAATTATACGAAGAATTCGCCTATGATCGCAGTGTATACCAGCAGTGAGGGGCTGAGAAGGAATTGCAGGCTACAATCAATACGTCTTTCAGTTCGTTTCCCCATGGGGTGTTGATGAACCCAGAGATCTCCGCAGTGGAACTTCTTTCCCCCCTCACTCTCCACGAATGCGGATCTGTTTTCCTCATGATGGGTGCATGTCGGTACGTTCCACAGCAGATCCAATGTACACTATGTAACACAGTTCGGCCTTTCTTTGCCTCGGCGAAGTGTTTCTTATTTCTGATTGGGGCACTTCTCAGCCACTGTGGTACCATGAGGGGCCTGATACACTCCTCTCTTAGGGCCTGTAGGACTGGCATGAGTACGACCTGATCCTGCAGCCGATGCAGTGCCGACGAGCACCGGCTGTATGATGGAGTGACGCAGATCGCGGTCGTCCTTGGACTTCTTTGTTTGTCTGCAAATCCGCTGGAGGGCCGAACGTGACTCTGATAGATGATTAAATGTCACGAGGCGAGAAATGCCTATAGTGACTCGTGGTATAAGACAAACGAAAAGGTACTCTCAATGTTCCCTTGTTGTCCTTCCGGTATCTCCTAAATTGAGATAGTCGAGAACTCTGATAAATGTAGCTTACCCCTGCGGCAGAGATTTTGTATATCGAGGGGCAACGCAGATTGAATGAAAGGTTGATCAAGATGGGAGAACTACAGCGCCTCTGTGGCTTCAACGTGGCCAACCATCTCGAGAAGCGCGCTCTCCTCATCGCGATCAACAGTATTGCGGCGCTGAGCATCTTCTTCTTCGGCTACGACCAGGGCATGATGGGTGGCGTCAACACGGCCAAGGACTACGTGCAGTTGATGGGCTTTGGATATGTCGACGAGGACACAGGCACTGTTGTGACAACGGACGCGCTGCTCAAGGGTGGCATCGTTTCCGTATACTACCTAGGGACGCTGTTTGGATGTCTCCTTGGCGGCTGGGTCGGTGATAAAGTCGGCAGGGTGCGGACCATTGCGCTAGGCGCTCTGTGGGCTGTCGTGGGAGCCAGCCTGCAGTGCTCTTCCCAGAACCACAAGTGGATGATATGCGGTGAGCACAACTTCGACGTACATCCCTTCGTGGCCAGCTCCTTGATTATACGTACTGATGACTACGCCAGCAAGGGCCGTCAACGGGATCGGCACAGGCATACTCAACTCCATTGTGCCGGTGTGGGCAACCGAGACGGCAGAGCACACCTCGCGTGGACAGTTCGTCGCCATCGAGTTTACGCTCAACATCTTTGGCGTCGTGGTCGCCTACTGGCTCGAGTTCGGCCTGTCCTTTATTGACAACGGAAACTCCTCGATCGTGTGGCGTTTCCCCATTGCCTTCCAGATCATCCCGCTCCTTTTCTTATTCGCTTCCGTCTGGTTCTTCCCAGAGTCTCCCCGATGGCTGGTAAAAGTGGGTCGCGACGAAGAGGCACGATTCATCCTCCGCCGTCTGCGCGGCAGTGATGCCGTGGGCCTTGCGCAGGCCGAAGCAGAGTACCATGATATCCGCAACATCAATGCACTGGAGTCCCATGAGTCCTCCCAGAATTCATACCTGCACATGCTCTTCGGCATCGGGTCAGGAGAGCTCCATATCGGCAGACGGGTGCAGCTCGTGATCTGGCTTCAAATTGTCCAAGAATGGGTTGGCATTGCCGGTGTCACTATCTGTAAGTTACCCTCTGCAATGGCCTGCACTGGTGGAGAAGCTCATGAGCCTCTCTACTGGTGTCGCTCTGTCAAGATAATAGACGCGTGACTGACACGGAAGCTATAGACGCGCCCACCATCTTTTCCATCGCGGGATACGATGCGACCAAGAGTAGTTGGATCAGTGGCCTCAACAACGTCTTCTACATGTTCGCCACGCTCATCTGCGTCTTCACCTTAGATCGCATTGGCAGACGATGGACGCTGTACTGGGGGGCAGCGGGGCAGGGGGTGGCCATGTTCCTGGCTGGGGGATTCTCCCGCCTGGGCGAGAATGCGAGCGCCGCGGGCGACACAGCCAAAGCTTCTGCATATGGGGCTGCCGCAGCATCGTTTGTCTTCATCTTCACGTCCGTCTTTGGGGCGACCTGGGTCACGGTACCTTGGCTGTATCCGGCCGAGATCTTCCCCCTGCAGGTCCGGGCCAAGGGGAATGCCTGGGGCGTTGTGGGCTGGTCCATCGGGAATGGCTGGCTCACCCTGCTCTGCCCCGTCATGTTTAACGCTATTGGAGAGAAGACGCTGTACATCTTTGGAGCTTGCAACATGGTGGCGATGCCCATGGTGTGGGCGCTGTACCCAGAGAGCAACCAGAGGACGCTCGAAGAGATGGATCTGTTGTTTGCGGCGCCGACACCGTGGGTCTGGGACGCAGAGACGACATTTGCGAGGCTCAAGGCCGAACGGCTGGATTTATTAGAGACGGCACATCGCGGTCAGCGTGTGGCGGATGTAGAGAACGGTGTGCTGGAGAAATCTACGCTCAAGACAGAAGGCTCAGGCTCAGGCTCAGCAGCAGCAGCGCATAAAGGCTAGCTAGGGACAGCAGAAGGCTGCCATTAGCAATGAGTTGAGGCGGGGGGCTGAAACCTGCCGGGGTGACGCTGCTTTTCCTTCTTTCTTTTCTCACCGCAGCGCTTCAGGAAGAACCTTTGCCATTCCCAGCCGAAGCTTCCCACCAACAACTGGTCTCCCGTTGAGAGCTTGAATAGCAGCTTTAGCCTCCTCCACGGTCTCAAAGTCGACGAAGCAGTAATGATGGTTGCCTGGTAGCAATCTCGTATCCGGGTGCGGCGTGATGCGCTTACTGATGGCGACGCTGTTTGGATACACAAAGGCTGTCAGTAGTGATGTTTGTGGAGGAGCCTGAGCCACAGCATCCTGGGGCAAGATGACCAACATTTGAAACCCCTCAAAGTACCCTCTGATTTCCTTGTCATTCTCCTCCTGGTTGACCATCTTTCCAATGCCTCCAACGTATACTCTGGGTGGCGTATCTGCCCGTTCCACCTCCTTGAGGTGGTCCAACGCTGCATACGGGCCTTGCTCTCTCTTCTTCCCCCCCTGTGAAGCGGCTGAGGTGTCTCCGGGCGAGCTCCGTCTTTCGGATCCGACCCAGTCGCCCCACCTCTGGAATGTAGGCTGGTATTCATGGGCCCTCGCGCGCGTCTTTGGCTGGCAAGGACCGACCTTGACAGGGCGATCCAGGATCGTGACACCGTTCAACGACTCCAGAGCCAAGTTGGCGTCCTCGCGGGTCTTGAAGTCGATGAAGCAGTAGCCTGGGTTGCGGCCAGAGACGGCATCCATGGAAATGTGGATGGCCTCGAACAAGCCCTCGAAGCCGCTGGCCTCTAACATCTCCTGGACTGCCTGTGGTTGAACGCGATACAGGAGGTTGCCGAGGTAGATGCGGCGCCCTTCTCTGATCGACTCAGCGGCATTTCCATCTCCGTCGGCCTGCTGCCGCCGCTGCGACTGCTGCTCAGCATTGTTAGGCTGACGTGGGCGCTGATTTTGTTGATGAGGATCTCGATCCTGGCGCCACACAGGTCTCGAGCTCGAGCGCCAGTCGGAGCTCGCGCGCCAATTGTCGGACTGCGGACCAGACATGATCTGGTCGCTTATGGTCTGCACTGGCTTGAAAAGTGCGGTTTGTTTCCAAAAAAAAAAAAAAAAAAAAAAAAAAAGTCGCAGGGAAAGAGCTCGGTGGAGAGTTTCTTGTTATCTTGGCATTTTACTATGTGCATATCTTGCAACTCTAAAGGAAATGACGAACCCTTTTTAGTGTGGACGGTGCATGTAACGGGGGATTTCGAGCCTCACCTGGGTATCTCATATATGCCTACATACAGTACACCTGACATATGCAGTGCTTGACTGACATCCGAGATCCATGAGGCATCGCAGCGAAGGCGATGTGATGGAAAGAGAAATTCTAAGAGCAACTGTGCAGGAGATAATTCGCCTGTACCAGCAAACACGTTGTGCCCCCCGCCCCCTGTAGAGAATATCGTTGTAACCGAGCTGTGAGAGGGGAAGGTTCGTTCTTATTGTCATATCGCAGATGATGACAATCGTACATATTCCCCCCACCTGCACCTGCCAAGGGCCTCGACCCCAAGCATCTTTTCTTCCTTTTTCATTTTCATTCCACCTGAAACCTACCTGAAGAGTCGGCGTTCATATTGATCTTCAAGCTCAGCCCTGAAGTTGGATCCCTGAGCTCCTCTCAGGTCCCAAGTCCTATTTATACATACATATTCAGTACTCGAAGTGCTCCATAAGTGGAGTGTTCAACGTCACATCCCGCGTACACAGAGCGTTGTGGCCGGGGGCGAGAGGGGCAAGGTTGGAGGAGAGGGGCCTGTTCTCCAGGAAACCAGTCTGACTGGTTCGTTCAGCATGACCTGAAGGGGAGATTACGAGTCCCCCTCGGCCGCCGACAAGGATTCAAAGAAGAGAAAAAAGGTAGGGGCACCGCCACCGAATCTACCCGCCTGTATTTGAGGCGAGACGCTAAAGAAAGTCAAAGCATTCATTAACCAGTCCAGCTCTTTTTGTTTATGATACGGTAGAAAGAGGCTACAATGACACACAGCTGACAGGCGCGCGGCAGAGGGCCTTTGTATAGACGAGAGGGTTTGTTGATTCAATGACCCACCCGACGATTCAGGGGTAAAGTGGCGCAGGCATTAAGACCTGCGTTGACGCAATCCCCAGCAAGCGACGTCGACCCTCCTCCAATACATGGGGCCCTACCACCAGTTCCTGTGCTACGTACTACGGGCAATACGTAACTACTACCTAGCGATGTTTTGTACTTTGGCAACAGAAACAAAGACGGGAGGCGAGGCTTCACTTCGGTCATGACAGTGAAAGACAGCTTGGCGACGCACACACCCACACTTACATTCCTCAGTGCTAGTGACGTGATCGAAAAGAAAAGAAAAGGATCTCAATCAATCACTCTGGCAATTTCACATGGGCCGTCCTTTTTTCTTCTTTTTTCTTCTTTCAAGGCCTCTCTCTTGTGCTCTCTCCCTTTATGCGCCTTGGAATGGAAAACCAAACCAGCCCCCCCAGCCCTGTCATGTCCCCATGTCCTCTTGGTCTGCCCTTGGCCCATACGTCCATCCGGATAGGTCGGCGCTTGTGGACACGAGGATCTCTGGTCCACAATTAAAGGGATTGCGTATCCACCTTAGTTGTTATCCTGCACTGCCATTAAAGCCCTACCGTTCAGATCGGGGCTGGGCTGCCTGTCACTCTCTTGGTTTTTTGCCGTCTGCCGACCTTTCACTTGGCTTCCACCTTGGCTTTGCTTGTTTTTCGCTCTTTCACAAGCGACTTGAATTGAACTGCGTCTTGGTGTTTCTCCTCTACTTTTCTTTTTCCAGCAGCCAGTAGAAGAAAGCCCCGCCCCGCCCAAGGACGACATCAATTATCACCAACCTTGCCGCCCTTGTCCCCTCTGAGACCCGATGTGGTGTTGGTCTTGAGGCCTTCATTTGCTTTGGTGGCAGAGGCACGCGTACACGCACGCACACTCTCCTCCTCCTTCTCTCCTTTACATTTACACATACACACACACACACAGACGCGCACACACATAGCAACATGCGATCTTCAATATGGACGCTCTCCGCGGTGGGCACGGTCCTGCTGCCGGCTGCGACGGCCGTCACCATTGATTGGACATCAACAGGTTCGTACACCCGGCTCTTGACAACAATGCAATCCCACATCCTCAGCTTTGTTGTTCTTCTCTACTTCTTTCTGGGCCCAGGATTTTGTGGATGAACGCACAATCACAAACGACGCGCGATTCTCTTCTCCCCGATCTTGTATCGAAGGCAACGCCTCTCCTCCTTGGGCCGTCATCGTCTTTGTTATGGCGCTTCGAAGCGGTGGTGGCGCGGGCACGGACTCGTTGTGTGATCTGGAAGCGTGACCACCGTCGTCATAGGAAACCAACTACCTTTTTTTTTTTTTTTTTTTTTTTTTTGTATTTGCTTCCTAACACGCAATATGTACAGACTCTATAGCGGAGGGAGCTTCAACGATCGCATACGGCCTGATGGGATACTACACAGGCAACCACACGGGCGACACGCCGGGCAACTTGCCTTCTCCATACTACTGTACGTTTAAAAATCTACCTCGCACCCCCCTCTCTTTGCTTGACCCCCCAGCTCATTCCCCTATGCAGGGTGGGAGGCAGGTGGCATGTTCAATGCCATCATCAACTACTGGGCATACACGGGCGACGATACCTACAACAACGAGACGTACCAGGCGATGCAGCACCAGATGGGCGACGACGACGATTACATGCCGACCAACCAGACCCTGACCGAGGGCAACGACGATCAGGGCTTCTGGGCCATGGCCGCCATGTCGGCGGCGGAACTGAACTTCATGAACCCGAACTCTACTGCCCTCGCCGCCACCGAGGGTAGCGTGCAGTGGCTGGCGGCCGCGCAGGCCGTCTTCAACGAGTACGTGTGGCGCTGGGAGGCGGCCAACGATACATGCAACGGCGGGCTGCGGTGGCAGATCTTCACCTGGAACAACGGCTACACCTACAAGAACAGCATCGCCACGGGGTGCTTCTTCAACGTCGCCGCGCGGCTGGCCAGGTACACGGGCAATGCGTCGTATGCCGAGTGGGCCACGACAACCTTTGAGTGGATGCAGGGCGTGGGCTACATGGACGCGGATTGGAACATCTACGACGGGTCGGGCATCACCGGCACGGTCAACTGCACCGATATCGACAAGGCTCAGTGGACCTACAACTCGGGCATCTTCATGCACGGCGCCGCCTACATGTACAACTACACCAATGGCTCCGAGATCTGGGCCGAACGTGTCAACGGCCTATTGAACAGGACCCTCAACTTCATGTTTAACAGCACCAACCAGATCATCTTCGAGCCCCCCTGCGAGCCCACCGACGGCTGCACCACTGACGAGTACTCGTTCAAGGGCTACACCCTTATGTGGCTCGCCCAGGTTACCCAGATGATGTCATCGACCTATGACACCATCTACCCGTACCTTCTCACCACTGCTAAGGCCGCTGCCGTCCTGTGTGTTGACACCACCGACGGCAGTGAGGGCTTCGTGCTGAGCGGCATCGCCTGCCCCTTCAAATGGACCACAGGCGTGAGCGACGGCCTGTACGGCGTCGGCCAGCAGATGTCGGCCCTCAACGCCGTCCTGGCCACTATGATCGCCAGCGCCCCCGCTCCTTACACAGCTGATGATGGTGGTACCTCGACTGGTAATGCCGCCGGCGGCTCACAGAAGACCGACAGCTCCGTGTCGGGCACAACTACCATCACCACAGGAGACGTAAGTTCTACTCATTCTTTTTTTCTTCTTCTTTCCTTTTCGTCTTTTCCCAGGCTCCTTTCCTTTGCCTCTGGGTGAATTGTCTTGCTAACACGTAGCAGAGGGCTGGTGCGGGCATCTTGACGACATTGGTTCTCGCCGGTATGATTGGAGGCTCGTATTGGATGGTCGCCGACTAGAGTCCACGCGACTCGGTAAATACATATTAATGGAGAGCGGCTGATGGTGTTGGAAAGACCTTTCTTTTCTTTTGGTCTTTTCTCCTTGTACCCTTTGTTTCTCATTCTCGCTGGCTCAGTGCTGTCTTTTACTTTTTTTTTCTCTCCCTCCTATTTCCTTATCTTTTGATGCCATGCATGGATGTTCATGTCTCTGGGGGTAATTATGGCCTTTTACCTTCACACGAAATTTTTCCCCCCTTCTATAGGGCAATGTGGGGGGGCTTCGGCGTTCTGAGGCGTAGGAAAGGGACATATATGTTGTTGGGTAGTAGCAGTGGGACAGAACCTACTCAAAGAGAAGATACCAAAGTATCTTCAAATCACATCACATAAAGCTACTTAGAACTTGGAGAGAATTCGATCGACTTCCCTTTCTGATTATATTTTTCTAGTCAGGATCGCCATAGGTGAGCAGTCCAGGGCAGCAGCAAGGCTTTCATGTTGTCTGCTATACATGGCAAGGAAGCATATATGTCTGCATGTCTGTCTGGAGGGACGGGATTAGCTAGTATTTAGACTGGGTTCCAGGAGCCTATCTCCATGGCACACGGTATGGATTATTGCGAAATTCGGAGACGGAGGTCAGGAGCCAGTGGTGGTGATGGGTAAAACCGTAAAAACGCACAAAGATAGCCGTTCCCGGCGCCGACTGGGATGTGGGGGTTTAATGTCCGTAGTGCATTTGGGCAAAGTACTTAGTCACGGAGAGGGTAGTGTTTTGACACATGGAAAATCTGGAATCCAGTTCTTGTTTGAATGGACTTGAAATGAAGGAATCGAATATCTGACATTGATTTATCATCAGACGTGCTAAGCCCCAGAAATATGTGGTTTATTGGCTACGAGAGGTGAGCGGTTCCAAAACAAAGAGAAGTCGTCAATACAGAGTGTCACTGCGTGGGGCCGTTGAGGCTGAATATATCACGGAAATAGACCAGGGAAGAAAAGAAAAAGTCCGATCCTAGAACAAACGGGTTCTGCCCGCATCTTCCTACACTGTCAAGATCCATTATTGATTAGTATTTTCGTTTTCGGGCTTCTCGCTGATTACTAGGTGGTTTGGAAATCAGAGTTGCTCCTGCTGCCGGATATACGGAATTACGGGCTACCGTGGGTTTTTTCGCGACTCGCGAGGCAAATTCTCGGACATCTTTACGTCACAGTGTTGAGCCGCGCCCTTGCTTCTCTTAGCATACATAAAGATTCCGTGATTCCCATGTTAATTGGCATTCATTACAGCAGTAAAAACAAACAAAGACAAGCAAAAGAAAAGAGGAAAAACCTGCTCTCTCCATCTTTCACATGGCCTAGGACTCTGCGATTCAAGACAAAAACGACGACGTAACGTAGGTCAAGGGCGATGAACGAGTCTGGCGCGGACAATTCCGGTGTCTGGGCTAAAGAGAAAGCCCGCGGCAGCGAGGCTACATCTCTCGACACGGCAGCGGCAGGGACCATGACTGCTGAAGACGAGCGGGAAGGGCAGAGGCGTCAGTCTGTTACCTCACAATCCGGTCTGGAAGACGACGATAATGGAGGAGACGCAGAAGCGTTAGAGCGGACGAGGTCAACACGGTCTATCGCCGAGACTCTGCCGTGGTATCGGGAGCTGCTGTTTGTGGCCGTGATATGTCTTGGCCAGTTGTTTACACGTAAGTTCCTTATAGCCTATCGTCTTCATCGTAACATTGACATACAGATACACATGACTGATTTTGGGATCATCCAGAGGCTGGTCTGGGCCAGATATTATCCATCATCCATATTGTCGGTGCAACCTGGGGTCTAGCAGAGTCACCCGATCTGTCGTGGCTTCTGGCAGGGTACAGTCTTACGGTAGGCACCTTCATTCTATTCTCTGGACGGCTGGGGGATACCTTTGGGTACAAGACAATCTTCCTCATCGGCATGGCCTGGTTCTCCTTCTGGAGCATGATCTGTGGCCTGGCTGTCTACTCCAGCCACGTCCTGTTTGTCTTCAGCAGAGTCCTGCAGGGCATTGGGCCCGCTCTTGTCCTCCCCAACGGACTGGCTCTCCTAGGAGCGACCTATGCACCGGGAAAGAAGAAGTCGCTGGCCTTTGCCGCCTTTGCAGCCACTGCCCCAGCCGGGTCCGTCATCGGGGCGACATTCTCAGGCCTGTTCGCCTTGACATGGTGGCCGTGGACGTTTTGGTGCTTCTCTCTGGTCCTTGCAGGAACGGTAGTCCTGGGTTATTTCGTCATACCAGCGGTCCCTGCGTCGAAACGAGAAGACCGACCGCACTCCCTTCGAGACCTTTATACGCACCTTGACATTCTTGGAGCCCTCTTCGGCGTGGTGGGTCTCGTTCTCTTCAATTTTGCATGGAACCAGGCGCCCATCGTGGGCTGGCAGGAGCCCTACGTCGGCGTGACCCTGGTGTTGGGCCTGATTTTCATCGCCATCTACTTCCTCATCGAGATGCGCTACGCCGCCCGGCCCCTCGTCCCCTTGGACGCCCTCACATCGGAAGTGGCTTTTGTTCTGGCCGCCGTGGCCTGCGGCTGGGGCTGCTTCGGCGTCTGGGTCTGGTACACGTGGCAGTTCATCCTCGAGCTCCGAGGCGCATCACCCCTACTCGGCAGTGCCCAGTTCGTCCCCGTCATTATCTCGGGAGCGCTTGCGGCCGCGGGCGTCGGCCTGCTCCTGCACAGAGTTGGCCCGCCGCGCGTCATGCTGGGTGCCCTGGTGGCGTTCACCGTCGGCACGATCCTCATGGCGACCTGTCCCGTGCAGCAGACCTACTGGGCGCAGACGTTTGTAAGCCTCATCATCACACCTTGGGGCATGGACATGAGTTTCCCCGCCGCGACCCTGATTCTCTCGAACGCGGTGGCACGCGAGCACCAGGGGATCGCCGCCTCGCTTGTGAATACTGTTGTGAACTATAGCATTGCCTTTGGGCTGGGCATCGCGGGCACGGTGGAGTATCAGGTCAATGGGGGCGGAGACACGGCAGAAGAGTTGCTAAAGGGGTATCGGGCTGCGTATTATCTGGGGATTGGCCTCGCGGTACTTGGCGTGGCTATTTGTGTTGTTTTTCTTTTCAAATCTAGGAAGGCTAAGGAGCCGGAGAGTGGTCAGGATGAGAAAGAGTGAATGAATTGGGGTTCATCTAGACTATGTTTGGACAGAGAAAAGAAAATAATTTATTACTATTCAAACCAAGGGATACGTAACATCAGGCAACACTGGCAATGGTCTCACAACTCATTCTCCCAGAAGATGATGAGGAGTTTCGTACAATCTGATATTGAGACATATTCACGCGTGCCTACCAACGTCACGTCTCGAACGTTTACTCTTTTCCGTTATCAAAGAGATGCAGTACCATTGAAACTTTTTGCCTATCAAATCTAAAAACACCCAGTCCAATATATACATGACGGGAGAGAGATCTCGTCTCTAACCGGCACAAAGTGTACTGTACCAAGCCTCCAACGTCATGTTCTATTGCTATGCATGCATGGTTTTCTCAAAACTACTTCATTGAAAAGGGGAGCCTAAGGGAGCCAGGCATCAGCCAGCTCCTTGTGGCTGCCACTCTCGACAGGCACCTTGTTGGTCTCAGAAGAGACCACAACGGCCAGCAGGCGGACCCACTCGTTGGTGCGGTTGGACAGACTTTAAGAGACAAACAAAGATTAGCGAGCAGTTCAACGGCGGGATTTACGCACTCAATCACTCTTTCAAGACCAGAGAGATGGAGATGAGGAGGGGAAAAAAAAAAAAAAAAAAAAAAGAAACTTACGCGTGCACGATACCGCGCTGGAAGACGACGTCGCCAGGGTGGCACTCGGTGGCGATGGGCTCGCTGTAGTTGGCCTTGCCTTCCTTGATCTGGAAGGGCTTGGGCTCAGGGGTCAGGAGGCTGAGCTTGCCTGAGATGACGACTAGGTAGTCGGTCGAGGTGGTGCGGTGCTGGAGAGGAAGAGAGATATCTGATCAGTTGGGGTTCTCTTGGAGGTACACATTGGGTTGAATAGGGGGGGAGAAAAGTCCACATACCATGGTGCCCTCAGAGTTGGGAGCAACGTCGATGTAATACATGTTCAGACCGCCGGGGAGGACAATGCCAAAGCCCGGGACGTCGTCGAGGGGGATGTCACCGCTACGTGAGAATTATCGTCAGAGATATGATCAATGATATTCCAACTTTGAAGGCGCAACCTGTTTAGAAATACTCACTGGCCATCGTTGCTGGCGGGGACCTGCTTGTTGGTGGCCACGCGGGCACGGCGCAGAACACCGTCAAAGCCTGGGATGGGAGGGCAGTCCAGCGAGTCGACTCTGACCTCGACACCGGGCTCGGCGTGCTCATCGTTGGCGTGCTGAGAGGGAAGAGGGAGGTTGGAGGCCGTGATACGGCGGGGAGCGGGCAGGTTGTAGGAAGCCATTGTGGTGGTGCTGGTGGTGATGATGATGAGTGGCAGTGAAATTGGTGCTGTGGTAGTTCTTTTTGGTCGAGCTTTGGTCTGTGAGGATCTGATGAGACTGGTCTGGTTCGAAATATCAAAGTCCTTTGTTGTGTCAAGCCGGAGGAGACTTATATAGAGGAAAGACCGGGCGGTGAACACTGAGTGATGTTCAGAACTTGAGATGTGATGACAAATGATACCTTTTCTGATATCAATTGATCAGCAGGGGTGGCTGAGACAAGGCAATCCCATCCAGAGATGGAAGTTGTGCATTTTGCAAGCAGAGGGATTGCCAATATCAAATTCCAACGGGCGCAAGACGAGAAAAAGCGGACCGGTCCTTTTGCTATGTGAAAAACAAAGGTCAGCTCAGCACACAAGTACCGGTACGTATTGGTCAGCCCTTGGTTCTAGATCCACTCCAGGGAACCAACGCGGGCCGCAGTCTTACATTCTGCATACGTGTAAGCAGATCTACGGAATACTTAAGGTTGCAGAGGATGCTAGGGATTACATCTTGCATGAAAAAGGAGTAGTATTTGAGTTCACGGCATCCCCTGCAGATAATACTCTGGTCTCCTTCCCGCCAGCCTGTTTCCTCGGCCCCCGCAGATATTCTCCGGCAGCTTACTTACATGGGGTCAAACAATTTGGAATAGGTTTGTTGAGAATTTAGTAAGCAGCAGTGAAGAGGACTCTAATCTGACAGCATGTGATTTATATATACCAAATCAGGTCTAGTCTATTTTTTCATCTAAGAAAATGTCTCAGGTGAAACAGGTTAATCCTGCAACACTAACTTCTAAATGGCCCCCCTCCCCGTAAAGTACCCAATGGCCGATTACTTCTTTAGTCAAAACCGATGGTTCCTCCACAAATATGTACCAAGCAGTAAATTTATACCAGGTTTAGGAAGACCCTCTAGTTCTAGCCTATACGAAGAAGAGAAAAGTAAAACAGAATGAGAAGTTATAGTAACACTTTTTGGCAACAGGCCGCTTCCGCCCCTCAGTCTAGTCTACACTCAAAGCAGCTATCTAGTCGCTGCTGGTATAAAATGTCGCCAGATCCGGACCAGTAAGGTTAAACTCAACCTTGGTAAAACCACCAATGCCAACGAGCCACAGCGTATTCAGGTCGTCTCCAGTCCACTGGATGTTCTCGACGGGGTGAGAAGTCTGGATACGGGCAATTTGGTTGCCGTATGCTGCAAGGACGCAAAAGAATCCCCACGATTAGCAAAGGGCGTGATGAATTAATAAGCAGAGGAACAAGGTGTGGGGAAAATCCAAAAAAGTACGTACGATCTGTAATATCAACGCCCGGAGCCAGGCCACCAGCAATGACCAGATAACCATTTGCCGCAATCTTGAACCCATCAGGGGCACCCTCAAGCGACTGGAAGATGGCACGCTTTCCCGTGATGATGGGTTGGTTCAAATCACCACCCTGGCGGGCAACGTCCCAGGCAAAGACGTTGCGGGGGCCAGTGCTGTTGAACTGGATGTAGATGGGGTAGTTGTAGAAGTTGCCCTCGCCCTCGGTGGGGACCGAGTTGTAGCTCTCGAGCCCAGAGTCGGTCACATACAGCGTCTTGCCGTCAGGCGAGAAGCCGATGCCGTTGGGGTAGTCGAGGCTCGTGTCCATGATCTGGACCTGGCCCGTGGACGGCCTGAAGCGCCAGGTGGCGAGCTGCAGCTGCTTGGGCGCCTCCGAGACCGAGAGCACGTAGGCGTAGTCTGTGTCGGTGAACCAAATGTCACCCACAGGGTCAATGGTGATGTCGTTGGGACCGGCAAAGTTGAAGCCGTAGTAGTTGTTGAGCAGCCACTCGGACTTGAGGGTCTTGGGGTCGAAGCGCGCGATGCCCGCGTGCTGCTTCAGACCGTTGGGCAGCGACTCGTTGAAACCCTGCACGGCCAGGTACACCATGCCGTCAGCTGGGTTGTACACGCCGCCTGTGGGCTGGTAGATGGGTGGGTCCAGCTCGACAAACGACACGTTGGGCGGGTCGTAGTTGAGATCCAGCGACAGGATCCCCTGGAACCCAGGCGGGCCGTCCTGCGTCACGAAGAGCTTGTTCACCTCGGCGACGTAGACGGGGGCCTCGTGGATGACGTTGAGGACGTCGAGGATGCCACGGTAGATCTTGGGCTCGCTGCCCAGGAGCTCGAGGCCGCGCTGCTTGTCGTAGATGACAAAGTCGGCCTCCTGCACGAGAGCCCAGGTTGGGTCGTCTGGGACCAGGGCCCCTGTGTAGGCAACCGCTGGGTCTGGGTCGCGGGAGAAGGTAGGGGGCAGGTAGGAGCCGTAACGGTTGACACATGTGACATTTGCGGTCGTAGGCCCACAGACTTCGGCCACAGAGGCCGTTGTGTTGACTGTGGTCACATTGTCGCGGGTCAGGATTGTCGCGTGCGTGCTGTGTAGCGAGGAGATGACCGCAGCCGCCGCAAAAGCGGTACGGAATGAAGCCGGAAGAGACATGCTTTACTGCTGACTGGCTGGATGGGTAGAGGGCTGAGAACAAAAAAGCACAAGTTGTTTGCCTGTGAAACGAGTCTGTTGTGCCCTCTATCATCTGCCAAGCCGTCGAGGAACTGTCTATCCTTTTAATATGGTTCCAGATCTGAGATCTCCATCCAGTTCATCAAGTCAACCTCCGCCACAGCCGTAAGGATCACCATACATGGTAGCCAATCTATTGCGCCATGATGACAGGATGTAGGCTGCCGCGCCCTCTCCGGGAAATTAGTCAAGGAGATGTTGATGATGGTCCCCTCAAATGAGGACAACAAGCTGACAAGTAGCAAGACTTGCTTAACTTCATCACATACACACACAACCGCGCCCCCCCAACCCCAAACCTCTAACCAAAGGGCCAGACTCGCCGTATAGAGCATCCTTTCTGAGCCAAGTATCGATAGCCCTAGGGTGGCGAGCTGATCCTGTTATTCGGCTGCGCGCGTAGATCGAATCCAAAAACCTCAAGTATATTGATTACATCCAGAGTATATTTGTCAGACATCTTATCCCTCGTGGCGTTCCATGTGGTCACAACGGTATACGCAGAGGAAGATCGCTTACGTTGGAGACGGTCCATACCTTGGGGTCTAAGAAATAACGAGTGACCAATCCGATTGTCAGAACAAGATAACACAGGCTGTGTCGCCATCCCAATAGGACGCAGAAACCCATGTCAGCATGCAAACGAAGTGTTCTAGAAGCGCAGGGTCCCATAAGGCTTCCTTCATCCTTGTTTCTGATTTCTCCAGGGTCTTTTTGGCTTCACCGCTGTGGATAATATGACCGAGGAAAGAGGGTGATGCACGATAGATGCAATATGACTTGTCCTAAGCACCCTTTAATTACAGGGGTGGTAGCTCTTTACAGGGAAGTATCTCAAAAACTAAATCCTTACAATTATTTGTCACTTTTTGTTGAACTAGGCCAGCACAGGGTATCGGAGAACGTAAGCAGGTAGATGGAATAGGAATCAGGCTCCGATACCCCAGCACGTACCCCAGGTACTTCCTATCGATATACTCGACACCACTAGGACGGTTGTTGAACCTCCAGCGTCAGCAGCCCTCTCAAGGTAGCCTTCCTTCTTGGGCAGATGGTTTGCATGATCTGTGCAGTAGTGTCATCAGCGTTGGCTGGTTCATTGCTACATCACCTAAGCGAATATGACTAGACTTTTTGAAAAACTCTTCACGCACAGATGCGCAGTTGACGCTCATTGCTGAGCACCCTGCATGCAAGATCAACATGCAAACTTGTATGGTGCCGGAGAAGTGAAATGCAGCTAGCAATTTTAGTCGAAGATCTCAACTCTGGCCTCAGTGTCACAAGGTTCACTTTTAGTCTCGTTCTGCAGGACTTGGAGTAATGCGAAGTTGCGGTGTGGATTGAGGAAATCGTCACTTGGCAGGTCGTAATAGATAAATGTATGTATTGTCCAGGACGCCGAGAAATGCTCATCCTAAATAAGCAGATATCTACAACATAACTAACATAACAAAAGAAACGAAGAAAAAGAAACATCAGAAGATCTCATGTCCACCCAGCTCTGGCCAGCCCGAGCAAGAGGGCGCTGACACACATATTGTCCCAACTTTCAAAAAAAAAAAAAATCTACTTTTACACTGGCTTCATGATGAATGAGCCAAGAATCATGATCATATCCTTTCTTCCTTGATTCCTTCTTTCCTTCCTTACATTCCCTTGATCTGGAAAAGGCGCGAGACACAAAGCAGGACGAAGCCGATCATGACAGAGACGCCACCGTACAATTGCATGTAAATGTAGTCGCCACCCCCGACGCCAATCAGCACGCCAGCCAATGGTGGACCCGTGAGACAAGCCAGACTGGCCACACTGAAGACAGTGCCGATACGCTGACCCGTCTTGCTTGGGTCAGTAATGAGGCTGGCCGTGGTCGAAGGGAACAACGTCTGCACGGCATTGGCGCATATGCCGTACAGCGCCACCCAGGCGTAGAAGCCCCCGGCAGTGCTGACGCGCATCCACGCAAGTAGCATGATGCTACATCCGACCACGAATGGTAGCATCGTGTTGAAAGGGCCAAACCAGCGGTCCGCCACAAACGCTGGAATCACGCGGCCCGGAATACCCACCGCGTTGAGCACGATGAGCAGGCGCAGCGAGGATGATTCGGAGATTCCAATCTCGGTTCGACCATATGTGGATGTCTGCGGTGTGAGTATTTTGCATATTAGTGGTTGAAGGTGAGCAGAAGAGAAAGAGGAGGGGAAAAAAGAAGAAAGAATTCCCCCAAAACCAAGATTTTCCTTTTTTTTTTCTTTTTCTTTTTTTGTTGAAACTCACGTAAAAATAGGCAATGTAGAGGCCCCAAAGTGTGAAGAAAATCCCAATCGAAAAGGTCAGATAGACGGGCTCTTTGAAGGCTGCAAGGTCCAACAGCGCCCTCTTGTCTTTCTTGAACTTTCGTGGGCGGCTCAGGGCGAGGATGAGGATCGTGTTGAACAGCATGATAAATCCGAAAATCCGGATCGTCCAAGGGTAGCCAATTTTGCCTGTAAGTTGCTGGGCCATCTGCCGAATACCACACACAAGTCAGCACGATGTTCAGAAGAACCAAAAAAAAAAAAAAAAAAAAAAAAAAAAGATTTTTGAGCAGCGGGGGAAAAGGAGGGGAACTGTACCAATGGGAAAATAATGCCACCAATAGGAGCACCACACGCGGCCAGACTCAGAGCGAAGGCCCGGTTCTTGGTGAAGTATAACGAGACCAGAGCAACGCACGGCGTGAAGAGCAAGCCATTTCCGATGCCCTGGACGAGACCTTGGGCCAGGATGAGCTGCCAGTAGCTGGTGACGGCCGAGGTGGTGAAGGCGCCGAGAATCTGGAACGAGCAGCCGACAATGACAATGGAGCGAAAATGGCCCCTGTCCATGAGAGGTCCCGAAAGACTGCCCAGCATGAACAGCAGAAACAGAGACAAGGAGCCCACCCACGCAACGTCCGAGTCGGTCGAGTGCAGAACCTCAACCCAGTGGGACTCAAACAGGCCAAAGGACGAGAAGTAACCAAAGCCGTTCAGAACGAGCAGGAAACTGACAAAGACCTGAGACCAGGCTGTAAAACCGCCGTTGAGACGCACATTGCCATCCTTCTCATCGACGGCGGCCTTGTCTTCTAGCAGCGTCACCGGGATTAATGGATCCGGGCCTGAATCTTTTCTCTGGGACAGGTCTGGCAAGGAATCCCCGATAGTGCTCGCCGAGAAGTTGAGGTGAACCATGTTGACCATGGCCGTAGGGTCTTGCGGTAGTTTGAGAGACATGGCTAAAGATTGTAGGAGCTTTGTGAAGCATTCGAAGTAGATTTGATTCTGTTGAATGCTGTCCAATTCTTGTTGTTGTCGAAAGAGTAAGTAAGTAAAAGTAACTAGCTAAGGGATAAAAAGACGAGTCAAGGGAGTGAAAGTGAAGAAGCGTGAAGAAGAAGAAAACCAACTAAGAGAAGGAAGGCGAGCAGACGATTGTATCATCCAAGACGCAGATGGCACATTCAGTCGCGAACTTGGCGTGAGAACGAAGATGGCTCAAGAGACCTATTTCCAGCAGTTGAATCCTGTAGGTCCAGACTCGAGACGCTTGTATGGTTTTGGATCCTGAGACAAGTCTTCCTTTGTTCGCAACGGGCTGTTCTTCAAGGAAAACGGCCAGTTCGTATAAACCAGAGGAAAGAGGGAGGAAATGCGGAGTATCCGCCAAAATACATTTGTAATCAAAAAAGTACAGTGAACGATGTCTCACTTTCCCATCTGGGTTGGGAGAGGGGGGGTTGCCTTCGGGGAGACTCGGCCCCTTCAGCCTCATAACAGGCGTCTCCATCACGACGCCACTCCTTCATGTTGGGCTGAGTTTTTTCCCCCTTCCTTCGAGTTTTTGGAATTCTGGAATTTTTCTGCGTGGTATACTTGACTAATAAAATGCTAAACCTATGAAACGGTCAGAAACCGGGCCACGTGGCAGGCAGTCAGCCATTCGAGACTGCAGACTGCAGACGTTGGGCCATGGATTACGGGACCCCGGCTCCTCGCATCTCATTAAGTCGTGACCCAAATTAGACATAACAGGCTTATAGTCATATTGTCATTATCATTTGTCCCAATTTGGAAATGGATGTAATGATTTGAGTTTATTCACAAACTGGAGTCATCTCCTGGGCAGTATCAGCCTCCTAACATGTAATTATGCCCTTTGACAAAAAGAAAATTCTTTTCCTAGAGCACCGGGCACCACTTAGCCCGGCATCACCGTCTAGACAACTTAAGCGGCCGCGGAGAGGTATTCTGCCGATTTTAAAGGCTGTAATTATAGCTCTGACTTCTCCGAGAGGCGTTGTGCGCGTGTGTACGATGGATTCAGATCCTCTGCGGGCCTCGCTTGATATCCTATCACAAACAGAGTATCGCCTGAAACCCATGCTTGAGACTACGAGGACGTCCAATCAAGCGGAGACGTAATATGAAAAATTGTCAACATGTTGTTGTGGTTGTTGTCATTGTTGTTGAGTAAGTATCTCCTAGTCAGGATCTTGGGGGCTGTGCACACGGGTGAAGGACGAAGCACATGCGCCGACGGAGCTGCCGGACTGGCGACAGCGACCCTTTGGATGTAATTACATTCATGCACATTGGAATCAAGCGGCATGAGGCGGCGGCGAGGGCATGGCAGCAAGGCTGACGTGGGTCTTTGCTTCACCGTCTCGATCACGCATGGAAATTCATGCTAACTCAAATGCTGCTTCCATCAAGTTAGAAGAGAGCCTTTACCAGAATCCTGCAGGCGTTCGCCGCCGACTTTGAATGGTATAAGTAAGTGGGTTAAAGAAGCCTCCAGGAACCAGAAAGAAGAAGTTCATCATTCGAGTCCTCAAGCTTCTTTCCCCAGCAGAGACACACTTTTACATTCTTTAAGGAGATTCATATCGACTCGGAATAACTCAATACTGTATCTCTTTGTCTCAATATTAACACTGTTTGAAACAACACAATCCCCTGTCTTTATATCAGCCTCGTTTCTTGTGTCCAAACTTCACTCTTCACACAATGGAGTCCCGCGTCATAGCCCTGGAGAGACAACTCCACCAGCTCAGCCAGCAGCAAGTTGCTCTGACCTCACTGCTCAGCAGATTTGCACTCGTGGTCCCTTCTCTTGCCCGGCATGGCGAGAAGCTTCTGGGCGGGTGGGAGAGCAACATCGTCCAGGTTGACGAGTCTCTGTCCAGCCTGAAGCTGGAACAAGAGGAGAAGAAGCAGATCTCCTCAGTGATCCGCGAGATCGAGTTCACTTCTCCCGCAACCCCTCCTCTCTCAGAGATCAGCACCATCGAGAGCCCTCGCCCAGAGACACCTGTGCAGGATCTCGACCAACTTGCCAGCGACATCCTGGACATCATCCAAGGCTACAGCCAGCACTTGCCCTCAGCCGACAACGAGGGCGAGACTGGACACTCTCAGAAGTGGCTGGGAAAGGGTCTATTCATGGACAAGGTCAAGGCCCAGCTGGAGAACAACCAGGCCATCCGCCTGATTCTGCCTGCTTTTCCTTGGAAGAGTGTCAACAAGGTGGACAAGGTTACCGGCATCCTGCCTGACCTGGGCGAGGAGCTTGCTCTCTACCGCCTCAACCAGATGTGTGAGGACATCAGGGCTGTCTACCCCCTTGGCGGTCAAGTCCACATAGCCACAGACGGGCTTGTCTTCGACGACGTGGTCGGCATCCCTGATGAGGACACGTGGGCTTATGGAGAGGGCCTGCTGGCCATGGCTCGCGAGCACAATCTCAAGAACATCCGCCTTATGCGCGTCATGGATATCTTTGGCTACACCGAGGGCAAGACTCTTGACCAGGAGCTGTACCTATCCCTGGCAGAGAGCTGCCGCAAGGAGATCCTGGCCAAGTACGGCCGCACAGAGGAAGAAGTCCGCCAGATGATGAAGGACGACCCAGACACGCTCCTGACCTACCGCGGCTTCATTCACTTCCTCGAGGCCGATCTCAAGTACAGCCCCGTCACGGCGGCCACCAAGGCCATCAGCGGCAACCAGTACCGCAAGACAGTCAAGAAGGTGGCCATCCAGATGATGATCCGTGCCGAGTCCTTCACCAAGCTGCTGCAGGCACGCTGTGCAGACTACGTGCGCCTCTCGATCCACCCTTCCACAGGCGCCGTCAAGCTCTCCGTCCCGCTGGTCGTGCAGGGCTCGGGCGCGTTCCCTCGTTCCCCGTGGCATTCGAGCCTCGCCATGGCCGTCGACGGCTCCTACAGCACTGTTCCCGCGCGGGATGTACGTGAGACGCACGATCTGATCCTGCAAGATGGCCGCGGCTACTACTTTCGAGAGAAGTCGGACGTGTGGGATCTGCAAAGTGCTGACAGCGAGCATGACGTGGTCGTCCTGCCGCGCTATCCCAACCGCCTGGTCGTCAAGCCTGCACGGGCTGAGCTCTACGGCATACAGAAGCTCTCGGCTGGCCAGATGGATAAGCTGGCAGCGCTGAGAGCGGCGCATACCGCGGGACCTGTCCAATTGATGAGTTTCGCGGGCGAGGCTTAGTCAACCCCTACATTTGCTGGTGTCGGTGATGATCACGAGAGGAGTTGAAGAGTATAATGTTACGAATACAGAGTTTCTTTTGTTACATATAGAGACCACGGCTAGCCGAGGAAAATTACACACGTACACAAAGAAGAAAAGAAAGAGAAAAAAAAGGGGGTGGGGGGGGGGGCGGTTTCGTTCTGTTTTGATTAAGTACATAGTACTACACGAGATACAATTTCGAGGTTTCTACAACCTATATCCTACGATCATCTGCTGGAACACACATAATAATCGTGCAATTGTTGTGTCTTGCTTTAACGCTTGGTTTTCCCTTCCCCCCCCCTCCCCCCGGGGAACTTTCTTTCTTTCTTCTTTCGTGGCAGCCATCAAGATGTCGTAGTGATCGTTTGGTAATTAGATAGCAATTCAGTGTGAACCACGACATCATTACACTCGATCTTGAGGCCTATCGCCTCCAATTACCATAGGGTTGCTACTCAGAATTGCTGAACTAATGTAACCCTCTGACCAAACCATGCTTCATGCAAACCAGTCCTATGGCCTATAGAGCTCCGAAAGTGGCAAGGGTTGACCCGAGAAAGAAGGATGATCATGCAAACTACTAGCTCAAAGGCAATGAGTCAGAACCTCGGCCAGCCCTACGGACATGTGCCTCAGATGGGACATCTACACGCCATCAGATAGTACCACGTGGGGATCCGTGGGGATCTGTCACGCACGTGTAGAGATGTAATACACGTGTATGACAGTTCAAGAAACAGAATGTTGCATAGACAGCATCTTACGGCATCGTAAACAATTTGTCACATGCATCCTTGCAGATTGCTAATTACCCTGCATAAGAAGCTGCACCTCATTCTACGCTTTGTGCATGTTTGTGAAGAGAAGGAAGAATAAAGTATGACTGAGTACTTTGTCTCGTAGAATGCATCTCTTCCTGTAGGACTATCTGTGGAAACAGATCCACAATTGGTTTATTTGTAATTTTTTTTACCTTCCATTGCGGATAGCGAATCCGCTTAGTCCCTTTGGTGAATCAGATCAAATTGTTCAGAGGGATTGGACAGACAAGAAACCCCTTGATGAGCCCCTAGCTACAGGCTAGAAAGCGCGGCGTAGTTCGCCTAGGTACTACAAGTACCTATACAAATAACCAAGGGACCTGTTGTCAAGTGTAAGATTCAGCTTATTGGGGGGGGGGGGGGGGCGGGGGCAGATGGGTTATCCGCCGCAGGTCATCATATTATCAAATTGGACTAGTTGACAATTATTCTGCTGCTGGCTAGGCAGGCTTATACTCCTTCTTACATTGAAGATGCAGCCAATCCTTTCGATCCTGCCGCCTAACCTTGTTGTTGCCCACGGGTCCTTGCATGTACGCGGCTTTTCCACTACTTTCCTCCGACAGGCTTCTAGACCTTTAAGCTGACCACCTGATGACAATTAACAGTTTGCCGGGTGGGCACCCTCGCCCATGTGCAATACGGTATCCTTCAACAGCCGCTTGACTCGGCCCCGACGTTAGGAGAAGGAGTCGTTGTTCTTATTTGTTCCCCGGAGGTAACTACCCAAACAAGAGAGGCACTTTTCTGCAAGCTTGGCAAGGATGAGGCTGATGAATTGGAATGTTCAATCCCCCTTTCACTTCGCGAATTTGTTGTGAGGGACGACGGCATCTCCGGATGAGGCCTCAACTATTGCGTGTGCTTCAGCCTTCAGTTGCGGCAGGATCGTATACTGGGCTCTCTGGGTGCTGACATCGAGCCGACAGAAGGACACTATCTCCTCCGGAGGAGTGAGAGGCGCCTCTCTCTCTCATACTGAGACCCCAAGCTGGCGTGATGGAATATTGTATGGAGGATCATGCTGTGAGGAGGCGAGGAGGGTGTAGAGTGCCTGAGGATGGCTCAAGCTAGAGTTCCAGACAGACATATAATAAATGGCAGACCATTCAGCACAAAGTTCAACATGATTGGAAATCCATCTCATCAAGCACTCTTGCGCTCTTCTCTCCCGCTGATTAGACATTTTGAGATTTATCAGCACAGAAATCTATTCGCCTTGTTTCTTTTTTCCATGGCTCAGAAAAAATTTACGACCGCTGTTGCGGTCTTCCTGGCCAGCACGGCCAGGCTTGTGCACGCGCGCATGAGCCAAGATGTGACCAATGGGTTAGTTCTCGATCTGTCTCAGTGCGTCCTGCAAGATCTGTTGTACTGACTAGATCTCCCATAAGCAACTGCACGTGGGGAAGCCTAGATGCACCTGTGTTCCCCGACTACCTCCCGAGCAATGTAAGTCATGATTACCTCATTTATCGTTATTAATCAAACTTAATTGCATTGAACTATCAATTCATTATTTGGCCATTTCCAACTGACACATTGTAAATCTCTAGTCGTCTTTGCCAGGCAGCCAACCTCCTTGGGGACTTCGATCCAATCTCAGCAACGCCCCGACTACCTCAGATATCCCAGTGACGGGCGTCACTCGTTACTACGACTTTGACATCCGCCGAGGCATTCTTGCTCCTGACGGGTATGAGAAGAGCGGCATCTTCGCCAACGAGCAGTTTCCAGGCCCAGCCATCGAGGCCAACTGGGGCGACTGGATTGAAGTCCGAGTGCACAACAACATCGAAAACGAGTATGGTGCCGAGGAGGAGGGCACTGCCATCCACTTCCACGGCATCAGCCAGAGGGGAACACCCTGGTACGATGGCGTGCCGGGTGTCACGCAGTGTCCCATCGCGCCCAACTCGTCTTTTACCTACAAATTCCGGGCGGACGTGTACGGCACCTCGTGGTGGCACTCCCACTTCTCGGCCCAGTACACCGCAGGTGTGTATGGACCCCTGATCATCTACGGGCCCAAGCATGTTGATTACGACGTCGACCTTGGGCCAGTCATGGTGGGCGATTATTATCACAGCGAGTACCACGACGTCGTCGCCGCCGCCGCCAGCAACACGACTGACTTCAACATCTACGTTCCTTGGTCTGACAACAGCCTGATCAACGGCAAGAACAACTACAACTGTTCCTCCAACACTTCGGCGCCCGCAGCCCCCTGCAACGATGAGGCTGGCCTCGCACAGTTCCAGTTCCAGCCGGGAAAGACGCACCGGCTCCGGCTGATGAATATTGGCGCCGCCGCCCTGGTGCACTTTAGCATCGACGGGCACAAGATGCAAGTTATAGCCAACGATTTTGAGCCCCTCGTGCCGTATGAGGCCGACTTCATCACCCTGGGTGTCGCCCAGCGTACCGACATCCTGGTGACGGCGGATGCTGATCCAGACCAGACCTACTGGATGCGCTCGACCATCACGCTGAACTGCTCCGTGACTCACAACGCTGAAGGTCTGGCTGTCATCGGTTACGCAGGCCATCAGCAGATCAGCAACTACTCCTCGTCAAACCAGGACCTGCCGACCCCCCAGAGCAATATGACAGCCGCTGCAGCCGCCGCAGACGAGAAGACGTTCCTGTGCATGAATGACGACCTGTCCAAGACGGTGCCCTTCTTCCCCCAGTCTGTCAATCCCGACCCAGACACAGTCGAGACCGTCACCGTCAACCTCTTCACAAACGCAACTGGAAACCACATCTGGATCATGAACAACAAGACACAGTACACAGATTACAACGCGCCAGCAATGCTGCAGGCAGCGCAGGGCAACTACAGCTTCCCTGAGCCCGACGCCAACGTCTACAATTTCGGCACCAACAAGACAGTGCGCATCGTGCTCAACACCGTCTACCAGAGCGCACACCCCATGCACCTGCACGGGCAGTCCTTCCAGGTGCTGGCTGAAGGGCCTGGGGCCTGGGACGGCAACACGTCTGCCATCCTGGCGAATCCGCTGCGCCGTGATACACACATGCAGCGCCGCTATGGTCATCTGGTGATCCAGTTCGAGGCTAACAACCCGGGCGTGTGGTCGTACCACTGCCACATTGCCTGGCATGCATCCATGGGGCTTAATATGATCATCTTGGAGCAGCCTGAGCTGTTGCCCTCGGGACAGGTCTCGGCTGTTATGCAGGAGACTTGTGCGGCGTGGGATGCGTGGACGAACGCCAATGTGGTGGATCAGATTGATGCTGGAATCTAGAATCTTGGCTACTTTGATTTGTAGATTTTTTTTTTTTCGGTCTGGTTTTATTCTTTTTGTTTCTTTCTTCCTTTTCTGGTTTAGATAATACCACTTTTGTAAATTTACCCCTTGTGACAAATAGTGTAGTCTCACGTATACCGGATCCTACTGCCCAGGTGGTCGATGTTATGGCTTCATGCATGTAGCATTTGTGGTTTTAATTCATGATTTCAGTCTCAAGTAAACACAGCCGTATTAACAGTACACACAAAAGTACAATGCACAAGTACTTACTTACTAAACTCTCATCAGTTCTTACCGCCATTCTCTAAATGTGCCATTCTGGGTGTTGGTCAGCCTGTGCTTATGAGATCCCCTGCGTAGCGCATCATGCATACTCTGGAACAGCGCCATGGATGCCATCTTCTTGTAGGACCCTTCCAGAGCTTATGCCGAGGGAAAAGGGAGGGGGGGGGGGGGCGGAATATGCATGTAATACTGTACTGTACTTACCAGATATGCTTTCAGCTGTTATAAAATGCCGTTTATGATTTGTGTACAATCTCGGTAATTATTATACGTCTTTTTGGGCTCCTACCCAGTTACCGTCCTGCAGGAGCGCCACAATGTCTCAACTTTTGGGTTGCATAGATACGTCGACAATTTGTCATTCTCGTCCCTGATTATTCGGGCCGGTCAGCTATATGATCTTACTGTCCCGCGTATATATTCTTCTCAAAGTTTTTCCTTTCTCTGGGCAGTAGAAGAGAAGTGCAGCACTTGTCCTTGGCGGACCATTAGCAACTACGCACACGCATACACATTTGATTCCACTCAGAAGTCGGCAAAATGACGGTCACCAAGCCTCAGGTCATGCGAGCTGTAAGTATCAGCCTCGACATTTATGTTCAACGCTTTCTTCCTTCGTAAATTGGCATCACAATCACTCACCTGTCATCCCTCTTGCCCTCTCCTTCTAGGTCGACATTAAGGGTGGCTCGGGACCCGCCTCGGCCCTCTTCATCAACGACGCAACCCCAGTCCCAGAGGTCCAATCTGGAGAATGCCTGGTCAAAGTCAAGGCCTTCGGCATCAACCGTGGCGACATTCTCCAGAGAGATGGCAAGTACCCTGGCATCTCTCATCTGACAAAGATCATGGGACTGGAGTTCAGTGGCGTCATCGCTTGGATCAATGAGGACCAGACAGGGAGCACGAAGTATGGAGCGTCTGAAGAAACTTGGAAGGTCGGTGATGAGGTGTTTGGTCTGCTTGTCGGAGGTGGATACGGTACGTTTTTTTTTCTTTCTTCTTGAGTATTCACGTACTTCCGAGGTCTTTGATTTTGAAGCCTTGGTTAGAAGAGCAACACGCTCTTCTGATGCCAGTTAATAGTAGAGATGATTGCTGACACCAAAATCGTCGTTAGCGGAGTATGTCAATGTGAACACGAGAATGCTGGTTAGGAAGCCTAAGGAGTTATCCTTTGAACAGACCGGTGGTCTTTGCGAGGTACGTTACCAAAAGAAATTAATCTACCCTCTCCCCTCCCGGTCCTCCTCGTTGCTATGTAATTACATTGCTAACAGACACTTTTTTTTTTTCTTTCACGACGCCCAGACCTGGTTTACCGCGCTGCAGGCCCTCTACTTCGTCGGAGGCTACAAGTCAGGCTCGACCCGATCTATCCTCTGGCACGCAGGCGCATCCGCCGTATCGGTCGCAGGGATTCAGCTCTCGCGCGACGCCCACCTACCCGCTGGAAAATTGCCGTCAGAGTCCGAGTCCATGCATGCGGCGCCCAAGGTCTTCGCCACGGCGCGCAAACAGGAAAAGTGCGACTTCGTGGTCAACGAGCTGGGCGCCACAGGGGCGGTGGACCTTTCGGAGCACCCAGACAAGCGCAGCTGGGCGGCCAAAGTGCGCGAGCTCAACGGCGGGCGCGGCGTCGACCTCGTCATCGACTTCCTAGGCGGCCCCTACCTCGAGGCCAACCTGGACGTGCTGGACATTGATGGGCGCATCGTCCAGCTGGGCTGGCTGGACGGGCCCATCGCTCCCCAGGGGGTGAACATTGCTTCGATCCTGGCCAAACGCGCCGGTGTGCAGGGCAGCCAGCTCAGGTCGCGCGCTCTCGAGTACCAGATTGGGCTGCGCGACTTCTTTGTGGGACAGGTGCTTGGTGGGCTGGTGGAGGGCCGGTTCAAGCATGTTGTCGAGCGGGTGGTGCCTTGGGACCGCGTGCAGGAGGCTCATGAGCTGCTGGAGAGCAACGCGACCAAGGGCAAGGTTGTTTGTGTCATTGACTAGGTAATGGTTTGAATGGCGGTTAATTGAATTCTTCGAGGAAAAGATATATCCCCGAGATAAAGTGGAACACTACATAGTCTCGTCTCATATAGAAAAAGTCTTTTGTTCTTTATATATACATACATCTGCTTTCCGGGCGTATATTCCCAGGCAACTGAATATAGAAGAATTTATCTGGAGAAAAAATGCTATGATAGTCTGCTCATTATGTTCTCTTATGCATTATAATAGCACGGTGGTCTCCGTCTGCGCAGGGATGCGGACCCAGTGGTTCCAGCGGTCTCGCATCAAACCAGCCACGGAGAAAAGCAAGCTTGCAAATCCCAGTTAGTGATCTGCACATACAAATATACTATGTGGCCGTACTAGTGATTAGTCGACGCATGTTGTACCGAGTGGGACTTGGAGAAAAAGGTTAAACGACCTGCCTTTTCAAGCTGCTGGCGGGGTAAATTAGGATAATTAATACAACAACCGCCGTATTTCGCTGCTATGTATTTCAAGTACGTATCTAGGTAATACGACCCCTCAGATGCTCCTGTAGATAACTGCGTTACTGTGGGATTCTGGATACGTGCAGGAAGACTGCATACATTACTGTATCACGAACAGGGCATCACTGAGGAGGAGATTGTCGTCATGCACATGTGATGTCAGTCTACTCTCATTCCTCCTTCTTTCCTACCCCCTCCCATGTGTCTCCATGATGGGAGAATAACAAATATTCTGTCGACATACTACCAGCATGAAATCATTTGTTATTGTACTTTATTACCAGGACAAGAAGCCATCCTTGAGAAAACAGAGATATTAATCGGAAGACTTGATCACAGCTTCATTTTCCACCTACATAAGTACTTACCTTATAATCACCAATGCAGACTCTCTCACCTGCAAGATGAATCCAAGCCGTCGAATCACCACGCTGTCCACACCCACCCTCCTCTTTCTCCTAGGGACTCTCATTGCCCCAACCAATTCGGCACAGAACACAACAAACAGCACCTCCTTCAATCCCCTAGCCTACATCAACCCGCTGATCGGCTCCACCAACGGAGGCAATGTCTTTGCAGGCGCCTCTCTCCCCTACGGGCTCGCCAAAGCCGTCGCAGACGTCAACGGCGAGAACACTGGTGGCTTCGCGACTGACGGCAGCAATGTGACTGGGTTCAGCTCGGTGCACGACTCCGGCACGGGCGGCAACCCGAGCCTAGGCAACTTCCCTCTCTTCCCGCAGGTGTGTCCTGACGACGCCGACGTGGACAGTTGCCAGTTCCGCATCGGCGACAGGGCAGTATCGTACGTGAACGATAGCGTGGTGGCGCGGCCGGGCTATTTTGCGGTGCAGCTTGCATCGGGCGTGTCCGCAGAGATGACTGTGGGGGAGAAGACGGCCTTGTACCGCTTCACGTTCCCTTCTGCTGCTGCAGATGGAAATGGCACTGGCAGCGTCACGAATGGCTCGCACTCTCTCATCCTACTAGACCTTACGGATCTCTGGCAGAGCAGACAGAATGCCTCCATCAGTGTCGATGCAGATACGGGCCGGATGACTGGCAACGGCACATTTCTACCGAGTTTTGGGGCGGGGTATTATCAAATGTTTTTCTGCGTTGATTTCTTTGGCGCGGGTGTCTACGAGACGGGCGTCTGGGTGAACAACCGTGCAGGAACTGAGCCAAAGGAGTTGTTCGTCACCAGAGGTTTCAACCTATTTTATCTTGAGGCAGGCGGCTTTGTGAGATTCTCAGCATCCACAGATGATAACGAAATCCTGGCGAGGGTGGGCATAAGTTTTATTAGCTCCGATCAGGCCTGCAGCAACGCTGAGTCCGACATTCCCAACCCGGAGAGAAACTTTGACACGCTTGTGGGAGAAGCAGAGGATGCCTGGCTGGATAAGCTGAGCCCTGTAGCCATTACGCCCGGAGGAGCAGACAACAATCTCCAGACGACCTTCTGGAGCGGCATCTACCACGCCATGATGTCTCCTCAGAACTACACAGGCGAGAATCCCAAATGGGACAGCGGAATTCCTTACTTTGACTCGTACTACTGCATCTGGGACTCATTTAGAGTGCAGCATCCTTTACTCACCATCCTCGACCCTGACGCCCAGATACAGATGGTCAACTCGCTCCTCGACATCTACCAGCACGAAGGTTGGCTCCCAGACTGTCACATGTCCCTCTGCGACGGCTGGACCCAAGGAGGGAGCAACGCAGATAATGTGCTCGTGGACGCCTACGTGAAGAACCTCTCCTCTTCCACCACAAGCAGCGGCAGCATCGACTGGAACCTGGCACTCGAGGCCATCATCAATGATGCCGAAAACGAGCCCCTCGAGTGGTCCATTCACGGGCGTGGCGGGCTCACCAGCTGGAAGAACCTCGACTACATTCCTTATCTCGACTACGACCCCATCGGCTTTGGCACCAACTCGCGCAGCATCTCGCGCACCCTCGAGTACGCCTACAACGACTTCAACCTCGCGGTACTGGCGCAGGGGCTGGGCAGGTCGGACCTGTACTCCAAGTACCTTGCACGCAGCACCAACTGGCAAAACTTATGGAAGCAAGACCAGACATCCTTCATCAACGGCACCGACACGGGCTTCACGGGGTTTTTCCAGCCTAAATACCTGAACGGGACATGGGGCTACCAGGATCCTATCGCCTGCTCGAACCTCGCCTCCTTCTGCTCGTTGACCACCAATCCGTCCGAGACATTCGAGGCGAGCATCTGGCAGTACCAGTTCCTCGTGCCCCAGGATGTATCGGGGATCATCTCGCTCATGGGCGGTGACGAGGCTTTCGTCTCCAGGCTGGAGTTTTTCCACACCTCTGGCCTTGCCGATATCTCGAATGAGCCCGTGTTCTTGACTGTGTACCTGTACCACTACGCCGGGCGGCCTGGTTTATCCGCCAGCAGGATCCACACGTACATTCCGTCCTCCTTCAACGATACCGAGTCGGGACTACCTGGTAATGACGACAGCGGCGCCATGGGCTCGTTCCTCTTCTTCAGCATGATCGGCCTCTTCCCAGTGGCAGGGCAAAATGTCTACCTGATCTCGGCGCCTTTCTTCGAGAGCGTGAGTGTCACGCACCCTGTGACAGGCAAGACGGCCACCACGAGCGTCGTGGCCGGGTGGGATGGTGCGGCGTACCAGAGCATCTATATACAGAATGTGACTGTGAATGGGCAGCCTTGGACCAAGAGTTGGATCGGGCACGAGTTCTTTACCGAGGGGTGGACGATGGAGCTAGTGCTAGGAACGACCGAGTCTTCTTGGGGCACGGCGGAGGCGGATCGCCCGCCGAGTTCTTCTGGTTCTTCTGAGATGATGACAACGAGATTTATGGGCTTGTAGTGAGGTATGAAATGACGTTGGCAATCAGCTCAATTCGTCATGACCATCCCATTGTATTTCTGAAGCGGGGGGAGGGGGGGGGGGACGTTGATATGACACCAGAGTATTCACACTCGTACAAAACACATCATGCCGTTCTCATTCACAACACACACAATGCACAAGATGAGCCTCAAATCATATGCCAAGAGTAAGGCCCTAACATTGGAGCTCCAACCTCATCACCCATCTTCCTATGCATGCTTTAGCCCCTTTCTTCACGGTCGAGGTTCCCCTTGCGTGGTATCAGGACGCGCCCCTGGCTCGTTGAATATAAAAGCGACCTCTTTATGTACAAAAGTCGAGGTCCCGAGACTTTCAAGACCAAAGGTATGAGAGGGAATGTTATGAAAAGAACATTGGCCACGCTTTGCCGCAGCCGCGAAAATGATATGAAAAGAAAAGGCCTCAAGAAAGAATATCATTGAACAAACACCCTGAAATCACATTGCCGTTCCAAGATCGCGCCATTCAGTCCATGCTTGATATGTTCCGTTACTTCACCTCGCTTTCTCGATTTTTCTTAATTTTTCTGTCTTCCTCATTGAAACGACCCATCATCCTTCATATCTTGTGCCCTCGTCTCCCCCTTGACATATTCACTCAGCCGGATCTCATTACTCTCCGACCCATGCCCGTCCATCGTGCGCTCATTGCCAGGCGAGTAAGGCGGCAGCTGGTGATGGTTGTTGTGATTGTGGCCATCAGCGGCGAAGTGACCGCTGTACCGCGAGCCGTCGGACACCATGGCCAGGTTGGCGGCGTTTTCCTCCTCGCTTGCCTCGTCAAGCAGCTCGGGTTCGACGATGGGTAGTATGGAGGAAGGCGATGGTAGCTGCTGGTGGTCAGGGGTGGATGGGCTGTCTGGTGGGCTTGTCTGGATGTGTGGTTCGGTGTTGGAGGATGAAGCTGCCGCCTCGGGAATCGATGGGAGACCGGCGCCCATAAATCTGCTGGATGGAGAAGAAAGAGGAGAAGGCATGGGTACAGCGGCGGAGGAGGTGGAGGATGATGACGGCGATGATGGATTAGGTGATCGGCCAAGAGACGCCAGGATAGACGCTTCTATCGCCGCCTCCTCATCACTGGTGAACTTGGGCACAGGTGCTGCCGGTGGCAGTATGTTGGACGGTGGCAACATGTTCAAGGGCGATAGAATGGCCGGCGAGCGCGTTTGTGACCTGTTGAACTCCTGTTCCTGGACCTTGAGCTCCAGTTTCAGGATCTCCTCCCTCTCGTCCAGGAGATACTGGATCTCGCTGTTGCGGGTGTAGTTGTTCTCGCAGATACGGATGACAGAGAGTATTATCGTGATTATGAATGTAAGTCTAGAAGGGTATCAAACCTCATGTTAGTTATTGGTAGTTATGTAGAACTCACAACCGACGAAAGAATAATAGAACAGGAAAGAACCTACATCGTGAGGACTGTGCAGAAGAAGAATCCACGCTCCATGCTGCAATATTTGTCCAGCTCGCCGCGGTGGCCATCCTGCTCATTGCTGAAGCGGATTGTGCTGTAGCCGCGAGTGGGAAGGTCTGGCTTGTCCCCCTTCAACCCTAAATACACAAAAAAAAAAGCAACACACACGTTAGTATAATGAGTTCTCTCCTATGACTTGTGAGCCGAGCGGGTGCCAATTCATACAGGTTGAAGTTGTAAGGCCTGAGCAGTTTGATGGCAGGCCAGTAAAAGATAACAGTGACAAGATGGTGATGTCGATGAAGCAAAACACCACATCCAGACAGATCGTGCAGACCAAGAAGGGTGTCCTCCTGGATCGCTGACGAGTGTGTATTATGGACAACGAGAGTGTCGCGTATACAAACACGGAAGCAGCCTGGCATATGAGATTTATTAGAACCAGGTTAGAAGGAAAAGAAAGAAAGCATGTTGCCTCACAATGCTACTATGAGTAGAAGCTATTGAGGGGAAATTAAGGGAGGGTAAATGGCCCTTGGGTGATGGATAGTCACATACCAGTATCTCCACCACAAGTATAATCGCTGAAGGACCCAACTTATTGGCATAAAGGTAGTAAGTGAGCCAGCCGTTCATGGCCCCCGGGATAAAAGCTGCCAGGAGCTGGAAAGCCCGCAACAGCACGAGGCACGTCGAGAGCCTTCGGCCCATCTTCAAAGACAGGCGATCTTGCCGGCAAGCATGGGAATCGAGCTCTCTTCCTCTTCTCTCTTCCTCTTTCTTTCCAACACAATACCTAAGCCCGGGCGAATAACATCAACAAAGCCCAGTACGACAGAGAGACAGGAACGGAAAAAAAATAAAAGGGAGGGGAAGAGGAAGGAAGGGAAGGAGGACGAGGTAGCGGAGCTGAGGAGAGGGAAGCCGGTTTTCTTAACTTCAGATGAACATACTGGCAAGAGATGTGGTGTCACCCCATAGTTGGATGGACCCAGCTTAATTGAAGGCGTGGGATGGTGTGGATTAAGGGAAATCCGAAGCCTGCATGTATATCTACCGTGCTAGCGGGGAGGGGCAGCAGGAGGAGGAGAGAGGGGAGAAGAGACATGCATGCAGCTCGCAAGCATCCCAACAGGTACAAGCTGAGATTCTGCAGCATAGCACAGGTGAGGCTAGACACACTCGCCTACTCGCTCCATCACGCATTGATGGCTCCCGTCCATGGCCCAGTGAGGGGGTCAGGGGCACCGGACCACTTTCTCTGGACTCCCAGACATTGTTCTGTGGTTGGTGAGACGAAGTGACATCGGACAATGGAGGACCGGCATTCGGAGGCCGTAGAGAGGATGAACGAGCAGCAGCCCTGTGCCCTAAAACTTGGTCAAAGTAGCAAAGCCGAGCCCTGAAGGGGAATAGGAATATGTGTGTGGGGAAACCCTCCGGGTCTGCTAGATCTTTCATCATTGCACGCGAAAAAGTCGTGCATAATACATAGTATGTGTGTCTTGAGCAAAGAACAAGAAATTGAGTCCAGCCATGGAAACTATCGGCGATCGTGAAGAGGAGTATCCCAAGTGCAAGATCGGTCAGTTCACATAAGACTATTGTGTGACGATCACAACGCTCGGCTTTCCCCCGGATTCGACTAGGGAGGGGCTCATTGCAACCACCCCCCGCGGGAGGGAATGACCACACCTCCCACTGCTGGGTCATTATTATTTTTATTTCTTTTCTTTTTGGCCTCGATGTCCAAGGAGGCTCGATATGAATATGGGGCCGAGGGTCCTTCTCTGGGAAGATTCTGCGCAAACCTTCGCGTAGTCATAAACTGAGGCAAAACCATTCGAGACCTTCCATGAGGAGCAAGACCTCTTCAGGTACCGGAATTCCAGAAACTGTACCAAGAAAATCGCAAAAGAAGGAAGAAGAAGAAGGACACAGAAAATGCTTCCTGTCTCAAGGCTAACGAACTCGAGAAAGTAGAGAAAGCGGTCTTCAAGTCTAGACCTTTCAACTGCCGATATTTTAGACCACCGAACCTTGTACTTACAATGAAGTTGTAAGGGCGACTTCCAACGTAGCAATGTCAGTTTTAGGGTTCTGTTTCTCTCTTTGCCCGGTGGTGAGAAGCACGTCATGATCAGCCCGGTTTGACAAACAACATTGAACAATAGCCATACCGCCGCACATCAGAAGACGACGCCACAACCTTAACTCAATTGCTGCAGCAGGTATCACGTCAGAATCTTTGTCGTTGGTGTATGCACAGCAAAAAGATAGAGAGAGAACAATGGGACGCGTCATCGGCAAGCGGCGGAGGTCCCAAGTTCCTAACAGCCACATTAGGTCTTAACAGAGCATTTAAGTGAACTTGAATTTAAGTCGTGGGGGGTTCTTTTGAAACGAGAGAGAGAAGCAGAGAGAAGCATGAAAAGTAGTAAGTAAGTGGCGCAACAATATAATCCAAACCCCTGGCACGGTTATAGGTGATTGACCTGAGAAGAGAAAGACCAAGTAAAAAGCAGGTTGGATCCACCACAGTACACAACACATACACTTACACAAGCTGCAGCTCGGGGGTCGGGCATTGAACGCAGAGCCAACAGCCCCACCTTCGGGCGTTGAGTCGTGCAGGTGGTTGTTTTCCCCCCTTGCAGTATGTGCAGCTGCAGAGACGGCGTGTGGGTCGACCCGGCTGACCCGGACATTGTCCCTCCCCCAGATTCCGTCCTGCTTGGGTTGGCGGTGGCTGTGAAGATCTCCTAGCACCATTGTAAGTCTAGTGTGGGACACTTTGTACTATGACACAAACGTACCGCAGACGACGCCTTCAGGCAGCAGCCAAACTGGTCGCTTTATGGTGGGCGTATCACGTTGTGTTTCTAAGGCCTCTTTGTCCTCGAGGGAAGAGGCTGGACAGAGCATACTTGTTTTCCCTCTTGACTTGGCTTTGACTCAACTCTCTGAACAACAAGGCATCCAGCCAAGGAGCTGTTGGTTCCACCCGTTGACATCTGCTTGGACACACGCACAAACACACGCACACACCAACCCTTCCTCGAGGTACCGTCTCGCCTTGCTCGCCATCAGGTGACGTGCATCTTGGCAACCTCACCTTCCTGATATCGAAGGCGCCCAAGCTGCGAGAGTTACCTCAGCTGGCCGTGCCAGCCGAGAAGGACAGCCAGGTCTGGTCAGGTCCGGTCCACTCCGGTCCACTCCACTTCTAGCCAGGGCCCTTTTGTCCTCTTTCACTTCTTGCTGGCTCGGTCCGACCTGGCATTAGCAGGTTACCGTGGGTGGCAGTAGTACAGGTCGCGTCACGACCACTGTACGAAGCCAACCCTCACTCAGCCTATCCAGTTCAGTCATACCCTTCGGGCCCACCATTAGTCACTCAACGATTTTGGCGAGGTCCGATGAGGGGGAGGGCCAGGTGCACATCAAGAAGAGAAGTCATGGAGGACGAGAAGACAGTGCTGCAGGAGACGAGGAGGTTCAGTGGTATCGGCTTTAGTCTGACGGCCATCCGGATCTGGCAGTGGATCTCGTCACTCTTCGTCTATGCCTCCTTCAGCGTCCTCTACCACCACATCCAGAGAAACCGGCTCGGAGAGAATGGCCGAATGAAGGGTGTTGCATTTTTGGTACGGAACCTCCCCCCCCCCCCTCCTCTGCTTGCTCGATCATTGGCCCCTCGTCTATCGCCAGCCTCCCGGGACCTGGAATTTGTGCCTTGACTTTATGTACTTGAGCCTCAAGTTCTGATCACGGACCTGACGTTGTCGTGTTCTAGGGTCTTGGGTCCTTCGTTTACAGCACCGTCGTGATTTGCAGCGTTCACATTTCCAAGGCATGGGGTCTGCGAAAATGGCATGTTTTTGCCATCGCCTCCCTGCCAGGTGACCTTACTATGATGGGTCTCGGCCTCATTCAAATCACCATTCTCTCCTATAGTGGTCTCCCAGCCGACTGTCATGGTCTCACAAGGCACAATTGTAAGTGGAGTCCCCCAGGGCGGGCTGCATCAAGAGACATGCGTGTGTCTTCCGTGGCGGCAATGGGCCGAGATTGGCTTTCGAGGAAGTCTTGACAGCTAATATGACATTTGTTCTTTTCTCCCTTGCAGACGGTGCTGGTGACCTGGTCCGTCAACCAGCAGGAGGCTACAGCACCATCCGCTTCGGGTCGTGGTCCACCGCCACAACTGGCGAACTCGATCGGCTCTGCACCCTTCCCAGAACCGTCTACGGCCTGTCCGTAGTTGCCATGTGAGGCGAGATCCCGTTGTTTTCCTTGCTTTGCTCTCTTCACATGTCAAATTAAGAGCTGATGGATAGATGTGGCTTAATAGCTTCTCGTATACCTTCTCGATTCTGCTGTCGGTGTTGTATCTCCAGCAACACAGGGCTGCGACGGCCGAAGCTGTCGACGAAGACGAGGAGAAGAAGCTCATCGCCTGTCCAGAACCGAGCGCCGGCGGCTGCACGCCTAGCCGCAGGTCCAGCCCTGGCCCAAGTATGCGGCACTTCGGAGATCGCATGCATGCACCGTCGATCCTGGACCTGGATATCGTAGAAGAAGACCTTAGACCTCCCTTCCCTGGCAGAAGAAGCACCTCCGCCTCGGATCGAATGGCCTCCTCCTCTCGGCCCTCGTCGCCACCCCAAGGGTCCATCCGCTCCACCAGGAACAGCAGCCGAGCACCGAGCACCGGCTCACAGACCTTGTTATCAGTCACATGCTCAGAGGACTGCTCGAGCTGGGGGGTCGAGACCACACTGGTCAGCGACGACAGCGAGTCTATCTTCTCAGTGACGTCCGTCGTATCGGGAGGGACTTTGCCCCCACGGCCTCTTCTTGGAGCCCAGGCCCCGCCACAGAGGAGGTGGTCGACATCGACCAGCTCATCTTATAATGCGGGGGCATTTCTAGTGACAGATGGGTTCCACCGCCCTGAGAATGATCCACCTGCATACTCCAGTCGGCCTGGAAGTCTTTACCAGGAGCCCATGAAGTATGAGGCGGGTTTGGGTATACTCGGCACGCCGAAGCCATGAAGCAGACATTTGCTAAAAGACAAACAAAAGAGAGCAAAGGAACACAGCCCACCCATGGCCCTGCAACGCCGACAAACCCCTCCCGAGGCGGAAGTCATTGTGGGCGGCAGATGCAGCCGACGAAAATCGGGCTGAATATCGTAAATGATTGAACGAGGAATATGTGTCTGATATCGGGACCCGCGGGAACTGCTGGCACCCGCGGACGCTGCTGGAGCCACTGAGGCAGGCAGTGTTCATTAATGTTTGAGATGGTGTTGTTGTTGTAATGTCGCGAAGCCGGGTTTGGTCGAGGTAATAATCATAATAGTCATCCTTCTTTTTTTCTTTCTTTTTTCGGAGTCGGCCAAGGGCAGTACACAACAATCGAGCTGGCGAGTGAGAATACGAGCGTCTTTTGCCCTCTTATTCCGTGACTTCTTCTTCAGGCCATGTCACAACCCACCCTGTACACGTCTTCCTAATCTCCTCGTCGCCCGGGTCATCCACAAACATGGGCTTCTCCATGACCCGTTCCAGGATCTTGTCCACCACGAAACCCCTCTCCCGTGCGAGGCCGAAGAAGGCCAGGTCCTTGTGCTGCAGCCATGGCCTGTAGCTGGTGAAGAAGACAAACGCCTTACTTTCCTTGGTCTTCTTCAGCGTGTCGCGCACCGTGTCGAGCAGCCTGCCATGCTCCGAGTGTCGGAACAGCAAGTCCGCCAAGATGAGCACGTCGAACCTCGACTCGTCGGCGGGCAGCTCGGCCAGGAGCGGTCGCGTGTCAGCGCCCCAGACGTAGCCCTTGGCCGTGACAATGTCCTGCTCGCGATGAAACTCGTCCCTCTTCTTCTTCTTCTTCTCCTCCTCCTCCTGCTCCTGCTTCTTCTGCCGCCGTGGGATCAGCTCGCACCCGTCCACATTCTTCCACATGGTCTCCACGATGGCGACGTCAGGATAGTCTGTCATAAGCACACGCCTCGCGCCCAGAACAGCAGCCACGATGCTGGGCAGCCCGGCGCCCGCACCCAGCTCGAGGACCGTCCTGCCCTGTACCTCGCCTGGGTTCGTCTCGAACCAGTTCGCTATGACGCGAGAGCCGTTCCACAGGTGGTGTGCCTCGGTAGGGCTGTAGCCGACTAGGTGCAGGGTGATGGTCTGGCCGGCGTGGGTGGTGTAGGTTTGGGTTGTGGGCGGCGGCGTGGGCGGATAGAAGCCCTCTGGGTCGTCGAACATGTTGCCATGGGTTTCGACCTCTTCGCTATCAGACCCAGACATGTTGTTTTTTATGTGATTTGGTCTTTGTTTGATGAGAGTTTTGAGGTGAGGTAAGGGGTGTAGTGAGTCTGCTTGGCAAGGGAAGAGGATACTTGAGGCCGTCTGTCCTAGTCTTCCCAGCTAGCAGCAAATAATACGACTGTGATGAAGATAAGTGGGCAAAATTAGTATCGAAACCTCACTTGGGATTCACACACAGAAACTGTCAGTTGAGTGCTGATATGCTTTATGGTAGGAAGAAGGTTGAGTTGCGCGCCAGGCCAAAAATTTTAAACTTGCCTGAGAGCCTCTTACCCAGGCGACAGGGGTCCCCAACTCCACCATCGTGCCGTGTCATGAGGCTCTAAGTACATTCTACCAACCTATTTTCATACGTGGACGTGATATTGAGATTCATGGCTTGCACCTTTTCTTAACTTCCAAACACTATTACAAGTACCTCAATCTCTCCATTCATCGCACAGAGTACCAAAAGGTGAGGAAAATCAGGTTATATATGTCATCTAATCACCATCAAAGCATGACAATGCAATTTCGTCGCTTACCTAACTTAGCTGGCCTTTCTCCTGAGATCAAGAATGCTTTTCAGCCGCAGCGTCCCCTTCGCACCCCAGCCAGACGGGCCACTCTCTACCTCTGGCCGCACGGCGGTGTACCAGCCCCATGCCCTCCTGTCCAGCTCCTGCGCGCCCAGCGTGTCAGCCCAGCTATCAAACAGCAACCTCAGCGCACCAAGGAGGAGCCCTAGGTTCTCCTCCTTCTCGGCGTCCTGCGCCCTGATCGTCTTCTTCTTGGCAGGTGACGTGGCTGCATCGCCATCGTCCACAGGAGCACTGGCAAAGTTTCGTAGCAGATAACTCCGTGCCGCCTCCGGCTGATGGGTCACGAGCTCGCCTGCGGACGCAGCAGCCTTGGTCTTGTTTCTCATAGCCTCCAGGTCAAGACCCCAGACAGCTTCTCCTCCCAGACTTGCCTCGATGCCAGTCCTTCGAAGTCTTTCCGACAGCGCCGAGGTGACGACATTTCTCATCAGCCGCCAGCGGTCCGGACCCAGCAGGATGCCGCCGAACCACCTACTCATAACGACAAGGGTATCAACGGCATTCGTCTCGCGCATCACCCGCAACAACAAGTCGCCACCACCAGTCTCTCCGTCGTCATGGGATGCTTCGCGGATGTATGTGCTGGTGGAAGACTCTGCGGGACGGACGCGGTATGCCCAGACGTTATGGGTCGCTGACCTGAGATTAGGTTGCGTATTGAAGAGTGACTTCAGCAGGTTCGGGCGCTGCGCCGGATCAGTCATATGCGTGGCACGCGCGACAAATGTAGACTGTCTCAGAGAGACCGAGCGGCTTGTTGACCAGGTGTTTGTAGGGGGAGTCCCGCCAGCTTTCGGTTGAGGCGCACTGTCATCTGCCTGCAGTGTCGAAGTAGTAGACTCTTGTTCGGGTGCACTCTCCGCGGTTGCTTCTTCCGGAGCCTGCTCCTCTTCCTCTTCGTCACCCTTCCACTCATACCCGCCTCGCTTCAAGACTGCGACCTCACGACCCATAACCTTTATTCTCGGCTGACCGTCGCCAAACCCTTCCTCGTCTGCGCTGGGCCCTTTCTCCAATCCAATATTCACAGCTTTGGACCTCGAGTTGGCGCTCACCACGGCCTGCGCGATCGAAAGCCTGCTGGAGGGCGGCTGCTCGGGCATCGTGTGGCGGAGCAGCTCGACGGCAAAGGCGAGCACCAGCGGGGCGCGGTTGGTCTGCACAGCCGTCTGCGCGATGCGGTCTTCGTCCGTATCGAGGGGCAGCGCGAGAGAGGCTTCGAGCTGTTGCGGGGTCAAATCGGTCGGCCCGAGCAGGAAGCCTTCGCTTCCAGAATATTTGACCCTCTTGGCCTGATCTGCTTGGCCTGTCGACCCTGCAAGCTGGCGCTTGCTAGTTGCGGAGGTCGGCGAGGTCTGCATGCGCTTCAGGTGTGCTTTACAAGCATTCTGAAGGGCACGTGCAGCCTTGCCGTCTTGGAGAGCGGACTCGACGGTCGGGAGGGGAGCATCGGCTATCTGCTGAATACTGGCTCGAGCATCAGAGATGATGGTCCTCTTCATAATAGTGCAGGCAGATGGGCTTGCGGGGGCAAGACTGACCTCCGAAGGCTCACCGACTGCAATGCCTTGATCTGTGCCATCGCATCCTTCATGGGCATCTTCCGGGCTGTCTGCAGCCGCAGAAGCTCCTGGAGATCCTGCTGTGTCGCCATATTTGAATGGAACCTGCTTTTTATGCCTGAAAACGCGGTGCAGGAAGAAAGACGCGACTGGAAGATTGACTACTGATAACAGATGACGTCGAGAGTTACACGCACAACCCGAACCCTGATGGCATATCTATAAATTCTCCCCGCCGCCACCTCTTTTCTCTTGCGCCCATGCTGCATCTTCCTTTCTTGGATCATATTTAAGCACTTCATGTTCAACGTCTTCACATAACTTATTAGGCTGCTTTCGAAGACTTAAGCTACCTAGTCTCATAATATAAAATCCCTCATTTACAAGACAACTGTTTGAAACGGAGTTATAGGACGTTCGAGGTTCAGATTCCGGGGCCAGAAATTGTGGAGAGACACTTCCGGCCTCCCTGTCCCGAGGTTGTAGGCTATCTTTCCAGTATAAATATTCAAATATATAGCACGAGTCTCGTAGCCTTGGTGATGATAAATCGGCCGTTCTGACCCCATCAGAGAGTGAGCAGATCGTCAGGTCTGGATCTCCAAAGCTGGCAGCGACCAAAGCCTCTCAACATAACACAGCCTTTGCTACCCAGGTAGTTTATTATACTACAGCAAGTTGTGCGATTTATCCGCGATAGCGCTTCTCTTAAACGAAACTCCCCGAATGCAACCTAGCTGTCAGCCACAGCTGAGCCTCCTAATTACTAGGGGATACGCGCAGTTCCCGGGCTTGCTTCTCTTCCGAGAGTAGCTACAGATGTAAAAAGCTAAGCCTGTGAGAAGAATGTCAGCTCCTCGAATGGTCCACAGCGATTGATCAGCTGATCAGCATTCGCATAATATATTAGCTTCGCCCTCAGCATGGTCACGTTCCATCTCTCATCTTCATCAGTGGTTCAGGCCACACCAAACACCCCGGCCCCCAAGGCCTCTCGGTACCAATACTAGTTTTCCTATTACACAATGGAGACCGAAAATCACCTCTGCGACGCTTGCATTCAAGATTTGACAATCGACGATCAACTTGCTGGCGGATTTGTGAATAAAACTTCCGATGGCACGGCTATGCTCGACATTGGAAATTTTAAACTCAACGATTGGAGAGAAAACAGAACGCAGGGCATTCGAGCTTCTCGGGTCCGGAGTGATGGCTCCAACCGAGACAACTCTGGGTGGCAACGGCCTGACACAGACATGATTCGTCAAGTGCAGCGCCGGGAATTTTATGCAGGTCAGGATGTCGAGAGGATAGTAGTGCCGCCTGGTCTGTCCGAACTTTCAGGATCAACGGCCGGAACCTGTCGATTGTGTGAGAGACTCGAAGAGCTTCTTCGTCAGAATTACGACGAGTGCTCCTGGTGGGAGGATCCTAAGTCTAAGATCCGCATAATCATACGTTACGAATGGACCGAGCAGCGTGCAAGGCGATCATGGGCACAAATGTACGAAGAGGAGACGTCACCAGGAGACGAGAGGAAAAGAGGGCAGACAGAGGCGGAGGAGAGAGAAGCGCTACCAGGAGGCGGGCAACGAGGAAGGGAGACAAACCCGCAGCAATTGAGAGAAGCCCAGGTAGAAGCAGAAGAATTAAACTTGTGGGCTGAAGAAGGGAGTAGAGAGCAAGGACGACAAGCAACATCCGACGACGATGACGACGAAGACGACAATGACGAAGATGAGACTGAGTCCACTAGTATAATAAGAATTGCGATGTGGGGAGAAGGGCCAGAGGCATTGCCCTGGGAAAAGAGACAAAAGCTGGATTGCTTGTCTGTTTCTGTCCATCATCCAGGCCTGAAAGACACCGAGGCAGACGTATATAAGTTCGATGTGGGAGCCTGGCCAGGTAAGTTTGGTCTTATCTTTTCAACGAAACAGACAACTGATTTGGAAAAGGGAAATGTCGGGATTGGCTCAAAGTCCAGTGCTATCCAGTGGATAATGCCGGCCCAGTCTCCGGGGAGATCATCGAGTTCATGAAGCAGTGCATTCATACGTGCATCAAAGATCACCGGAGGTGCAAAACCAAGCTCGCACGTGGCCACTTCCTTCCAACGCGCCTGCTAGACATCGGGAATGACAACTCTCAAAGTGTACGGCTGGTAGAGTGCGAGCACTTACCATCGCATGCCTGCCAAGACACATGCAAGTTGCAAGATCATCAGCTCAAATATGCAGCATTGAGTTACTGTTGGGGGGGATTGGTCGATTTGAAAACCACCAAGGCAACGAAAGAGGCTCACGAGAACGGCATCATCGTGAAGGACATGCCACCGGTATTCCAAGATGCCGTTTACATGGTCCGCAAACTGGGCATCCAGTATTTATGGATCGATGCACTTTGCATTCTCCAAGACCAAGATGACAAAACTGATTGGGAAACCGAGTCGGGGCGAATGTGTGATGTATTCTCAAACTCGCATATCACCATCAGTGCAGCTGCAAGCTCCTCAGCTTCGGAACATTTCCTTCAAAAACGCAACAAGTCGCTAATAATACGCTTCCGCTCACGAATTAGGCCAGAAATCTCTGGCGACTACTCCATTCTCCTGGATGGATGGGGTGATTACGCAGCAGATACTTATATTCGGAAGTCAAGATGGCGAACCCGTGCCTGGGTCTGGCAGGAGGAGCTCATGTCCACAAGACAATTAATTTTCGGCGAGAAGATGATGCAATTCCGATGCGACAAAGGTGCCATGCTCGAGAATGGTCGACATGACAGCCGAGACTTCGGGACCGGGAGAATAGATTGGGTAGTTTACCAGGCCTTCTGGGAATACGCCGTGAGAGACTATTCATCGAGGCAGTTGAGCGTTCCTCAAGACAGGCTAGGCGCAGTAGCGGGAGTGGCTAAGTTTGTCCAAAGAACATTGAAAGAGGCAGGAAGACCAGTCGAGTATGTTGCAGGGTTGTGGCTGGCTCATACGCTAGGAAACCAGCTGCGTTGGGTATGCAACAAGCCAACATTGTCGTACGGTGAATTGGATGAATCATTCAACAATGCGAAGAGATACCTTGCTCCATCCTGGAGCTGGGCCTCCAAGGATACAGCTGTGGATCATCTGTGGTGGGATTTCTCTGGCAAGACTGCTTTTCAAGTTACCAGTCACCAAGCCCTTCCAGCTCGTAAAGACGCTATGATCGCAGTCAAAATCGGGACGTCTCTTACTCTTCGAGGAAAGTGTCGACAAACCCCGGTGCTACCGATTCGTGGCTCACTTGAGGAAAAAGCAGAGCGATTCCCCAACCAATGGGTAACACATCATCGCGATATCGGACGCATCAAGTTCTGGTTGGATTGGGATGCAAAGATTGAGACCACCAAGGAAGAACGCCGACAAGTCCCTCTCCAGCTCTTTCTTCTGGCGATGGAGGATGGGCATGAAGAGCTTAGGGATAGGGGAAGTGCGGGCATCTTACTTCTGCCATTTGAGAACCCACAGGGAAGTCTGTATCACAGAGTCGGCGCGTTTAACCACCATGGCCCTGTGGATCCGCTGTGGGGAGAGGCGCAGGAATGCGAAGTCACCATTTGGTAAATAAAATGTATTGGGCTAGGCGTTGTGGTCATCTCGAAAAGCTGTCATGTAAGTCACCGCCAACTGTTGTTCGCATCACAAACAGCACCACTGACTTCCATGTTCATTTCTGCCTACTTACCAAGTATGTAGTTCCAGAATGTGGATTTGTTCATTCATTCACCAGCCGGGACATTATCCCGGAATGAACAGAAGAGACAGAGAGGGTGAGGGGGTTAGAGAAACCATAAAAGGGTTAATTGATGATGCAACAGGCACCTGGCAGTATACGACAGTACAATCATGCTTCATTGACATAACCATCATCCCATCATCAGAGAACGTACTGACAGGCACCTGAAAGCACAAAGTTGTGTAGGCTGGAATGTGAGGGCTGGAATGAGACATTGAACAGCCTCCCCCCTCCACTTGAAGGAAGAAACTGCCCCGGGTTTAGCTTCCACCATCACCAGTTGATGATGGCCTGTCGTCCAAGTCCTTACCGTCAAGTGGAGAAGCATTTCGAATCATGGGAACTTAAAAGGTATAATTACAGAGTACTGTAGGCAACAAGAAAAGGCTTGGGGATCCACTCTACACTGAAGGGAGGTTTTTAGAGCGGAAAGTGTGGACCTCGTCCAAGCGACCGACCGATAAACGGTGTGGAGAACACTTGATTCCACCCACCGATCGCTCGTGTAAGCAGCCACTTCATCATCATCACAAGACACATAGATGCCTTCTCTTTCTTTTATTTATTTTGAGACCAAAATAGTAATGGCAAGCCCAATTGACCAATTTGGGACCTGCGTCAGGATCCGGGCCGTGGAGACACTAACCTCCCAAGTTAAAGCCGTCGGCGCCTACTCACTCAGGGGAAGATCCTCCGCGAGGCTGATGCTGGGACCAGCCCGCAAAGGGCCCTAGCCTGTCGCGCTGCCGGCTTAGTATCTTTTTCAAGGTTGCACCGGGGTGGTTTTTATTCTGCTGCCTGAACGCAATATCGCCCCTTTCATCTCAATAAGACCTCTCTCCTAAATCAGAGCGGCAGAGCGGCTATCAGCTTAGTGAGCGTCCACACCCCTGGGCCCTTGGAAATACTTAGCCTCTCAATATCAAGGAGGCGAGTTCCAAAAATGGTAAATACAATGGTCTCGTCGGAGCCAAAAAGGAAAAGCAAGATCGTGATATGCCAGATGGGATAAAAGTACTTATGGGCCTCCTCCCCCTCCTCATTCTCCTGTTTGGTCAAGCATAGAAGCCCATCTCCCTCGACAGATCTGTAGGCGGTAATTGCAGTACGAATCACCCACCCACCCACCGACAGACCAGATCAAATGGCGTCCTGCTTCCGATCAGCCGCCCTCGCTGGCACGGCGCTCCTGAGCGTCTCTGCCTCGGCGCTCTCCCCAGCCAGGCGGGCCACAGCATCGTCCTACTGCTCGTCGAGCGACAGGCAATATAACCTAAGCTCGTTCGACGCGCCGGTGTCCGGCACAGGTGACGCCGGCAGCCTGTCGACATGGAGCCTTACGGTGGACGACTCGTCTGCGGGCCACAAGCAGGCGATCGCCGGGTTCGGCGCCGCGGTGACGGACGCGACAGTGTCGGTGTTCGACGACCTGTCCAGCGACGAACTGAGCAGCCTCCTCGATACCCTCCTGACCAGCAGCGGCGCCGACTTCAGCCTCTTCCGGCACACCATCGCCTCGTCGGATCTGTCACCGGACCCGGCCTACACTTATGACGACAACAGCGGCGCTGTCGACACTAGCCTGTCCGGGTTCAACCTGGGCGACAGCGGCAACGCCATGGCGGCCCTCCTGGCGCAGATGCGGTCGGTGAACTCGGGGCTCACCATCTTCGGGTCGTCGTGGAGCGCGCCCGGCTGGATGAAGCTGAACGGCGTCATCGACGGCACCACGGTCAACAACAACCTGAACCCAGACTACCGCGACAGCCTCGCCGACTACTTTGTCAAGTACCTCCAGGCGTACGATGCCGCGGGTGCCACCGTCGACGCCATCGCTATCCAGAACGAGCCTCTCAACAGCCAGTCTGGGTATCCGACCATGTATGTCTATGCAGACGAGTCGGGCGACATCATTTCGCAGAACGTGGGGCCTGCCCTCGCGGCTGCTGGCCTTGACACTACGGTCTGGGCGTATGACCACAACACTGGTGAGTAAATCCATACACACACATATATATATAAGTAAAATCGAGCACGAGGGAGGGGGGAAGAAAAAAAAGAAAAAAAAGAAGAAGAAGAAGAAAAGGGAAAGGAAAAGAGGAACAAGACTGGCTAACCTGAACTCCTCTCCCATCCAAAGATGAGCCATCATACCCACAGACCGTCCTCGACGAGGCATCTTCCTACGTCGGAGCTGTGGCCTGGCACTGCTACGCCTCGCCCCTCAACTGGAGCGTCCTCACCGACTTCCACAACACCAACCCAGGCGTGGACCAGTACATGACCGAGTGCTGGACCTCGCCCGAGACAGACTGGTCCTGGGCCGCCGACTTCACCATGGGACCCCTCCAGAACTGGGCCCGCGGCGCCATCGCCTGGACGCTGGGCACCGACACCTCGTACGGCCCGCACCTGAGCTCGGGCGGTTGTTCCGACTGCCGCGGCCTGGTGGTCGTCGACACCTCGGCCGGCACGTACGAGCTGCAGGTCGACTACTACATGATGGCGCAGTTCAGCAAGTTCATGCCGTCCGGCGCGACGGTCCTCGACGGGACAGGGAGCTATACCTACGACGACGGCACCGGCCTGCAGAGCGTGGCGACCCTGAACCCGGATGGCACGCGCACTGTGGTCATGACCAACAAGTTCTCCAACGACCTTTATGTCACCGTGGCCTTGAGCGCAGATACGTGGAGCGGGCGTGTGTACGCAAACTCGGTTGTCACCTGGGTCCTGCCAGCCGTCTAAGCGGTGGGAAGGGCGATATATTCTGTTTCTCTCTTACTCAGGCTTCTCCGTCTCTGTATAACGAGTTAGCTGATGCTTCATCACTGTCTATACTTAGAAGCTACTACTTTATTGATAAATGATAATTACCCTCACCTAGTCTCAAGGACAGAAAACATACTACGTAGGACAGAACTGGCAGGACAGAATCTCAAAAAGTGCCTCAGCGTGCTACATACCTACCAATGGTCAGAGGTCCCACGTCATGGCCACATGAAAACTTTTGTCCGAGGATGCTCAATCTCACAAGGCATACATGAAGAGTCCACAACATTTCTGCTGCAGCTATCTGCCGAACTGCAGGGCTGTCCAATACCAACCCCAGTGTTAGGTACTTATTCACTTGGTGGGCCACTGGATAGAGGGCGTTTGCTGCTGATGAAAAAGACAATCCCTGGTAGTTTGAGGTGAAGGCGACCTGCAGGGCCCTAGTCTCTGGGGGGCTTAGGCTAGGTGCTCCAGAAGGCTGGTCAGGCAGTCACACCCTTGTAAGGATTCCCCCGCGGAATTGCCGGTGCAAGGTTACAGTCACACCTGGGTCACCATTTTAGCTTGGTAAACAGATTATCTTCTGTTTTCACAGCCATCTACCACATGCCGCGAGGTATCATTCAAACGCGGCTCTGAGATGAACCTTGTAGCTGACATCTCGCCCTTTTGACGAGACAAGGACGGCATTTTTGAAGCAGCCTCCATTATCCTCGCTGTTTAGTCAGTGTGGAGACGCAGACGGGCGGCTTCAGGACGAAAATTTGAAGCCCCCATCGAGATTTTATTAGTTTTTGTTTTCTCTGACAGGCAGGAAAAGGAACGACAGACGAGAAGCATCACCTACACACAAGATAACAATTTTGGACACGACAGCAGCACGGGGCGCAAACAAAGGTGACAGGCAGCTGAGCACAATGTCTTCTCCCCCGAATGTGCAGTATGTTGCATCTGCACTTGCGAGGTGTGGCAGCAGGATGTGCCGGTCAGGGCGCACCACTTCATGGGCCGCACGCACGAGACTACTCATTGAATCAGCACAGATGACGTGCGCGTGGGGCTCGCACAGCCAGAGGCCTCTCAGTTCCTCAACAAGGCAGTGGGCTAGAGCAGGAGGGAAGACACGCCCCAGGGATCAGCCCAGGGTAGAGCGGCGCGAAACCTTGGACCAACTCGTCAAGCAGCGCAAGGTGCCTCTCATAGCCGCCGGCCTAGCTGCTGCCGTCATGGGTGGATATATCGTGATGCTCGTTATGAGCATGGCTGGCGGCTCGTGTGACGGGTCCTCGCACGACTGTGTGCCGTCGGGGCGGCCGCTGGACCTGCGGCGAGGCAAAATCTCGGCCCTCATGTTTGACAAGGACCTTAACAGGCCCGAGACATTAACGGGAATCAAGAAGCTGCGGAAGCTCATGGGTGGTCTCGCCAGGGGTCATGTTTTAGAGGTTGCCGTGGGCACGGGGCGGAATATCGAGTACTTGGACTGGGACGAGATCTGTGCTTCTGCGCCACCTGTGCCAAGGTTGACAGAGGATGGTCAGGAGACTGTCGCAGAGATCAAGAGCTCCCAGCAGCTGGAGAGAGAGAGGGTGTCCAGGAGGGTCAACATGGGCAAGAAGGGCCTGATACTACCTGGTGATGAGGCCCCAGAGGTCGTAAGCTATACGGGCGTTGATGTCTCCACGGACGTGTTGGAGGTCGCCTGGAATAAGTTGAGGAAAGCCGTGCCGGATTTGATCCCTCGGAGGCGACGAAAATCGACAGAGGAGCTCGAGACGGAGCGACAGAAGCAGCAGACCGCCGCGAGAGCACAACCTACTGCAGCAAAGGTGACAGCCGCTGCAGGACCTCCAGTGAGCAGTGGAGACGACGAGGTCCTGGCAGTCAATGTTGGCCAGGGGCGCATCCGTCTCTACAGATCTGACGCACAGCTGCATCTTCCCTCACCACCCGCAATGACTTCTCACGATGGCACCAGGACACTCCCCGCCCCGCCTTACTACGATACCATCCTGCAGAACTTTGGTCTCTGCAGCGTGTCGGACCCTCACAGGCTCCTAGCCAACATGGCTGCAGCGCTGCGACCCGATACCGGCCGTATCTACCTGCTGGAGCACGGGCGGGGTTCATATGGCTGGCTCAACAGCCTTCTGGACAAATTCGCCCCATCTCACTTCGAAAGATACGGGTGTTGGTGGAATAGAGACATCGAGGAGATTGTGAAGAATGCAGAGAAGGACATCCCTGGGCTGGAGGTAGTTAGGATTCACAGGCCGCTGTGGCTTCAGGGTGGAACAACGTTGTGGGTCGAGTTAAAGGTCAATCCAAACAAAGCGCCGCGGCCAGGAGGAGGAGCAGCAGATCCAACTGAGCGAGCTGAGAGCGACCAAACAAGGTAGACGACGACCAGCCGGATACTCTTTGGCAAGTCGGGCCGTGTCTCCTCTTTGGCTAGGGATTTACCCGTTGCTAATGGGTTGGGGGAAGGCGAGGTGATAGAGAAGGGAAACAAGGAAGGACGAACAAAATTTCCACGCCTTGCATTTCCTGGCGGCGGCTGTCGTACCCCTTGCGTGTTGTGTCATCTTCACGTGTCTACAATATCATTCCACGCCGGAGATGTATTCTAGGGACGCAAAGCTGCGGCCAGCTCAGGAAGCTCAGCATTGAGGGAAGGAATTGAAAACTTTCCTAGAGGGCGAGAACTCATCAACAAATTCCCTCGGGAACAGGACGAATGATACGCCGCCACGCCCACCTTCGAAAAACCGCTGCAAATCCACCCCATCTCACAAATTACTCTTGTTGAGATACTTCAGCCCCAAGTCGGCTGCCTTGCTTTAGTGTAAGGTCTGCTAGGCTTCGCGGTGGCTGGTTGATACGTTGGTACTAGGACGCGCTCCTCTTGTGTGACGCGTACAGAAATTTTCTTTTTATCTCGCAGGAAGATCTCCCGTACAAAGCAATCATCGAGACGGGTAGCAACAGCCACGATATTCAGGGTGCCGATGGTGAAATTGTGGTCATGCGAGCATCCGAGCTCGTTGCTTCTTCGCAGGTTCTGGAAGTCTTTGGTTTTGGATGGAAGCATGTCATCAATAAACACATTTAAAGAACCCAAATTGCCCGCCTGGATCTCAGTTGGGAAGGCGTCATCACCTCAACCGATCTGGTCGTCCCTTCCCTCCTGAAAGAGTGGCTCTATCCAGTTCCTGCCCTGAAAGCTCAATCGCTATCACATTTCTAATTCCGGTCTCCTTGGTCTCTAACTTACTCTCCCTTTACGTCACTCTCTTCCAGAAACGAGGAGGAAACGCAGTCGAACGTACAGATGCTAGTCCCTCTACACACTGCAAGCTCAGACATACAAACAGCGTCTCTGTTTGAAGGCGCCCCAGGCCTACCACCTTGGCCACCCTTCCAACCTTCATCTTCCTTATTGCTTTGGTTTCTGCTCATTAATCTCCACATTCTCTGGCAGGGCATCATCGTCTTCGTTCCTCTGTTGAGGCTTGCCTGCCTCATTCAACGCCTTGTCCTCACTGCCTGCCTGTCTCGTACAATTCGTGGTCATACTCATCCATAACTTACCTTTCCACACCTGTTTCCCAAAGAAGGCAAACACGACCAAACATGCGTCTCACCACGTCCACATCCACTGCCCGCATTGGCAACGTCGAGATCCGCGGGGTGCAGCATGTACTCGAGCTGGAAGCCCTTGACACGTCCTTTGAGGCCATCTCGAACACCCCCAGGGGCTCTCATCACCATACGTACTCTCCCACCAAAAGTCAGTCAGTCTCTCCAGAGGACCTGTATGCGGTCCAGTCACGCACCGCAATCGTGGTTCCCTGTAAAGACGAGTCTCTCGAGCGCATCCACGGCGTCTGGGCTGCCATTCCGTCCAGCAGTCTGATCATACTGGTCTCTGCGTCTGAAGTGGAGGCTTATGTCCAGGAACGCACCAAGCTGGCAAACTTCTGCCGGCTGACTGGGCGTAACGCCATCGCTATCCATCAATGTGATCCCACGATCGCCGCCGCTTTGCGCGCTGTGGGCTTGCCCGAGCTCCTGGATGACAAAGGCGACGGTCTAGTGCACAGAGGCAAGGGAGAGGCATTGGCTATCGGCATCGCTCTGGCTGCTACCGCACGAGGACCTCCCGATACAAAAAGCATTGGCCAGCGCACGGGGGAGGACACGTGCGGATGTTACACCAGTGAGGATGAGGTGAAGGGTCACCTGCAGTGTGATTTGTGTGACAACTATCAAACGGGTAGTTTCAGTCATAGGGATACACAGCATACTTGCACTTGCAGGAGGGCTGCCGATTGTACCGACTGCTGCCAGGCCAAGACTGATCAGGCCGTTTCCTGTACCCAGAGGCCGACAGAGAATACCCGCAGCGTTTGTGGGTACTATAAGTATATCGGCTTTGTGGATGCAGACAACTTCATCCCTGGCAGTGTGCATGAGTACTGCCGTGCCTTCAGCGCGGGACTGCACCTTGCACAAGCCGAGGACTCCATGGTCCGCATCAGCTGGGCCAGCAAGCCCAAAGTCCACAACGGCAAGATCGAATTCAAGCAGTTGGGCCGGAGCAGCGAGATCGTGAACCAGTGGCTCAACAAGTTGTTGGAGAAGATGGATGCGAATATCGAGACTGATGCTGATGCCAGTCGGGAGACGGAGGCTCCTGGCCTCATCTGCACCGGAAACGCGGGCGAGCATGCCATGACTTTATCCTTGGCCCTCAAGCTGCGCGTTGCCAGTGGATATGCTATCGAGCCATTCCACTTCCTGGACATCTTGGAGCGCTTTGTGGGAGGGCAGGACGCCAGTGTGATAGGTAACATGGACAAGAGAGGCAAGACGGCCGCCTCGAGCCCCAGCACCCTGCCCACGCCAGCTACCGACGCGGAACAGCCACTCGGGTTGCTCAAGTCCCTCTCGCTGCTGCCTTCACCTGCCCAGTCTCCGATGGATGGTTCTCCTGTTATGTCGACACCAGGTGGCTCAATCTTTCCAACCTCGCCATCTGTCGTCTCTACCGATTTGTGCAGCGTTCCGGCGAATCAGCCACTGCCTCCATCCCTCATCAGCCGAGATTCCTACCAGACGATGGAGGCACATACGCCTGCGCCAAACGATATCACTCCTCCTAACTCTCCTATCTCGGCTACTGAACAGCCTAAACCCACGATCCAGATCCTCCAGATCCGCACCATCAACCCACACTTTCACGACAATAAGGGCGAGGCCCACATCGCACGCATGTGGAAGCAAGGCCTTTCTGCAATCTACCACTCCCCGCTCACCCACGTTGATGCGCTCACCCAGTACTGTGAGAACTTGAGAAGTGCCATCTTCTGCAGTCACAACGGCAACGGCATGCCCAACATGCCCACGCCGTCGTGCTCCGGCGGCGTCTCCTCTGCGTCAGTAGCTCCTCGCTCCGCAGATGACAACAGCAGTACGCATGCTGCAGTCGTGACAGCGGCCAAGCAGGAGCCTGAGAGATGTCGCATCTACCCGCCTACGGGTACTGGAAATTTGTTCAAGCTGAGGGCGAGGCTGGAGAGCCAAGGGGGAAGCTTCTGGTGGAGTGGAATAGGCTCGGCCGAAACCTCCAGACCCGACCGAACTCTCCAGACTTGGCTTCGACCCGGTGAATGTGCTTGGTCTCGAGCCAGTCAGCCGAGAGAGGCGTGAGGAGGAGGAGGATGTTGACGGTTTCAAGACCGACGTGGATGAAGGTCGATGAGCGCCCCATGCTGGTCATGGCGTCTCCAGTGACAGGTGCAAGGAGACACATGAAACCTTACGGTTGTCTGTTGTCCCCCACTTGTCCCATATTCATACAAAATATTGAACAGTCACTTCCCGGCCGAGGCTTCAATGCAAATAGCACATGATTATGTCTCGACCACAATGTGATTTGAACACTTGAGGCCCGGAACAGAAGAAAAGGAGAAAATCTTTTGACCAACGAGGCATATACAGCCAGACACGTTTACCAGAGAAAAGGGCAGATTACGGAGGTATCTCCCAAAAACAGAAGAGAAACGGCACATAACAGGAGAAAAGACAATAGACATCTGCTAGACTGAAGTTGCAAGGTGTTATGAGCATGTGTATTGTTGCTGACAAACAAATTCTTGAAATACAGAATTCTCGGGCCGAGCGAGCTGAGTAAGTATGGTAGGTACATGGATGTAATTAGTATTAGAAAATCCAAAATCTTAATTGGACAATGGACTCCAGAAGAACACGACGACATGTTGCTTCCCGTGAGATGAATCAATTTCCTTGTAGGGCTCGGAACAATGAGTGACACGATTATGTTGCTAGTTTGAGAATATTTCCCTTTTCTATGAACAGACATTTTCAAAGCCTTAGTCTGCTATACTGCATACTTGCTCTTTTATGTTTGCCCACTATTTGTACTGATGGTACGCAGCTTCTTAGAAAAGGCAAGAAAAGGAAACTTCAGACTCCCCATAAAACCTCGCAGCCACTCCGTACTGAAAGAGGCAGACCACCAAGCAAATCCCCTGCGGTCAGTTGTCAATGCTAAATTTTGTCTTTTTTCTCCTTGTTCTTCTTTCTTGTCCCACCTGGACCCCCCCCCCCCCCGCTTCTGCCTTTTTCTTCCTTTTGTCCTTCTCCGCAGAGGAGGCCACAACGCATTACCCCTCCTCCACCTGCTCCTCAGCCTTTCTCCACCCATTTATGTCTTGTTGTTCTCAAACAGTTACCCACTGCCCTTCCCCCTTTCCACAGTAATCCATCCTACTCCTCCTCCTGCTGCTGCTGCTGCTGCCGCTGCCGCCCTCAAAAAAAATAAAAAAAATAAGAAGGCCCCCACCGCCTTGCATCCCGCATTGGAAGGACAAGAAGAAGCCCAGGACCAGGCAAAAGAAAGCCACACACAAAGCCTAGACCCCGCAGGGTGGGTAGTAGCGGGGCAGCTTGCAGCCCCGTTCCGGCTGAGGGCCCCCCTTGCCTGCATTGCATTGCATGAAGAGAAGGGGGGGGGGGGCGAGGGAAATTGTGGACCTTGAATGTGTTGTTCGTGCGTCTGTGTTTTCTTTGTTGACCTTTGGATATTTCTTGTTTCTATTCTCTTCGATGGGGAGGATTATTGTCTGGGTTTTGTTATGGGTAGTCGTGTTTGTTTCTGGATTTCAGGGTCCATTGACCGCCTGAATCGTATTGTGATCTGCTGCCAACGTTTGCTGCTACCTGACGTTGCTGTCTGTTCTGGTGTGTGTTGGTACTATTACTTTGGGTACGTGATTTCTCACAGTGGAGGCGTGTTGAGGTGGCAACTACACACGTAAACATACACGTAATTTAGGCTTTTGTATGATAACTACCTACTTAACAATCTACCAGACAACACAACATGAAAAGACAAGAGAAGAACGGGAGCCAGGTCAGCCAGGTCGCCTGGTCAGGGAAACCAAAACCACCACCGCTCGACCTCCCCTCATGCGTCCGTGCTCTGCTGTCCTCTCCCAGTCGACGAGGTGAGGTGAGGTGGATATAGACTTCGCCCCTCCCCCTCCCCCTCCCCCACCGCAATACATCCATTACAAAGTACACAACAGAGGGTAGGGGACCCTGTGAGCCAAACGAAGGCCGCACGACCATTCCATCCGTTACAACCAAAAGGGTCTCGATCAGATCAAGCACGAGTCAGCAAGAAGGCAAACCCTTTTCCTCGGAAGGTTGTTCGTATAATTTATTACGTACATGGTAGTGCTGCTATGTGCACATGCTCCGGAAGATCCGACTCACCCTCTCACCCTCTCAATCTTTCTGCTGTCTCTCTCACTCTTTTCACACTCTTCTATCCGTCTCCGAAAATAGAAAATTGAGACCCTGAGACACACAAGAGAGGAGAATTTGGGATGTCCTGGTACTCACCAGCAAGAGAAGAAACCACAGCTTCCCCTCTTTCCTCTCTCGTGATAGGTCAATTGCACCCTGCGGAGACACAAGAAGAGAGGAGAGGGTCCACCCACAGTCTGTCCAGGCCGGGGGTCCCGGATCCTTTCCCTCCTCATTCCTTCTCCCCATGTCAACAAAACAACAAGCAAGAATCCCCATCCCCCAGCAGAACAAGTCTGTCCATCTCTTTTGCCCGTGCCCCCTCTCCCCCCTCCTACGGAATTAACCATGTGGCATTGTTTGGTTCTGGTAAAGTGCCGCCAGATAAAATTTCCAAAAAAAAACAAAAAACCAAACAAACCAGTAACTACAGACCTCCTCCAACTTAGCTCTGGCGCCGGTGCCGCGCAAGGTGCGGCTGGGGCCTCTGCAGTGATGGACTTTTCGCGCCTCTTTTGCAGTGGGAACAATCTTTGGGGAACCCATCGACTGACGTGGATGCGATATCTTGGATCGCCTCCCCCTCTCCTCTCCTCCCTTCCATGCATGTGGTTTGCCTCCGCCTCTGGGGAAAAGAAGAAAGCTGACTTTGCATCTCGGGACAGTCTTTAGTTGGTTTTTGTTTCGTAAATTTTCTTTTAATTAATTTGAATTTGGAAATCTTGACATGATGATACGTAAATACAAAGTACCATCTGGTAAGAGGAAAACTAGTGGTCGGGTGAAAGGCATTCATCCATTCATCTTGTTGAGAGGGAAGCCGTGGGACAACCAGAGTCAAAATACCATCGTCGAGCTAGAATCGTGTCATGTCATGGGTGGAGTCCGATGCGAGCCTTTGCCTGTTGTCCGCACGACGGTACTATGGTACTTACTGTACAAAGCTACTAACCATAGTAGTAGTGCTGCAGTAGCCGGGCCACTGCCGGTGCTGAATACATGATCCGTCTCCGTCCAGTCCGCGCTGTCACATTAGTTGAACGGCTGAATCTTTCCAAGAATACTCAATTGATCATAATTACTCTGAGTTTCAGACAGTCGAAAGGCTCGAGGCTCGTCAAAGCATTCTGTGTATGTGTGAAGGGAGAAGAATTGGTTGTATCATTTTCCGTAGATCCCCAGCCTGTAGCCATCTTCCCAACGAACCCAGACGCTATTTTTGAGAAATGAAGCCGTTTTTGCCATGCCCCTTTTTGGACTGTCAACCGTCCAGCGCCCCTCCGCCCAAAGCATGAGTCCCGAACTTTCCAAAAAGATATACACGTCTAGTCTGGTCAAGATACTTCTAGTCGTTGGAACTCTTTTCTCGTATAATTGTACAAAATACAGGGGTTGGTACTGTGGCAGGTATCCCTGGTAGCCGATTTGGTGTGTACCTTTCGGTCGTGGTGGTTTGTGGTGGTGGTTGGACAGCGCCGTCAAGAAAGGAGCTGGTGTGATAGACAGGCAGGCAGGTAGATAGCGTAAAATCGTACTACCGCTGGTGTTATTTTGCTCTGGGCATCTCCCTGCAGGGCCACTGCCTAGTAGTCGCACAGCATCTCATTGAGCTCAGCAAGACTGACTGTCTCGGGATTCCGGATGTCGAGGAAGCCGTCGAGCGAGGGCCAGACCCCGTCCGACTTGTCTTCTTTCTTAATGTCAACGGAATAGAAGGGCCGGATTGCTGGGCTAGCGAGGAGACTGCCGAGAACGGTTGTCGCGGGGGCGAGAGAAGTCGGCGCCGCAGCAACAGCTGGGGCGGCAGCCCTCTCGCCAAAGAGGGTCTCGTACTTGGCATGATCGTCCGCCGCATCCAGTGTCGGGACGGCAGCGAGCTCTGCCCGGCCGTTGAGAAACTCGCCGCTAAGCTTGCGCCTCTGGAGGCCGTCGGCCGTCTGTGTGAATTCCTTCTCGTCCTTTTCGAGTGGTGGCTCGGCCCCCCTCTGCACTTGTGCCGCAAGGGTCAGCACTGAGTGCCGGCCCGAATAGGACCCGATGGGTGTCCCGGGCATGGGAATATCATCATCCATGTCATCAAGCTCCGGCGCAGACAAATCGACCTCGGGCGATGGGCTGAGCTCGCGCCTCCTCTCGTCGTCGTCAGGGTCGGAGCCAGAGGAAGCGCTGGGGGTTGGGAGCTCGCGCGGCGCCTTGGATACAGACAGCACGGGGTCGGGGAGGGGTTGGTGGGGAACTGTTGTGAGGTAGAAGTATGTCCTGCGCGGGTGGACGTTCTCGAGCTCTTTGGCCAGCGGGCAAGGGTTCTTTGCGCTCCAGCCAGAACGCTTGAGATAGCCGGAGAGCCGGGAGGAGATGATGGCGCACGGGTTGGCAGACCTGTGAGTTGGGCGCGGCGTCAGCACGAGAGGATGGGGTAGAGGGTCAGGGGAGGGAGGGGAGAAAGAGAAAGGGCAGAGCGGGCGAGGGCTGGTGGTGGAGGAGGATGGAGAGGATATGTTACATACTGTTGCACAATCTTGACCTGCTTCATCAAGATAGCAGCAAGGTCCCTGACGATGTGAGGGCGGTTGCGCGTAGCCTGTAGCTGGGCGATGACAGCCCTGACGATGTCATCGTCGATGGTCGCCAGGTCGATGCCTGCCTCGCAGACGGCCTCATCATCGGAATCGTGCATGGCTTCGGAGACAGCTCTTGTCCGGTGTTTTGGCGAGGGCGGAGGGGTGTTCGCGTCTGTCTGGCGGCGCTTGGGTGCGGGTGCGGCGGAGTGGTCGCCCTCAGTAGCAGCGGCGTGGGAGCTTGCGTGCGAGCGTTTTATCTTCCTGGACGAGGCCTGTGCGGGAGCGTCGGAAGCCTGGGCCTCAGGCTGAACCTTGGTAGGCACGAGATCGGCAGGGCTGCGCGGGGAGAAAGTTGGGGAGGAGGTCCTTGATGATGTCGTCGAGACGGCGCTATGGTTCCCACTGACTGCTGAGGAGGCACTTGGGGAGTGCCTGTTTGCGATGGCGGCCGCAGCTGCCCTTGCTGCGTTGCTCACAGGCACGTGGATGCCCAGCGAGGGGAGGGACAACGACTTGCGACGGGTATTGTACGGCATCTTGGGAGGCAACGGCGACTGGGCAGAACGGACGGAGGACAGAGACAATTCAACGTATTGTTTTCCCTTGCAAACACTCTGTAACGTCGAGTGTATGGTCTTGTATTTTCTTCTTCCTTTTCCCAAGCAGTGACGGCCGGCGACAGTAGCAAGAATAGGCAGGCGACGGGACCAAACGATCAGACACACGCGCCAAGTTATACAAGTTGTTTGGGGTCGCTGAGAGAATGTTGGATGTTCTTTTCCTTTTTTCTCTTTCCAGACAAGAGAAATAGAAAAAAGACGAGACAAGACGGCGCAGGAAATATCTGAAGTTGCTCTTGGTGATGACTGTTGGTGATGGTACAAGGTAGTTGATGGTACAGTAGAGTCAGACAGTACGAAATAAAATTCGAGAGAGGTAATACCTGAATAAAGGGAGGGTTATCGATGGATGGATGGGATGGGGATGGTTTGGAACGAGGAAAATGTCGGGGAGTAGAAAGGGGGGGGGGAGGAGGGTGTCAGGTAGCAACCAGAATTGGTGGCGGGCGTTGCTTGAGAAAGTTCGCGCGGCTCTAGGCAAGGTTGTGTACAAGTCGACGTTGCGAAAGGTACCATTGCAGCAGGCGGTGGCGTGTTAGGTACATGATTGTGGTTGAGAGGCAGACACCTGAGACGAGAGACAGACAGGGCACTGCAGGTTGAACAAGGGGGCCTGTACAAACCTGGGCGGGTGGAGAAATGAATGCAGAGTGAGCTGCAGCACCAGCACCACTACCACTACCCCTAAGCTTGCGCAGAGGCCAACGCCTGGCCTGACCCTTGGCTATCCCTGCCATCGCCAGCCTTAGCGCAACCTGTCTATCCCTGCCGTCGCCCCGTCAGAGCCCCCACCCTCTGCCCAATCAGGACTGGCGTAGAGAAAGGATGGAAGAAGAAAAAAAGAAGCGAAGAAAAAAGACCTCTTTCTGACGTTACACGATCCGACCCACTCCCTTTGCAACCCGCAACTTTCCATGCTGCATGGAATGCATCATCGTGGAAAAGGCGGTAAAAAAAACCCCCCAACCAGTCAGCCAGTTCATCGCCAACACTTACAATCTATGGTACAGAATCTGGATATGGAGGAGGGGAGGAGAGATGGAGATCAACTCGCTATACGTCCAGCCAGAGTCATGAACTCAACTCGATCGAGGCTATACCGAAAACAAAAACCTATTGATCATAGTATGAGCTACTTTGCCAGGTCTGTCTCCTCTCTCTTGCCAACCTTCTTGACAAGCGGAGCAAATCAGAAGATGATGCTGCCACACCTTTGGAAACCTTAACAGGTGCAATGCTCTTACTTGTACCATAGTATGGTGTTATGGTACATGGGACACACTGTAGTATACACACCATCACCACAAGCTAACCTCTGCATCCTCAAGCTTCCAGCCTTTGCACAGTTTGCGAAGGGCCGACCCTCTTCTCTCTGTTTTTCTTACCATAGCGGCTACTGCTGCCATTGTTTGGCTACACAACCACATGCCAGGCTTCAACCATGCTATCATTCCTTGCCGTCTCATGGCCAATCTCTCTGGCTGACATGCATGTCTCACTTGCAGTCCCTTGCCGCCATCAACCTGCAAACGGACCACGGAACGAATAACAAGCAACAAATAACAGATACTATTGACAGCAGCATTGTAGTACAAGTAATTCCCTACGACCTGGGGAGGGATTTCGCATCCGAGGCCCCTCGTGTTCTTGTCTCCTCTCTTGTCATTGCCCTCCACTTTTCACATTGATCCGTCTCTCTCCACCGAGGCAAAAAAAAAAAAGGAAGAAGAAAGAAAGAAAAAAAAACCAATACCGAGATGGAGCTTTCAAGTCATGATTCCATGGGTCAATGGCCCAATGACATGACACAAAATTAGAATCGGCATCCGGGAACGAAGGCGGAGAGACTGGAACAGAGAGGGAAGAAAAAAATAGAAAGGAAAAAATTCTCAAGGTCCAGCAGGGATATAGGCATCGGCTAGTCCTGAAGGGGCAAATAAACTGACCACCCCATTCTGCAGAGACCCAGGCGATGACACGTCCCCTGCTGCAGTGTGGAGTGACGTGCAAGATCATCTCTCTATTTCTCTCTTCGCAACCTTTTTTCTTTTTCTTTTTTTTTCTTTCTGGGCCCTAAGCTTGCTTTGCCTCTAGCCTGGACGGGGCCTGGCTCCTTCTGCCAGCTGTTTCCAGGTCGACTAAAACTGGCTTTGATCTGAACGACCCCATCATGCGACTCATGGAATCCTTCTCGAAGGAAAATTGGGATTGCCGGCGGTAGTACTTGTAGCAAAGAAGTTGAAGAGAGGAGGGAGGAGGAGAGAGAGTGGACAGAATGGGTTAACAAACAACACGGGTCCCATAAATTTTCCCCAAGCGGTAGTCCCACGTTCGTAACAACTTCTCACACCTCCTGCACGTTGTCGACCTCTGACTGGACAGGGCTGCATCGAAACCCCGGATTCCAGATCTAGCATATTGCATCGTCCAGGGCTTTGCAGGATATACTGTGGTGCATTGTCAGATGCAAGGAGGTGAGCAAGGGAGGATAAGAAGAGGAAGATACGAAAAAAAGGTGAGGGAAGAGAAGGAAAAAGAAGTCAGTGCCAGCCATGCAACAACGCCGCACACATACTATGGTAAACACACACACACACACACACACACGTCACGGCGATCAACAGCAAAACGCCCCCTCCGTCCTCCTCCTGGATGGATGGAACGGTCCAGGGCGCGGTCTGAGCTGAGCTGACTTGACAGCTCCAACAAGCACTAGAGCGAACCCCCTGTTCGCAGGAGGGGGGTGGGAGAACAAAGACAATAGACGAGAACGGAGGTTTGGTTTTTTTTTCTCTTCTTCTTTCGATCCCCCCCTTCTCTCTCTTTCGAGGATCATCGCACCGACTTTTCTGCCAATGACGACAGCGCCTTCTTGATGGAGTGTAGCAAAGGAGCAGTTAAAAAAGAAAAGAGAAAGGCGGTCCAGAGTGTCGCGTGTCAAGCAGATTTCTGACCCCCCCCTCTTTTCTTTTTTTCCTTTTCTTTTCCCTCCCTCCCCCTCTCAGTTAGCCGACCACCCGATTCGGATAGGGTCCCGGTATTGAAGATGGTGAATGGGTAGTGTGCCTCAGGCCCTTATCCTTGAACGCTGAAGCGATGCCTTGCCATGCAATGCAACACACAGTACCAAAAGACCTCCATCTGAGGCTGGGCGGTGAGGCGGGTTATAGTATGGGCACGTATAGCAGCAGCAGTGTAGAGTCAGGTTCCCCCCCTTGGCACGAAAAAAAAAACAAAAAAAAACACTGGATAACCAAACTTTACTACAATAAGCACAATGAACCGCGCCGTTTCACACGCCACGACTTGTGTCTTCCCTCCTCTCCTTTACCAGCCACATGATGTGATCAGCAAGATAGTCCATGTATGTAGTAGGTTTGTTACCTCAGGAGGTGGCTGTCGCCCTCGTACGGGTAAAGAGACCGAGTCCTTCCCCCCCCCCCCCTTCCCTAGTAGTTGTTTCGCATGACCCAACGTAACCTCGAAGGACCCGGCCGAAACCACCAGACTCGGCCGTGATATTCATTCTCTTGAGTCGGTCAACCCGACCCACTACAAAAAGCTGACGCCGCTCAGGATCGAGATCAATCAAAACCAGCTCCCTTTCCCCCTCATTCTTTTCCCCTGTCATTCTCTCCGCCCAAAACAATCAGAAAAAAGACATACAATGTTTTACTCCTTTCTTGAAAGAGACAAATCACCAATCGTATCGCTACTATGATAGATACCCATCCGCAGAAAACTGCCCATCAATTGCAAACCTCGATCCCCCAAAACCTTGAAATGTGATGCCTGGAAATGTAGTAGTGAGTGGTTTGTTGATCAGGGACATGGGCTCAGTTCACCGAAACTAAATGGAAACTTCATATGGACTAAGTACTTATGATGGTGACTGACATGGGGCCCGGCCTTGGTCCCGGGACGCTCGCCGGTTGGACGAGCATGCCTTGATAAGGATGGCCTTCTTGGCTGGGCTGGCTGGCGATCGTCCAACAATTCCCCCTCCTGAAAAGCCAAGGCGCCTGAATGCCCTCATTGTCTAAGTTCGACACTACTCGGCTAGAGTGGGTACCTGACGTAGAGGTACATCATCTTAACCCAGGTCCAGGATGTTGATCACTTGGGAGCTTCATCTCACAGCTGCCGGGCAAAAAAACTAGGGGGCTCGTGGACCTTGTCAATACTGGCGTGGCTCATAAGTGAGCATCGAGTCTCTTCTCAATTGATTTCGTATTATCATGTACTCATACAGATATACACGGACAACCACGTACTTCGGTGAATCACTTTTTGACTTGCATCTCTATGCACTGTCCGTTAATGTCGACCCCTGACTCCCGGCCTATCTATCAAACCAAAAAAACCATTTGACGCCCCATTCCGAACCAGCCAGCCCAGAATCCTATAAACTCCTCCCCCAGACTTTTGATAGTACATGCATGCATCTGTGTCGAGTCGTGTAGTGTGTAGTCGCACTTTCGGCCATCCGAGCCTTCTCCAGGAGTGCGCCATTGTTACATCGATCACTGGCCCTTATATTACACCCTATGTTGGTGTTTGGTCCTCGCCCGCCTTCGCTTTCATCGTGACCAGCGTCTCTAGACCTGACCATTCGCGAGTTGTGCAAATTTGTCGCCCACCTATGAATTTCCCCATCATTAGCACCCGGTCTTTTGGGGGTATGTACATATTTCCAAATTGGTTGCTTACCTCAGGATTGGCCTTGACAAACGGCAGATCAAAGAACATGTACCTCTCGTTCCTGGCCAGCTCAGCCACCGTCGATAGTAGGCCCCATGGCTGCGGCCAGTAGCCGAGTAGGCGCTCCAGCAACGCTCGTGTGATTTGCTCGCGAACCTCCGTCTCCTCCGGGTCCGTCAGGTCATGCGCAAAGACATGCAGAAGAAGCTCCCTGAAGAACGGCACGTCTGGGCTGACTCCTTGCAGGTGGTTCACCATGCTTAGGATGAGGTAATATCGTGCCTCCGGACCCAGCTCGAGCAGCAGCATAGACAGTATTAGGACAGACGGGGCATCTGGATCAAGAGCTTGCTGACCCGCCTGCTTGTGACCGATGTATGACGTGAGGGCGTCGATGACAGCAAGGTTGGCGTGGATGGTGAGATACCCGAAGCCTGTCTTGCCCTCAGTGCGTGTGGTGGCGTGCGTCAAGTGCGCAATGGCGTCCTCGGATGGCCCATTCTCAAGAGCTGAGTTGAGCATGTCCAGCAATCCCATGCTTTGCAGGAAGTTGGCGGCCTGCTCCGGCCCCTGAGGTACTGCATCCCGACTCTCCATAGAGCTCGATCCCTGTTCCAGCGGATCAGGCAGCTTGTTGGCCGATGCCATGAGGACGGTGTTGATAAGCTGTGTACAGTGAGGCGGGATACTGGCCAGTATAGCCGCCGAGTTCGCAGCCACATAGTGCGGATAATCGTGCTCCAGCACGATCAACAGCTTGACAGCCGTCTCGTAGAGCTTGCTGGCGGTTTCAGACAGCTCCAGATGCTTCAGCGATTCTCCCACAAAATCTAACAGCTGTTTGAGGAGTTTGGTGTAGGCATCCCATCCTGGCCCAGCGCCCAGCTTCATGATCTCGGGCAAGAAAGCTCGATGGTAGATGAGAGCCATCCATCCGTAGACGAAGCCGGGGATGAGGCTGGGTCCGAGAGCGTTGAGCCTTGCTGCCATCTTCAGCAGGGCACGTCCCCAGTCGGCGCTGCCTTGCTCTTCGAAGAAGGCCTTGCTCTCGAAGATGAGGTCGGAGAAGAATCTGAAGAAAACCCGTTGGTTGAACAACTCTGCCCTCTTGACGGTGTGCAAGTTGACAATCATCGTAGCCAGAACCCAGGCAGACTCAATGAGCCAAATCGGGGTCACTGCGCCGTCCTCGAACTCCCCACACTTGGCGAACTCCACTATGAGCTTCGTCAGGGCGTCAACGAAGACAAACGCCTCCTCGATCGAGATGCCCGCGGTGACAGCCTGTTCTACATGCGCCACGGAGCTGTCCAGGGCAACGCGGATGAACAAGAACAGGTCATCCTTGGAACGAACGACATCGCTGTCCTGCATTTGCTTCAAGAAGTTGCGCACGAGCTTATCGGTCATCTGAGCACTGCGGAAACGATTGACCCACTCCTCGAAGACGTATTCCATCTGTTCCTGGCGTGCGAAAATCCTGTCCTCGCGTGTCTGTGTTGATATCTGTTGCGCGCGGACAGCGTCCAGGACTGACTTGAGATGGTCGCCGCGCGGTACCTCGTGATCTTCCATGATCCAAGCATACGCCGCGTCGACACTAAGGCCAAGATTTGCGAAGAGTGCCATCGGGACATCACTGAGGATTGTCATCTTCACGATCTCATCCAGTAGATGCAGCCCTGCCTGATCCTTCTGCCTGATGTGTCGGGCAAGTGCCTCATCAAGTGTGCGCCAGTCGAGGAACTCGGTTCCCGCAAAGGCTTTGATAAGAGGCAGGCGAAGGAATCTCTGCGGTGTCTCGAGGCGCTGGAAGAAGTTCTTCGCGTAGTCGCTGACCGCAGGACCCAGCATCCGGCGGAGGGTAGTAAGAGCATGGATGAAAGTCTCCAAGACAAGGTTGTCCTCAACGGGGCCGACCAGTGCCTCGCACATGGACAACATTACGAAGGTAATATAATCCTCAGACGTATTCCGCGTCTTAATGATCACGGAGATGAGGGCATCCATTGTCTCGAGAACAGCATGGCCCCGCGGAAGCTCGTCATAATGCTCCTCCGACGCCTCGGTCGCCGCCCTCTGCAAATCCTGGAAGAGCTTCTGGGTCCTCTGGGCAAGAAGACCAAGATCAGGCCCACTGGCAGCAGGCTGTCGTCCATTTGTCAATCCGGCATGGCCATGAGAGTAGCTTGGAGCGTGTCCAGAAACCGAAGGCAGTGAAGGGGTCTCAGCAGGGGTAGGGATGGCCGGCAGAGAGCTGTATTGGTCTTGCAGCACTTCGTTGGCCATAGACCTAGTCGCGTCTGATGTGGAGGCGATATGTGACGGGGTGTTAGTAGTCGAAGCTGGATGAGGTTGCCGCTGGAACTCCTCGTAGATGGCCATTTGCTCGGGATTCAGCCCGCCCATGCTAGGTGCCATCTTGTAAGGGTCGGGCATAGTCATAGCCCACCGATTCAAGGAAGCATCGACGTATGGCTGATTCGGTCGTTGCATCCGGTGGCGACGTCGGGCTTCCACCTCCGCTTCAATCATTTCCTCAATCTCGGGAACGGCCCGCCTCTCAGCTGCCTCCTCTATGACGCCAGACGCAAGCTCGAGATTGGAGTTGACACACATGATAATTGTGCCTTCTGGTAGACCTCCAACAATATCTCCCGAGAGCTGGCGCATATAGTTGGTGAAATTGGCGCGGAGTGGTTCCTTGCTAGTGACAAGTGCCAGGCTGCCCGCAGTCGCCTTCACCATGCTAATGGCACAGTTTCGCACACGGTTCTCGTCAGGCTCGGTCGCGAAGTCCTTGCGTATCATCTGTTGCGTGCTGATAGCCGCAATAGTGACGGATCGGTCCACGACAGGCTGAATAATATCCTGCAAAGCCTTGTTGAAGGCCGTGTGGACGATGTCACGCAGGCGACTGCTGCTGACGACCATCTCATTGCTGGGAGGAATGATCAGGCGAGATCCGAGGTCTGGTATGGAGGGTACAGCGACCTGAGGCAGCAGATTGCTGACCACACGTTGGCCGATTCCATTGAGAGACAAATTGTCGAAGGCCTCCAGTCCATCGGCCTGGGGAACCTGTGCAGGTTCTTCCAGGACCACACGATTCAGAATTTCTCCGGATGGCTCGATGCTCTTGTGGTCCAAGTTTAAATTCTTGCACAATACTTCGATCTCGAACTTCTGGTTGAGTTTGATGTCTGCATTGTGGTATAGCTCGATCAGAAGGTGGATGATATCCATCAGCCAGGGATTCGGTGGACGGAACACAGTTGACGCTTTGCCTTGGTCCAGGACCTTGCACACAAATGGGATGACGACGATTAGCCTCTTCGTATCGTGTGCCTCGATGAGTAGCTGCTTGAAGGCGATATTCTGATGTCGAATAGGCTTATCCCGTGCTAGAGTTAGCATGCCCAGCCAGCCACCCAGGTTCTTCAAGTGGGCTCGCTCCGTCGCGCTGTGCATTGTGCCCTCCGAGTTGAGCAATTGCGAAACGCAGACGAGGGTAGCCCTTTGGATCTCGGCCCACAGCGAGTTGTCCTCAAATAATTTGACCAGATCGAGGTACATCTGGTGAAGGTTCGGCTGCATTTTGGCGCGCTCTTGGACTAGGTGTATGGCAAACCACTGCTGGTGCTTGCGTTCCACCGAATCACGGATCGCATCGAAGCGAGAGCGCAGTGAGGACTGATCGATATTGTTAAGGTTGAACTGGATCTTGTCCTGGTCATCGTCTGTCGGGTCTACGAAATCGACGCCGTAGGGAGGAGGTTCCACGTTGATGGACGCAAAGGGCGCAAATTGCGGCTCAATGGCTTCCGAGACATTGCCGTTGGTAAGGGCTTCGAGACCACCATTCGACAGACGTGCTGGCCCTTCCTCGCTGACGCTGACGCTGACGACGGCCTCTGCCTCCTTGAATGCTTCCGTCCCCTGCAGGCTCTTGATCTGCACTAGTTGCTGACAGAAGCCTGGCCACTCCGGTAGACGACCGTACATCTTGCTAAGGGCCTGCAGACCAAATCTGTACATGTTTTCCTCTGCAGCGTACTCCCTGAAGGACTCGAGGATCATGCCAAGACCAACATTCAGGGGAATACCATCGATAAGTTTTCTGGAAATCATACCCCCGAAAAGAACTGCCGTAGTTGCGAGGGCCTTGGTAGGATAGCTGATGAAGTGCATGTACTCGTCGAAGAGGCCGTGAATCATACAAGCGAAGATGTCCTGGTCGAGGGGATTGCGGGAATGTTTGTAGCTGTCCAAAGCCCCGACGACGTCCTTCACTTCAATCTGTTCATTATACATGCTCTTGTAGTGATCCTCCATCCTGGCAGTAGCAGCAGGCGGGAGGTGGTTGCCGTCCTTGCCGTTGGCATCAATGACGTCGTCGTACTCGCCTCCATAGTTGATCAAGCGTGGGTACGCAGTCATGCAAGAGCGTTGACAGCCAATCCAGGCGGGCGTCTCGGGAGGCAGGAGCCCGGTCAACACATTCAGGAAACTGAAGACAGTTTTGACCTTCAGCGGGGTGGTCCTCAGGATAGGGTGCCCTTCCTGCGTGGGACGCTGGAACTCGCTCTCGCACTTGGCCTTGATGTTGACAAACTGAAGCAGCGCTGGCGCAAGCTCGGCACTCCTGGCTGAATTGGCCCTAATCCATTGCTCGAGGTCGAGCTGGCCCTCACCATGACCGAAAGCCACAAGGTCCAGCCCGAAGCCGTTGAACTCGTGGATAAAGTCATCGAGCCAGCCGTGATTGACGGCCTGCTCAAAGTATAGCGGTAAGTCTGTGGCTCGGATGGCATGCGTCTCAAGGAGCTTTTGCTTGACGAAATCTTTATCCTTTCGCCAGAGGCTGTCTAAGGCGAAGTCATATCCATCTTGCCTCTTGTAAAGAAAAGAATCGAACAGAGAGTTAAGGGTTTCAACCGCCAGACTGGGCCAGGGCTTCGGCACGCCAAATGCGGATACCACAAAGATGTGCAGGTTGGGGACAACAACGTCGTTGAAAAGGCGCTTAGCCTCTGTGCTCTGGGAGGCATGAACCGAGCTCAAGGCGACATCGAAGACCGCTGACAACGCATCGACCGAAACGAGTGGGTGCCTCGCGGCATGCTCTGCCACCTCACGTATGGCAGGTGGGGACTGTGCGTACTCGGCAAGGGTAAAGGTTGGTCGCAGGCCAGGGATTGTGCTCGCGTCCAACTGCTCCGGTGAGAGGCTGCCAAAAGCGCAGATAAAGGACAAATGCGCATCCGCGTTGGCCCAGTTCCCACCCCACAACCGCTGGATGTCAAAGTCAGACGCGCCGTCCTGCGCAACCAAAAGAAGGGCGCGATAGAGGCGCAGGAACTGGGGAGATGATATCCGCGCGCTAGGCTGGTCAAAGTATGAGATGACATCTTGCCATCTGAAGCCAGGCGGCAGGACTCGTTGCAGACCAGCAACCAGGGCGGACGGGTTGTGTTGAGGCTGGGGTGTCTGACTGATTGTGGTAAATGTGAGCGCGTTCGATACTTGCTCCTCGGTGAGTGGAATCGAGGAGGGACGGTCTCGCAGGAATCGGGCGCAGGTTTCTTCGTCTCGCGTGAAGTCGGGCCCGACTTTCTGAATGTACGACACAAGCGCGTTGGAAGGCTTGTCCACCAGCAGTCGGTTAAGATCCAGAGCCGCCAGCAACTCTGACGGGGGAGGCAGGTCGAGCAGGGCATATCGACTCTCAATTCTGGACGTGAGTTCTCTATGCGAAGCGGAGTTGAAATTGGGAGGGTGATGTTGGATGAGCCGGTCAACGATGAGAGCGAGGAATTGGGGGCTCAAGTCTTGATGGTCGCCCTCAGGCTGGGATACAAAGTTGAGGAAGGTGGGGAAGTTGGTCGAGAGGATCGCATCAGCTGGAAGGAGTGTTGTCAGTCAAGCAAAGTCAAGACAGCCAATCTGGTGGGACTTGTGACACGCCGCTGTGCTGCTGTCGGGTCACATACCTTTTGTTTTCAGATCAGGCCTAGTGCCCAGCTTGAAGGCCAAGGCTAATATGGTCTTCTCCAGCGCATCCAGCCTGAAGTGCTCCATGAATGTCGACAGATCAAAATCACGGAAGATATCCTCAGTCCCTGTCTCGATAGATTCGGAGATTTTCGTAGCCTGGTTGGCATCGTGGGAGATCTTGCGCATTTCTTCCTGAAGGAGAGAGTAGTTGCCCGGATTTGCTGCACCGCCAGTGGGCCTATTCAGACCAGGAAAGATCTGAGGCGCACTGGCAAGCACCAGCTTGGTGAAGTATTTTGTAAAGACCTCCATGCCGTGGTCATCTAGGAGCTGCATGTGGAAGTGATCTGTCAGTTGCGCCAACAGCAAGAATGGGAAGAAGGTGGGTGACAAGAGGCCTGGCCGGACAAAGCCCTAGCAAGGGAAACAGGCTGAATGCAGGCTCCAGGCTTGATGCTGGGTGGAATTGACCCTGCGGGCAGAGGGGGGGGGGGGGGGGACGTCGTACCTTGTTCAACCTTTTCCTCCTATTTTCGTACTCGACAGGATCGTCCTCCTTGGTCTTCAGGGTGCTTAACAGCACTGAGACCTGGGTAGCGGCGATCTTGGAGAGGCCGTAATTGCCAGTGGGACTGCTGGTACTTGGGCTAGCACCTGCACCCAGCACACCAGCCTGTGAAGGATGTGGAGAGTGGCTGATCCCAGTCTGTAGACCTGTGGAAGGAGTGGGAGAAAATGTTCCCGACGGTCGTGGGAGCATGAGTGATGAAGAGGAGGGGAGCAGGCGTAGACGGTTCTGTTATCCGTGACTGGACAGGACAGAGCCGCGCCTCTGCTGCTGGGGTAGCCGTTGAGGTATGATCGAGTGGAGTCGAAGGAAAGGTTTATCGACAGGACCGGCGCATATGTGGCAGCTATCGTTGCGATGGAAGAACGGAGAGGGTGGCAGAGATGAGGAGAAGAGAGAGGCGGCAGTGGTGAGAAGTTCTGTGTCGTCGATTTGTCAAACTCAGAGAGGTGTGTCGAAGCGTGTCTTCAGGTTTGCTGCAGGCGAGAGAGTTTAGGGTTGCGCAACAACAAAGCAAAGGCAGGGCAGGTTGCGTCGAAGGCTGTGTGACTGTGGCAAGCTGTCTTGGGCTGTTGGATGTGGAAGAAGCTGTCACAGGGCAAGGGCGCACAGCTTCGCAGGGTTGCAGTTGTGCAGTTGTGCGCAAAGGATCGGTATAGGGAGGGTCAGCGAAGGGGAGCTGGTCAGGGAGATGACGAGGTGTGGGAAGAGGTTATCAATGGGGGATGAAGCTGTCAGTAGAAAATTCGACCAGGGAGGTACCAGAGTTGCAGATGTTGGGGTTCGGATGGCAGTGTTCTTGGTGGATTGGTTGTCTCAGGTCGAGCTTTTACTTTGCCGATCTCGAGTTGAAGTCTGCCAGTCAGCCAGCCAGTCAGCCAGTTCAGCGGCGGTGGTGCTCCAACGGCTACTCCAAAGGTGTGCAAGCCTTGTGAGGCATGGTCTGTGCGCTAACTACAGCCAAAGGGGGGAAGGAGAGAGGGGGCAGGCATCTGAGTCAAAAGTTGGTCCAAGCTCCTGCTCCACCATACGAACCCTAACCCTCAGATCTCTTTCACCCCCCATTGTTTGGGAATTTCTTACTGAAGTTGCTGCAGTATTTAGGTGGGTTATCACCTGAGGGCTTACCGCATCCTTTACTCTCTCAAAGTCTACCATGGTACAGGAACGTTTTCATATCCGGCTCAATTAGGAGGCTAGAAAATAACAACACATTGTGTGACAACTATCGTATCTGAAAGCTTGTGTGAAACCAATAAAGCTGGTTTCTCCGTGCCACCATTCTGACTTGTACATTCAAAGCTCACTGCGGTAGCTGCTGTATGCCGTGGTCCATAAGCTAAATATATACACACATTTCGGCAGACTTCATTCAGCTGGGCGTGAGATGTTGCCTGAAGTCGTAGCGATTTTCCGGGGCAGCTCAGGAAATGTCGGCCAAGGTGGGGTCTATCCACCGGCACCGAGGCACTGAGCCGCCGGGCAGGAAGCAGGAGCAGGTAGCGGGAGCAGGCAGGATCAAGCGATTGTGCAGTTGGCAGGTGGGGCAGGTAAAGGCGTGGCCGGGGGGAAGCGCCAAGGTACGTACATACTACTGCAGTATGTACAGTAGCGCCATAGGCACGCGACATGGCTCGTAGTTGCTGTGCCAACTCCACCGAAATAGTAATGACGGTCAACACCTCCCAGCCTCCCACTTATCCACCTGGAACCATGATCCACTTCTTCAGGTTCAGTCCAGGCTGGCTACGTTGGTCCCCTACCAGCTTCGACTCGAGGAATATCCATTTCAGATCTGTGCCTGGATTCATGATCACCGTCTTCCTTGTTTTTCTTTCGGTCGTCCTTTCTCCATCCTCTTTCAATCGTGACGACATTCAGAGCGTATCGTCAATTTTCACTTTTCTCATATCTCCTTAAGCAGTCGACACCGCTCCATTGCCAGTCTCGTGCCTGCAGACGTGCTCGACGTCGATCGACCCGCTTAGCCCTTGGACACTGAACGCAGCAAAGAGAAGGCGTCTTTAGCGACAGATTGCTGGATAGCAGATAGCCACGATGCCGGCAGCAACTGAAGGGCCCACGGTGGCTCTCTCATGTATGGACACGCTCTTCTCACCTTGCTAAGCTCTACACCGACTCCGTACTGATATACGTTTATCCTTCTAGTTGCCAACAATTTCTGGGGAAAAGAAGATGCGGGTGTCACGCCCATGCTTGAGCGTATGCATGCTGCCAAGCAGACTTGTGACGAACTTCGCTCATTCTATAATGGTAAGATCTCTCGAACGCGAGCGCGTGTTCATAGTATAATCGGACTGGCTGACACGGCAATTGGCAGCACGAGCATCGATCGAAGAAGAATATGCCCGCAAGCTGCTCTCACTATCCCGCAAAGCACTAGGCTCTCAGGAGATGGGAACACTGAAGACATCACTGGACACACTCCGTGGCGAGGTCGAGGGCATGGGAAAACAGCATCAGAACAATGCCGCCCAGATGAGGTCGGAACTTGAGGAGCCTTTAACGGCCTTCGCTGGAGGTATGAAGGAGCGACGGAAGATCGTGCAGAACGGTATCGAGAAGCTCTTGAAGACCAAGCAGCAGCAGACCCAGCAGGTTAACAAGGTGAGTCACGCGCACACACTTTCGGCCCGGCCTCTAGTGTCTAACGCCTGCAGACCCGGGATCGGTACGAGCAGGAGTGTCTTAAGATCAAGGGCTACCTCGCACAAGGCCACATGGTCATGGGCCAGGAGGAGCGCAAAAACAAGGCGAAGCTCGAGAAGACCCAGATCAGCCTGGCCACTTCGAACCAGGAGTACGAGAATGCTGTCAAGGCCCTAGAAGAAACCACTGTAAGGTGGAACAGGGAGTGGAAGGCTGCAGCAGACAAGTTCCAGGACCTCGAGGAGGAGAGGCTCGACTTTACCAAGAGCAGCCTCTGGACCTTTGCCAACATCGCATCCACCGTCTGCGTCAGTGATGATGCATCATGCGAGAAGATCCGTCTCTCATTGGAGAAGATGGAAGTTGAGAAGGACATTATCCACTTCATCCGTGACAAGGGCACTGGCCAGGAGATCCCTGATCCACCGAAATACATCAACTTTTGTCGAGGGGATGTAGACGCACAGTCCGAGATCTCTGAGGACGAGGCTTATTCTGTGGCACAATTCCCTCGGAGCATAAATCCTCTTTTCCGATCCTCGTCACCACAACCCTCCACCTACGAATCTCACCACGACCCGACATCTGCTCTGGCCCGAGAGCTGGGCCATGGGGTTGTCGGAACACCTCCCGGGAGGGAGCAGGCAGTCACATCCCAAAAGGCACCAAAGGACACTTCCAGAGATTCTCGGGAATTCCAGAGACAAATCCAGCCACCAGAGGTGAGTGATGTTAAAGCGGACGAGGCAGCTGTCAATGTCATATCTTACGAGGCGCGAAGGGATTGTCTCTGCCTTGCATCTCCAGGACGACTTTGGCCGCTGCTGCGTGACGATAGGATGCAACAGATAACTAACGTTATGCAGTTCGACCCCAACGAGTTCGCACCTGTTCCTCACGACCCCTATCCCATGGACGGCATGACGATGCTCTGCAGGCCTAACACTCATAACGGCTCGGACCTAGGGTCTCAGGTCAGCGCAACTTCAGTCTCCGACCGACCGACCAGCAGAGATGAGCGCAGCGATTATTCCTTCTCTAGCCACGAACCGACGAGTGGAGCTGTCTCGCCTGTTAAGCAGGACCCGGTGATGTCCCCAGTCTCGCCCGCGCAAGAGAGAGACAGGAAGGTGCTGAAGAAGAAGAGCGGCTTCTTCCAGAACCACAGCCCCTTTGGCCGACGCAAGAGTATCAGGGACCCGAAAGACCTGTCAGGAAACAGCAGAAACACCTGGCATGGCGGGAACAGCAATCCTGGTCCCAACCGTCAGTTCCATGCAGGCGGATCAAGCCAAAGTTTGTTGGCCGATAGGGCAACTGCCAGCCCCGATCCGATCGATGCTAATGCTGATGTTGCAATCAATGTTGGCGATAATGTGCTCCCCGTAAAGCTGCCAGGCCGGCAGAAGCCCGCCGCCGAACCAGAACCTCAGGATGACGACCCAATTGCACAGGCACTGGCAGAACTGAAGGGCGTAGCCGTCAACAAGCAGTCGACAGTTCGCATGTCAGCGGATCACTACCACGGCATCGCGACTCCCGCTCCTGGCGCCCAGCCATTCTCAAGATCAGCACCCATTGGGGGCCCCAGCAATGCGGCAGCTGGGATGCGAGGGACGCCACCGCCCTCTTATGACCAGCCACCCCAACGACTGGGTGTTCCGTCCCCTGCAGTCACCTCGAGAGCCATGAAGGAGACGTCGCAGAAATATACCCAAGGGACACGGAATCTTTTCACTGGAGATCGGCCTGGATCTGGTAATTATCGATCGTCTTCTCGTCCAGCTACTCGTGGCAATGATATGCCCCGAGCCGCGTCTCCGGCAGCGCCGAGAAGCGCGTCTCCCAGACCGGGTATGTATCAGGAATCCGCGTCACCGAATACGTATGCAAATAGTCCACGCGGAAGCACGAATTCTCGACATGGCTCTGTCCAAATGGACAACCATTCATCCCAGGGTTTCTACCGCCAAAACTCGCCGAACGATATGCCCCGTGCAGCATCACCTGCGCCATTCCGTGGCGGAGGGGACTACGGGCGTCCTGCTAGCCGGGGCGACTATGGTCGGCCTGCCAGTAGGGCTGGTAGTAATCTTAGCAACGGCCACCCTGATATGGCACGAGGAATGTCACCAGCGCCGACAGACGATGGCTATAGCGGCTCTATGAGAGGCCGAGGCGGGCGGCCTGGTACGAGCCAGGGCAACCGAGGCATGAGCCTCTACGAACCTCAGGGGCAAATCGCGCCGACGTCAAGACAGCGCAGCAAGAGCGTTGCGGATAGTGGGAAGCATTACACCAAGGATGGCCGGCCAGTTCTGCATTTCGGTAAGTGTTGTCCGTCAATTTGCGTGGCGTCTGTTTGCTGACTGACCAACTTCGCAGCACGTGCAATGTATATGTACCAAGCCGCAATCCCCGAAGAACTCGGTTTCAACAAGGGAGACATCCTCGCCGTGCTCCGCCACCAAGACGATGGCTGGTGGGAGGCCGAGGTCCACAGCGCGAACGGCCACAGCGGGCTGGTCCCAAGCAACTACTTGCAACCCATCTAGGTGCATCACCAGCTTATGCCACGTTCACGCGTTTATTGTTTGCTTTCTTTCTCTTGTTTGATGTTGGTAAACAGCCCACGAGCTCCATCAGCCATATTTTAGCATTCAAAGCGGGGGGGGGGGGGGGGGAAGGCATCTTTCTTTTTACACATGATTACTGAACAGTCTGAACACACGAACCATGGTCCGTTTACGTGACGAGAGTGGCACGTGGGTAGGCAGACTTGTCATATTTCTTAAGCTTGTCTTTGTTTCAGGGTTTGTGCAAACGAAGAGGGGGGGTATGGCTTTGATGTTTATAGGAGGCCTGAAATGATGATATCCATGGTATATCTGTATGAAAGGATGAGTTACGGAGAAAATGCATGCGAACACTTTAAATTGATGCTTGTATCTTGCCTCCCCTGTGTGATTGTATTATATTTGGCCAGCCCTTCAAGAGGATGCTCCGAGATTGTACTTCTCAGAGCAGCTCGACCTTTGAACCCTAGAAGAGACAGATCAATTATAGTTATGAGCTCCTTTCGCTGCAGCCTTCAGAGAGATCAGACTGTACTGAGATTGTCATGGTTTTCTTCAGGGACGTCCGCGAGAAAATGTCGTGGCGCCTCTACCCTGTGTTGCTAGAGGACGAGCTTGGTGAGGAAGACCCTTAGAGCTGCTAACACAAGGATGAGCTTGGAGGTTAACCCTGAGCAACCCTAGCTGCAAGACTATGACGTCGAGTTAGCCATTTCCCAGGCTCCATCCCGCGCGACTAATAGCTTTCCAGCAGCACATCGGCCCACATTGCCTGGCCTACCTTCCCAGTGAACAATTGTCACCACATTCGCCTACTACAGCATACAGCCTCTCTCGACACGCGCAATACACCCCTTCCCAATCACCCACCCATAACATCGTGTCTCGCGACGCGGCACCTGCCGCTTAGTTTAAGCTCCCAGTCGCAACACGCCACAGAATGGATCTGGTGAGCAGCGGCGCTGAGACGCTGCGCTCTGGGTACAATGCTACGACATACACGGCGGGTAGCATTTGGGGTGCTCTGACGAGCAAGACGGCCCAGCGGACCGCACTGACGAGTGTGTTGCTGGGACTGGTCTCGACATTCCTCCTTGGATGCGCGGCAGTCTCGTATCTGGCGTTCTATCATGAGTATCTTCCCGATCAGGTCACGACGTTGCCGGTGCATTTACAATATGGGTAAGTCTAGCGGCAGCTGTTTACTCTGGGACGGACTTGGCGGGGAGTAGTTGTGATTGCGGACTGACGATGGGTGGCGCTGTGGCAGATATGAGGTCAATCCCTACGGCCTTATTACTCTCGCAGACAAGAAGTTTGGCGATTACCAGGACTACGACATCTCCGTCACGCTGAATCTCCCAAACTCACCCGCCAACCTCGAGCGCGGCAACTTCATGCTCGCACTGCACCTCCTCGATAACCAACCCGGTGACAGCAGCCGTGTCATATTACCAATGACGAATCCAGTGCGCGTCCTGGAGGGGCGTAATATTCTCTACACCTCGACGCGTCCGGCTATCGTGCCCTACACGGATCCGCTGGTCTCCCTCGCCTCGCGACTGCTGTTCCTCGCCTATCATGTCTTCGTGCCGGCATCCGAGACCACTAGGCTGGTGGTCCCGATGGTGGAGCGCCTGGAGTTCAGGCCTGGCACCATGATGCCCACCACGCTCGTACTAGACGTCCAGGCTGGCCAGACGCTGCAGGTCTACAGCGCCTCTGTGACCATCACCGCACAGCTGCACGGACTACGGTGGTTTATGCACACGTGGTGGATCACGTCTTTCCTCCTCTTCACCGCGCTCTTCTGGCTCTGGGAGGTCTTTTCTCTCGGTATCACTATTCTCATCCTCCGTCTCATCTTCAACGGACACCGCGAAGACCGCAAGGTGAAGCAGGAACAGACAAGTCAACCTCCGCAGAAGATCAAGAGGGAAGGTGACTCCAGCGGCAAGACTCTTGACGACGTCCCTATGACGTTTCCGACATCCTCACAGCAGCCGCCTCTGCGCTACGACCCGGAGCCGGCTCACACCAACGACGTGACGGCGTCCACGCCGCAGGCAGATATGCCGCCGGCCGCGGGCGTGGAGGCGGATGATGAGTATGAGGATGCCGGTGTGGATGCCGGTGTGGACGAGTATGGTGAGGACGAAGGACGGGACTCGGGAATTGGAACGAGCTTTAGCGAGAGGGATGGGCCGGGGACTTTGCGGAGGAGGGCGTCTGGACGGCGAAATGATTCTTGAATACAGGCCATCTCTCATAACGAGATGGTTCGAGTCACAGCAACGACAGAGAGCATGGGGGAATCAAGAGAAAAGGCGTTTGGATTCGATCTGTTTACTAAGCTTTGTACCTGATACCCACCAATAGCACATATTGATTGATTCACCACGACTATGGGATTTGGTTTCTCTTTCATGCTGCCTATTGAGACTGCCTACCATTGTTATCCATAGATGTCCTGGAAGACCTCATCTGGACAGATTGGAGAACAAAACTGTGTCAATGATCCTTATTGTCTTCCTTATCTGCCAACAGCTAGCGAACTTCCCAAGGCAATTGAAGGGCTCCAAAAACTAACACAACTTGACTCCCAGGCGTCTGGCGCGCTAAAGAATGGGGGACGCCTTGGGTGGTGCCTCAATGTACAGTGGAAATTTTGGAGTGATAGGCTCAGGTACCCTGCCAGCCACCTTCTGCAGCATAGAGACATCTTGGCGTGTGACTAACCCCTCACTTGCAACCAGAGCAACACTGACTAGATCATCCCAGCAGACCAGAGAGACCTACCATCACCAGATCTCACCCATAGCGGGAGCTCTAGGCGATATCATCTGAGCCTAACCTCATCCTAAGGAACAACAGGTTGCTATCTTCAATGCTGCTGGAGAACTTGTGTTTATTTCAAGCACTCTGTCTGCACAGTGTAGGTGACCCCTAATGTACATGTACCATAGTAGCACCACCCCCCACAGGGTCGCAAAATAATAATTTTGGGGAGAAGGGGGGGGGGTTCAAAGCTGTTGTGGTGGGACGAGACAGGCTGCATTTCCACCGCCCAGTTTGTGAAAGCCAATCTGCAAGGTCAGTCCACTAAGAGCATTTGGATCCAATCGACTCTCTCCAACTCTGGTCTAGCCTGACGGGGGTGATCACCAAGCGCGTTCAAACCCGCATCGCCTTGCTACCTCACTGTCTGCCTCTACCTCTCTGCCTCCGCCTCCACTGCATCAGCATCAGCATCTGCTTCTGCTGCTGCTGCTGCTGCTGCTGCTGCTGCACCTGCCTAGCCTCAACCTTTGTCTTTTTTATGTTGTCTTTTCTCTTTCTTTTCTCCCCTTTCCTTTCTTTCGTCCCCCTTGGAGTCACCCCTTCGATATCGAGTCTCCCTTCAGGCGACCTGGACCTTGAAGTGCCCGTGCTGGTACAGGCCCCAGGCCAATATCAACAAGGCGACAGAAGATCTTGCAGCACCCAGGCCCTGACCTCTTCCCTTGTCCTCGGACCCCACATCAACCATTAACATTGGAGATTAGCAACTCTCCCAAAAGTCAACAAACAGTCGACGTCAGATTTTCTCCTTCTCCTGCTCCCAACTCCTTTTCTCAGCAGCTGCACCACCACCAGGCTGCTACTCTGAGCAACTCTAGTACCAACCACGACTTGGAGCACTTTGTACTTTGTGGATCAAGCAACCCTTCACAGTGGGCTTGTCAAGACCTCTCCCTGTTGCGCCTGACTGACGGTGGGGGTATGACCCAAGACATCTCTGCTCAGGCCCCGACTTGGACACACAAACCACCTCAAAACATTGGCTGTTATCCCATCTTCTCGGGACAATTACCACGACAACACATAAACACCAGACACAAAAGTAGACTGCACGCTGCAAGCACCATCGGAGTCCACTAGTGAGCAGACAAGATGCCCTGCTTCAAGGGCATAGCTGTCAGCATCCATGCCAATGGCAGCCCTCTCCCCGAGTATGGCATGCAGCGGCAGTCCAAATTCTCTCGGATCAACAGCTTCATCCCCGTCCCGTCCCCCACCCTGAGCGAGGATTCGGGCAAGACGGAGCCTGCCAAGTTCGCCATCTCGATAACATTATTGACACCTGGCCTGCCCATCCCTTACTCGACTCCGAAGCCATCGCCCGACCAGCCCGAGCCGACCCCGCAGTTCGCCGCCCTGGATGTGTCTTCAAGCAAGGCTGGCAGCGGCGTCCACCCTTACATCCCGATGACCAACTCCGAGAACGAGACAGTCGCTGCCTACATCTACTTTGACGGGCGGGGCAAGGAGGAGGTGGCCACGCTGCTGCGGCCGGGTGAAGAGACCTGGGTCAATAGCAGATGGGTTCAGGTCCCTGACGCAGAAGGCGGTGGCCTGGCAGAGAGGGAGTTCCTGTTCCGCGAGGTTGGCCTGGAGCGCTGGCTGAACGGCCTGGACCTGCAGGGCTCCAACACCCAGGAGCGCCTCGAGAAGCGTCGCCAGAAGTTCGAGCGCCGACGTCGGAAGCAGAGGGCCGAGGGCGGCGAAGCCTCTATGGTGGATGATAAGAAGCCCAAGGGTCATAGAGATACCCTGCGCTACACCAACGAGGCGTCGCCCGTCGAGGCGGTTCTGGATGATGATGATGACGACTCGCTGTCCGACTCCGAGGACGAGTTCCCCGAGGCTGCCGGCCAGATCAAGGTAGCCATGTTCCGCGTGATAGCCTCGGGCGAGATCAAGAAGGGCGAATACTCCCCACAGTTTGGTGCGCACGACGACGACGACGATGTGGACGGAGGGAACTCCAACGGTGTCGATGCCGATGTCGAGCATACGACCAGCTTTGCCAAACCCAAGTCGCTCGACCCCAAGACGATCAGCACCCAGACGGTTACCGGAATCGACGGCCCCGAGAAGCCCTACGCCACCTTCACCTTCTACTACCGCGGTGACCGTGAGTACTCATTCCAGCCCCTGCTTAACGCTGGCAAGGCGCCAAAGCTAACATGCTGTACAGGTCAACTGCAGAAGATGGGCGTCCTTCCGACGTCTAAGCCGCAGCCCACGACCACGCCTTCTGCGAAGCGGCGGTCTGGTCAGCTCGATCTGTCCAACCTCGGCCCCCTCAAGACCACCGGTACTGTGGGCTTCTCCGCGTTCAGGGACCAGGAGGCCGAGTCAACCAAGCGTAGGAAGTCCAGAATGAAGAGTAATGGAGCAGCAAGTGCTATGGACGAGGACAGTGAGGACGACGATGACGAGCCCGAGATCTTAGGCAAGATGGAGGATCTTGACGAGAAAGAGGTCAAGTCCAGCAGCGCCCCCGAGGATGCCAAGTTCACTGGTGAGCTGGCCGAGGGCGTTGATAGGATTCGAGTATGTATACTGCACTGCCCTACCTCTCGCCTTTGTTCGGCGCACACCCAAGTACTGACTTGATAACTACAGCTCAAACGCCAGCGATCGACCGACCTGGGAGGCTCTACACCCACCGATCAGAAGTCACCCACCCTCGGGGCCAGCTCAGCCGGCTCGCCACCCATCTCCACTGGCTTCTCCGGTCTTGGAAATATACCTGGTCTGCCCTCAAGCACCACAGCCTTTGGCAAGAGTCTTCCGGATGACACCATCGTCGGTAGTCCCCTCAAGAAGCAACGCGCCGGCCCTCTGGACAATGTCTCTCAGGCAGGGTCAGTTTCAACATCAGCGCCAGCAGCACCTGCTTCCCAGCTGAGCAGGGCCCAGCCAGACGAGGAAGAGCTGTGAGGAGTAAATCTCGCTCAACGAGGTGTCCTGCGGCTGGCATTGCCAGGCGTCTTGAGTGCGCTGCCCAGGCAACCTTGGATGTTTGATGTTATTTTCTGCAGGAAGCATTAAGACCTTCTGGCAACGCTACGCTAGAAGGGCTTGTGGATGTCGCTCCCCCCCCCCCCCCCAAGGACAATGAAGACTCAACGACACCCTTGGCTGACCTGCCAGCTACATCAACGCTACAGCTTGTGTATGGTTCGACGGCTTATTGTAAATACCAGAGTCGCAGAAAGGTTGAACGCTCACTCGACGGAAAGTGTGCGACGGCCAGTCATCATTGAGGAGGCTAGGGATTTCTGCAGCGTACTACGATAACGAATGCCCTTGAGGGTAAAAAAAATACCACCATCATGCGAGAGGGGCCTTTCCCGATATCGCAAGGTCAAGAAACATCATTTTCCTTTTTGCCTGGTGTCCAGGAAGCCACAGCGGTACGCGCTCGTGCACTCGAGCTCTTTCAAAACAGACGGGCAATTGCAGCGTTGGATCAAGGGATAGAGGGTCAGGATTACAACCGGTGACGTTGAAGGACGGATCGGTTCTGCTGTTCTCGTCTTTGAAGGCGAATCTGGAGCTCTAACAGACCTGTTGAACGGCGGGATGGCTTCGGCCACGGGGACACGGTCAAAGTTACGGCTGCAGGAGATTCTAGGATGCTAAACCTAGCTGACTGTCTGACTGTTTGGCCCCCTCCTTGACTTGATAAAGGCCCCGATGCGCGACCACAGACAGGCATGTATCTGAGGTTCCGCGTTATTCAGAGTTGATCAGTGGAAAGCAGGAAAGTCATGCTCATACCCGAAAGAATGAGAGCGGATACGTGTAATTGTGTCTGGTGAAAGAGTGGCTGGTCTCTAGTCTAGACTATCCGTCACAGCTGCAGATCTCAAATGGATACGGCGTAAACCGGATACGTTGATTGCCTATCTTGTCTTGCCTTGGTGAAACTATCAATCGCCTTTTCAAACGACTTACCAGCCTACACACGGCTTAGAAAGGGGGGGCCTCGTGGAAAGAAAGAAAAACGAGAAGGAAGCACATTATTCTACTTAGGCTAAATTCCGTGCTCTCCGCAACGACCCCTCGTCTAAGCATCAATATTCGCTGCACGGCGACGTTATCGCATGTAAGCCGGGCTAATCAGTATCCGCCCAAAACAGGTCCTAGCTCAACTCGATCTACACATTACGTCCTTGTTTTCACCCTATTCCACCTTGTAATTCCTATTTTACTCTTGTTGTATCCTTTTCCTGCTTGCCAGCCAACAAGCTTGTCTTACCCAATTGATGCCCACGTGACGTCCCTGCTCGACTGTAAGAGGCAGCACTGGCATTGAAAACATGCGCCCCTCCTCGCCCCTCGCTCTGCTGCTCCTCGGCAGCAGGAACCTCGGCGAGGCGCAGGGTTCCCCAGCTTGCATTGGCGACGATGGTGAGGGACAAAAACCCATGAAGGGTGACAAGAACGAGAAGAAAGGGGAATGCAGAAGCAGTCCGTTTACGGAGGAATACAAGAGGCATGTTGAGGGGTTGTTGGAGGAGTGGCATGTGCCGGGGTTGGCGATTGGAGTGGTGGATGGGGAGGACATTTGGACTGAGGTATGATGATTGGGTAATGATTTTGTTTGTTGAGATCTTGGTTCTCCGGTGACGGTATATATCTTCTCTCAGAGTGCAGAGAAATAGAAGGAGAGGGAGTAGTGTGCTTCCTTTGTCTAGTGACAGGAGCATGGTGTCTCTTCCATCCCCATCTTCACCTCCTTCTTCTTCTTCTTCTCCTTCTCCTCTATAACGCCAATCCCTCCGAGCACAATCTGGACTGCCCAGACTGACTTCCTCCTCCTTCCGTTGCTTACCCCCCTCTCAATAGGGCTACGGTCTGGCAACCCTACCCTCCACCCCAGTCACCCCAAAAACCCTCTTCTACTGCGCCAGCACCACCAAAGCCTTCACAGCCGCGATCCTCGCCATCATGATCGAAAGCGGCAACTACACCATCCCCTCCGCCCTCCCCGCCCCGGCCTCTCCTCTCTCCTGGGACACCCCGCTCTCCTCCATCATCCCAGACGACTTCGTGCTCGGCCCCTCCGACGCCTGGGCCACATCGCACATCACCCTCGAGGACGCCCTGTCCCACCGCACAGGCATGCCGCGCCACGACCGAGCCGGCTCACACATCCGCCGCGACGACACACCCGGCACCAACGCCACGCGCCGCAAGGCGTCGGTCCGTGACGGCACGCGGCTGCTGCGCCACCTGCCTACCAATGCGGCGCCGCGGACGAAATGGCAGTACTGTAACCACATGTTTGTCGCGGCGTCGCATGCGGTGCAGACGCTGGTGGGAGGCAGGCGAGGAGGGAGCGAGGAGACGGATGTGTGGCTGGGTGATCTGCTGCGGGAGTGGCTGTGGGAACCGCTCGGGATGAGGTCGACGTATTTTTCGCTGGAGGATGCGCTGGCGGCGGGGGAGAAGGAGGAGGAAGGAAAGCACCGGCTGGCTTCGGGCTACGCGTGGGATAGGCACGCGGAGCAGTTCGGACCAGAAGTGCCGTTTATGCCGACGGATGAGATTGGGGGCGCGGGGGCGATCATGTCGAACGTGGAGGACTACTCGAGGTGGATCCGGATGCTGCTCAGAGAGGAAGGCCCGCTGCCTCGAGAAGGGCACAGGGCAGTCAGGACGCCGCGTATCATCATGAACCCGGAGGGGTGGGCGGCAGTGGAGGAGGAGGAAGACGCAGGAAGTCCGCCGTACGACGCGCCCATGGCGTATGCGCTGGGATGGCAGACGAGTAGCTACCGGGGCCATCGGTTCTGGACACACTCGGGCGGCATGCATGCGTACGGGGCTGAGGTGTTCTTTTACCCGGATTTGGATCTGGGCATGGTGGTCTTGGGGAACACGGCCATCACGTCCAATGGGCTGGCGCGAAAGCTGATCTGGGACATGGTAGACGACAGGCTGGGCGTGCCGGTTGGGGAGAGGTACGATTGGGGTGCAGAGTACGTCTTTTGCTTGATTTTGATTTCTGTTATTTTCTTTTATTTTTCTTCTTCTTCTGGGTTTATCTGTATATCTACTACACATGGGAGAAGCCTTGCTAACTTGCCATGTGTCTTTCTCTCATGTCACAGCATGAAGAGCTACCAGGAGAACCTGGAGGCCGCCATCGACACCAGCATCGACAGGTTCTACCCCGACCGCCCAGAGCAGCCCATCCCGCCCACTCTCCCGCTCAAGGCTTACGAGGGCACGTACTTCCACCCGGGCTACCTCAACTTCACGCTGCAGCCCACCAGCGCACACGAGGGCCTGATCACGCGAGAGAACATCTCGCTCGTGGCAGTGCGCGCCGACATGACCTGGCCCACGGTCAACCAGTTCCAGCACGTGTCGGGGGAGTATTGGATGAACTTTGAGCACCTGAGGGACAGCCCCCACGGTGAAACCCTAAAGGGCTATTCGCTCGTGCAGTTCGTGGTCGGGCCGGACGGGCACGTGGACAGGATGGGCATCACATGGGTACAAGCCTCGCCCAATGGCCGGGATGTCATCGAGGGCCTTGTATGGTTCGACAAGATTGAATAGAACAGGAGGAAAATAGGGAAGGGCCATGAAGTGCTTTGTCCTGCGTCACTGTGTACATCTTTGTTAGCCCTTTTCTGTGTTTTGAAAGATGCCGAATTGGCTGGTAACAAGTAGTAAGAAAAGAAAAAGGATTGCAAAGATTCAGACTGTTGAGCTTGATATAAGTTGGATCAACATGGGTTTGACTTTCAGTTGGCCGTTCTTAAGAAGTGTGTTCATCATTTTGCAATAGGGAAAAGTTGAATAACGCGAGGAAAGGAAGAAAAAGCAAATGCCTACCTTGACGCTGGAGGCCCATGGGTATGCCATGGGCGCGTCGAGGGTTCAAGTGAGCCCCCGACGTCCAAGCTGGATGGAGTTGAACGACTTTGGTAAGAAAGGAAGAAAGGAAGAGGAAGAGGAAAAAGGCATTGCGTTCGAAAATTTCGAGCTTGTAGTTGGACGTGAGTGGGGCTGGGAGCAGGGGCTTGCTGCTTATCGATATGCAGCGTATGATAACCCCAACCCTCGAGACGACGTCCTGGCTCGTCTGAACAAGCTTCGCCCATTAACGTCTCGAAATGTTCGAGAATTTATTCTTTCCTCTAGGATGATATTAGTACGTATCTCTGGAAGAAAGTAGGTTTTAGTTCAATTCGTGTTTCTTATTATCAAAAAAAAAAAAAAAAAAAATTTGGCGTGGCATTTCCAGGGAACGAGGCAGCGCTCATTAGACATACTCCCAGCTCAAAAACCGGTGAAGAACTGGCATTTGGAAGTGACTTGTCGAGAACATTTTACAAAATGCGGGTAGCAATGGAATTCTTCTCCCATGAGCAGCACATAACGTAGACTTCTTGCGAGGGCAACGCTGAAGTCGTGTTCGTATGGTACCATTGATATTCTACACAACACCATGCTGCCGGCAATATCTATCAAGATTTGTAGTCGCTAACAAGATGAGAAATGCATGTGGTCAGTCCACACGAGAACAGGACCCAGACACTTTCCGCGGACTCCACATGACTGCGTTAGAGATTTTGGACTTCATATATCTTGAAGAGAATGGGTGTAGCTACACAGGGTAATTCGAGCTGACCACAGTGGGATGTCTAGGACAGCTGCTCAGGCCTATCCTTTTGCGAGGCTGATCATTTCCATACCGCGCTTCCCACTCCAATTCTCATCAACCCATTGTTTCTTATTGGTGATTCCAGCCACCAAAAGGCGAGGCAAGTCGGAGAGTGAGTCACCGGTCGACATGTGCTTTCCTCGCCGTGTCTAGCGCTGCTGCGCCTTCCCACTGTTGCAGTCCAGTGGATCTCTTGGTTGATTATTGACAGCTGAACAACAACACAGTCGACAGAGCATATCTCCCTAGTCCAGTCATAGCCAATATTCCCTTCTGAATAAAGTGTAATCTCTTTATACATTCATCCCCAGAGTGCCATCACATTCGTTTTAATCATCTCATTTGACACTCTTCTGGCAGTGTAACCGCACAACATAAGTCACCATCCTGTTCTGAGCGGTGACAAGAGGCAACGTTTTGCTGTCGAGTCCCCTTGATTTTATTGACTATTCTCTACCTCAACGCAAAATCCCCGAAGACAGCCACTCGACTATGGCCGAGCCCACGTCAACACCAGCAGCTACCATACCGTCGCCATGTCTAGCAGCTGCCAAAAAACTGTCCCGAGCCAAGGAGCGCTCCCTGGAGACCTCGCGTGAAGATCACCTACCGAAGCTCGCGAATACGAACAGAACACCAGTCGTGGTGCTTCTCGGTGATTCCATGATCGAGCGCATGACCACCACGGGACTGTCCGCAAGCCTCGAGCTGTGGCCATCACACACGATGATGACTACAGGCCAACTAGAAGATCTGAGCTGTGATGGCAAATGGGAGCCTTTGCTGAAGGCCACCTCCAGGCTTGGGGGTCTTTACAAGATCACGAAGGACTCGGAACACAAGGCGTTCGGCAGACTCGGCTCCGTGTTGAACGCCGGTTGCGGCGGAGACAAGATTGAGAATATCCTCTTTCGGCTACTTGGAGACCCGAAGCTCAAACTGCCAGGACTCCTTGACGTGCTTTCTCGGCGGAAAGGCAACGTAAGGCTTTGGGTCGTTCACTGCGGCACGAACAACCTGCACAAGAAACAGGGCCTGCCTGACGACAGCATCAACGCCTTGCGTGTGCTCTTGACTACCATACTGCAGGCGTCTGCACCGGGGACTTCAGTATTGCTCACAGGCCTGTTTTATCGTAAAGACATACCTGAAGAGCTTGTGGAACAGGCCAATGCGAAACTCAGGGCTCTAGTTGATGAAGTCGCTCAGGCATTTCCCGGCCTACTTTCTGAAGTTTTGTTGCTGGAGGCCGAAAAGGGCAAATTTTCAGACAAACAAAGGTCGGAAGATTCTGGCCTCGGCTCATATGTTGATGAAAAGACACAGGGTCTAGTTACGACTACCGACCAGGTCAGGTCATCAATGTCGCATGCCTTGAGGGAAGAGAGAGCTGCCTCTGGAGACCCTGCCATCTCCCAAGGCGAGCCAAACACGCCCGAAGAGACACAGCTCTCCGAGAGAGCCAAAGGAAAACGGCCAGAGGGCTGGATCAGTGAAACGGCTCGGGTGGATCGGCTTGACTTCGTGTCACCATCTACAGTACAAGCGTCGGCGCAGATAGACGACAGAGAGAGGATGGAAGACCTTGACAGCGAAGAACGACGTGATTCAGCCATCAGTGCAGCATTGTCAGAAGCAGGATCGCACGGCAAGGCGAGTCCAACTGAATCAACCGATAATACAGCGATGTCCTCGGGCCTAGATCCCACAATGCCCCAGTTCAAGCCCAACTGGTGGGATCTCATTCCGCCTGCACGACAGGCCGCGCCGCGAATCATGTTTTTACCCGCACCTAAGGGAATCGACCCCGACATACATTTAGACGATCATGTCCATCTAAATCTGGAGGGCTATCGACAATGGATGGTCACACTATTCCCTGCAGTGATGGCCATGTTGATCCACGCTGACTAGATGTACCGAACGCTGATGCATGGCGATTCACTACATGGCTTAGGGCAAGGTATTGCAAAGACACGATATGGAACGATAATAATGGATCGGGCAGAAACGTTAGTCGGTCGTTATGGATAGGAGCATAAAGGACCCAACTGGATCCGGGTCAACAGAAAATCCATGAAGCCTTTCATCGATGCACTGGGGGAGCAGCGAGATACGCGAGGTCGAATATGCCAAGGCTCCGCCGTCTTCGACTACCCGATCGCCAGCGAGTCACTTACAGAACAGGATCCAGCCACCAACGAAGAAACTGACAAGGGTGGCAAGATACGTCAAAAAATATCCTCAAAGTTCAGATCCACGGAGGCGAGCAGGACGCACGAAGCTGGAGACGGTGGCTGCGAGGACATGGAGGAAGATGAATGGGATTGGGATGTGACTTTGCTCTTACCACAGGCTGGATCTGAAAAGTCTGGACAGTCGACTCCAACCACACCAAAGTCGCGCAGGGTGTCATTCTCTACGCATCCAAGTCAACAGCTGCCCTCACCAGCGTCGACAGCCTTGGACGACATCCCTTCAGACCTGACAAGCAGGATGATGGGGCCGACCGCAGCTTTGGAGCCCTCTACACGATTCAGTGCAAACCCAGAATCTGACTCTTCCCGGCCGAAACTGGTGAGAACGTCAGTACCTCCCAGCCCAACTTTGCCAGAAGCACCATCTCCGGCGGCTGAGGCATCACAACCTCCCGCACAGGTACCGAGCTCACCAGCAGCATCACCCATATCAACACCACCCCGGACTCGGGAGCGGCTTCGTGCGTCTCTGAAGTCGCTGAAAAACAAAGTCAAAGGTCGCTTCAAAAAGTAGCCTCCACTTTCTAGACATTGGTCAATAGGGCTTGCTCTCCAGGCCTTCAGTGCGCCTTCGGTGGCATTAAATAGCATTGACGTTGAGAGTTTGTGGGCAGCGTGAACTGGACAGGTGGTCAATCTTCATTTCCATGCTTTACATAGCGATGAACATAGCTAGACTATGCTGGTCTCGACACACTCACTAGTTGAACAGTCTATAGCCTTCAGCAATTTATCATAAGCGTTTGTCTCCTCGAGGTTGTTTAGAGCGCCGCTGATCCTCGAGATACATCATACTGCTTTTGGGTACGAGTGAGACACAAACGTGACACTTAAGCGTCTGTTGAGTTGTTGAACACCAGGAAGCCACAAGTCATATTATCAAAAGTTTATTCTGTACAGCTAGCATCATGATATACTAGATAATATGTACAGATAGTAAGAATGTAATTGGCAAGCTTCTGCTCAAGTGTGAACACAGTGTGTGCAGCAAGCAGTGCCTTGTAACTACTGGCACGCAATAGTAGCCTGGTCAAACCAGATCCTCACCTCTACCACAGCCCCGCCCTGATTTTCCAGGTTGGCCACGGACGCCACCACAATAGTCCATCAGTCAATGAGTTGTGACACACACACACACTCTCTCTCTAACCAACGTACTCGCAAGTGACGGTGGTGGTCCCGGTGGTAGAGCACTCGGTCAGGACCTCGAGGCTCTGGCGGATGTCGACGATGGTAGAGCCCGAGACGGACGGGGAGCAGTCCTTGAAGGTGACGGTGTCAAAATCGGCAAAGTTGACCAGGCTGCTGCCGGACTCGAAGTCCTCGACGATCCACTCGGCGTTGTACTCGCAGAGCTCGGAGCTCTCGGCGGAGAAGGACTGGGTGACCTTCTTGCCGGTGGTCTTTTCATTTTTGTACGGGATAGGGAAATTGTTGATCAGCGTTTTTTTTTCCTTCCTTCCGTGTGTGTGTGTACGTTGAAGGTATTTTATTGAGAAAAGAGGGACAGTACTCACCGAGTTCTCGAGCGTGACGGTGCCGGCCTTGAGACTGCTGGCTGATGCGGTCATGACGATTGTGTCACCAGCAGAGACGGAGAAACCGGAGAAGTCGTAGGCGTAGTTGGGGTACCACTCGTACCAGGCATCTAATGTATGGTGGAAGCCGTTAGTAAAGCGGTAGTATATCAAAACGATGTGTAATTTACTCTTCGAATTCCAAAAACAAGGTTGTCCTTCGAAATGCAGGAGCATGAAAACACGCACCAAAAGAGACTCCACCACGACCAGCATAAAAGTCCACACCGGTCTGGAGAATAGCAGACGTGCAAGTGTCTCCATCAATGCCAACCCAGGCAGAGGCGGCGTACTTGGCCGTGCTGCTGCCTCCGCTGGGAACAGAGGGTGTAGGCACAACCTATCAACAATCACCGGTGATGTCAGCCAGCTGATTACTTTCCCCCAATTGGTGATTACTTATGGTTCCTATTACTCACAATGGTGCCAGTGACATCGTTCAGGCCAGTACCGATCTTGACGGCGCCAGCCCAGTTGCTATCGTACGACACATCGCTGCTGTTCCTTTCGCCGGACTCGAGACCCTCCATCAGGCCGCGGCGAAAGGTGCGGAGGCGCTCCAGACGAGTGTGGGCGCGGGGCTCGCGCGGCACGAGCTTGACGCCGTCACCGATGTCGATGATGCCGTCGGTGGGGGCGGCGGCGGCCAGAGTGACAAGGGCGGCGAGGGCGGCGGTGTACTTCATCTTGCAGACTGAGGGATGGGGGAAGAAATGGAACGATAATCTTCTATGGTAACCAGAGAGTGAAAGATCAGGTAGAGTGGTTGATCTGAGATGAGGTGATAACAAGTTGATCTTTATTCCGGAGGACGTGACCGTCTTATATAGAAAAGAATTGAATTGTTGGGTCTATGCGAACCTCTGATGCATCTTGGAATTATCGTCATCATTTCTACCGTTCCTCCGACATTTCTCACGACAGATCATGCAAAACTATGAGGCCTCGACCTAAGCCCCGACGATACGAGAGGGAAAAGTATCACCATCCCACAAAGATAGACAGACCTTCCTGTTCGGATGCACGCCAAGCAGTTAGCCAGAGTCAAGAGCTCTAGATACTCGAAAAATTTACAACTCCAGGAGGCCCAATGGCGCGGGCGAGGTGATTGGGATGCAATCACGGATCACACCAGTACGTGGTTCACGAAGTAATTACCTCATCGGAGATTCGGCGAAACCTTGATGGGGTGTGCTCAAGGCATCAAGGGTGATGCTGACCCCAATATTGAGATTCCACGTAGACAAGAAGAAGGATTCAGCCTTGTTTTCTCATCATGCTCATGATCAGCCAATACTATTTGTCATGAAGATAGAGTGCTGTATCATCACGGAAGAGATTCTCTCTGTTCGTCCGGGTAGAGACCTTGTTGGTGATCGCCACGTAGGACATTATTCTAGAAGGCGCTTGGCTGCATCAGGTTTCAAACGCGTGGGCACTATTGGCAGCTGCCAAAGTCAGTCATCACTTCGCAGTGTTGGCGCTGATCGTGGAGTGTGGGCGAGCGGGCGGCACACCACCCAGGGCCAACCGACCTACACCTTCAAGCTCGGCAGTCTTGTTCGACCACCCCAAGATTAACTTGCATAGACGCCAAGTCTAAATCCCACCTTGCCATCGCCTCATGCGGCTCTAAAATACCTGCCGCAGACTCGATTTAGGTTTTGGCGAAGCATCCTCTTCCGGCCCGACGTCCTTTTACGCGGCTTAACGCCACTTTCACAGCCCACACGCCGGCTGTTGTCATGTTTTCGAAAGGGAGAAACAGAACTTCTGTTTATGGACTACTCCCGATCGTTAATCTGAAACGTTCTGGTGTGGACCCCCAACACTGGGGTACAATATTCACTTTGGTTGACAGAAAGTGATGTCAGATACGCACGGTGGGCCACAGAGTGTTGTTGAAGAGAAAATATCTCAACTATAACGTAGATAAATCCAAACAAGGCGATATGCGATTGTCCTGACTATCTAGCAGAACAGGTGGGATTCGAATCTTCGAGAATATGAACAGTTCACCCAGGTTTTGCTGAATTAGTCTCGTTCCCAACCAGGCTGTCTATCCATACCAGACTTGGAGTCCTTGGCCACCAGTAATCATCAAAGCAACACAAAAATGTTCAGCCCTATGTTCAGTATGACCACGGAATTTAATCACTCTGTACCGAGTCTCAACACGGATTTCACTGTACGGTTTTCGGAGCTTTGTGCATGCCCGGTTGTGACATCCCGAGGTCGTCTGAGAGGCGCCCCCCCCCCCCTCCTTCTCTTCCTAATTACCCCCGACAATAAAATCCGGTTGGTCAGATCCAACTCTACCTTAATTTAAGGTATGCATATTCTGCGTAACCCGGGGCTGCGGGTCGCCAGGTGGATCCACGTTCCCTCAAAGCCCTTTTCCTATTACATAGTACTACTGCACCCACATAATAGTACGTACACTTGCATACTTCCTAAACTACTATGGTAAGTCAAAAGGCCTTGATTAAGCATGTTATGCACACTAAGCTTATTTGCTTGGCGAGCCTTGGCATTTGCCCCCCTCGGTCATCATAGGAAGTAACTGATTTGTAGCTGCTCCCTCGAGAATCTTGGGGTGACAGAAGTGTTCGAGCGTTGTGGTGTCTGGCGGTATGTGAGATGCTTGTGGCTACCTTCAACGTTCATCTTGCATGAGGGAGGAGACGTGCTGGAGTCAATACCAACTGAAGATTGACTAGGTACTTTTCGTGAATGACGCTTAGATTACATACTCAAGTATTTAGACAGCAGCGTACACAGCTTACGACTGCTGTTTCGTATAGTTACATTTTGGACCTTCTGGATTGAGAAGGGCGTGGCGGGTGGAATGGGCGCATGACTTCAGCCCCGGACGGCAGCCTTATCATGAAGGACGATCGCAGGTTCTTTGCAGAGACACGAGTCGTTCATGGTAAGCTAATCTTTCTCTTGTCGTTGTCTGTGCAAGAGACATGGTACAGAAGTCTTAGAAACAATTGAATGTATGAAGATGGATGGCTATCAGAATTTACATGTATGCCTGAAATAACGGGTAAGTTTCTCTTCGATAGTCAACAACACCAAGTAGAACACAGCGTTGGACCAAAGGCACGAAAGCAAAGAAAGAAAACTAACGCAAAACGCCAAACCAGGTCGTCGTAATCAGACCATAATCGTAACCTCCCTCTAGACTGACCAGCAGTCGCCAACTGTAGTATGCAGAACCTTGGCGCAAACTACCGCGTCCTTATCAAAGCTCCACGCGACCAGCCCAGCAGCCGCCTCTCAATCCACCTACCTCATTCAATGAAGTGAAAGGCGACTTGATTCTAGGCCATGTAACTCACACATCTCTATATGACGCTGCCTCAAGATCACGCGCACACTTCTAGTTAGTTACTTTGAGGATCTACTACCCCCCCTCCACCTCTTGGAAACTCGAGTCAAAGACAGGCATTCATACTCTTCAAGGTTTTCGCCCATGAACGGCCGCAGTGGAACAATTGTTAGGCCTAGTACCGTTGAGGGGAAGGGGTGGGGGGGAGATCTGTGTCAGAGGAGATCATCGCTCCGGAGTTGCTCATTATGGAGCATGAGGCGTTTTTATTTGTTGGGCGGTGCTTTGGACTGCCTGTGTGTCGTTGTGCCATAATTATTGTCCAAGGGATGAATGTGAGAACCATACTGCATAGCTTTTCCCCGGCAGAATATAGAGCAAATCAAATTCCATCACTGAGTGCCCACACGTCACATTCAATCAGTCCATCGTCTGGATCAAGGAATTTTATCATCAATGGATATTACACTGCGTTTCATTGCGTGACAGAGAGCGTGTCTGCGTTAAATATAAATCAAAGATAGAAAAGGGGAGGGGGAAATAAATAACGCCAGCCTGCACAAAAAGACCCAGAAACAAACAACGACAATCATAGGATTCCAATATCCTTTTTGGTTGATTTCAGTCTGTGCCATCCAATAATATCCCCGCCGCCAGAGCCCCGGAATCAGGTTTCCAAAACAAAGGAAAAATGATTGAAAAAGCTAGAAAAGAAAATTAGTGTGTACCATTCGTCCCACCGCAGCAAGCCTTGCTCTCGCCGTTGCTCTCCCCAAACGCCATCTTGCTCATCTTGTCGGAAGCGTCCACGACGGCGGCCTTGTTGGCGGCGATCTGGCTGGGGATGGTCACGTAGCTCGGAGGAACGTTCATGACGGGGTTGTTGGAGAAGAAGTTTCTGGGGCGCAGGAGGAGGGTCATGGGCTCCACAGGCATCACGGGGAAGTCCTCTGGGGCGGGGAAGTGTGTCACGCCGAATGTGTGCCACAGCACAATGTCTGTGTTCTCAATCGAGTCTGTCCCGTCACCTACCCACTCGGGCAGTCCGCGCGAGGGCTCGCCTGAGGTCTGCGGGACATGTCGGCCGGCAGGCCAGAGCTGATCGTCGGAGTCTATGGCCAGGGTATTCTGTCAGTTTCCTTTCTCTCTCTCTCTTTCTGTCGAGATACTGCTTCGGACGAAGGGGGCGGCGACGTAGGACCACTACTTACACTTGGTCACATGCACAGCATGCCTGGCAAAACCGGCTCTCTTCCAGACCAGCGAGCCTTCCTTGGGCAACAGGCCCGGCACTTCCCTGCTGACCAGCTTATACGAGGCGGGCTTCCCGCTGTAGGGGTGCAGCTTGCTCTCGTTGCACATGTCCCACGTACGCGAGGTCGCACCGTTGTAGTCGGTCATGGCCTGGGCGGTGGTGGTAAACTTGGTGCGCTTGGCGTAGAAGGCATTGCCGTAGAAATTCTCAGGGCTGCCTACTGGCGCGTCTGACGGCACAGCATCGTTCATGAAGACGGTGTTGTTGGGCCCATCGATGTTGGGATCGATGCGCATGCAGAAGAGGTGCTGGTGATTGTGCGCATTGACGCCTGATGTGGTGGAGGTTGTCAGCTCATGTCCTTCTGTGCCAAATTGCCTTCTGTTGTTTTCTCTTTTCTTTGAAACTTACCTGGATACACCTGTGTTCCCCAGCCGAGCGTGTCCTCACCAGGGTTCATGACATAGGTGTTGAGGATGCCCGTGAGCTTGATCTCTGGCTGGATCGTGCCATCTTGCTGTAGTGGGAGTCAGCTTTCCCTTTATTTCTTTTCACTTTCTTTCACATCCCATAAATCTTCCAAAGCGCCCGTCTCAGGGGGGAAAGAAGAGTACTGACGTGAAAGATCCACTGGATAGCATACTCGTAGTTTGCTGCCGTGAAAATCTGTTGAATGACAAGCTTCCGGCCCCTCGTCACAATCACAGAGTCATCTCGGAAGTCCGAGTGCTTGAAGAGAATGCCGCTGTCCTCCTCGTGGATGCAGATAGCGTTCTTGATGGTCCTCACCTCGCCGGCGCGGGTGGGGAAGTGTGCGTCAAGGTAGTGAATGCTGCCCTTGCAGTCGCAGCCCAGGGCCAGGCTGTTGGTCATGTAGCCTCCGCCGTACTCTCCCAGGTCAAAGGCGTGCTTCCTCTGGTGAGGGTGTTCGGGGTTGCCGTAGGGCACGACCATCTCCGCCAGAGACAGGCGGTAGAAGATGGGCCGGACGGTGCCCTTGTCGTTGTAGGTGATGTCGTTGAGCACGATGCCCTCGCGGTAGTTGAAGCCGATGTGGAACTTCCAGGACTGCCACTCGATTTCCCTGCCCTTCATGGTGAAGGACACGCCTTCGGGCTGGGTGATGTTGATGGGCTTCAGGTCGGTGCGGTAGCCGCCCTGCTTCTCATTCACAAAATCTGGGGTGTAGTTGATGGTGGCCTCCTTACGCAGCGGCCTTCTCACCTTGGGGATATCAATCCCGATGATGGCCTGCTTGTCGGCATCGTAGATGGGGCAGAAGTCCAGCGGATACTGGTATTGGCAGTCGTCCACGTTGGGGCGGTAGTACATCAGGGCTTGCTGCAGACGGACCTGGGAGCCGTGGCGCTCGTCGTAGCCAATGGTCCACGGGTCACAGTAAACCTTGTGCATCTCGTCCTTGGGGATCCCGCTAATCTCACACTGCTCGATGACGCTAGGGTCTGTCCGGCAGACGTGCTCCACAGCCTGGAGCTCTTCCATGGTGATCTAATATTGCGGAACACGGTCAGCCTCTCTTGCGTGCGCCCTTTTGTGGTAGTATGTTTCTCTCTCACTCTCAGAATGACTTACAATAGGTTGAAGGCCATCCAGCTGTTCCCAGTGGGTGATCTGCGCCGTCTTGATGTCGACGAGGCCATCATAGACCTTGCCTCCTGGGGCAATGACCACGATGTCTGCGATTCTCGTTGGTCTGGGAGCCTTCTCTGGGTCTGCCAGCCAGGCTGTCATCTCGGCCTTGCGCGGCTCATGCAGGGAGACCACATTGAAGAAGACATCGCCGTGGGCCTTCTTGACAGCGGTGATGGACGTCTGGATCTCCTCCAAGGAGAGAGGATCCAAGGGATGAGGAATCTCGTCCTGTGCCACAGAACCCATCTTTTCGTTTTGTTCTTGTTCGTGTTTTGATGTGTTGTCTTGAGCCACCAGCCTGCTTCGATGGTGAATGAGTGCAAAGGGAGATGAAGACAGAGACAGCTAACACACACTCAAAACACTAGAAGCAGAAAATTGAAGATCTGGGGAAACGTGGGCTGGCTCGAAGCTTGTTATTAAATTCACTTTCTTATCCCCTCACTCCTTATATTTTATGTCTTGTCCTGATTTTCCGAGCCCAGTCCGAGTTATGCCGTTAACGGAGATGCACGATGACTTAGTTGACGGGTGATGTCTCGACTGGCGTGTCTATCACGACTATCTCGTCGAATGAGTGAGCTCCGTATTACCAAAGCCATATCACCAAACAGCAGCCAGACTGGCGCCTCGTCCGTCTGAGGGGAAACGATAAGATCGGAAACGATGAGCGAGCTGTCACAGGGCCCCTCCTTCCCGTGCCTTCTCCGAGATAAGCTCGCGCCGATGTCGTCCAGGCTAGCAGCCTAAGAAGGCGCCCCTCTCCCCTCTCTCGATAAGACCCCGCATTGGGCTAATTTTATAACACTACACGTACTTCTGATAGCGGCAATGCTTTGATAACCCAGCCTAACTGATTGGCTGCTCCAGCCTCTTCTACAACCACGTTCTAAATTAACTATCATGATAGTCGCCAAGATGGCTTATTATCTTGAATCATGTGCTAATGACTGATGTACAATATCTACTTGAACCTTTTTCTCTCTCTCTCTCTCCCCCCCCTCTCCTCTCTTTAATCAGACTTGCCCGTTCATCGTAAGACTATACGTAAAGAATGGTCTGATGAAAAGACAGGATCTTAATACATGCACCGCACACATAATTTGATACCCACCAGACCAACTCCTCAGGTGCAACTTCATCGCTGCTAGCCTGTACTGACACGAAACGGCGGCTTGTTGAGCTAATAAATAAACCTTTGGCCTGGAGCACAAAGCGTGGTGTGTATGACCTCGGGAGGGAACCAGAAGTTATCAGAGGTTTCAGCAAGCAGAGGAAACGTGATACAAGAAGCTCACACAAGTTTGCAGGCATTTGCTTGGAGAGGACCATTCTTACAACCTCTTTTTGTCCGTCTCGGGTCTTGTGTGATGGTTGCGAAATGAATCTGATTGGCCGACATGATTCTACAGCGGGCTACATCGCTTGCCGCACATTGACCTTGACCAGATAAGAAGGCATTGGCAAAGAAAAAGGTGTTGGCAAGCAAGATGTCTGTCTTGCCTGTGCAACGTAATTATACGGACATTGTTACCCTCACTCCAGCACCTAACCACAACTGAAATCTCGAGCTTGCATAAAGGTAATGACAAGAATTGCCCACTAGACTGGACTGATCAAGGCCATTGGTCGACGTTGTCAGCTGTGGCTGCTGATCAAGCTGACATCTTTTCACGCGGTCCGATGCATGCTGAACGCGTCACCTGTAAGAATCCAAGAGCTGCCCTTTCTTTGGCCTAGGCAGCATATCCCAAGAATACCCTCCCCCACACAATCAAACATGCATGAGGTGACAGCCGATTGTTGAATCCTTCCCTTGAGAATCTTCCGGGCCAAATCCATCTCTTCGAACGGATTTCTGCACGAACAAGCGCAACTCCCCCTCCGAACCATACCAATCAAGAAAATTCCTGTCGTCATCCGCCGGGAATTTTATGCGTGTCGGCACTTGAGTCTTTCTCGGGAGGAAGCTGTCGAAAGTAAGACAAGACAGCCCCCACCTTGGGGCGGGAGTGGCGCTCGGGAAAGGGGGAGGGTCGAGTAGATGGGAATGGGTGCCTGCATATTCCTTGCGGCAACCTCAGCCTGTGAGAAAAAAGCTCGTATGTATACAGCAAGGGGGCTGAACAATGGTCGGTAAGGGGAGAGGGAAAACGGGGACAGCAAATTTGGGGGCTCGGTTGCACGGGGAGGGTAGGCACAGCAACTCGGTGTAGAAGCTGGTTACGCGTCTGTACATGGTCTTGACGGGACTTTGTAGCACAATGAGACGCTGACTGTATCTGTACTTCTTCTTTGGTTCTCTTGATAATACGGAGGGGCATGTTTATGAATATATCACACACCATTTAAGATAAACTGGCCTTGCGCAGTATAAAAAGAGAGAACCATCAGTCCTAGCTTTCCTCATAAGGATTAGAACCACCTTGGAAAGGCCCCAATTGCATACACCCGCCTCAACAACCAACTCGACCTCAACATGGAGACTGACGGCTCACTCAGCGAAAAGCAGATCGAGATGGAAGAGAGAAGGGAGGAGGGAACGGACGGCAGCGAAAGCGCCACCACAGAACCATCCGTACTAGAACCAGATGTGAATCCATCACGACATGGTCCTCATAAGGCCTCGGGCGCGGCGTCAGCTGGAGCCGTGCCAGCTGCTGCAGCCATGAATCCGCCACCTGCTACGATCCCCAAAGCCCCCAACGGCGGCCTACAGGCCTGGCTCCAGGTGTTTGGGGGATTCTGGATCTACTTCAACACATGGTATGTTGAATACTTTCCATATTGATCCTTTCCTCGGATTGTTCTTTTTATGCGTGGCGTCAGCTATTAATCTAAAGAATGAACCACCACGGTGGTATCATCAAACTCAAAAAGGGGCCTCATCATGACATTCGGGGTGTTCCAAACCTATTATGAAAGCAATTTGATTTCGCAGTACACACCCTCCTCAATCTCATGGATCGGGACCATCCAGGTCTTCCTCTTGATTGAAGTGGGAATTATTTCTGGGCCGCTCTATGATCAAGGCTACTTGCGCCATCTGATCACTGCAGGGGCCTTGTTGCTTTCTCTAGGATTCATGATGGCCAGCCTTGCCAAGGAATACTATGCCATCTTCCTGTCCTTAGGAGTCTGCAGTGGTATTGGGATGGGGCTACTCTTTTTCCCAGGCATCTCGGCTTTCACAACCTACTTCACGACGCGGCGCGGGCTGGCAAATGGTCTTGCTGCTTCGGGGAGTGGGATTGGTAAGTTCCAAATTTTTCTCCTTTCTGTTTTGTTCTTGAACTTTCTATGAGATTTGGAGACCAATTAATCTAATCGTGGCTAGGAGCGGTTGTGTATCCAATTGTCCTTCGCCAGCTCACCTACCAGGTCTCTTTCCCCTGGGCAGTGCGAGCAGTAGGCTTCATCATCTTCGGAACCGTCCTCATTCCCGTCCTTCTCCTGAAGCCCATGTTCCTACCACAGGGCAGGCGAAAGCTTTTTGACAAGAGCATCTTTGAGGACCGCGTCTGTACGTTGCTCTCTTTCTCTTCATGTCCTCTCAGAAACGAAATAATCAAAGGAAAGAAAGAAAGAAAGAAAAAACCACCATCCCAGACTAATGACACTTACAGACACTCTTTTCTCCCTCACCAACCTAATAGGCTGGCTAGGCGTCCAAATCCCCATTTTCTACGCCGGCCCCTTTGCCCACTTCTCCCTCCACACCACCGAGTCCGCCTCCTTCTACATGCTAGCCATCATAGGCGCGGGCTCCCTCCCAGGCCGCCTCCTGGCCCCCTTGCTCGGCGATCGCTTCGGGCCTCTATACATCTACCCTGTCTTCATGGCCCTCGCGGGACTCGTCACCCTCGCCTGGATCCGCGTGACGACGTACGGTGGCCTCGTTGCCGTCGCCCTGCTGTACGGGTTTGCGTATGGCGGGGTCGTCAGCCTGCCTCCTCCTGCGGTGGCTGCCATGACGCGGGATATGCGGATGCTGGGCACGAGGATCGGCTGTGTGTTTACCTTTGCCGGTGTGAGTGCCATGGTGGGACCGCCGATTGCTGGGGCGATTGAGGGGGGTGAGGCCGGGTTTCCCGGGTTGTTTGGGTTTGCGGGGGCTATGATGCTGGCGGGGAGTTTGCTCTTGGGAGGTGTGGCTTGGTTGCATGATAGAGAGGTGAAGAGGGCGAGGGAGGGGGCGTAGTGGGTGTGAGGCCTTCCAGAGTTGCGAAGTTTGTCTGGATAGATGGCTGGATTGGATGGTGTGTGGGTGACTTTTGTTCTAATTGTAAGCTCCCTGGACGCAGGGTTGTGGGACAACTATCTTTTAAGGTGTTCTGGCATATGAGAGTGATGATTCTATCGGATAATGAGATGGACAAACCGAAAAGAAGGCAAAGAAGCGGGGCGTGATGATGATGATTAAAAGACTGGTTGTGATTTGATGTATCAAGAATAACACGTGCGATTCAACAATGGTTCAAATTCTTTGACAGGGTATAAGGCATATATATTATTCTCTCTCCAGATAGACAAATGAAGGTTCTATATAGTTGGATATTATCATGTAAATAAGAAATCATAATGTGATGACCACCAAAATGATTCATTCGAAAGCCACAAACGCCGGATATCATGCCCAACGCTTTTTCCCTTTTTTTTTTTTGCAGAGCCGAATATGCATGAAAAATCAGCGAGAAGGAGAAAAAAACAAAGTAAGAAAGAAAAAAAGAATAACTATGCAACCTCAGCCGCCGAAGATGCATAAGAAACAGTTCTCGACTCGACCCAAGGCCGTCTCGGCGCCTTGCTCAACCTCTTGCCCTCATACCCACTTCCACTCCCGATGGTCAGGAAAGAGCCTCTCGTACTGGCCGGGAACTCCTGCCACCGAATACTGTTCTTCCGCATCGGTCCCTGATAATATCTGATTGAAGAAGCATAAGGGTTCGTCCGCCTTTCCTCCAGAGCCCGGGACTCTTCATTATTGCCTCTGTACTGCGTTACATCCAGCACACCAAAGTCCTCCGTTTCGGCCCACAGCTCTTCCTCGGAAACATCGCTGTACCGAAGAGGAACGGGAGCACCAAAGCGGAAACTGTTGTGGGCGGAGGCCATGAGGCCCTCGTCGGCTCGCATCTGGGCTATGTGCCACTGGATCCAGTACATTTGCTCGTGCTCGCGCAGGTAACGTTTCCCGTGGAACCCCTTGAGCACGACGCCACGCGAGAGCATGCCGAGCTTGCGGCGGAACTCGGCCTTCTCGTACATGCGGCGCGTCAGCCACTCCACATCCGTGTCCTGAATTACGTCGGGAAGCGCGAGCGATGAAGGCACGGCTTCCTTCTCGCCCACCTCGCCTGTGAACTTGGTCCAGGCCCCAACCATGGACAGCATGGAGATCTGGGCGCGCGCAAGGGCCACGGGGTCATTGGGTGGCACCACCTCACCGTACTTCTTGTTCGAGTCGTCCGGGTCGGTCAGGACCAGAGCGGTGGCGCCCACGGACGTGGCAACGATGGGGACACCTGCGAGGGCGGCCTCAGCGATGGCGAGAGGGAGGCCCTCAGACAGGGACGAGTTCATGAACAGCCAGGCGTCCTTGAGAACTTCCTGGGGACGACCGAACCCGCCTAGAGTGACATTGTCGCTCATCTTGCACTGCTGGATCAGCTTGATGGTGTCGATGGTGTATTGGGGCTCGCGGTCCTGTGCACCGTAGACGACAAGCTTGTAGTCCTTGAAGCCGAACTTGTTGATGATCACATCAGCGGCCAGGACAGCCGTGCGCACGTCCTTGATGAACTGGACGTTGGACAGCATGATGACGGTGGGGACCTCGGTGCGCACATGATCCACAGGCTCGAAGGCGTCCATGTTGCCGACGCCATTGACGATCGGGTCGATCTTGCGGCGGAACTGGTTGCGGTGGTTGACCTGGCCGCGGTCGGTACCCAGGTCGGCCTCCCAGATGGGATTGAAGAAGGAGGTGCAGGGCAGGATGACGTCGGCGTGAAAGTAGGCCAGCTTGGTGGCCAGGCCGATGCCCGCCAGAAGCATGGTCTGCACGGGGATGGACAGCTCGCACTGAGCGGGTGAGATGTTGAGACAGCACTCGCGCCAGAGGATGGCGTGGTCCCAAATGCCAAAGGTGGTGCCGCGCTTATACTTGAGCAGCATGCCGAACAGACTGCTGATGCCGTGGTGGGTGCTCTGGAAGACCTGCGGGCAGTTCTCGGGCGTCTGCACGCTGAAGATAAAAAAGTACGACTTGTAGATGGCCATGGCGTCGCGGAAGTCGGTCATGGTGGGACGCGACAGCTCAAAGGATTCGTACGTGTCCATGATGTTAGGGTCGTCGTAGCTCTCGAGCCAGGCTTCGACCCAGGCCGCGGCCACCTCCTTGCTGTTCCAGGTGACATTGTAGTCCTTGTGTTCAAAGTATTTGAACATGGTGAGCATGACGTTACTGAAGTGCAGCAGGTCAGGACGGGTGAAGGAGCGAGTCCTGGCACCCTTGACAAACTGCTTCAGGATGGGGACAAAAGTGCCGAGGATATCGCGCCTGATCTCCGTGTTGCCAATCTTGCGGTCCACCTCGGACTGCAGCAGGTTGTCAATGACACCATGGTTGGGCGTCTTGCCGTCCAGGCCCCAGAGTGGGAGGATCTTGAGCGACTGGACGTTCTTCTCGATCTGGAAGCGCGGAATACCGTACTCGTTGGCTGACTCGGCCAAGACATGGTTGCGAATCGTGCTGTGCCCGTTGACCAGATCACGGCGGCAGTTGGACACACCACCAGGCGACTCAGGCCAGCAGCCGACATCATTAAAGATGACAGAGATGCGGTCTGCCGTGTCCTTGAAGCAATCCTCGGGGCGTGTCGTCATCTGGTTGGCATCCTTGCCCAGACCCATGGCATACAAATCAGCCGCCTTGATCGGCAACATGCACACTTCAGAGACATCCTTCTCAATCTCGATGGCGGCGACAATCTGCTCGATGTTGTCGTCCAGCACCTTCTTGGCAGAGGTGAGACGGCCAGAGGACCGATAGCTCCAGTATCGCTGTAGCGTGGGCTCCTCGCGCAGAATCAGCTCGTCCATCCAGCAGGCCGTGATGCCGTCGAGCGAGTTGGACTTGAGCCAGTTGTTCCACAGCTCGGTGCGCAGCCACCAGGTCGGCACACGCGTGTAGATCTTCTTCTTAGAGAAGTAGCTCCAGGCGCCCGGGTTGAGGATGGTCGAGACGGACCTGGCGCTGAGCTTCCTGCCTGCGTACTTGAAGATTCGGCGCACGTCATCCCGGTGATGGCGGATCAGCAAGTCGTCATTTTCAAAGGCGACATCCGTGGGGCGCATCTGCATGATGGCTTCCTCGGGGAAAACCTCCGGCGGCTGGGCGACCATGCAGCGCGTGTCTTTGTCCTCAAGCATGGTGACCATGGTCGGATCGCGGCGGTGGGCGTAGTTGCTGGTCGTGGTGTACCTCTTGCGGCCAATCCTGCGAACCACACGGCAGACACGGTCCGACGGCACCCAGTCGAGCTTGGCACCGACGTCCGCACGAAGGGGAACCCCCCAGTAGACGGCAAAACTATCACTGTCGGCCACCTTGGCCAGCTTGAACTCAGCACGTAGGATCTCGTGGCTGTTCTTGGGGCTGGACTTGTACGAGTAGGTGAACTCGTACTCAGTCCCGCTAAAGATCATGACGCCGTGGGTCACGCGGCCGTACTTGTCGTAGAAGCAGCGCTTGAAGTTGTCGCCGTCGACCACCTCCTTATAAGCGGGCCAACGGCTGCGGGATCTCTCGGCGAAGAAGAAGGTAGAGAAGACAAATGGGTTGGCCTTCTTGTCTTTGCCCGTCGACCTATCCTGACGGCGCACGAGGCGGTGAAGCTCACCATACACGGCCGTCGACACGGGCTCCACATCGGCAGCCGGACGCGTCGAGAGGGCCCTGTCGAAAATGTCAAGAGTGATGGAGTCTTGGTCGTTGCGCGTGGCGAAACCCGTGATAATCTTCCTGGGCTGCTCGATGATGACCCGATCCTTGACCAGCGTCCTCGAGGCGCCCTTCTTGGCCAGGCGGGAGATGCGCACGAGGTTCTTGCGGTGGTAGATGAGGAGCACGTAGACCCAGATGTTTTTGAGGAACCAGCAGAAGCGCCAGAATGACAGAATGACCCAGAGGATCGGACCACGGGCGTACCAGTACCGCACGTTGTACCACAGCTCACGTTCGACATCGGACCCGGCCCCGGTCAGGATGCCCACCCACTTGGTAAAGTTGGACGGGATAGAAGCGATTCCAGACACAAAAGTGTGGAGGAAGCCGTATTTGGATGGGCCGATGTGCACAGGCGAGCAGTGCAGTTCCGACTTGGCCAAGGGTGCGGTGCCCGTCTCGAGAGAGTACTCTGCGTTGATGTGCTCGCGCTCCAGCGTCTTCTCGTAGATGCCCAGGGCTATCTCGAGGTGGAAGTCACACGTCTGCAGGTCGATGGAGTGCGTGGCGATCCACTCGTGCAGGTCGCGCGACACGCTGACGGGATCGCCTAGGATGCGACACATGATGACCTGCCGCACATAAGGAGGTAGATCGATCCACTTGGTGTCGACGTGCACGCCCATGCATAGGTACTTCATCAGCTTGAGGTTGGTCTTGCGTTGGATGTCCATGAGCGTGGGCAGGTCTGATGTGGACAGCTCAAAGTCGATGCGGCGGGACATGTGCTCCGTTTCATGCAGGAAGTGCTCGGCCTGGATGGCCCGGATCCGGTCCATGTGGAAGATGGCACGGGCGACGTGGAAGAGGATGGCCTCGGTGGCAAAATATGCCAGGAGGGGCTGCCACGTGGGCACATCGACCTCGTCCTCCAGGAGGTAACCCGTCGAGATCTCAAGCATGTTCCCGTCATACCTGCTGAAGGACATGGAACTCCCAAGGCCCCTGTCGATAAAGGCGGTACGAGTGCTGAGGTTCAGCTCGATATGCCCTGCCTTCCACATCTCCAGCGCCACCTTCAGCACATCCTCGGACCACGCCGCGTTCTGCGCATGCTGGTTGGGCTGACTGATACTCAGGCGCAGAAGCTCGGCAATCCTCTCGCAGATGAGGGAGTGTGAGGCCGAAGTGACCTTGTTGCCAGGCAGATTCTTCCAGGCCACAACCTCTGCCGTCTCAGAAACAGCCATGCTAGGGTTGGACAGCCTGGGCTGTGTCCAGCAGTTCGCCGCCGCAGCGTCAGCACCCGCACCTGTCTGTAGGAGGCTGCTGGTGCGCGTAGAGTCTCGCATGTGCAGGTCCTTCCAGACAAAAAACGTCGTCAAGGCTGCTGCCAGCAGGGAAGCTGAGTTCAGGGCAATGACATCGGTAAAAAAGGGCTCATGGTTGCCGTAGACACCATGGATGGTGCAGCCGACCACAAAACCCACTGCGGCGCTGCACAGGATCGAGGCGGTATGGTAGCTGACGTCTGTGGTGAAGCAGCGGTTAAATTGGAAGACCATGACGCCCGTGTAGGCGATGCAGTAAGCGTAGAACAGGATCACCACCTCGGCGTTCTTGACAAAAACCCAAAGGAGGATGCACGAGACGCCAAACCAGAAGAAGAGGCGCTGAAACAGTTCGCACAGGGCGCTCAGGTACTTCTTGCGCCGGCGCGTCTCCCAGCCCCTCTCGACCTGCCCCGCGTGGTCCAGGTCCAGCAGTTTCTCGTCCGACAGGGCGTAATTGCCCGACCAGTACTTCTGCAGCGTGCCGTCCAGCGTCATGACAGAGGCGCAGAAATACAGGATGGCAAAACAGATGCCATAGCGGGCTGTGTCATCGATGAAGACGCTGATGGCCACGTACTCGGCGCTCATGACAATGCTGACCCAGCGGTCCATGAGAGCGACCAGGAAGAGACCCACGCTTACACCGATGTCAAAGCGGGCGTACCGGAAGAGGATGAAGATGTTGTGCTCTTTCAGGCCCTGCGCCATCTGCTCCTGCGTTTTGAGTGCCTGGTTGACCTGTCCGAACCAGGCAGGCGTCAGCGTGTCCGCGCGTGGCCTGGCTGGGTCGTCCTTCTTCAGCAGCCAGTCCAAGTACGGCATGCCCTTAGCCACACGCGCCACCACAGGATCGACGTGGTGCGAGGTGGCACCAAATCCCAGCACGCCGTGGCTATAGGCCTCAACCTGCCTGCGGAAGGCCAGGAGACCCATCTTCCTCTTGACCTCGGGCGTAACGTTGTTCTCCTCCTCCGTCTTAACCATTCTCGACGTGGCTTTGTTGTCGCGGTCCGAGGCGGTGTCTGCGAGGGGCTGGCCGGCCTCTGCCTCTAGCTTGGTGTTGTACCAACCCAGAATGTCCTTCTCCGTCACACGGGGAATCCTGTCCATCCAAGTGGACCACTCATGGCAGAGGCTGCGGTACTGGATCAGGATGAGAAACAGGAATCCGTACGCGACAGGCAGGTAGATTTGCAGGTCGTGGCCGGGCGAGAAGGTAGAGATCAAAGGTGAGAGAAAGAATGTCGGGATGGTCCGCCACAGAACAGTACGGCCCGACGTGAGCGGGCTTCCCCGTTGATGCATTGTTGCCATGACGCCTGAGAAGAAAAGAAAAGATTAGCGAACACACAAAGTCGACGATTCTGCTTGATATAGGGAGAGGGCAGACGAGATCGGAACTAAACTTACCAAGAATGTTGAGATACATAGAGATGGCAACGAGATAGAGGAAAAATACAATGCCAGAAAGAACATTGACCTTGACCGTGAAAATGATGAAACCAACGATGCCGACAAGAATGGTAATGACAAACCCACCAGACAACCGCTGGACGTGGAAGTAAATCATGTTGTCGTATGCATAGTTGCAGATGTAGTAATTGCCAATGCTGCCCACCCAGCCCGTGACACCAGCCGAGATGAGCAGCGACATGAGGAGCGCATAGCATGCAGCGGTGAGGTGGTCATTGCCCAGCCAGGCGGTCATAAACAGGCCTCTGCCGAGGAAGGTCAAGAGCAGGATATCAATAATCGCAGGGAGACAGAAGATGGACAGGGCGCCAAAGTCGGCAAACTTCTTGCGGATGTTGATGACCGTCTTGGACATGTCAAAGTCTTTCCTGGACGGGCCATCAGGGCCCATCTCCTCGTCCGCACCGCCGGGCATGGGGTCAGGCTTCGCAAAAACCGTCATGATCTTCTTGTCCTTAAAGCCCATAGGGGGAGGGTTGTCCTCGAGGAACTCGCGGTAGCGGTCGTAGATGATCTCGCCCAGATCCCGAGGGAGCATGCCAAAGTAGGCCTCACACTGGGACCCGAGGGCCCAGAGCTCAGAGAAGACGGCAGCCTGGTCGCGCTGGGAGAGGAAGAAAGGGCAGCGATCTGTAGTTTCGACGTAGACGTCCTCAAAAGCACCCTTGCGCAGGGCAGAGAAGAAAATCAGGGCAAACAGGTCGGCGTTTATGTCGACGTGGTCGCAGCTGGTCCAGGAGCTCCACGGGTCGTATGCGTGCAGAAGGGCGTCAGTCAAGGTGTTGAGCTTGTCGCGGTCTGCCGAGAATAGCGCGTCGACGACGATTCTGTCGACGAGGTGGTACAGATGGAGCAGGTTGGTCACCGAGGGAAGCTTCTGGGCGCCCAGGCGCACGAAGTCCTGCAGCCGCCGCCGGAGGAGAGACTCCATGTCCTGGGTGCCGCTGAGGAAGCCAAAGGAGGTGGCGTGGTTCCAGGACTGCAGCGAAGTCTGGTCGATGAGCACAGAGCGGCACTGCTCTTCGATCCCGAACTTGAAGTGGTGGTTCAGGCTCGACACCTTGATCTGTTCCAGTAGGAAGAGCGTCTCTGCCGGCGTGGCATTGTCAATCTGGTGGCGAATGCTCAGGGGAAGCGTGATGTCTTCCTCCGAGGCGCCCAGCGCCCGCTCGAACTGCAGCTCCTCCTCGAAGCGCTCGACACGAGAGACATCATGGTGCGCGAGCCACGTGTGCAGGATGGTCTGCACGTCGCTCGGACAGCGTCGTGAAATGAAGAGGTCGATCTCAGTCGGAGTCGAGTCCGGATGCAGGTAGTGGTCCTTGGAGACCTTGTGCGCGGCAGATACACCCCAAAACTCGGCAGCATTGTCCGGGAGGGTGAAGCCGCTGCCGAGGCCCTTGTAGATGAAGATATTTCGCGCCTTAAGGCCCGCCACCAGCGACTGCACGAGCTGATAGTGCCTGGAGGCACGAGGGTACTGCTGGAAAGCCTCGAGGTACTTGGTCATCTCAGCATCCGAGGCGCGCTGCAGCATCTTCAGGGTGCGCAGATGGATCTGAGTGTCCAGGATGGCGTCGTGCTGGGCGGTGGTGGGCTCGCTGAGGAGTGGTACGCAGCCATTGGGCGAAATCAGCTCCCCCTGCGACGTGCGCTCCCAAAAGTCCTCCCTGGTTGGGGCGTACGGCACATAGTCGGGCGGGGTAATCCTGATGGGCCGTTCAGATCGCAGGTTCTGGAGGTCTTCGGGGAGCGACAGCGGCCGCAGGAGCTCATCGATCTCGGGGATGATCTGCTGGAGCTCGCCAAACGGCAGGCTGGCCACCTTTTCGATCGAGTCGCGCCGTCCGTTGCCCACGTGCGTGAGCCTCTTCTGCTGCATCCAGGAGCTCTGCAGCTCCGACGTCTCGGACCTCCGCAGGTACTCAAACGCGCTCAGGCTGAGCGGCAGCTTCTTGGTCGGCATGACGCTGGGTGCGGTTGGAGACGCGGCTCGGCCGTGCTCAAAGGCGGCCGCGAAATGCTCGGCTAGCTTCTGCGATCTCCTGACCACGGCTGCCGAGGGGCGTACATGCCAGCGGTCGAAAAAGCCCACAAAGAAGTTGGGCCTCTCCACCCGCTGGTCTGCGCACTTGGCCATGGCGTCGCGCAGGGCGATGGACCGGAAATAGTCCCTCCTCGTCCCGTCCTCCAGGATGCACGCGTTCTCCACAATGAGGCCTGAGAGGAACTTGGGGTTCACCAGGCTCAGCACTGAGGCGTCATGGTGGCACTTTAGGACGACGGGAACTTGGATCTCGCAGAGCCCGATGATGATCTGCGGGATCAAGGGGAGGGCTGAGCTGGGGACCATGCCGACATCCAGGACCAGGCCTACGACGGCATTGTCGTGGTAGACATGGAAGAGAAAGTCGATGGTGGTCGAGGGGGAGAATCCGGTCGCAGAGCTGATGCCCAGGTCCTGGCCGTCAACAAGGCCAAGCACGGGAGTGGATGGGGAGACACCGGCGATGGTGCTCGAGGTCTCGGAAAATGAGCCTTGGTCAGTGTCCTCGGTGGCAGCCGCCCCCGTCAGAAACGGCAGGGCCACGATCAGCAGGTCGTGCTCGATGTTGAGCTTTCCAAGATTGGGGACGGGGCTGTCCTTCCCAAAGACGCCAAACGACTTGACCGTCGACAGGTCCACGCAGGGCGATGGCTCCATGCGTTTGGCCCGCTCGAGTGCTCCATCTCTGTTCCGACTATGTACACACAAGATACGTTAGCAAACAAACAGAAATCAACAAGAAAAGCAAGGACTCTGCCGCCGCCAATTTTGATTCTTGTCATTCTTCTACTGAAGAAATTGTTCACAACGACGTACCTTTTTCTTCTCTTTCTCCATGATCTGAAGGCCCAGGCTGACCTCTCGCCTATTGCCAGAATCGTTGGGACACCCACAGCTACGATTGCGATGATGAAGGTGATCCATTGATATGAGTACTGGAGACGTTCATCGCTCGGTAATATGGAGTTGCAGTATATCTTCCACTGGGTGCCGTTGCCGCAGACTTCCGAGGCAGTGTTGCCTGACAGCAGAGGCTGGAAGAAGGAAGCCATGATGATGACGACGGATGACGATGCTCCTGCTGCTGCTGGGCTGGCAGCGGTGGAGTAGAGGGAAGGTGCAAGGGAGAGAGGGTCACAGTGCAGCGCAAGGCAATACGCACACCCGACGGCTTTGCACAGCACGAGTTATCCAAGACAAAAACAAAAAGAAAAGGACGAAAAGGCCCCTCAGTGTCCAATATCAAAACATTGCTGCCCACGTCCACCAGCTGAGAAGTACTAGGCGGGGTTGCGCCGCTCTTTCTTTGTCCGGAAATGGTGAAAAGGGAATAGGCGGTTTTGTAAAAAGGGCCCAGTGGTGACGGCGGCGGGGAGGGAGGGAGCCTAAAGTGTGTAATAAAAGGAGGATGGCTTGGCCTGTAGAGCAGAGGCCGGAAAGGGAAACCAGCAAAAGACGCGAACGGATGGGTGCATGGGAGGGCGATATTAAAACCCAAACGAGTTCCAGTTCGCCAAGTTCAGGTCACAGATTGGCAGAGGGCGAGAAGGGACCAGACAGGCCACGACCAATATGGGACCCCAGCAAATGCAAAGCCAGCAGTACAGCAGAACATACGAAAAAAAGTGAGACCCAGATGCGCATGCTAAACTACTTCGAAACACAACACGGGCTTACCAACGATAATCGTACTAGCAGCACTTTCCGATCATTTGCTTTTCTTTATTTCGATCTATTTTTCGTCTTCTCTCCTATCTTCTTTTGTGTCTTGTCTATCTTTTCGTCATTTCTCGAGAATCAGTGGACCGACGTGGCAGATCCAGCAAACTGGGCCCTGGAACGCCACGATCTCCATCCGCCGCCGTCTGGAGGGCAGGGTGCGCTGGGCTGGGCTGGGCTGGGGCACGAACACCCACTTTTGAGAGCTACCAGAGCTGCCAGGCTCTCTTCTGTCATAGTCAAGGTACCGTATCCACCCACAAGTCAGGGGCCACGAGGACCGAGGTACAAGCCATGGCGCCATCGACCTATCTTGGGAGAAGGCCTTCAGGGTAAAACCTGGTAGCGCATAAGAGAGAGGATGTACCAGGGGAGGGCAGGGTCCCGTCGACTGCAGGCGCGACTCGCGACCGCATGCCGTATTCTGGGCCAGAGGAGAAGCGAGAGCAAGAGAAAGTAGCTAAAAAAGGCATTGGTCGAGCCTCCGTATCTCATGATCAGCATGCCAAGTATGCGGGCAGCTTTCGGCATCCAGATCATCGCCGAGCAGCACGATGAATAAACAAAAGTCACGACACCGACGTGCAGCAGCGCTGGCGCTGGCGCAGGCTGCAGCCACATGCCCTACTCACCCCAGGCGCGCGTGCAGATTGCAGCTGAGTTTCCTTTAGACTCGGAGAGCTGATGGCCGTTTCCTGAAAAGAAGCGTGTGGAGGCGTCGAGGTTGTGGCAGTGGCAGTGGCAGAGCGGGTGTGAATGGTGTGTGTGCACTGACTACACTACACGGCCAGGTGGCATCATCATCATCATCATTTTAGAAACACACACACCTTGGCCTTGCAGTCCGGAAAATGGCCGTAAAACGATGGGGCTGGAGGGCAGGCGGCTGTTGCCAGTGGTCGAAAAAAAAAGCCCGAAAGGTTGCTTCCGGGCTGACGTTGCTGGCCAGTGAAGGAGGAGGGACGGCTGAGAATAGAGCCAACGAGAAGAGAATAGGAGGGAACGGGAAGGGAAAAAGAGAGTTTCCAGGCGCAGCAGCCTTCCAGAGCGGGCATTGATTGGCGGTGGGTAGCGCCAGAGCGAGACAAGCGATGTGATGTTACCACAGGCCCGGGAGTTCAGTCACCGGGTGACAGACATGCATAATCAAGTCGACCAATCCAAAGTCCTGGACGTGCAGCACAGACAGGCCATCCTCGATGTTGTAGACTCCTCCTCGCCCCCTCCCTCTAAAGTGATGGTGCCCAGCGTTTCTCACGCGTCCCCATCACGAGGTGCGGGTGGCCACAGTGGTACAAGTTTTGGGCGCCATACAGAACAACATGACCGCCTTCTCGCTCGTCAAGAAAACGGCGCATCGTTCAGCGTAGCGCAGCGTAGCGAGAGAAACAAAATAAATAGAACAAACTGAATGCGTCATACATATATTATTGCCACAGAAGCACCCCGGCACCGGATGCTGGACTACCGAGAGAGCCACCGGCATCATTAGGGAACACAAGCACGAGGGGAGGACGAACCATGATCTCCCGTGCAGCAAGCAAGGCATGCGAGGGCTTTGCTTGTGCGTGCTGTACGTGCTGTGCTGGGGTCCTGGCTTTGCGTTACACCCGATGCCACACCGGAAATGCCCTCGTCATGGCGAACAAGTCGACAGGATGCGAGTACGCACCAGACCTTGCCCCAGAAGGGAAATGAAGCCTCTTCACCTGGTTGTCGCTGACCTCTAGACTGTTTCTTGTCCTTGTCCAACCAAGGCTGGTCTCTCTCGAAAAGAATGCGGTCAGACCTGGAATCAGGCCCAGGCGCGGAAAAGCACCAGCCCGCCCCAGCAATGAAGTATGTGGCGTGTCGAGTCTTGGAAAGACGTCGAAATTGGATGATGACTGATAACTGCAGAAGGAGAGAAGGGGCGGGGGTGGGGGGTGGTAGGAAATGGGAAGGAGCAGGGAGGGGTAGGTAGCAAGAGAAGGAGGGAAATTTTGGAGGGGCAAAGGTACATAGCAACAGTACATAGTACCTAGGTACGAGAGTACTTCGATACCTCACAACCTCATCGATTCCATCCGAGCGTCCGAGGGCTGGCTCTCGGTGATTTGGGAGGGGGTTCCTGTGGCTGAAGCTACTATAGTACATACTGAGCATTACTCTCTATGGTATGGTAGGTGTCCATGTCGGTACTTCTGATGCAGGCAGCAAGGGGGGGCCATCCTGAGTTCGCTCTTTTATCCGCATATTGAAAAGCAATATGCAACTACCAACATAATCTTTGTACTCCCCAGCTAGGTACCCACTCGCTAACGTCCATGTGTTTTCGATTCCTTCCTCAAGTCTGGGGGTGCCCTTTCCATGGCAAGGGCAGGGGTGGCTCTTGCCCGGATCGGTCCCACTCAGAGCCGACTTCATTCCTCAACCAACTGTTTTTTCCCTTGCACGCACGCACGCACCTGCTTCTATTTTTTCATCCCTTTCTCCTCCGTCCTTCTCTCGCGCACACCGCACGGCTATTTACACTCACGTCAGATCTAATGCGATGCTAGCAGTCCCGCACGAAAATACTCTTCTTTTAGTGTCATGCTTCTTTGTGTGCCTTCTCTCAATGGTCTTCTCTTCGGTCTCTAGACCACTCATACTCCAACCAAACAATGACCCAAGAGAACTACGAATCACTACTTTAGCGCTTCGATCGTTCGACAATCCACACTAACTAACCACAATAACTTTGACTACAATGAACTTTGCGCTTCTCCACGCATTCTTGTGCGCCGTCGCGCCTTGCCTGGTCTTTTCCTCCCTCTCTCTGTGTCTCCCCCACTACGGGTGGATCCGCTAGAGAACAACTTCTGGTACTAATCGGTAAATCCGACCTACTCACACGGCATCGCTCGGAGAAGAGACAGCGCCACCCTGACAGAAAGACCCTGAGCTTCCAACCGCGTGGGCGCCCAAAGTAGTCGAGGCGCCATGTCTGCCGCGTGGGTTGACCACGTTGCTGAGGGCCGCACCAGGCTTTCGGGTCGACCGTCCCGTCCTCATAAGAACTTGGCCTGCGGAACCCTGAACATCTCGCCAGGCGGTAAAATGGCTAGCGAGAGCTCCTCCCAGGACGCCTAGAAGGACGAGACACGGTCTTGTCTCTCTAGGGCCAGTCAGCTCCCCCCAGCTCCGCAGCTCTCTCTGACTCAGGGCGCAACAAAAAACCAACAACATGGAATTCAAAGCAGTGTGAGACAAAGAGGCCCGGTCCGATCATAGCGGCGTCTCCCAGCGCCTCGTGCCCTCCCCTGTCCACCACGCGCTTCAGAGACAACTCGGCCGTAATACCTAGGTAGCGAGAGCCGGCTCGCGATGTTATTACCACAGGATGTGGCAGACCCGCCGCCTCCAGCGGCTGCGACAGCGGTGAAGCTTTCAGACGAAGGGCCTATGTTGCAGACTATTGACCTTGGCAAAGTGCATGTTCCGGCTGCCTGGATGTACGCTGCTGTCGCCGGATGAGTAAGAAGAGCCGACCAGAAAGCATATGTTTTTTGGGGGTTTTTTTCTCCGGCATGTTTCCGCTCAACTCTTGTCTTTCCGTCTCTCTGTGGCTCTCTCGACAGGGTCGCATCCATGAGAGATCTGACAAACAGCGAGGCTTAGGGCCAACCAGACAAAACCGTCCACTCCCCCCCAACAGTGAAGAACCCTACCATAGTACTTCTCTCGCGGTGGACCATGCTCCGGCTCTAGGCCTATTGGCGGACCCGAAACAACCGGTGGTCTTCGTCGATCTTAAAGAGCTGTCCCCTGCTCATATTGGAGGCAGAGGCATCCCTGCCTTGGAATTCTTCAAGGTCTTTTCCAGCGGGCACGCGCACCTTGATAGGACCGAAACACCCCTGGCTAAGAGTGACATCGCCAAGGTGACGAAATCCAGGTTACACCTTTGACATTCTACCATACCATTCATCACCTTCTTTGCCGCCGGCCCTGCCTGGCGCCGCAGAGTACGGCACAGTCTCCCCCATGCTGCCCCAGGTATTCTGCATGTAGTGGCGGCCCAATGGAGAAATTCCATTCCCCCGGCTTGGTGGGAAGAGGTGGGTTTGTTTAGCCCAACAGCATCGTCGCACGACCTGAGGACGGCTTGGCCAGGCACTGATTACCAATTAGTACTTGCTCACCAATTCTACATGCCATCGCCTCTTTGACATAGTGCCAGCTCAGGCCCACCCGTGTGCACTGACGGGGCCTAGGATCGAATCAAGCACTACACCTGCAACGTCGTATTCTCAGATCACGCACCAAAGCACCATGCTTCCTTGGCTCGCACAACCTCGACCCTTTTGAGGGGGGCCCCAGCTTATGAAGCCTCCTCCTGGGACAAGGTTCAGCCCTGACCAGAACAGACCCCACGACGACTTCTTGTCCAGATGCGGCTCTCACAAAGTCCTTATTGCTTTTTGTACAACTCCTCTGGCCTGCGTTCACCCGCTATACTGGGCCGATAGCCTGCCGTGGCTTGCCCTTTACTTCCAAACACGGCCAGTATCTCAAGAAGTGGCGTCTCGCCCTGCCGTGCATACATACTGCTAAACCGTAATAGTTCTTCAGGCGGTCGAATTTTCTATCTTGGGGAACTTTTTTCCTTTTGCTTTTCACGGCATCCTGGTTTAGTGCTCTAATTCCGTTCCTTTACGAGCTTTCACGTAGGCCAACTCCTACTAAGACCCTCCTGAAGATGCCTGTGCCACGTCTTCTAGCTTCTTGGCGTTACAGTCCAAACTGACGTAGCAATGTCCGAGAACTCTCGTAACTGGCAACGAGAAAACAAGATGGCATGACTGCTGGCTGGGTCTGCCCGAAGAGAGAGAGAGAGACCCAAGAGAGAACCTTTGGGGGTCCGCGGGCATCACGGATGAGGCACAACCCCGTCACCCAAGCTACCCCTGGTGACTGGAATGCACACAGGACCAAGCCAGCCTGGGGGGGGTGGGGGGGAGGGGCGGGAGGAGGTACCGAAGGACGGTTTCCTTGTGCACATTCTTATCCTCCTGCTATGTGGGAACCTATTCATTGAGGGCTAGACAAAAACTGCTCTGCCTGAATACTACATGCTCCGAGGGCTGACCCATCCTCTCAGCCCAGACCTGCCTGACCTGGGCGGTTACCAACCCAGTGGAGCCCTGTTCTTTTTTTGTTTCTCCCTCAGTCTTTTTTATTTTATTTTTTTCTCTTGCCCTCCTTGTTCTCGACCTCCGTGTCGTGTTCGTCTCGTTAAGGCACGTCATACGGATAGCTTTGTTTCACCGGTACATACGCTCTTTTCACTATTCCTGGAATACTCACACTACGGGCAAGCCATGTGTTCTAGCCCGTGAGACATGCCTCGCTTCATCCCAAGGGCACCCAACCCCGGGCTCCACGATGAGCTGGCCGGCTCTAGGGTATCATTCATTGCTCTCTTTGCCCACAGACGGCTGAAATTGCTCCATCTTGCTCGTGCTTGGGCCAATATATCGCCCAACTAAAATGCGTGTGTGGTCCGACGACGATGCGTTCCCTAGTGTGACGGCGCCCGGCTACTGCCACCGACACTATTGAATATTTCACTCGCTTCCCCAGCCTGATTCTCTTTCTCTTCCTCATGGTGTCGACATCATCTCCAGCTTGCTTCCCAATTCCTCCGTTCGTTACCAAAAGAGCCTCTTTGTTTTCCGGAACCAGTACTTGAAAAAGGCCCTCACCCACCTTGTTCCTAAGTTGTCAAGTCTCACCCCATCTTCCTGGACACCACACACACACACACACACACACACACACACACACACGCTCTTTCTCTCTCACTCACTCAAACAAAAACACGCACACGCACACACCAACACCAACACTTCCATAAGCACCATGGAAGAGCAGAAGCTGCACTTGTCCATCTCCTCTGTAGCCACCATGGACAGCTACACACCTTCACACCCTTCCACATATGCCTCTACCCCTTCAGAGAACTCACCACTGGCGAGTTCCCCTCTCAGCACACCAGAGACATCCGACCTCGAGGATGCACCACCTCTCAACTTTGCTGGCGGTCTCGGACTTGGTGCTCACTCTACCACACATGACCCAACCTTTGTCCTTGTCATTGGAGGACTGGGCTTCATCGGATCCCATACCGTGTTGGAACTCTTGAGAGCTGGATTTAATGGTTTGCACAGCCCCTGTTTCCTTTTCCCTCTTGCTTTTTTTTTTTGTTTTTGGACCATGTGTTCCACAACTGCCGGCACCACGGCAGGCTGCATGTCTCTGGGAGGAGCCACAAGGGCTAACAGAAATTGTCCAGTCATCGTGGTCGACAACCTCAGCAACAGCTATGAGAGCGTACTGCACAACATCAAGCTCCTCGCCGGGAAGGAGTGCAAGGAGAAGGGAATACAGATGCCACTCCTCCACTTCCACCGTTGCGACTACAGGAGCCGGTCGATGCGCTTCCTGCTGGAGAGCTATACCGACCTCGTGCCCGTGTCGTCGTCAACATCCTCATCAACATCATCATCATCATCATCATCACCGGAGACAGACGAGACCGAAAGGAGACAGATGACCTACCAATCCCGGATCACGGGTGTTATCCACTTCGCCGCATACAAGTCCGTCTCCGAGTCCATTGGCAAGCCACTGGCCTATTACAACAACAACGTCTGCGGTCTCGTCTCGCTCCTTGAGCTCCTGGACAAGTTCGCCATCCGCAACTTCATCTTCAGCAGCTCCGCGACCGTGTATGGGTCCAAGGCCAACGCGGGCGTGCCCCTGCGGGAGGAAGACCTTGTCCACTTCCCCGAGACCGTGCGCGACCCTGCGACCGACGCGCACGTCGACCTCACGCCCTCGGTGGCAGGGCTCACATGCCCCTATGGCCGCACCAAGTACATGGCTGAGGCGATCCTTGCAGACCTGGCTGAGGCAGACGACCGCTGGCGCATCGTGGCGCTGCGGTACTTCAACCCTGTGGGCTGCGACCCCTCGGGTCTGCTTGGCGAGAGCCCGCGCAACGCGCCGACCAACCTGTACCCTGTCATCACGCAGGTGCTCACGGGCGACCGTTCCAAGCTCGACGTATTCGGGTCCGACTGGGACACGCGTGACGGCAGCGCCGTGCGCGACTTTGTGCACGTGCTGGACGTCGCCAGGGGCCACATCGCTGCGCTGCGGCCGTGTCCTCCTGCTGCTGCTGACAAAGAAGAAAAGACTGAAACACTCGACCGCGATTCTGCCGGCCCTACCAGCACCAACGCCGCGGCCAGTCCGGCACGCGACTCGTGTGGCGCTAACAACAAGAACGCTGCTGCTGTAGCCCCCACGGGGTTCCGCGCTTACAACCTCGGTAGTGGCAATGGAACAACTGTGCTCGAGGCAGTGCGCTCGCTCGAACACGCGGCGGGCAGGGAGATACCCCTGGACCACCAAGGCCGCCGGGCGGGCGATGTTGGCACGTGTGTGGCCTCTAACGCCCGCGCCCGCGCAGAACTGGGATGGGCTCCTCGCGAGAGCATCACGCAGTGCGCCGTCGACCTTTGGAACTTTGTCAGCCGCACCGTCGGCGTCAGCAAGACCCCCGTCGTGGTGTCGTGAGAGAGGGAAGAGGGAAAGAAATCCCCACGATTTGACTCCTCACGTGGTGGTGGAGGAGCCGAAAAATCAACAGACCATTTGTCGCTTGGGTCTCAACGGCGGCGGTGGCAATAGTGCGTCGCCCTGTTGTGCCGGGACGGCGCGTGCACACCACCAGCTGCTGAATAGCGGCAACGTCTTTACTACTATGGTGGAAACCCAACCCCACCCCTCCTTGGGTGTGCCACATTGACGATCACTACCTCGACGGGTGCATGTGGCTTTTTTGTGTTTTTTGTTTTTTTTTTTCTGGTTTGCACTTTTCGCGTGGTCCTCTTCGCGAGAGGGCCAGGATGTATCAAGACGCTATCTAATCTGGTCTTATCTCTTTTCTCGCTTTTCTTTTTGTTCCTGTCTCCTTCCCCACACGTCCATGCTGAGCATCTCACACAGCACTGGGGGAAACGGAAAAAAATAATGAACGACAGACGAGCCTCATTCTTCACAACGGCTGGCTCGAACGGCGAATTACCAAATTTGGTAACAGACGCACAGGCATTTGTCACTTGCTTGTTTTTCTTCTTCTTTTTCTCTACGATCGAGCGCCTTTCTTCCTTTTTTTTTTTTCTTGCTTCCTACGTCCTAATGATCCGAGCAGCGCATCATCACAAGTCTTGTTTACTTTTTTCTTTTCTCACATCTTGTCATCGTATCATCGTATCATCGCACGGTTCCGGCATTTTTAGCGGTGGATCTACACAGTGCTGTCCCAATTTTGACAGGGCAGGGCGAATAAGGCAAGGGCAAAATGTTTGGGTTGGGAACACAAAAGTAATGCAGTGCATCGCGTCTATTGTTTTTGTCTTCTATTTTTTTTCTTTTCTTTTTTTTTTCTTTCTTTTTTTCTCGAGCTCGTTTCCTGCTGGTAATATCCAGTCACGTTTTACTACCACATGATGACCATAGAACAAACAAATTAAACCCCGCAACTGCAATCAATCTGTACCAGCCTCTTGGTGACCAAAAATCGACTGATCATGCATCTTCATCTTTCCTCCGGCATCTACCGTAATGTCTCAGGCCACGCGGCCTCAATATCGGTACAGATGCAAGTTTCCTTTTCTGCTTATTCTCGCGGCACAGGTATGGGGAGGGGGCAGGCACTATTCCCGGGTTTCTGAAATCCCATTGCAACCAACCACGTCTTCCTACTCCGCACACGGCTTACCCCAGACGGCACACCACTATCGATGCAATTCTCGCTTTAAATGGTACATGTCTCTCTTTTCCACTTTGCGCCCCTCCCACCCCCACCCCCCCCCCCAAAATCGCAGGAAATGAAAAATAAAGTTCGGGACCAGAGTTACTTCCCATATCTCCTGATTCGTTTTGCTCCGTGACCGGATGGAGTCAATTCGTTTTGGTGACGAGGAGAAGGAAGGGAAGGGGGGGAGGGGGGGGTGTTTACCATCACGAGGTTTCAGAGAGCAACATCCCGCGATGAAACTAAAAAAGAGGACCTCGGAGAATATTTCCTTGGTTTTATTTGGCTAGGAGATTTTTTAAAATATGAGAAATTTCATTACCAGTACGTGAGAGATGACATTTTAGGTACTTTTAGCCGGAAGAAAAGACCCACCACGACTATTCTCTTCATCATCGCCGGCTCTCAACACTTTCCTGTCCCATCCTTCCCATCAAAATTCTGTTCCCACCCAGAATATACAATAGTACTATGGCAAGATATTATAGACGAAGAGAGCAGGTTGTTTCAGTACCTTGTCCCCCCTCCCCCGGCCGGAAGGATCTGGCGATGATGGGCTTGCCCTCGCGTGTATTTTTTTTGGTGTCTCAAGGGACCCCCGCCCTCCCATTATTTACATAGCCGGTACCGTGTTTCCGAAACTAGGATCCACCTGCCGCCTACAGGGCGTTTATCAAAGACGGAGGAGATTAGGAAAGGGAAAGGGCAAGAAGGGCAAACTAAAGCAATCAATTCTCCGTCCGAATGGCGCCCGGTAGTAAAAAAAAATAAAATAAAAAAGCGTTGCACGAAATAATCCGAGGCGTCGAAAGCAACGTCGCCTCTTAGAGTGGTCCATGTAGGAAGATGACTTCACACAGTCATCTTTCTAATTTTTTTGGTATTTTAACAGGCCTGGTTTGATGATGATACGTCATATTTGTCAGTAATTTGTTTGTCTTGTTTGCTTTTATTCTTGTTTCCTTTTTCGATCTGAACGGAGGAACCTGATCCCGTGACCCAAGGAATTGCATGCAGGGTGGGAAAGGAAGAACCTACACCATCAGCGGGCTTTGGGCAGGCGCCGTTGGACTGCATGTAGCAGGCGAGTTTGGCCTGGGCCTGGCATGCGCAAATCTGTTGAGACGAGGTTAGCACGTTTCCTTGTTGTCATGATTCCACATCCTGAGGAGAGTTCCTCTGTGTTTCTTGTTCTCTCTCTCTCTCTCCTTTCTTCTTCTTTCCTTGCCCAATCCTTCCTATTCTCGGGGGTCGAACAGCACGCTATTCAAACCCGTTGGTCATCCTTCTTCCTTCCCGCCCCCTACACCCCCAAGCATTCTCTTTGTTGGTTCCAGGGGTTTGAGAGAAGGGTTGGTACATGCAAGACCAAGAGGAAATGAGAGAGAGAGAGAGATGATGATGAAAGAAGAAAGAAGGAGGGGGGGGGCGCAATCAAAACTTACGCTGGCCGCATTCAACCGCGGATCACACACGGCAGCAGGACAAACGCAGTCTGCAGCCTGGAAGATCGGGATATGGTCCGTCGCCACGGTGTTGGTCGAGTTGTTGTTGTCATCCGTGGTGTTGTCGGCGCGCGGCACAATCAGAGGGGCGACGGAGCCGTGACCGGGGTGAGCCAGGACCACCGGAGCGAAGACGGCGGTGAGAGCCACAACAAGGGGGGCGAAGGACTTCATCTTTGATAGATGGGATAATGAGTGTCCTGTCTTTTGTCTGGTGGCTATTGTCTCTTTCTCGAATGAGAAAGAAAGGAAGGGATAAAGTGGTAGTGTGGAGCCTCTCTGGCTTTCTTTTTCTTCCTGGGAAATGAGAGAGGGAGAGACTTAATTCCCCTTTCACGGTGCGGCTAAATTCGAACTGGTCTTCTTTTGGCTTGCTGACGACGACAACGATGAGGACGACGCAGATGTTAATGGCGAATTAATCTGTGGTTGTTTTCTTTACGTTGAAGAACGGGCCGGACAGAAGACGGACAGAAACAAGGTGATTATACAGAGACAAGAAAGGTAACGTGGCAATGGTGATCACGAAAAGAGGACGAGAAGGGGCGATGGTAGGTGGGATATGCTATGTAGTTGGGGAAGGCCTTTTGTGCGCACACTTGTCGTCTCCCAGCACTTGCACTGCACTGGCCCCATTCCCCCCCCCCCCCCCGCCCGTATTCAGCTCAGTTTTCGTCACTCGCCTCGAACTTTCTTTCTATGTGCCGTTCGTCCCGAAGCATAGCTCTCACAGACGATCAGAATAAAAAGGGCCCGGGCTGAAAAATCTTTAGCTGTCCAGAGCCCCCTGCAGTGGTCGATGTCCTAGCACGAGGTGCGGAACAAAGAACCTCAACTAATGGCTCAATGAGGAAAACCTGATCTGACTTGTACGTCTTCCCAAGTCTAAACTTTTCGGAAGCGGCACGGCTGAAGAATAGGCGGGGCCAGGGTTAGTATTCAGTGGTCTGGCCTGGCCTGGCCCCCCGGTAGTAGCGTACGGAGGGCGGGGGAGCCGCAACAGAGCCTGTAAGGTGTACTTGCGGCACTGGTTCCGATCAGTGTGTGTGTGCTGTGTTGTACATCGGGTGTGTGAAAAATCATGGTACTACGACTACTACTATGCTTACTACTACTACTCCTACTATTACTGCTGCTGGTGCTGGTGCTGTACGATAGAAGAAATTAACCAAAAAAAAAAACCCCCCCAAAGAAAAAACCCCCACGACGGGGGTTGGCTGGGTCGACCAATAGTCTAGGTACTACAGACTTCAGCTACATACAGGTGTGTAATGCGTTGGCACTCGTGTTGTTGGGTTCCAGGCTCGTCTGTGGGTGTAGCGGTCAAGAGTACAGCTCGCCACATGCTCGAGCCTTTTCTCCTTGTATACATAGGGGAGAAAAAAAACACATTACCCACTCAGTGCCAGCCCAAGAACCGTGCCACCTTGCTTGCAGAAGGATCGACAAGTCCCCCCAAGATGGATGACGGACAGGAATCTTTGACAACCATCCATTCCACCGGGTTACGGCCCACCCGTCCCCATACCCTGATGGCGATCAGGCAAAACCTGGGAAATGGACGCCAATTGAAAGATCTTCGTCGGGATGCTAATCCTATAGAGCCGTCGTCGTACTATGGTACTATGGTCTACCTTTTCATAGTATGATGCTTTGGCTGGCCACGAGGCCCCAAAATCGCGAGTACTGCGGGGGGGGGGGGGGGCGTACTGCTTCAGTTGGCGCGCGGCTTGAATCCTGCTCACGCCGTCTGTGATCTAGACAACGACCCCATAAAGAAGGGCCTATTATTCTGCAGTTCGGTCTATTGCTTCCAAGTCCCAAATTCCAGGCGGGTCGAGAGAGGACTTCGTTCTAGAGCCTCTCCCAAGTGGCCCGAGAGAACAAAATGTAACATGCAAATAGCCTCTCGCATCTCCTCCACAGATCCATATATCTCCTCCTCTCCACAGATACTTCACTGGTCATTCTCATGGTGCGATCGCGACTTCGGCCCTTGGCCCCAGCGCACGCCCTATTTCTTTGGGATGGAAACAAAGGGGGGAAAAGGAGGCTCCTGACAAAAGAATCCATGACATGGCTCATACAGAATGACATCGGATAGTTGCGCCTACTATGGTACTGATTGACGCACGATCTCATCTCTATCCGGATCATGCCGGACAGTCAACGCTCTCACATGCATCTTTTTCTCAATACGAGAAGCTTAAACAAGCAAAGAATCCATATGACACCAGCAATGGGCTGCAAAGAAACAATCCGATGTTTCCGTGTTTCGAACCCTTATGTGCCAAGGCTCAACCGACCCTCTCCGCCAAGCTCTCTTTAATCCGAATTCCTGGGTCATGCAGAAACCGGGGGCCCCTTCCCAGCTTCTTCAACAAAGCCCCTGACCGCACAGACTGCGATAGTCTGAAGCTATCAAGAGAGATTGACTGCTCTGTAATGTCCAAAGAAAGGGGTGCCACGAGGAGTTACCTAAAGGGTAAAGTACAGTGAGAACAAGTCAGAGAAAAGAGGTCGCGTACCATACTAGTTCATCCATCAGCCGCCAAGTTCGCCCCGCAGAAAACAGTGGTGTCGCCTCTCCACTTTTTTGACAATAGGAGCCTCTTTGATCCCACCTGAACGTCTCAAAAGAGGATGATCCAGTACTATGTACAGCTGAGATTGGAGTTTTTTCCTTCCTTCAATCTCTCTCTCGTATCTACGAGCTGATGAGGGGAGAGGGAGGGGGGAATTCTCTGTCTTTTTTCTCTTGGCAATGCTGACACGCATAAAAGGTCGGTCCTATACGCTGTCGCGGATGGATGGGGGGGGCGGGGTTCCTTCGCCTCAATTGCCAACAAAAACATAAAGGACCAATGAGCCTTTGAAAAAAAAAATGAAAAAAATGCATCACACCGAAAGGTGACGGCAGACGTGGCATGACCACCCACCCACCTGTTGTTGACAAGGAAGTGAACAAAAAAAAAAAAAAAAAAAAAAAAAAAAAGGTGAACCTCACATAACGACATGGGGGACCGGGGTTGCACCTTGGCCTGTCAGGCTACCACGACTCGAACCCCCCCCCCCCCCCCCACCATCACCCGAACTAGACCATCTCCCCGCAGACCAGCCCCTGACCCAAAGAACCTTTTCCAACTTATGACCTGACCATCACTCCCGCCCGCTAAACAAGCTAATAAGGTTATGATGTACGAAAGTACCTCTGTACTATATATCCTTGTTACCTAAGCACTCAATTTCTTCATCCCCCCCCCCTTCCCTGCTTCCCTAGCCCCCCCTCCTCTACATAGTTACAATTTCCCTTTCACCTAGTAGTGGGCCGACGGGCCGCACCTTCTGGAGATTTTTCCTTTCCATTCGTTCCTCCCCCCCCCCTTTCTCCCTTCTCCGCTTTTCTTTTCTCGTGTTCCCTTTAGCCCCGCGCCAGCTGATGTGGAGACCGTTTCCTTCCACTCTTTTACCCCTGACTTGCATTTATCGGGGTTTCTATGATTTTTACACAAAGACCCTTGTTGAGCTTGGGCCGGGGGGGAATTGAAACAGGGATGTACCCAATGTCTCTTTGATGTACCTGACTGATGTGCCATACCAAGGGCTACAAGTGCACTTCTTGACATCAAAGTGCAGAGAACTACAAAGGCCAGCCAGCGCTAACCATTATTATAGACTTCCGGAGGGGAAATTGAACTCGGAGAATAAATTGCACCACCTCTCGAAGGGTGTCGCTTCTTTTCCCCTCCCTTTTTTCTTGTCTCCCTCTCGCGAGTTGTTCAAGTACTGTGTGTATGTACAATTACGATCATGGTGCATGAGGTAGTAGTGGTAGTGTGCATAAGCAACAGTCACTATAGCATGGCAGCAGAAATGCCCTGTCTAGCGTGGCGCATAACAGAGGCTTGTATGCATGTGGCGCAGGCAATGCAAGCAGGCATCCAAAACTTGTTTTTTTTTTTTTTTTTTATCGTTTTCCTTCATGCTTTCGTTTCTTTTCACGTTGGTTGGTACCACCAACATGTTCTTCCTCCCCTCCTTCCCCCTCCATCATGCAAGCCTCTGCACCCTGCCACGAGGTGCAGGGCATACATTATCGTTGGCCCTCTTATTCCCGCCACCCCGCCACCCTCCAGCTTTTCTTGAAATAAAGATGCAAGTAATTAAACACTTGGCTGGCCAGGGAGGGTAGGTGGGGGGGGGCTGTTGAAGATCTTCTTCTCTTTGCGGTAGGTAGGAACGCACCGTTTTTTCTTCCTTCTCTCAGAAGGAAAGTGATGGCGGACTTTTACGGCGGAGAGAGAGGAGGAGTTTCGGGGTGGGGGGGGGGGGCATTTCGTTATGCTCCGTGCATTCTGACGTGCTGGTTTTTTTAAGTTTCGAGTAGATACCAACTAAGCGAGGCTGATGGTAGATGGCGAGATCCAGAAAACAACCGCTAAAATGACCCCAGCCTGCATATACATCAAAGAAGAGAAAGAAAAAGCGAGCCGTAGTACGACCTTTGTAAAGTGTTTTTACGTAAAAAGAATTACCATTCCCCCCCTCCTCACCATCCCTCCTCGCCTGCAGAGATGAAGCGCGGCAGCTTTCTTTTTCGTTGCGTGAGCCTATTAGTAATGCGCACAACGTTGCTTGCTAAGCGTTGGCGTGCGTCTGAAATCATGGGCTGGGGAGATGGTGGTTGGGCGGGCGCAGCGCGCGGTGCACTGCCAGGGCGTTTTTTGCATGCGGGCCGGGGGGGCAAGGAGCGGGTGAAGATGACTGCAGGCAAGACACAAAGCTGCAGGTGATATGATGTGATCCCATGGGTAAGAAGACAGTCAGCTCGTTGTCTCACATTTTTTTGTTTAATTCTTAACCGTTTGTCCATGTATTGGAGACCTGCAGCACCTGCCGATACGAGCTTTTTCCCTAAAACAGGAGAAGGGAGGAATAGAGGAGTTCGGCCATGTGAGACATGAGAGAACCCGTGAGGTGGTGTGAGTTTCCAGACAGAGAAATGATGTGCATGAAACGGAAAAAAGAAAGGGAGGACGCGGCCGGGGGTGGCTTTTGAGCGGTAAGAAACAAGTCACAGGGGAGTAAGCAGGTGTTGGGGTAAGTACCGCGAAAGATTACACAGCAGCAAAGGCCAGAAAAAGATACAAGAAAAATCCCGAGACACACACAGAAAGAGAGGGAAAGAGAGAGAAAGAAAGAGAGAGAGAGAGAGAGAGAGAGAGAGAGAGACGGTGAGAGGTTAGATCCCTATCCCCTCCCCAAGACGCCAGCCTCGCCGATAGACACGCCACATTCAGTCCCGACCTGCAAACTATCATCTGTAGCCCTTCCGAACACCCGAGACCACCCGACCAACAGCCCTTTCTTGTCCCTTCCCCGCCCAGTGCTGAACAGAACCTGTGGTCGCCGATGAAAAGGCGCAGGCTTTTTTGTCGATGGTCTCGTTCAAAGGGAGGGGCCAGGAGAGCGGTGAAGGGGGGAGGGGGTGTATGCTTTCCAAATAGTCTCCTTCTCTCTCTCTCTCTCTCTCCTCCCCCCTCCTCCGGCCAGTTTCCACAAGTAAGTAGTTGATGAATAGTGAAGAATAACGAGGTAAGACAGAGACAGAAAGACACCAAGAACGCGCGCGCACACACACACACACAAGACGCAGGTACCTCTAGACCGGCGCCCGCCCCGCCATCTCTCCGACGAATTCGTCCCAGTGCGAACACCACGCCGTGTACCCGGGGGTGCTGGTGACAAACTGGCCGGCACAACCTGCCTCAGCCGCCCGTCTGCTCAACTGGACAACCTCTCCAGGCGCGCTGCTGTGCGCAACGGCGACGGACCGCCGCACCAGCGCCCGCGGAAGGCGCGCAAAGCCCTGCCGTACCACAGGGTTCACCCACTGCTGCGCCGCGTTCTCAAAGGCCACGATGTAGTCGGCTGCCTGGTAAAAGATGGGGTCAACCACCACGCCCGGGTTGTAGATGACTACAGCGCTGGAGGCAGAAGGGGTGATGGCGCCGCCATTCGCGGGGAAAGACGACGGGGGCTGCAGCGTGGCGCCGCTGTCGTCTGCATTCGTCGTCACCGCCGGCACAGCAGAGTCTCCGTCTCCTCCTCCTTCTGCTGTTGCTTCTGCTGCGACAGCCTCACCACCCTCAGCCCCAGCCGTTGCCGTCGTCACCATCTTGGGGACGAGTACGTTCCGGTTCAGGATCGTCCTGCCAGCGTTGGCCAGGGCTGCCAGGTACTCCACAAACTCGGTGCTGGAGGGCGTCTCATCGATGAAGATGCCGTCCACGACGATAGTCTGTACGAAAGCGGAATGACCCAACACAAGGTCCCACGTCAGCTTTTCTTATTCTGCTCTCTTCCCGTGTAATAGCAATGCCTCGTGAGGCTGAGACTTCAACGGCACACAATTCGTCAGACCGCCTCGATGCACACATATTGTTGCATGGCGGGCGGCGGCACATACGCGATGACACACATAGACAAGGACCAACTTCCCGTGCGCCTCATCAAGGGGCGGTGGGGGTTTTTGAGAAAAAGAAAAGGGCAAAGAACGTGGTTGGTAAGTGGAAGTCTCATCTCACCTTTCCATCCTCGGCGACCTTGCCCATTTCCCCTTCCCAGCGTGCATACGCCTCCACATCCGCCACGATGTCCTCAACAGGCCTCCGCCCGTAGCTGCAGTGGACATAGCCAATGACCCGCACGTTGCCCAATGCCGTCAGCCTCGCCAGCGCGTCCACATAGTTGGCGTCCGGCAGGGCACCCAGCCCGGGCCCGTTGGCCGGGTTCACCACCACGTAAAAATCCAGGTCGGGTTGGGCATCTGCCGCGCGGTAAAGGGGTGCCCAAGTCTCTGGGGTTGGGTAGATGTACAGTGGTACGAGGATGAAGGGCTTCACCGTGCCGCCGCCGCCGCCGCTGCTGCTGCTGCTGCTGCTGGCTATTGTGGCCGGGCTCGAGGCCCTGGGGTGCTGGCTGGTGGTGGTCATCACGACAAAAGAAGACGGGACACACAGACACACACACACAGACACACACACGCAGACACACACACACACACACACACACACACACACAAAAGTGCAGATCGCTTTGGCGAATGGTAGATGCGCTTGCGATGTGTGGTGAGACAAACCAAGGTTATGTGCCTCTAGTAGCTATGCGCGAATCAGTAAGTGAGTGACGAGTCGGTCTTGGGACGAGTTGAGGGCGGCTGCGCGAGGGATTCACACTGGTCTAGTAGTGGTAGCGGTGGTGGTAGTAGTAGTTGAAGGAGGAGAAGGAGTATGTACTAGAGGGAAACCTTCATCCTCGCCTCTTCCTCAGCCGCATCGTCATAAAGTAGTTTCCGCCCTTTTTCCCCCTCCTCTCCTTTTTCTCCTTGCCCTCCTCATCCCTCTTCTTTCTTTCGCCCCAGTCCCTCTCCCGTGTGCTCTTCAAGCGCCCACCTGCCAGTCCAGATCAGGCCTGGGTGGACAGTGCTATAGTAGGCGCAGAAGGAAAGAGAAAAGAAAGAGGAAAAAAGGAGAAAAAAGAGGGGCTCAGCCCTCGGGAAGCGTGTCCACAGGGCGCCACTACCAACCTTCTCTGCCTTATCGCGGATAACAAAGAGAGAAAAGGGGGTCTAGACCATCCATCTTGCTGCAAGGTAAATATGTAGTGTCATCTCTTGTGTCATTTGTGGCTATTTGCTGCTGAACAACCAACTCTTTGGGAAGGGTGCAGGTTGTGTCGCGCGATGGCTGTGAGGGGAGGTGGTGGATGGGGGGAAAAGGAGTTGGTTGGTTGGTGAGAGGACAAGTCTTGGAAGGAGGGAGAGATGAGAAATTGCTCCTGCTGCTCAACACCCTTTCCCTCGCGCTGGCTCCTTCCCCAGGATCTCAATCAGACGAGCAGCAGACCATCATCACCTGCCGGCATTGGATGTCATCGTGAATGGGGGGCATCATCATCAGCCATGTGACAACTGCCGACTGCCAGCTGCCCCAATGGACTGTGGCGCCTTGTGGATGCGACCCTGCCGCCGGGGGGGGTTGTGTGTTTTCTTAACACGCCACCAGCCACCCCCAACCACCATGCAATGCAGACTGAACTGGGGTGGGCGCATTATTCGTAAAATGTTTGAATTGAGAATTTGTATAATGACTTTAATGTCTTATTAAAAAAAGATGGTGTCTATGAACGATGACTTTTACGATAAAGTATAAGTGAATATTTTGAGTGACAAACACGCTGGTTTGCAGAGAGGACCGCCAAACTCAGGTCTGAACGAACTGTTCTTTCATTTCAAGGTTGGATGCCATTTAGTAATATAATTTTTTCTTCTTCTTTTCCCTTTTCTTAAAATCCATCAGTAGTGAAGGTCTTGTCGTCGCAGTACTGAACCCAGCCGCTGAGATTCATGTACTTGAGGACCGTGTTGAAGCCGTTCTGCCCTGATGTCAGATCCACGTCGCAGTACTGGGAGACGGTGCTGGTGTCGAAGGACGCCTTGGCTGTGTCGTCATCACCGGCAGGGTACTCGATGTGGAAGACCGGCTTGCTGGCATTGGGGAAAGCCTGGAACATGTCGCACTCGTCGTACTCAACGCACTGCTCGTTGACCGAGAACTGGACGTAGTCAAGCACGTCGTCAATGATGCCTCCCGCGTTCTTCAGACCCGTCATCATGCCGCGTGATGCTGCCTCGTTGGCGAGGAATTGCACAAAATTGATCGAGTCGTCCTCGGTGAGGCCAAGCCCGTTATCGTTATCCTGTACAGGGTGGGGAGCGACCATCAGCAATCTAACGTACTTGACACATGGACTTTGATACATGAAATATGCCTGGGAGGGGGGCGGGAAAGGACTCACGTAGCCATCGACATTGTCAGGGTCGATTCCTGAACAGTTCATCTGGGCGGCGATCTCGATGCGGGAGATCATGATATTGCGGACATTATTGCTGTTCAGATCCAGCCAGTACTCGCCAGGCCAGCCGTCCAGTTCGTTGCCCAGGTCATCCGAGTGGAACTTCCACGAGTCTGGCCGGTACGGCTCGTACGAGCCAGAGCTGAAGTAGCAGATGACATGCATTCCTTGGGCGCGGAGGTCCTGGACCACCGAGAGGTTCTGGTGCAAGAACATATCGATATCAAAGACCGTCACGTTGGGCGAGGTTGTCTGGTTTGGCGTGACGAGCGTGGCATCATCCTTAGTCTCATTGTCGAGCGTCAGCGTCTGGCTCAGCACGATCTGCCATGCTACGTGATCCGATGCGAAGACCGGAACGGATGAGTTGGCCGGGCCCGTAGTACAGTTGCCCGTGTCTGTACACGACGAGGACGACCCGCTGCTGCCGCTGCCACCGCTGCCGCCACGGTGCAGACCGAGACCAAGACCCAGGCCTAACGCGAGCGCAAGGACAACGACGGCCGCGACGAGGGCAGAGATTACGATGCAGCGTTTGGAGTGCCGGGCACGGTGCCGACCGCCGTCGTCCATGACTTCGAACTTAGCGCTGGGAGCCGACATAGCGGAGCCGGGAGCCGATGGCGGAAGCTGGGCAGGATGTGTATGTGGTGGTGGCGGTGGTGGTGCTGCTGCTCCGCTACCCAGGCCGTCTCCACCAGATGCAATGTTGTGCTCGTTGTGTGAAGAATGGAGAGGAGCACTGCCAGCGTTTGACATGATCTGTCTGACAATGACGCCGACAGACAGGACCAGAGAAGGATGACTTGGGGTGGTGTACTTCGGCAGTCGATCCGAGGTTAAAAAATGGAGACACGGATTTGTATTGTTGTTCCAAAAGATAGTTCGGTTGGGGCAGGGAACTTCCTTCGCAACACAGAGCTGAAGCACGGAGCTGAAGAATGCCTTTGGGTCTGGTCCAGTGGACCTCCCTAAACGTCGACGACGGCGTGGAAGAGAAAGAAGAGAAAAAGGCTTGCCACCCAGACCAGACAGAGAAAGAGTTGAAACGCGATGAGAGTGACGAAGAAAGAAAAATGTTTAGAGAGCCACCCGTCTCGAACCTCGACCTACCAGGAACGGCAGTCACGATATGCCGAAAGGGCATCACTCAGGCCATAAGACCCTTTTGAAGCTTGTCAAGGGGCACAGCGGCGGTCCAGAACGTGCATAGAGAAACACAGAGGCCTCACGTTCTCACAGGCGGGCAGCGCGGAGACGGTAGCGCTTGGCATTACTTACCACCAACTGCACAGCCCGCAAATGGTCTGTCTCAATCTGAGTGCGGCAGGAACAAAGGAAAGGCCCTGAAGCCCAGCCCAGGCCTAGCTCAGTGCTGGACTAGCGGGAACCTACGCCCAGACTCAATTCAGCTGGCAACGACGAAACAGCGCAGCTCCTTCCACAGCCACAGCCCCTTCTTTCCCATTTCACCGGTTGACGTCGCCCAGGGCAATCAAACACTGCAAGAAGGGTGTAGGGTGGTGGTAGTCTGGTAGTCTTTTGCAGGCGGTTATGGTGAGAGAGAAACAGATGACCCGAATAGCCTAATAGGCTTGGGAGTTTCTTTAGGGTCAAAGCAATTCGTATCCAGCAGAAACTCTCAAATACTAGGGTCGCTGCAATCTCCGAGTCAGACGCCTCTTTTTGGCTCTGGCCCGCGCGGTACGTGCTCAGCACTCGTCTCAGCCGCTTGAGAGTGCAAAAGAAGCTGCAGCCTAATGTTCTGAATTCTCTCTTATTTTGTTCGTGGTGGTCCGACTTAGCGTGGGTCTCCATCTTTTTTTCTTCTCTTTTTCTCTCCTTCTCGTACATAGTACAGAAGTAGTAGGAAGCGACTGCCCAGCCGCCCCACGTGTAATTTAGAGTGCAACTTCGTGGCTAAGGCCGAACCGCTGGAGGGGCTGTCTAGTTCCGAGCTGGACAAGCGTAAGAAAGAAAGGAGGCGTGCAGAACGGAGAAAAAAAAAGAAAAAAAAAAGAGATGCACATAGCTTCTATCCAGAAGAGGAATGGAGGGGTAAGGTGAAGTCAAATTTAGGTAGCCGAAGCCATGGGCCCCGCTGCCCATGCGGCGATCGAAGAAAAAGGTGACCCCACCATGCATCTAAACGAGCTTGGCGGCACCTCATGCGCATACACGAAGAGACGCAGAAACAGCGCATGGGGCTCCTGCTCATCCCATGCAGTAGTAGTACTATGCACCTCGTACCTTCTTGTACCACGGTACCCTAGTATGTACTTTGGTACACCACGACCCTCTTTTTCGGTTCCGAGGTCGACCTGGGGCTCTACTCCTGTGTCTTGTCAGACTCTTCTTTTACTCCTATCCACTGCAGCCTAAGCCAAGCGCTTCTCCCAGCCAGTCGCCTCTCCCCTGGTTTCATGCCTAGACAACGCGGCTCTGTTCTGTTGGGTGCTGAGCGCAAGGGTTTTTCTGCACACTTGTCTAGCGTGTCGCCATCCGAAGGTGACATCCAAAGGTTACTATCTTGGGCACTCTCCGTATACATGCCGCCCGCCGACAATGCACGCTACCACACGCACTCCACCGTCATGGCGCCAGACTGCCAGGTGGAAGCCTGCTTGGGAGGTGTGTTGAGAGAAACAATCCGATTGGAAAACAACTCGTGGAGGTCGTGGCAGTACCGTCATGCGGAGGACCGTCTCGAGGGCAGTTCAACATGTCAGGGCAATTCACTGTCTTGCTCTGCCCCGCCCTTTCCCTTCGTTTTGACCATGTAGCTTTTCTCTCGTGAGGGGCTGACCAAAAGTTCTATAGCTTCCCTTCTTCCAAATTTCTCATGGCATCCTCTTTATCGGGTTGTCTCTCAAGTTCTCGGCCCGCAGGCTCGAAGGACTCATTGGATCGGGTATGTCCTGTTCCGAACGTCTCTATTGCCTTCAAGGGCGTCTGGGCTTTTGGACTTGTGATATCATGGTTTTCAGCTTTGGGTCTTGGGGCCTTGGGCCTTGGGGTCCAGCTCATATCCCTTGAGAGATCCCCCATGGGTGAAGGAGTACCCACTTGGACAGGGTCAACCCAAATTGAGCACATACCCCTGGGCTCATCATCTCCACGCGTGGGCTGGGCTGGGCAGCACCACTTAGACAGGCGGTTCCACACCGCCCATCCCGGTATGCGGCGCCATTGTCTTTTTTTCTTCCTCTCCTACCTCTATATCCCTTCTCTCGGAGACAAGAGAGGAGAAGCCCAGGCGCCCAGATACTACTATACAGTGTGGATCGGGACTCGATCAGATCATTGTCAACTAGGGTGTGATGCCGGACTATCCGTCCTCGCACACTTTTTACCCTACCCCTCGCACATACGACTCTGGGAAGTTACTTTGTTCCTGGTCAGCTTGCTTCTCGTCCTGCAGCGCACTGTTGCAAGGTTCTGTGCTCTCTCCCCCTCTCTCTCGCTCTCTCGCGCACACACACACGCTCTCTCTCTACCACCATCGTTAGTATCCGGCTGTTCGCAGCCCCACCCTTTCATTTACAATTTTGTTGTTCGTCGTTTCGTATTAGTCGCCAGGGCCGGAGAGCTCTGGGCGCCGCTTGTGACTTGGTGACTGGGTCCTGAGGGCGTCGAATAGTCTGTTCGGGACCTCTGACTAGACCACTCCAGCCCGCGGCGAACAGATCTAGAGCGAGTGTAAGACGATTCTGTCTTTGGCTCCCTAACCCAGCCAGCCTCACGCCTCTAGCCAGCTTTTTACGCAACGCTTCCAGCTCTCTTTCGGGGAAAGGGGGGTCGAGGCGGAAAGCCACGAGGTTTCTCATCTTTATAACACCTTGACCCGTGTTCCCGTCCTCACACATTTCCTTCCCGCTCCATGTCACGTATCCAACTGCGGTCGTCATCGGGCAGACCTTGCCTCGTTATAACCCTACCCTCGTTGTATTACTTCCAGGACTAGGTCAGCTGCACTCGTTTATACCCGCTGGCCCAAGTCTCTGCCATCCCGTTATTATTATTTTTATTTCTTCCCTTTCCTCACGCACTTCGTTGTTCACTCCTCTTGAGTTCTTCCTTCTCCTGTCCATATCCCATCCTCGGACATCTACTTGGACGGCCCCAACATGAAGCTGTTCTCCGCCACAGCGCTGCTTGCGCTGCAGGCAGGTGCTGCCTCTGCTGCCCTGGCTGTATCAAACACCATTCTGGTCTTTGCACGAGACACTGCCTCTGCTACCGTCGCCACCTTGGGCTTCCAGGGATACGGTATTCCCTATGAGACTGTCATCGTGCCACAGTCCGGTGTGGCTCTGCCCACGCTGAACTCCTCCCTCACCAGCGGAAACTATGGTGGTATCCTCGTCCTCAGTGAGGTTTCGTACCAGTACTCGACCGGATTCCTCAGCGCCCTGACTACCTCACAATGGGATCAGCTTTATGCCTACCAGCTTGCTTTCGGTGTCCGCATGGTCCGCCTGGATTCCTTCCCCACGACCGATATGGGTACGTTCTTCATATCCCTCGCCGTATCAAAAACCTTCTCTCTAATCTAACATGTTTTCTTCTATAGGTGTGACCACTGCTATCTCCGGTGCAGGCTGCTGTGCCACCGGCGTCGAGCAGTACGTTAGGATTTCGGACGCTACAGCATTTGCCACTGCCAACCTCAAGACGTGAGTCCAAAATTGAATTCCACTAGGCTCAGACCTCGCTTAAGGAGAGGGACAGAAAAGAATTCACACTGACCTTGTTTGATTTGATAGCGGTGTCAATGCTAGCACTGCTGGTCTTTACCACTACCCTGCGACCATCACCAACTCCAGCATTGCTACGCAGTTCGCTACGTTCGATGCTGCAGGCGACTACACCACCACAACCACTGCTGCCGTCATCAACAACATCGGTGGCCGTCAGCAGATGGTCTGGTTCATGTCTTGGGCTACGGATTGGTCTCAGACTTCCAACTACCTCCAGCATGCCTACATTCACTGGATTACTCGTGGCCTCTGTACGTTTTCTCTCTTCATGATCGTATGCGTGCCGAGACCATTGCTAATGGTTATCTCCTCTCAGTCGTTGGCAAGCGCAAGGTCTACCTGAACACTCAGGTCGATGACATGCACCTCGAGACTGACATGTACTATCCCAACGGCACGACTTTCCGTATCCGCCCCTCGGATCTGGACTACCTCGCTGCCTGGCAGACCAACATCAACACCCGTCTCCCCTCTGGCTCTGCGTACTTTGTGGAGATTGGACACAACGGCAACGGTGATATCGACAATGCCACCGATACCGACACCGACGGCAAGTACTGCGACCCTCCTGAGGCTGTGGACTACAACTCCCCCCCTGATACGGCTCTTGAGTTCTACAAGCCTCTGGGCACTGGCACTGATCTCTGGCCCGAGTCCTGGATCAGCTACAACTGGACCTTGACTTGCGCCAAGATCGACAGCGTCGCCACATGGTTCAATACCAACCCCAGCATTTTTGCCGCCATCTCCCACACCTTCTCCCACGAGGAGCTCAACAACGCTACCTACCATGACGCCAGCCGTGAGATTTTCTTCAACATTGCATGGCTGAAGCAGATTGGTCTGTGGGATGCCACCAGGTTCTCCCCCTCCGGTATCATCCCGCCTGCCATCACCGGTATGCACAACGGCGACGCCATGCAGGCCTGGTGGGACAATGGTATTCGATATGTCGTGGGTGACAACACCCGTCCTGTCCTCCGCAACACGAACAGCACCTTCTACCCTCTCATCTCGACGGTCGAGTCCAACGGCTTCGCAGGCATGACCATCATTCCCCGATGGGCTACCACCATCTACTACAACTGCGACACGGCCGAGTGCACAACCCTGGAGTGGATCAACACCTCTGGCGGATCGGGCAGCTTCGTCAACCTGCTCATTGATGCCAAGACCACCAACTCTCGCTACCTGCTGGGTCTGCACCCTGATCCTTACATGTTCCACCAGGCCAACCTGCGCTCCGGAGACGTCGACACCTGGACTGTCGGCACCGTGACCGGTCCTCTGTCCCTGATTCAGATCTGGGTCGAGACCGTCACCCAGGAGCTGGTCCGTCTGACCAACTGGCCCATCTTCTCCATGAAGCACGACGACATTGGCGCGTACATGGTGGACAGGATGACCCTTGAGTAAGTCCAACAACCCTGCTAATTCCCTTGTTTTGTTAATGGTCACTGTGTGAATCATGTGCTAACCACGCTTGCTTCCAATAGTGCTTGCAACCCCAACCTGGTCTACAACTATGCCGATGATGGCCTGTCTATCACCTCCGTCACCGTCGGTGCCAACTCCAACACCTGCTCTGTGCCCGTGCCTGTCACTTTCCCCGGCACCGCCTCCACCACGGCGTCTGGAGGTTACACTGACCAGAACGGCACTGAGCCTCTCATCTACTACACACCGCTGACCGGCTCAACCGTGACCTATACCCTGGGCGCGGCTGTTCCCATCTAAACGGAGTGAGAGACTCTCACTTTTTTTTTTTTTAATGTTCTTCTTCTTCTTTCTTTCGATAGGGCATGTAGCAAGAGGAGTTTATAATGAACACTTGTCGTGCGTGACAAATGACACACAAAAAAAAGGAGTCGACTTTTTTCTTTGATTCTTGTCTCTCGCTTCCATGAATAAGTTTTCTACAACATACGACACCAAACTGCAATAGCAGAAAGTTGTATCAATCTAGGGTAGTTGATCCAGCGAGGGAAAGGGATGGGTGAAAAGTTAACAGAACGCAAAAAGTACTGTGCCGAGCCAATAGGGAGAAAATCAGCACTGTCTTGTTTGTCTCTTGTGGCTTCAAGGTGATGATGATGAACAACTACTAGCAGCAGGAGCATTCCATCCATCCCTCGGTTCAGGTTTTCAAGAACTTTTCAGGGCGACGAGGATTTCATTGGTAGTTACTTGATAATAGTAATCATTTGAATAATTTGGAATGATCTGCCTGAAACAACGCTTGTACAGTTTAGATGATGCCTGCCTGCAGTGCTGTTACTACGAGGAATCAAGTCTGAATTGAAGCCGACCGAACAAGTGCAGATGAAACAGGAAGTATTCAAGTAATAGAGTTGGCAGATCGACTTGACTTTTACGTGGCTGGGTCGCAGTGTGAAAATATAGGACCAGATTGTGTACTTTACGTACACATTCTCGAGTGGCTGGGTGTAGCACTTTCTGCAGACGAACACATATCGATTTCCCGTTTTAACAGTGACTGTGTCTACGAGGCCTAACGAATTGATGCCGTGAAACTACATGAGCCCTTGAGTAATTATATACGGTAGTTGCTGTTGGTATCCGCATATTGATCACCTTGAGTAGGTATGTTTAGCGACCCATCCCTTCATTATCTCTATTCAACAGCGCAATGACCATCTACATACTCAGGACTGTTTCCATCAGATGTTTACCCGAGTTTCATAGCAGTCTCTGAGCGGGTGGAACGCCGCATCTTAGATTGTGGTCATACGCGTCCGTGAACTTCATCGGCCACTGCCTGAGAGGTGAGTACATACATCATCATCATCATCATCATCATCATCATCATCATCTACTCTAGTTTCACTACAGAAGGGATAATCTAGCATCGGAGAGATCGCCTCTAGTCGGGATTCTTGATCTTCATCTGTCGACAGGGCCTCCCTCTCAACTGGTGCCATAATTGAAGGGGGGAAACAAAGGAAAAAGAAAGAAAGAAAAAAAGGGGGGGGGACCACATCAATACTTCACCACTGGCCGTGGATAGGTCAAATGGGCCATGAAGATGCCTCGGCCTCGAGGGGGCTCGGCTCCGTCTACAAGCAGGTCCAAGTACAAAAATGACGGTCATCAAAAGGGTCTATGATCGTGATGATGATGGGTCTGAAGGGACGGAAAGATCTCGTTCCCCGGGGGGGGGGGGGGGGCGCGGAACAGAAGACGAGGATACCTTGTCCGAAATGTATACACAATTACTATGTACGGCAGCAAATACCACGATCCCCAGGAAAGAGGAAGTTTTCCATTTCTCCACCAGATCTACTACCCAAGTACCTTGTACCCTGGTGCCTGAATTAGTTCCTCGGTTGGCCCTGACACCAACACGTTGCCCCTGAACGCAGATCGTCGACCATTCTTCTGTATACTTACACGGTAGTGATTTGATCAAACCTCCTCCTCGCGGGATCTACGGCACGGTCAATGGATCTATCCCTGGAGGGGCTATGTGTTCCTGGTAACTCAACCAGGAACATCAGAGAAATTCGGAAGGAAGAGGCCCGCTGATCGGCTAGAGATGATGGGGTCTACCGCTTTCTCCCAACCCTGATCAATTTCCCTTTGCGGTGATGTGATGGGAAACGAAACATGGTGTACAGTAGTAGTCAGGTACGCGTCACCAGGATGGTCTATTCAGTGTTCTAGTTCAGCCGCAAGCTCATAAAGTTGAAGATAGTCAGGCCGGCTTGCTGGGATGGATGGGAGGAAAAGTGAGTGGATGTACAGACCTAATTGATAGGCCGGATACGAGATGTTCCGAATGACTGACTGTGTATTGGAATTATTTCCGCAAAAAGCGTAAGGATGCTCGTGGACCTACCAGCACCATGGAAATAACATGGGACTGTTGAGTAGTCTTGTCATAGTCAAATGGCCAGTGGAGAGCAGACTCCCTGGCTACAAGATGCAGTTAAGCAGTAATGCCCAAAAAAGCAGCCCAAATCTCTCCATGACTCCATTCCCATCCTTCCCGATGTTCTCCACCTCGGCTTCAATTGTTTCCTCCCACACAAGACCCCCCCCCCTCCCCTTTTGTTTCTTCCCAACAAGGCAATCAGCCCTAACCCAAAGTTTATTATGCATGTAAGAAGGATAATACGTGAGAGAGATCTCTCTTCAATCACAAAATCATCAAGAAGTACACGATTACTCCACCCTCATGTGCTCCTTCGCGAAATGTGATGTGATGAGACTCCCGCGCTATGAACGGCCCAGGCCCCTTCCCCTCCCTCTTTTCAGCTGAGCTGATGTTTTCCTATTCTAGCCCTCTCGAACGATTAGCTCTCGATTATTCCCCCCTCTTGCACCCCCCCCTCCAAGATTACAAAAGGGAAAATATGGGGCAGGCCAGAACAGAAAGGTCAGAAGGTAAAAAAGAATAGGCTCCTCTATTAGGCCCTTCTCTTTTCTTATTTTACCTATTCCCCATCGTGCGTTCGCTGTAAAGGGCCTAGGTAGACCATCTGGTGTAACGCTCATCGCCGCCACCCGCACAGAGCACAACACGCTAGCATTACACGCCGGCCGAGAAGAAAAAAAAAAGACGATGACTCCACGCTGGGCCCCTGCGTTAGGACGAACAAAATGAGAGTGAGTGAGAGAGAAAACGGTCTTGGCGTCATTCCTTGGTCTGATCGTCAGAGGTTCAGCTCGTCGTATATCCGAGGGGCCAAGGCCGGTTGAAGGAAACAATAGTGGATGAATTGTTGCTGAAGCGGCTCTCGCTCTTCTCGCTCCTTTTTTTTCACGATGGGGGCGGGCTCCAATAGACTAGGCGCCGAGGTAGACAGAGGGAGAGGTGTGCCTGGAAGTGTGTGCTGCCTAGAGCTGACTGCATAGGGGGGAGGGCGGTAATGTCACTGCGATGTACGTGATGAACAGCGCCCTCATGCATCGTCTCGTCCACCCTAAGGTCTTCTCACAGTGGAGAGGCCAGGCAGGTAAATTAGATCCCCCTCTTAGATACCCCCCCCCCCCCCCTCAAGAAGAACTCTCATCTCACCCTAAACACCAATCACCTATGCACGTTTTCGCTTCATATCCAAAAGGCCAGCCAGCCTCAGCCCTCCGCAAAAGCTCAGTTTTGTAGCGTGAACGTTTGGGAGGGTTAATCACCCCCGTTCCCAGGTCACGGGCGTTCCAGGGCCTGCACATGCCGCGTCTTGGCAGAGGCGCCAGCAAGGGCACGTATATGCAGGACTGACAGCTGCACAATCCGGGGTGGCGCGCGCACGCGAGAGAGAGAGACGTCATGGCCAAGCCATGCGCTGCGACGACGTTGTGTTGCATCGCACCAGAGCCTTGGGGGCGGTCGACGACGTCAAACAAGATGCAGGTTTAAAATATCAAAAGAAATCAAATGAGAACCCTTGTAGTACTTTGATGAGAGAGCATGAAACAAAAGAAATGGGTTAAAGGGACTAAGAAAGGGAAGGGCTGGGGTCATGGAGACGGTAGGGGTAAGAGCAGTGTACCACGAGGCTTTTGTCTTTGCATAAGTATTACTTTCAAATTATCTACATTACTTGGAAATAATCATACCGTTGCTGGTACTACTTCGATATCAGTCATGCCCTCTTAAGACTCGGATACTGCTTTAGACTCCCATCGCCCTCCTCAACCGTCTCTACCCCGCGCGTCGACCCGACCGCACGGCGCCTATGCCAGGTCAAGCGCGTCATAGCAGCCATAGCTAGAGCCACCCGCGAGCATGTACAGGCACACAGGCGTGCCCGCCGCGGCGCCGGTGACGGGGCAGGCCGAGTTCTTGATGCACGCGTAGCCCGTGCCGCAGTCCCCGTCCGTGGTGCACGTGGTGTTGGTGCAGGCATTGCACAGGTTGCAGTACGAAGAGATGCCGTCGTTGTCCGACATGCATGCGCTGTAGGGGTAGCTGCTGTTGCAGGGTGTGTAGGGTGTCACAATGTCGCTGACATTGTAAGGCACAATGTTGGAAGGGCACTAAGGAGGGGTGATGTTAGCATGTGTGATTTCTTGTGTGGCTGTTATTGAGGGAGGCAGCAGAGGGCTCACGTTGGCAAAAGCACCCGTCTGGACGGGGGTGGTGGCGCTGGTCGTAGTGGCGCTGGTCGTAGTGGTAGGGCAAACACCGCCCCGGTCGTAGAAAGTGTTACCACTGCCCGAGGACGCAATGTCGTTGCCCTCGACGGTGTAGTTGTACAGGATGCAGGCCGGGGTGCTTGTCAGCCCGAAGCTGAGGCACTCGGCGTTGGCATTGCAGAGGGCCAGACATCCAGAGTACGTAGCAGAGGCAGCATCAGCATAGTAGCCGATGTTGGTACCACCAGCATCATAGCCCACGAAACCGGTGCACGTTGGCGTCGTGGTCACGGCGGCCGAGGTGATGGTGGCTACCGAGGAGGTTGTAGTGCTGGCGCTGGCGCTGGTGCTGGGACAAGCGCCGCCGGCGTCGTAGAAGGTGTTTCCGCTCCCGGGCGATGCGACGTCGTTGCCCTCGACGGTGTAGTCATACAGAATACACGCCGGGGTACTCGTCAGTCCAAAGCTCAGGCATGCCGCGTTGGCATTGCACAGGGCGAGACAGCCAGCATAGGTCGCCGAGGCAGCGTCAGCGTAATAGCCAATGTTGGTGCCGCCGGCGTCATAGCCCACGAGGCCGCTGCAGGTGGGCGTAGCGGCGGGCGCCGTTGAGGTTGATGATGCTGACGAGGTTGCGACAGTGGGGCAGACGCCGCCCTTGTCAAAGAAGGTCCAGGGGCTGCCGGAGCTGACAACGACATTGTTCTCGGCAGCGACCGAGTAGAGGATGCATGCCACGCTCGGGTCAATGGCGAAGCTCAGACAACCCGAGGTGCTGTCGCACTGGCTGCTGCATGCCGAGAAGCTGGAGTATACCTCGGTAGCAGAGTCGCCATAGTATGCGAGCTCAGAGCCCTCATCATAACCCACGAGCCCGCACGTCGGCGTCGCTGTGGCCGCGGTGCTTGTAGTGGTCTGGGCCAGGGCGAGCCTGCCAAAGTAGAGGGCGGCAACAGCACCTCCAACAAGAGAACTTGACACCATGGTGATGATGATGATGATGATGATGATGAATAACAAGAATAATGATAAAAATTAAATAAGAACGAGAGGACGAAGAAAAACGAGAGGAATGCCTAGATCAAGGTCTGCTCAGGAAGAGAGAGGCAAAATCGACAACGATAGCGAGTGTGGTGTTGCTCATCATTACCATTTGAGCCATGCGGTGGAGTGGCCATGACCTCTTTCTTATACTATAGTCATACTATGGTGCTAATACTAACGAGGATGCTTGACCTGCAGGCCTTGCAACCTGCAAGCTGCAGCAGGGCTTGCTCGGACCCGGGCGCTCAAATTTCCATGGGAGGGTTGAAGACATCGTATCTACGGCGAGAAGGGGCCCCCCTAACGCTAGAGCAGAGAGAGGTGCGATCTGGAAGCCGAAAATCTCTCTCTTGCCCTGCTTGGCGTCTAGTGACTAAATCAGCTTCAGCTGGAGAGAGGGTCAATATATTTGCAAGCCCTGTCCTGTTTCCGGGAGGCCTGGGTCGGTTGACCTCCTTCGTGGGTGTGTGTGTGTGTGTGTGTGTGCGTGTGCCCCACAACAAAACATGTGCTGCCCTCGGAAATAAAAAAAGAAGAAAAGAAAGGAAAAAAGAGTACTTAAGGCTCCAGGCTCCAGGCAGGTCTAGTTCTTAGTTCTGCGGGCCAATAGTCAGTCCACTGTTCCTCGTACTATATTGTAGGCACAACGTGGGGCCGGTATGTCACATCCAGACCATTCTCGGAGCGGCAATAGGTGGACACCCTTCCAGCGGTACGGTCTCTGCCGCCGGTCGTCACCGGGTGCCCTGAACACGAGCCACCCAATCTCGGATGTAGCGCAACATGCAAAAGGTTTAAGCTCAACAGGAAGAGAATATGGCCGAGTGGTCGTCTGACTGCAGAAGCGGCGGGGGGTGTAAGAAGGAAGTGGGTTACCTGGGGGCAGATGGAAGGATGAATGCAGCTCAGCCGTTCTGCATATCAGATTGCCATGGGTTGATATCGAACTATTAAAGAGAGCGAGCATTTGTTTTCCTTGGCGTGGTTGTACAGTATTGTTTGTATGTGACGTGCCCTGAACTCGCAAGGGCTGCTTAGGTGGAACAGCCATGGCTAAGGTGTAGTAGTAGTAGTAGTAGTAGTAATACTCAGTACAACGTTGTGGGCCCTGAGATCTTGAACTCAGAGATGCCGAATAACCGATCAGGGTAGCTAAGAAGAGCAAAGAATTCAGTACTTGGGTATAGTGAGGTGGAAATTAAGTGTCAATGCACGGCGCAAGCCTGGCTAGTCTCGAGTAAAAGAAAAAGGGACAAAGCTCGGCTGTGGTGGCCCTGCGCGTCTGACTGGTTGGTTAGCCTGTGGCTTGACAAAAGACAAGGGAGTATGTATCCTGCACACATGGCACGATAGTATTGCCAGTTGAGTCGTCACTTGACTGACCTAACAGTTTGTAGTAGCAGCAGAGTAGTACAGAAGGTTGCCATTTGCTGAAGAAAAGAAAGCCAGCAAGCAGACACAACGTAACATGTCAGCCGCCTTGGGCGTGCCAAGCTGTTGCTAGGTCTGCGTGTGCTTGCATGAAGCTGTGGTCATACGGGGTACATTGTTGTCTAGCTCAATCGATGGTTGAAGACCGAAGTGTTCAGACATGGTGACATGTTACATGTGCATGATACACCCCCGAACAGGCTGTTGCGGAGAGACTGATGCCGGCATTGTATTCTGAGCTGATGAGAAGTTTATCTTTGAGAAAGGTGGTGGTGGGGAAGTGCAGAGACTTGAGGTACAGAACCAAAGGGGTGCCAAAACACTATTGTTTGAAGAAGGTGCAACAGTAGAGAGCGCCTCCCGTAAGCAGCACTGTAGCACTGTCTGGATGTGTATGAGTAATCGTGTAACGCCCATTACTTGGTATGTCTGCCCGTACTACTACGATGTACTAGTAGACTATCTTATCTTATCTCCAGAATGCCCCGCCTTCTACCACTATGTATGTACTATGTACAGACAGTAAGTAGTAGAACATTGTGAATCTCTCCTTCCCCCACTGGCTCTTCTCTGTGCGGGGTTGGATTCAGCATTTACTGTTTCTGCAAATAATTTGCTACTCGGTAGTCATACGCAGTACCATAGTACGGGTGAGGAGGTAGTCGGTTAGTGCCCTTAGCTTCTGAATTTTACCCGACGGATGCCCCTGAGAGCCCTGCAGCGGCCACCACTCACACAGCAGGCTGTGTCCCTGGCAGTCCCTGAACCCCAATTCCTTCTTTTTTCCCCTCTTCCCCCTACCATGTCCCTACCACTACCACTACAGTAGTTGACCTCATCATTTTTCTGTCTTGGCCGAACCTCTCCACAAACCTTAACATCTCACCTCCTCATCCCAACTTCTTTTATCATTTTCTTTATCTTGGCTTGGGCCAGGCCAGATCCGTACTATCCCACCATCCCTCTCACGGCCGTCGATCACGAAAAGACCCGCCGGTCCGGTCCAGACCTTAATTCCGTCCTTCACCCTGCCTTCTCTTCCGTCCACTCGCTCGCCCACGATGGACTTGTTTCGGTTTCGTCACTCCTTGTCGCATCGTGTGCTGCGCAGGCGAAACGGGTCCACCACATGGTCTTGAGACAGCATCGATACCGAAAGTCCCCACACCTGCCGTGCCCGTTTCTATAACGAGCTTCGTGGAGTGATGATTGGGTCCAACCCCACCTCTACGACACATACTCACACAGAGTTTATATTGCGAGGGATCCTTCTGTTCCAAGAGGGATAGGAAGATGCCCGTGTGTTGATGGTCTGTCATCAAAGCCTGACAAGTTGTCCTACCTGCTGCTAGTGTTGCCAAGAAGCCACGAGAGTGTTCGCGCGACGCCACACAAAAGACCAAAGAAAACGCCGCCTCTTGTCTGCTCTGCAAGAAACCTCGCCGACCAGCCACGTCTGCTGTCGCTGTCACGACGACTTGCTTGACCAGCGAGATGGGTTCGACAACTAATCCAGAGACTGCCGCCTCGCGGCCTCCCATTGCCTCCGTCCTCCCTCCACTCATCCTCGGCACTGCCACCTTCAACACCCAGTATGTTGACGACCCGACGCGCATGCCCTATCAGTCCATCGTCTCTCGAGCTCTCGATCTTGGCGTCAATGCATTCGACACGTCCCCTTACTATGGTCCGTCCGAAGTGCTCCTGGGTGACGCACTCCATCACCTTACCGAGCCCAACACTGCGAATGCAAAGATTGCAGGACCGGAGGGCGCTTCGCTGCAGAAGCACCCGCGCGAGAGCTACATGATCCTCACAAAAGCCGGGCGCATCACGGGGGATTGCTTCGACTACTCCCCTGCCTGGATCCGGTACAGCGTGTTGCGAAGCCTCGAGAGATTGCACACGCCCTATCTCGACCTGGTATACTGCCACGACGTCGAGTTCGTTTCTCCAGCTGAAGTCCTCGCGGCAGTGAAAGAGCTGCGCAGGCTCCGCGACGAGGATGAGGTTGTGCGCTATGTCGGCATCAGTGGCTACCCGGTCGACGTGCTGTGTGAGCTGGCGGAGATGATACAGCGTGAGACAGGCGAGGGAGTCGACGCAGTCATGAGCTACTGCCACTGCACGGTGCAGAATCATCGTCTGGTCCAGGGCTTCACGAATGACGAACCCAGGCCCGTGTCACCATCCGTCAACGGCACGAATGGTGAGAGCGCGGAGCAGGAGCTGCCACCTCTTGTACGCTTCAAGCGCGCAGGCGTTTCTGCCGCCCTCAACGCCTCCATGCTCGGCATGGGCCTGCTGACCACCCGCGGCGTCGACCATGGCCCACAGGCCGCATGGCACCCGTCGCCACCGCCACTGCGCAGGGCCTGCGCTGAGATGGCCGCTGCCGCCACGGCCGCGCAAGAGAAGCTGGAGCGCCTCTCGATACGTTGGTCTCTGGACACGTGGGCTCGCGCGGGTGCTCGCTCGGGGCTGGGCGTCAGCCTCCATGGCAAGAGTGGCCATCTGCAGTTGAGCGCCAGCGACAGTAATAGCATTGGCGCGAGCGTGATGGGTATCACCTCGCTTGCAGAGCTCGAGGAGACGTGGGATGTGTGGATGAGCGTGCTGGCCGAGAGCGTTCCGTCGACGGCCCTCGACCCCGAGGCGGCCAAGGAGGCGTCCAAGGACGTCGTGGTGAACGGAGACAAAGACCTGCAAACTGCCTCTTTGAAACGGTGCGACCAGGTTCAACATCTTATCAAGGAGAAGTTGTGGCCGCTGCTCGGCGAGTGGAGAAACCACAGCTGGCCCTCGGGTGGAGACGGCTTCGTCAACGATAGAGCGCCTGAAGAGATGGGCGTCGTCCCCACGGACGATGGAGTCATTGCCAGATTCGAGGCCAAGAAGCAGCTGGGCTGACCGGGATGGTGGTGGTCAGATGGAAACCTCCCAAGGCACCCTCGGTTAGAGACGGAGGGATCCCATGTTACGGGTTTTGCGAGTGATGATTTCCAATTTCTAGATATTCATCTTGCAGCACTTGTGTTCTAGAGGGACGGACAGATACACGCTACACCGCAAGGAATAGTCAAAAGTAGACACATCAGATTAAAGTTATGGCCTATTTGGTCTTAGCAAAACCAGCAATGCATAAGTATTTTATCATCCGAAGTTTGTTTTCACTACTTTCTGGGATGCTTGGTCCCTCAGTTTTCCTTCGCGAATATGGCGACATTGTTCCACGGCCCGAGACATGCATACACTCTGAATGACACACACCCACCCAAGCGCCCTGGCGTCTCATCGTCCCCGGGCCCGGGTCCGAACACACCGTCCTCTCCCCGTCCTGGCTCGTAGTAGTAAAAAAAAAGCTTAATTGCTTACCCTCCCTCTCTTTTTATTCTTTCTCTCTACCCTTCCCCACGAAGCCACAAAATATCGCCTAGTCTTGCCTCGGTCTCCAAACTCTCTGTGCCCTTGGGCCCCTCGCGGAGTTGTTGGTGAGGCACCCGAACCATGACATCAGGGCTCGGTCACTATACCGGTCCCGACCGTCGACGGGTTCCAGGAAAGCACCCGCCGCCACTCAGAATGGCTGCTGCACGGCAAGCGAGGCGTCTGGCTGAAAGGTAATGCACGCCCTATTTTTTTTTAATTTTTTTTTCTCACACTCTTTTCAACCCTTCCTCAACATCCTCGCTCGCTGGGGGGCGGAAAGGAATCCCCGAAAATTCAATGACAACATCATTATTGCCGCTATTTCCCCTGCTTCGTGGCGGAATTGACTTTGCGCCCGTTAGGTATGGAGGGAATTTTGGATTGGTGAGCTGACGGGGTTTTTGCTTTTTTTTCTTCTTCTTTTTTTTTTCTTCCGGCGTCATCTTGTTGATTGGTACGCTATCTTCCTTGCAATTATCATAAAAGGAAGTAGGCTGGATGAAGGCATGTGGTGGTCGGCGAGGGATGGATGGCCGCAGGAAGATTGCTGTATATATTATGCGGCGAAGGAGCGCATCGCGAGAGTGTCCATCGTCCCACCTCTTCTTCCTCCTATGTAGTGGTGTTATACTGTCTGGCAAGTACTAACCAGCCCAACCACATTGTTCAGACCCCTCTTTTTCTTCCCTTTACCTCGCAGATTCGTCCTCCGTCACACGATGCGTACCTCCTCATCAACACCATTCGCGATGCTCCTGCGTGCCCTCGCCGTCAGTGCCGCACCCCGCGGTGGGCCAGGTGGCTGGGGAGGGCCTCACGGGCCGTGCCTGAACTCCACTGGTGTGGATGTCCTTGTCGAGGGGTATACATACCTCCTCGAGTACCCAGGGGGGCCCGATTTTAACAGCACGGCGGAGGCTATCCTGTCGGATGAGTTTGTTGTAGAGTCGGACTCGATCTTGACGCTTTCTGGGAGGCCTGTGAGTCTTTATTCTCTGTTTGATGAGGGTTTTGGCTCTCATAGCTAGCGCATTCATCCTTCGTACACTGTCTGAGCTTCATATGTTCCTGGCGCTGCCTTCTTTCCTTTGTAATCTCTTCTTCTTTCCGTGGGCACATGACCGACAAAACTGTCGTACGGCTTAGGAAAAGAAGAGGGAAAAAGGGAGTTTAGAGGAAATAAAGGTCCGAGTGCTAACGATCTATCAGCTTGGGCAACCAGCCTACCCGTCAAAGGAAGTCTACATCGCAACACAATTCCAGACGCCCCCTCTTCCTGTAGTGCAGACGTTGGACGTGTTTGCGACCTGTGACAGGATCAGCTGTGAGCAATTAATGAAGAACCAATCAGTCTTCTTCTCTATCCTCTTCTTCTGTGATGAACAGCCTTTTAACAAGAACATATCAAAGGGCGGTGGAACGCGAGCGGCATCGGGAGCAACCAATATGAGATCAAGGGGATTATCGTGCTGGACGTGGATGTCGAGGAGGTGCAGATCACCGCGGTGTATAGCGAGTTTAACACGGCGGCGTTCGAGACTGACTTGGGTAGTGCGCAGTGTTAGGAACAGAGATAAGAAAAGGAAAGGTATTATGGGGAGCAGGTGTGCATAAGGGCATCACCGTTCTCCTCGGGCGTCATGAAGAGGGTCTATTGCCGACTTTGGACTCTCTCTCTGTGAATATTGCTAGTCTAGACCCAAGGTCTGGAATTTGATATCGCAAAATGGAGACCGTACGGCACTTGCCCCGACCACGACCCTGAAAATGCCTTGTGATTGGAGGTTTCGTCAACCTTAGTTTGAACCCACTCACCCTTTTCCTGTTTCAACAAATCGTGGTCTTGTGACATGCAGGCTTGCCTGGTAAAAGGCCACCCTCCAGAGCCACCCAACATCGTGGCGATAAGGCCCTTGATCCACTCGCACTGTAACTATATTGTATTAGACAGCTGATTTTTGACGTCAAATAAACTAAGCGGCCCATGGGGTCTGCAAACCTTGTCGCGGAAGTTTTGCAACTTCAGAGGGCCACCTCGACATCGATACAATCAATACAATAGTAGAGATCTTGTCCCTTGCCCAGGTTCCCAAATATGGAGCCATGGTATTCCGGTATTTTCGCGTGTCGTGCGCTATCAACACGCAAGTAGCACACTAGATACTGCATGGGTTGTTACATTTCGCATTTCGCATATGTCAACCTCGTTGAGGTAAATGCATCACAAGGGCGGTACCCAACTGAATAATATCACAACATCTAAATGTGATGAAAGCTGGTGAATGTGACCAATGACTGTTGAAAAGCAGGAAAGCATGATTGATGACTGGGCAGCACACACTCGAATCATAGCACTTGGTTTATATGATTCAATATTAACTGCATAGGAGTCCCTCGCGAGCAGAGTCATGTACGACAACAAGCTCTATCACATTCTCGACCTCACTCTTTAGACTCGCCAATATAGTTTCAAAGGAAGGTCATGAGCAGCGGTACTAATGGTGTATCCAACCCCCCTCTGTAACCATCCGCTCCTTGGTATACAGGGGACATATAGCGACTATACTGTATATCTCCAAGACTATTCTAGATAAGCCGTCGTTGGTCTGCACGTTGGTCTGGAGGCGATCAGTACTAGACCTAGACTCATCTTTTCCCACCATCATTGCAACCAACAACGGGACTAATACCCTAAACCATCGTAGACACAGGCGAATCGAACATGCCATTCGTGCTCTATAGCACCCTGTCCAGGGGGGCGAAGAAAGTTGATATGTCGACTGCGCTATGCTCCATAATTAGGTTCGGCTCCACACATCATGAGGCCATATTCTCCCCACGCCCCCCCCCCCTGACTATGGGTCACTGCCAACGGTCGTCCGAAGTCTCTTCCCCCCTTCGGGCCGGCCTAGGATCCTCACCGCTTCGGTCTCGTAGAGACGTTCGGCCAAGGTGAGAGGGACGAGGATAGAGGGCAGGGGGAGGAGGTACACCGTGACCTTTCCAGTCGATCAACTGGGGATTCTTGATTGTTTAATGGGCTCTTGTTATTTCTTCTCCAAGCCCTTTGCTGCCCTCCACCCCCGGCTTAATTGACTCGGACTTTTTTTTTGTTTTTTGTTTTTGTTTTTTTCTTTTCATTTGTTTGTTTGAACTATGGTACGTATGGATCCGATCGTCCCTAATTCAACGACCATAGACACCCACTTCGGCACCAGCACAAGACAAAGCCATGGGATCGGTCGCGGCACTGGAAGAGGTCTACCAGATCTACCCATCAGGGTGGCAAGACGATCCAGACGAGGAGAGGATCAAGCTGTCCCTGTTCGACCCCATCATCCTGGTCACGTACTGCCAATTCGCATTGTACTTCCGCCTCGATGACGATGACGATGACGACGGCGACAGCGACAGCCATGAACAGCAGAGAAAACGCGAGAGGATCGCAAAGGTGCTTAAGCTGGGCCTCGCAAAGACTCTGAGCCAGGTCCGCCACTTCTGCGGGACAATCGAGAAGGACCCGGAGGGCGGGTTCTCGTTCGTGAAGAGGAGGGACACCTCGATTAAGTACGTGGTCAAGTCTTTAGAGGGGCCTGCATATCCGTCTTTTGGTGATATCGAAAGGGCCTCGTTCTCGTGCAGGTCTTTGGGGGATTTGAGCGAGTATAGCATAGCCGAGTGTATGTTTTTTTTCCCCACGTCTGATAGTCCCTCCTCTCTCCTCTCTCTCTCTCTCTCTCTCTCTCTCTGCTTTGTCGACTAGCAGTCCGCTTACTGGAAGGGACATTGATAAAACAGTGCCGTATGGCGAGGGCCGGCCCGAGTCTGATCCCAATAATAGCCCTGTGATATCAGGCTTCCAGTTGTGAGTGAGAGACACTGTACACGGCGACAGGCCAAGGACGCGTGCCATGCGTGTGCTTTTGGGCCGCGTGGATGTCTTCTCTGACATGACAACTCTCGTCTCGAAACAGGAACTTTGTACGTGGCGGTGCCGTGTTGAGTTCGCATATCCACCACTGGGCGACTGATCTGGTCGGCTGGAGCAACTTTATCCGCCAGCTTGCTGAGTATGTGAAACCCCAAATCGGCCCCTTTGATTACTTCCTTGTGCACAGTCCCATAGGCGCAGGCCAGAGCTCGTTTGACGAGAAGGCAGCCGCTGCCTTCAGAAATAGTGACCCAAGAACTCTCCCTCGAGACGCCGTCTCGATTGTGCGAAAGGGAGGGGGAAAAAAAAGTGTGGTATCATGCAGTTCCTCCCAGCTCACCATCCAACAGCAACTGCCGCGCCATCCACACAGCAAACGCAGACAAAGACGCCACCGCAAGCATCCAATGGCCCCCCTGGGACCCGTCCTGCATAGACCTCAGCCACTACACCGAGCAGCTCCCCACCAGCGCCCTCATCGACGGCCCTCCCATCGAGGCCCGACATCCAGGCCACCCGGAGAAACAACAGACGCTCCTCTTCCACGTAAGCCCCAGCAGCGCCGCCCGGCTGAAGCAAGCCGCGCAACCAGCCGGCAGCGACAAAGAAGAGGACGGGCCCTTGTTGTCGTCGTCGTCATCCTCATCCTCCTCCTCCACCACCTGGATCTCCACCTACGACGCCATGTGTGCCTTCGCCTGGCGCCACCTGACCCGCGCCCGCCTCCCCTACTACAAGCCCGACCCGAGCTCCCAAGCCCCCTGGTTCGGCGAAGCCATCAACATGCGGCCCCGCATCACCAACCCCGCCCCACCCCGCCGCATGGCCCGCAACATGGCCGTAGGAGGGTTCAGCGACGCCCCGGGCCCAGGAGGCCCCTCCCTCCCGACCATCGGCGACCTGGCCCACGACGCCCCGCTGGCCGCCCTGGCGCAGTACGTGCGGCGCCTGACGAGCAGCGTCACGCAGGCGCACGTCGAGGCGCTGCTGGCGTGGATCGCCACCCTGCGCGACAAGCAGTCGGCCAGCTTCAACCTCATGTCCAAGCCGCCCATGACGCTGTTCGTGACGGACCACCGCGCGGCCGATGTGAGTGGGTGTGACTTTGGCTTCGGCAGGCCCGTGGTGCATCGGTTTCTTACGGGAGGGGATGTTTCGGCTAATATGACGCTGGTGTATCCGCCTGCTGCTGCTGCTGCTGCTGGAGGGACGAAAAAGAAGGCCAAGGTTGGTGGGAAGGAGGAGGAGGAGGGTTTGATATGGTGTATCAGCGTGGAGGAGGATATTGTGCCCACTTTGCTGGCGGATAAGGAGTTTGGCAAGTTCTTTGAGTACAGAGGACTTGACTGAGAGAGTCTTGTTTTGTTTCCGTATGCCGTTGATGTGTTTTGGGTTACTTGCTCTTGTTGAATCTTGGCATAATAGCGAGTGAGTGGAAACGAATGCACCGCACCGTATACCGCCAAATCCGACATCTCGTTCCTGAGTGTGCATCCAAATCCAAGTATGCATGTCCGGGTTGGAGTAAGAGAGAGAGCGAAGGGTTGTCAGTTGACGGAATTTAAGGCACTTGCTTTATTCCTGCTGTATACATGTAGTCGAAGCAAGGTCGTCTCTGTCAAGCCCGAGAGTGAGAAATTGCCTGAATCAAGGTGCCTGTCCGCGTGTTGGCATACCGCATCAGACCCTCGATCACGACTGTGAAGTCCAGTAGCCATGTCGGATGCTTTATGTGGATTCCTCTGCATATCTGCTCTGATTACCTACTGGCAGGTCGTGAGTAGATGCTGGATGATTCACCTGATATCTTCCTTGCGCTGGGAGCCCAGTGTATCTCATCTCATCTTCAGTATAGCCATCTAGTACCTTGAAGCAAGGCGTGGCAAATCGAAGGAAAGGCTGTGTGTCTGTCTGTCTGTGTGTGTGTGTGTGTGTGTGTGTGTGTGTGTGTGTGTGTGTGTTCCATGTTGTCGAGATCGATGAAGATGGAGAAGAGAAGGGAAAAATAGACCATCGCTCATCCACAAACCAAAGAAAAACCTGTCCCCAAAGATCCCAATCTATCAGCCGTCACGGCATCCGATTCTATCAGACCGTACAAATAAAGCCTTGGTATCATCCTGCCAGATGGCAAATTCCATGACCATTCTTCATGTCGCTTGGTACTTCTTAATGCAACAGTCACTGTGTGGCAAAATCATCCGGCACCTCTACCGTCTGTGTGCCCTGAAAACCAAGTTGCTTAGACTCGGCTGCCTCGTCGTCTCCCACCATAGGGGTCCCGGGTGTGACCATCAGCTGCGGCGTGTCGACGCTACCGGAGGGCACGTCGTCAGCAACAGCAACAGCAACAGCAGCAGCAGCAGCAGCAGCAGCAGCATGATCATCATCGTCATCATCAGCTCGTGCCCCGTCGTCGTAGGATTCCTGTGTAAGCGTCGCGATGCTCTTGGACATGTCCTCGCTTTCGCCGCCGTCTGTATGCAACGTGGACACATCCTCCACGTGTTCGGTGCCCTCGTGGAGCGAGCTGCGCTTGTCTGCATCCGCAGTGCTCTCCTCCTCAGCGTGGCTCTCGCCAATCTGGCTCAGCCGGCGGCCGGCATTGACGCCCTCGAGCTCCACGCCGACCAGCTGTGCCAGGCTGTTGAAGTTGTAGTTGGGCTCCGTCTCGCTGTCCTCTGCAGGTCGCCCGCCCGCATCATCACTGTTGTCGCTCTTGCCGCTCAGGGAGAGACCACTCGACCGTGGGTCCTGGAATTGTAGGTTGGATGGGTTCTGATAGCTGCCTGGCTGGGACTCGGGGCCCGACTCGGAGGCACTGGAGGCGCTGCTCATCTGGCGGAGGTGGGAAGGCCCGGCAGAGTGAAGTGGAGAAGGGATCGGTCGCGGTGAGGAGGACGGTGGTGGGGCTGGGATGGAGGTTGGGGCTGCTGTCACCGGGTGCACAGCATCGACATTGCTCTTCCCAACCTCGGACTCGGGGCTAACTTGCGGTGGGCCGCCCCTGTCCACAGCCTTCCCTTTGTCGCTGGCGCTCGTGGGGTTGTTAGCCTTGGGCGGGCTCGAGCTGCCTGAGGAAGCCATGGCGTTGGCGGTCGTAGCCTCGACGCGGAGGTTGGATGCAGCACTATTGCCTCTCCTGCGACCGATCGTGCTCAGGCCTGGTAGGCTCAGCGTGCTTCCACTGGCTGAGCTATGCCCGCTCCCGTTGTAAGGTTGACCCTTTGCGGCCGCCTTGGCCGCCTTGCGCTCTTCCTTTTCTTTCCTCTTCGCTTCCTTCCGCTCCTCCTTGTCCGCTTTACGCTTCCGTTCTTCTTCGGCCGCCAGCGACAGCCTGATGGCCTCGGCAAGCATCATGTTCTCCAGGTTTTCCATATGGCTGTGGCGAGGCCCGACGAGTGCCGAGCGGCTCGAGGTGTTTCTGGCACCACCCGGCTCTGAGCCTGACGGTGCGGGTTCCGCACTCGCCGAGGCGGACGCGCCATTGTCGTTGGCGTTGTTCTCGCCAGTGTTTCTCCTGCCAAACCTGCTCATCCTGCCAAATGACCTCCCCGTGTTGTCACCCATCAGGAAGGCGGCCGTGTGCAGAGCAGTGGCAGCTGCAGCGCGCCTGGCCAGGTGATTGCGCTGTGCGGCAAGCTTGGCCGCCCAGTCAGGCCGGACGCGGTCGGTAGTGATGACATTTGGGGCATTGGCGGATAGTGACTGGGTTCGGCGCCGGCCAATCGAAGCGGAGGGCGGAGGTGATACAAAGGGCGACGGTGACGTGGACCCGAGTGAGCTATTTGAGCTCATGGCCGTGCCCATCTGGCCCACGGTGGCGGGGGAGATTGTGTAGGTCAGGCCGCGTCGGAAGGGAGGTGGCTCGTAGGTGACGCCCAGCTCGGGTTGTTGGCAGTAGGGACATGTGGCCGGCTCCGAGATCAGCATTTCGGCCTCCTCCACGTTGGCATCCGGGCTGGAGGCGTCCGCCGCGTTCCCCTCGTTGTCGTGGCTATCCGGAAAGTGCGGATCGGGCCGCTTGATCTGAACGAAACACTCGCTGCATATGGGCTGGTCGCAGCATCTCGTGTGGTTCAGATAGGGAGGGTAGTAGAGGAAGCAGATGGGGCACTCGGCACCCTCCTTGTAGAGGAACACCTCGAGCGGCTGTCCGTTGACGAAGGGGTCATTGGGAAGGTTGATCTCGCGTGGTGTGAGCTCGCTGCTTGATCCGTTTCTTGATCCGAGGCTCAGGGCGGCAGCGAGGGCCTTGGTACGAGGCTTGAAAGCGGCAGGGGATCCTTTGCTGGACGGCCCTGTAAATGTTGGCGAGGGTAGGGCGGAGCCAGCATTGGACGCGCTCCGATCAGATGCCGCAGACATGGTCCGAGGTCCGAGAGGGACGGTGAGATTGTTCAGGTTGGGCGTCGAGCCGGTGGGCGATGCATGCTGGGACGCAGGCCGAGGGATCAGCTCTGGAGGAGGGGTCTGGTCGGCGGGCGGGATCGGGAGGCCTCGTGCGGCGGCGACGATCTGGTGCTCGGCCCAGGTCTCTGAGAAGTCGTTGAGGCCTCGCCAAAAGGGCGCGAGCTTCCTCTCGATCTGTGTGTAAGATGCAGCGAGAGGAGCAACTGTCAGTACCTTCCTTGGGTGGCCAAACGTGAACGTGTAGAGAAGCAAGTCCAAGAGACAAGGTTCACCGTACCTGTAGCTGCCGCACGACCTGCTTGCTGAAGTCCTCGGTGCCGACATAGACACCCATGGTCACCAGGTAGCCGCCATCGACATGCTCTTCCCTTAGACTTCTCTCGCGGTCCTTGATCCGGTTGATCCTCTCCCGTTCTAAGCGACGGGCCTCGCGCTCGGCCCTGGTCTCGCGCCTCTCATGTGAGGACTCGCCCCGGGAGTTGCTGGAGGAACCGATGCCGAGAATGGCACCCAGGTCGTTCCGGCTGGAGCGGTTCCTCAGTCGAGAGCTGTGGTTGTCGCGTGAAGAGGAGGCAGAAGGGTCGAAGGCGGGAGCGATGGAGGATCGGTGGTGACGACCAGAGGAGGCGCTGGGGTCGCCAGAGCGTGACTCTTTAGCTGGAGTATTACCCATGGCTGCAGCAACGAAGGGGTGTTTCTAGGTTGCGCCCAGCTCTTGTATCGGCCCGTCGTCGGTGTCTTCGTCGTCCAAGGGTAAAGAGAGAAATAGAGGAAGGCGAGGCAGGTCGGATGATGCGGCGATGCTCCTAGGAGACAATGCCTTGTGTAGGATGCCTCGAGATCAATGCCGTGTGCATTAATCATAGATGTGAGCAGGGAAGTAGCGGGTTCAAAGAGATACAAGTATCGACTCCAGATCTCGCTGGTTGATATGGAAATAGAGACCCTGGAGGAGGAGGAGGGGCGTGCGTGCAGTAGTATGTAGGTTGTTTGGAGGAAGGCAGCGGATGGTGGAACGGATGAACCAGCTGGGTTCAGCTAAGGTCGAGTGCAGCTGTGGTCTGGGGCTGGTACTACTTTACTGTGCGTGGATCAGTGGACGAGACTCAATAGTGTCGCCCAGCGCGCCACTGGCCGATGCGACGCTGTGTGACTGACGGAAAAGGCGGGGGAGAAAGAAGAGGCGGAGCCCCACCCCAGACAAGGTGGAGTGAGGTCCTGCGCTTCTGCTGAGCAAACAAATATCCACCCAGAGATGCCCACCCAGAGATGAACGTACCGATGAAGAGAACTCCTCCTCCTCTTCTTCTTCTTCTGCTGCTGTGATGTGAAAAAGCAGGTACACGAAGAGGAGTAGTCTGATTGTTGGTGTATGAAAGGATCAGGACCAAGAAGGGAAAGGAAGAGAGAGAGAGAGAGAGAGAGAGAGAGAGAGAGAGAGAGAGAGAGAGAGAGAGAAGAATAAGATAAAGAATAGCATGCAGGACTTTGTTAGGCACCGCCCAGGGGGAGTATTGTGGGGGGCGGTCTAGGCCCAACTTGTGTGAGGCTGGGCCTATACACACAAGAGAGAAAGGGTCAGAAGAGAGGAGAGACGACAAGAAAAAGAGAGTGTTTTTTGTTTCTTTTCCCTTCTTATCTCTATTTTGCCCCCCACTTCCTGGTGACCACAAGCAGCAGGTATCTATATTGATGCTGTTGTGCTTGATGTTTTGCAGAAGGAGAAGAGCACATGTCAGGCCCGTGTCACTGTCCCTTAATTTTGCCAGGGGTACGTACTGACGGTTGGTTGGGTACTGTACTTTGTAGGTGCTATGTGCTACGCTACAGTGGTAGTGGAGGGGTCATGCACTGGCCATGATGTGACCGAGATTTACTGCGGCACTATCGACGTAGCAACCCAAAAGACTGGGTGGTACCCAGGGACCCACTCCCTGAAGATCCCCAAACTGCACAGCTGACTGGCCTCCACCGGCTCTTATTTCAACCTCATCTCAACCCATCATGGCCTGCTGACATTTCTTATCAGGAAATGAGATTGAGAGAGAGAGAGAGAGAGAGAGAGAGAGAGAGGTGTGTTTTGTGTGCGTGTTTGTGCCTTGGTCGTTCTTGAGAAATAACCCCCAACTGATGTATGCATGACCCTCGACATGCACCAAGAGCAAGCTGCACTGTTGGGGGGAACAGCGGCCGCGGCATTAATCTGTATAGTATGGAAATTGTGCACATACCAAGGTCGTGTCTCCCATACAACGAATTAATTGTGCTCCCCCAACCCTCCGCTTGCGGAACTCTAAGGGTTCCAGGCCCTTGACACCATCTCCTCGCTGTCTGAAACATACCCAATAGTATAAGGACGGACAAACGGCTGCTCTTCGCCTCGTGGGTCCCCCTGAGCAGACCACACCCAGGACTGCCCACCATCCTAGGCACCAAGACATCTTGCAATATTAGATCCCATGGTCACAATGCGTCACTATCGCCCAAGATTTCACCACTAGAAGTCTGCCCCCACCACTTTTTTTTTTCTTTTTTTCTGGTGGTGGTGGTGCGCGTGCGCGTGCGCGTGCTTGTGCGCGTGTCTTTTGGTTCTCAATCTAGCCTAGTCTTGCGTGCCTGCTTTCAACAACAGATAAGAAGTATTTCCCATGGTGTGATGGGTAATTGTACTAGGGAATTATGAGAAAATTGAGATTCGTTTGCCAGCACCTTCTTCTTTGTTCCTATAGTATTATCGTAAAGCGTACGGCACGGCAAACCTTTCCCAGGACTGAGGGCTGCTACCAGAACAGCAACCACCTCGAGCGAATATCAACACAACCACAGCCAATACGACCTTCGGAACGCCTCCTCGCTGTGAAAGAGGAAAAGAAGAAGAAAAAAAAGACACACCAAGAGAGACAAAAGGCCCAAGATGCACCTCTTCAGCCGCCATTGCCGGTCCATGCGTGAAACATCCAACTGCTTATGCGTGCAACTAACTATGCGTGATGTAGGACCTCTTATATTTCCTATTCATCCCGATCAGCGTGAGCCAGGAAGGAGAGAGGGAGGGCACATCACAGCGCAGAAGTCCGAAACTTACCCAATGACCCACCACGCGTGCAGCACACCCGGAATCCAGCCCAGTATGGTGAGGAGGATGTTGATCCATAGGTCCGCGTGGAGGCCACGCTTGAGGAACACGCCGACCTGGTGTAGGGACGGTCAGCCAGGAGCTCTCTCTCTCTCTCTCTCTCTCTCTCCTTTGATGATGATCAAGGCAGACTCACAGGTGGTAGGAAGAAAGCAATAAAGTAGTCGATCATGTCCGACGTGGAGGAAACCTGACCGTTCGCCATGGCTGCTAGTGTGTTGTATGAACTTTGACTGTTGTGTTGTCTCGCGAGTCTTTCAATGAATAAAAAGCAAAAGACGAATCAGGAGATTTCGTGTTACTCAGTTAGGTTTGATCTTAAGGTATATGAAGGTGAAATATATGACAATATCCCCAAGCCGCAACAGCATTGCCCTCTCCCCTTATATAAATCTTGGCACCGTGGTCGTAGTCGTGGCTATGATTGTCATGGATAAGGCAATTGGCGAAAGTCCCTGCTTCGCTGCTGCCGGCCTGTCTGCTGGGAAGACGCGCAGGGGGGTTGAAGATGACGTAGTGGGGAAACGTGCTGTAGACAGGGCAAGGGCTGGGCTGGGCTGTGCTGTGCTGTGCTGTGTTGTGTTGGGACCCCTGATGATTTGACGTCACAGCCACTGCACCCTGGCCATGTACGCAATTATTCGCAACAAAAAAAGGACATGTTCTAAAATTGCAGGAAGGTTGTTCGTGGTCGTTGAGAACGGTCACATGCTGCTGTCTTGCTCCGAATATAGTTTATAATGGTTCGTTCCGCCATTTTAGCGGGTGTCCCTGGTACCTGCATGGCTTTAGTTCCATCAACTTTCAATATCAACGACAAGGAAACAAATGACATGTCTCAGCAAGGGGAATGACAACGCCTCGCCTCGAGGCCTTTTGTGGTGCGTGCGTGCAACGTGTTCAACTGCAGAGACTTTGCGTTTTCAAGAATGCAGCTTCTCTTGCTACAAGAGGGGCCGAGATTCCGTGATCATCTCATGCCATATCCTTACTCTGTTTCTGCTGGGCAGAGGCGATATCTTGAGAAGTATTAACAGAATAAACAGTGAATGACTGGTAGCCAAGCCCTGAGCGGGGACTTGAACTGCTTAGATTTTGGCCGTGGCCATTGCGGAATGCCCCACGAGGCTAAAGTTGCGTCTTCACCGGTTGAGTCACTGCAAACCGAGTCCACCTTTTTAAGTTAAGATGAAGAAAAGTATGCACTCCATCTCACTATGGATGCGATGATTGCCCGGCAATTCCAGTCATCACTCCAGAAAAGAAAAAGAAACACCATCAAAAAGAGTCTCCATGGCGTTCTACCCAGACATCTTGGTGACGGGGTCTTCGGGGCATCTCGGCCATGCCCTTATGCTCTCCCTCGCGAAATATGGGTACACTGCACTGGGCATCGACATCCTCGCCTCGTCCACACCCAACACCCTCGTCGGCTCCATCACAGACGAAACCTTTGTCAATGGTGTCTTCACCACGTATCCCTCAATCCGGCATATCATTCACACTGCAACCCTGCACAAGCCGCATGTCACTACTCACACTAAGGCCACTTTCATCCAGACCAACATCACCGGCACCCTCACACTCTTGGAAGCTGCCGTAGCCGCACGGGATAGGAATCATGACCAAGACGGTAACAGCAGCAGCGGTCATACTATGACTTTCATTTTTCTCAGCACGACGTCCGCCTTTGGCACGGCTCTCAGCCCCAAGCCAGGCCAGCCCGCGGCGTGGATCGACGAGGATGTCGTCCCGCAGCCCAAGAACATTTACGGCGTGACAAAAGTGGCCGCTGAGGACGTCTGCAGGCTAGTGCATCTGCAGACAGGCCTGCCGGTGGTGGTGCTGAGGACGAGCCGGTTCTTCCCCGAGGAAGATGACGATGCAGAACGCAGCAGCGCCATGGGGGCAGACAATCTCAAGGTGTGCGAGCTGGCGTACCGCAGGGTCGACATCGCGGATGTGGTTGGTGCGTGCGTGGCCGCAGTGAGAAAGGCTGCCGCGGGCGAGGTGGGCTGGGGGAAGTATATCATCAGCGCCCCCACACCGCTGACCAGAGAGGCAGAGACGCTGGCGCTGCTGAATGCCGGAGATGGGCCGGACAGCGTGGGAGAGGTTCTGGAGAGGGCTGTCCCGGGATGCAAGAACGTCTTCCAAACCCAGAACTGGACGTTCCTAGGGAGAGTAGACAGGGTGTATGATTCTTCGAAGGCTGTGAGGGAACTGGGCTGGGTGCCAACGTATACCTTTCAGAGGGCAGTGGAGGTACTGGCTAGGGGTGACGAGTGGAAGAGTGAGTTGATGAGTAGGGTTGGGAGAAGAGGGTATCACGATAGGCCTACTGGGGTCTACACGGCTTGATGGTAAAGCCTCACCCATGAATTCACGATACAATCTGGTCTATGGATCCAAAGCCGCCGTTGACCCCCTCCCTGTCTTTCTTTTTCTTCTCTTCCTCCTTCTTTTCCTTCTCCTTCCTCTCTCACACGAACCCTATTCAGAGCCAGGTCTCAAGCAATCGCAATAGATAGTCCATTAGTGAGACCAATCTATATACTGGCTAGAATTCTTTTTCTCAAAGTGATTGGCTATTTGGTCGACTGGTCTTTCCCTCAGGGAGACAAAAAAAGGACAATATGCAGCCAATCATCTACCAAGCACAGTGTCAACATACTGTCCATTTTTCCTCTCTTCTTCTTGCTTTCTGCAGGATCCCGTTGCTGACACAATCTCCACTGTCTCCTGCAATGCTAACTCGACATTGGGGTAAGAAGGATGGTGGGTGACAGGCAACACGGGGGGTATATTACTATGGTACACTGCGTCTTGTCCAGGAGTGGGTTGGCCTCGAGTCAAGGTTCCTGGACGGATGGATTGGGGCTGGACCATTGGGAAGGATTCTCAGTTACACTGATCTAGGACGACAAAGAACGGAGTACCCCACCTTGCCCACCACTGCCGTGCGGGGAAGACTTGTCTTCCCCGGCTTTCATTACCCCGAACGGTAGCCCCCGTCTGGGGAGGGCCCCCTCTACTATATCGACCATGATATGCTTTTCACGGCCTGTTTTGTTGCGTATCGTATTACAACACGATAACCATCACATCCACAATTCGATAATCCACAATCATAATCCACTGCACAATCAGAAAGACCCACCTCCATTCGTGTGTTCTCTGGTCAGCATCTCTTCATCCATTTGGCTCAACAATAGTAGTTCGTTGTGGCTCACCTCCGCCGAGATGAGAGGCTTTTTTGGGGTCGACAAGATCGGGTGTCTTAAGTCTATTATGTTTTGAGGGACGAAGAGCGCGCCATCTGGTACAACATGGCGTGTCTCAGGCTCGAGAAGCCCTCTCTTTCCTCCAGAAAGCTTTGCTATAGATCAGACTTTCATAGGTAGAAACGACGTTAACTCATGCCATGGACAGCAAGGACAATTTCTGTGAAATGACCTATAATGTTCTCGATAAGCTGTGATTTCAAACACAGCTGCCAGTGCATGTTTTCAACAAGCTTGATTCCCAATTCGTGCCACTGTTTAGTCTTGTGGAGGAGCAACCACCCCTCCTCAACTCCCAACGGTCCTGGTGGGGAATCCCGCCCATTATTCTAACTTTTTTATCCTATCCTTTTCGGCCAACGTTGTCACGGTGTGTGTGTGTGTGTGTGTGTGTATGTAGAGGGGGTACCTAACCGGCTATTTGGCGGATGATCCTCAACACACACAAGCAGGGGTTTGTTAATAGGCGATTACATCCGAACCGTGTAAGTACTTTACCCGGATGGCCTCCCCATAAATATATCGTCTACTGTAATCTTGCATCTACTATGAGTAAGTCTGGTCCTTCTTTCTTCTCCTCCTCCTCCTCCCTCTGCCCTCGCGCCTCCGTCTTGTCTCCTGCCTCTCTCTCTCCCCACGTCGTGAACCTTTCTTTCCCACAAAGAAGAAAGGAATTTTCCCGCCATGCCGTGGATACAAAAGGTCATCCGCAACGAGGCGGTCAGGCTGGACCCTCCAGAGGTGTACAACTGGAGGGTGTTTGCCCTGGCCGCGGCAGCATGTTTCGGCGGGACGCTGTTCGGCATGGACACGGGCATCATCGGCGGCGTGCTCACCCTGCCCGACTTCAAGAAGGAGTTTGGCCTCGAGGGCTTCACCACCTCGGCCAGCGCCAACCTGTCGGCCAACCTCGTCAGCACCATGCAGGCCGGCGCCATCGTCGGGGCCCTGGCCGCCCTGCCCCTCGGCGAGAAGCTCGGCCGGAAGCCCAGCCTCATGATCATCGCCGTCTTCGCCCTCGCCGGCGGTCTCATCCAGGCCTTCTCCAACGGCAATTTTGGCACCTTTTATGCGGGCCGGGTCATCGAGGGCTTGGGCCTGGGCGGTGCGACCATGCTTGCGCCGCTTTACGTCTCCGAGAACTCGCCGCGCGCCATCCGAGGGTTGTTGATTGGCTTTTACCAGCTTTTTGAGACCATGGGGGCCATGATTGCTTTCTTTATTGATTATGGCTCGCTGCTCCATATCAAGGTTGGTCTTGAATCTTGTTCATTTCTTGGGCCTATATTCATTGTGTCTTGGATGACTACGATCTCGAATTCAAACAAGAAAATACTTACTAACCGTCGTTTTCTCCTCCTTCTCTTCAAGGGTCACGCTTCTTGGCAGGTCCCCCTGGCCCTGCAGTCCCTCCCACCCTTCCTCATCTTCATCACCATCTTCTTCTGCCCAGAGTCCCCGCGCTGGCTCGCCAGCAAGGACAACTGGGAGAAGGCCTCGGGGGTGCTGTCGAGCGTGCGCCACCTCCCCGTCGAGCACCCGTACATCCAGCAGGAGCTCCTGGAGATGAGGATGCAGCTCGAGGAAGAGCGGCGGTCGGTCCATGGGTCTGGCTTCTGGGCTATGCAGAAGGAGTGCTGGCTTATTCCTGGGAACAGGAAGCGGGCTCTTATGGCCATGGCGCTGATGACTGCACAGCAGTGGACAGGCGTGAGTTGATGTCCTTTTTTTCTTCTTTTTCTTTTTCCCTTTTCTTTCTTCTTGTTTTCTCCTTCCTTCTTGAAATGAACGAGCCTGACCGGGATTCGAAAATTCTTCTTGTTCAAACAGACCAACGCCATCAACTACTACGCCCCCGAGATCTTCGAATCCCTCGGCATCACAGGCAACGCCGAGTCCCTCCTGGCCACAGGTGTGTACGGCATCGTCAAGATGTGCTCCTGCGCCATCTTCATCACCTTCCTCGCCGACACCCTAGGCCGCCGCTGGTCCTTTGTCTGGACCGGCTTCGCCATGGGCATCTTCATGTTCTACCTCGGCTTCTTTGTTCGCTTTGCCGCCCCCAAGACCGGTGCGCCTCAGACGCCTGCGGGCACCGCCGCCCTGGTCATGGTCTACCTCTTTGCCGCTGCATTTCAGTTCGGCTGGGGCCCTGTGTGTTGGATCTATGTCAGCGAGATCCCGACAAACCGGCTTCGAGGCTACACCGTCAGCATTGCTGCTGCCACGCAGTGGGTGTTCAACTTGGTCGTCACCAGAATCACGCCCATCATGCTCAAGACGGTCGGCGGAAGTACTGGGTACGGAACGTATTTTCTCTATGGGAGCTTTTGCTTTACTATGGGCACCGTAGCGTTCTGGATCCCAGAGACAAAAGGGGTACGTCTGTTTTTTATTATTATTATTATCCTTTCGTTCCTTTTGTGTTATTGCACATTCCTCTTTGCTATTGCTTGTCGTGTTCATGTCTTGCTAACATGTGAGGTTTCTTCTCTTTTTTTTTTGTCCAGTTGTCGCTGGAGCGCATGGACGAGCTCTTTGGCACGGCCGACCTGGGTGTGGACGACCTCGGGGCCGCGACGAAACGGGCCGAGGCGGGAGATGTCGAGGCTTCGCAGTATGAGTACTCTGAGCAGCAGAAATGATTGCTTGGGAATTGTGGTGTGTGAAAGCAGACAATTCTTTTGTGGTTATTGTACATCTTTGGAAATACCAAGACCATGCAGCGGGAAGAGCATGAGAATTCAATACCACCCCGTCATGTCCATCGACTAGGTTGAACAAAACCGACGATTGGCTCGTGCTCCAGGACTAAATGCTCTTGAGTCGCTCAGGAGGAGACTAGATCAATCATTAAGTAGTAGCTGTGGAACGTTGACGAGGACTTGATTCTTTTCTGTAGGCCTGCCCTTCTCGTCCCTGACTACGGCAACTTTTTTTTGTTTTGGACTTGATATCATTTCGTGGTGGACTATATCACAAGACGCACTGTCTTCTTCTTGATGAGACGCTGTATGCTCTTCAGTTGCCATTGCAGCCTTGTCTGTTCTCAAGATTTCAATGACCCGCTCTAGGTAATTAACTAGTTGCGGTGACGTACAAGAATCAATTTGCGTACTAATACTTTAACCTTCGTTGACGGGAGATCCCTTAGCGTCGTCACCACTACGTACGAGACTCGAGATCCCTTGCATCACATTTTCCCCATCAGTCAAGGGCATTTCTGACGTAGGGAGAGTGTGGAGGAAAAAGAAACTCTACTTTATCAACTCAGATGTCCTGCTCTCACTTTCAACTCGATATCTTGGTAGTTCAGAGGCCATTCGTCTTACCACTGTATGTTCTAGATCATCTGATCAATTCTTAAACTGGACATGTCTCCATCGAAGATGGAGAAGAAGGGGGAGGGCAACAGCAACAGCAAGAATAGCAAGAGCAGGTCTCCCTCACACGAGCCGCACCAGCACCAGGCCAACGCAACGACCCACCGACAAGAGGATGAGTGGAAGCACCGCGCCCCTTACAGGGTTCTCGACGACGATGACGATGACAAGGACGTGTCTCCGGCTCGCTGGCATGGCGCATGCCACTGCGGACGAGTGAAATACCAACTCCACCGCGACCGGCCCCTGTCCTCCAAGTACTGCCACTGCACTACCTGCCAGCGCCTCCACGGCGCCCCCTTCCAGTGGGCCGCCATCTTCCACAAGGAAGACATCCGCTTCACGCAGGGCCACCACGACCTGGGCTGGTATGACCCAAGCTCGCAGTCCCAGGCGCACCACCTTCCATGCAAGGTACAGTGTGCGTTCTGCCGGACGCCCATCATGGACGAAGGGCGGAACATGATCTTGCTATTTCCTACCTTGATCGAGGGGATTAATACGCCCGAGGGGCGGAAGGCGTTCGAGGCCAAGTGTCACATGTTCTATCCGCAGAGAGTGGTTGATTTCAAAGGGGATGGGGTGGCCAAGTGGGACGGGCTGGAGGATAAGAGTGACTTGTTGGATGACGATGGGAATGTTGTCAAGAAGAGGAGGAAGGAGGAAAAGAAAAAGGAAGAGAAGAAGCAGAATGGGGACGATGAGGAGGAGGAGGAGGAGGGTGAGAGATGAATTGTTTTCGAAGAGAAGTTGCCCTAGCCTGGGAGAATTTCCAAAAAATTTGGCCAAGGATGATCTACTCTCTTTCCTCATTCAACCATGACTTCACTATCTGAAGACCTCAAAGTAGGGGTCACACCTAAATATCCAGGAATTACGCAACACACCCCTCCTCCCGGAAAATTCCCTCCCGTCTGATCAATTGCATATGTGGTCGGAAGAATCTGCAAAGTGGCAAGTGCTCACGTTTTTAACGGTACTATAATTCTTTATTCATTGGTGGCTTTTGTATCTCAACTTGGCATCTTCTCTTGGGATGAATTTATTAGCCCCGGCGAAAGTACTCACGGTAACACTTCTTGCGTGATGCGGTTTTCAAAGCAAGATCTTCGAAGAAAAGCTTCTATTTCTTCCCCGCGATTGAGTCATCGGTTTCCCAAGAGTCGAGCACGGCAAAATTCAGCCAGCCCCCCTCTCCCCCCCTCCCAAAGATCTCAAGTAACTAAGAAACCACTATAACACAGTTTGAGCCAGATCCAAAGAGGAACTAGTTAAGATGATCTTGAACCAGGTACAAAACCCTAAAGTCCCCCTCCAATACCCCTATTTAAGTTCCAACTAGTGTTCCAACTCGACAACGGTCATAAGCTTTGCCAGGAACCAGCCGCAGGATTGTGCTGAGCTGGTCCGCCTTCTGGTTTGCACTGGCTGACGGACTGGGAACTGCAGGAACCCGAGGTGATCACCACAGTATAGATTCAACCCGTGATGAGAGGGTGCTGCGGCCCCCTTTCCGGAACCTCATAGCCACTGTGTTCATGCAACATGTTTCATTAGCATGATTGGAGTGAGTGATTTCTAAAAGATTATTTTGTTTCTTTTGTTTCTTTTGTTTCTTTTGTTTCTTTCCTCCATAATATCATTGCACTCAATTGCAATCACCAAGAAACTTTTGAACATGATAAATAGAGCTCAACCTTACTTTTTTTTGCAATCTGCCCTTTTTTTTTTTTTTTGAAACAAGATGAGAGCTTCAGCCAGAAGAAGAGAGGGGAAAAGAAAAAAAGAAGAAGAGAGGAGAAGGAATTTTGTTGAGGAGCAAAACACCAAGCCCCTCCCTCTGGAACATCAAATGCCAATAGTCATGATACCTCGCAAAACTTAAAATCGACACCAAACCCCACCGTCACCACAACAAATCCTCCCCCCCCCTCCTCTCTCTCTCTCGATGCCTTCCTCAGAACCCAAACCGCCGACAGACCTCCTCGCTCACGACAGCAGCACCTCGCGCAGGCGGATAGTTTCTCCTGACCACGGCCTGCAACGGCTCCCAGGCCGTCCTGGCGACCCTGTTGCGGCCCAGCGCCCCCGTGAGGGCGGCAAACTGGGCATCGACGGGCAGGTCCCGGGGCATGTTCAGCAGCAGGGCCACGGCGTCGTAGTACTCGCACTCGCGCGGGCCCTGGCACCCCGTGGCGAGCTCGACCAGCTCGCCGCACAGCCGCACCCACGCCGGCACGACGTCCCTGTCGATGAACCCTTCCAGGAACCGGAACTCGATGGTCCGCGGGCCCGCGTCCGAGGGGTCCTCCTCGAGCGCGTGGAAGTTGAACCCCAGCCGCCGGAACTTGCGCTCGCGGCCGCGGAGCATGTAGCCCAGCTCCTTGTGGTCCTTGGCGCGCCAGATGGCCCGCAGCGCCGGGCGGTGCTCGTACAGGGAAGATGTGGGGGTGGTATTGGTAATGGTGGTGGTAGTGGTAGTAGTAGTGGTTGTTGTTGTTGTTGTCGTCGTCGTTGTAGGAGTACTGCAGATGTTCCGGCGGACGGGCTCCTTGAGCTTGGCGAGAAAGACCTCAAAGTCGTCGGGCTTGCTGGTGTAGATGGTGTCGACAGCTGCTGCCGATGGTGGTGGTGGTGGCTGCACGGTTGCGCAGCCCCGCCCGTCTGACAATGGCAATACAGGCTCCCGCTCGAGGAGGGCCATGGCGATGCGGCTGTGCTTGCGCCAAGGGTAGCTCCAGGTGTAGTGGTGGTCATAGTTGGGCGACTGTGGGTCCTTGAGGCTGCGGAGGAGTGGCTCGCTCAGCCACAGGATGCTGGCCAGCCTCTTGAGGGTGTCCAGGGAGAAGAACCTGGCGTCGCACCGGCCCAGGTGGACGTGCGTCTCGCAGGAGGCGTTGGCGGTGATGTTGAACTGTCGGTTGATGGTCTCGAGGATGCTCTTGAGCGTGGAGAAGGCGTGCTCCTTGCGCGACCAGTGCAGGATGGGCGAGCATATCTCGACCGGTGTCCAGACGTATCTGTCGTAGTCTGGGTGGCTCGTGTCGAGCAATGGGCGGTCGGGGTCGTCATGGGTATATGTCAGGTAGGGAGGCACAGCAGAGTTGGCCTTGTAGACGATCCAGTGCGTGTTCCAGTAATCAGTGTGCGTGAGGCTCTGCGCCTTGACTTGGTGGCTCGTCGTGGCGTTCACCCCAGGGAGGGCGTCTATGGCTCGCGCCACGGCCTCCCAGTCGTCTCGCTGCAGTTGCACCTCGGTATCCGTCATTGAGTTTCGCAGGTCCACGGGCCGGTGCGCCACAAATGGCCGCACCCCTCGGTACTTGGAATTGTTGATCTCGGCTGCGCCGTGAACTATCAAAAACTTGAGCTCTACGGCAAACGTCATGTCCTCTGCCCTGTCCAGAGCAGAGAATCTTTGAGACTCTGGTAGTACTATGCGGGATGACATTGTTGTCGTTTCCCCTCATGCGTTTTGCTTGCAAGAAGGGTTTGAAGAGATTGTTACGATAAAATGGAACACGATAATTAAAAAGAAAAATTTACCAAAAAAAAAAAAAAAGGACAATTTTATCGGTAATGACTGAGGGTTTCGAAGGGGAGAGGAAAGGAAGAGGAGAGAAAGAGAGAAAGAAGAAGAAGAAGAAGAAGAAAAAAAGAGGGTCTGTAGAGTAGATTTTGAAATCACAAGAAAATGTTTCCCACCCCCCGGTACACTTCTTTAGGTATTGACCATGAAAATGGGTCGATGAATGGGTCCTTTCCAATCTATTACTCGGCAAAAAGTTAATCATTAAGTTGAGGCCTAAGCATGAGAGCCTCAAAAAAGGCTATAAAGCGACCTGGGCGTCATGAATGCATAAAGACCGCCACCTATCCAGAGACAGGCTTCTTTTTAAGCCCTGCATGAGACACACTACCGTGTTAAGTACGAAAATGCTCACTGTGGGCCTGGCTCTGTAAATCACTCAAGACTGGCTGCTGCAACTCGGCGACTGTTTTGGGTATCACACAGTCGGTCATCTGCAGGTAGCCAAGCTGTGCAGATGATTGAGAGAGGAACCCTTGCAGGTTCGGAAACTGGTCTGCTGTTAGTCACACAACCGTGGGGGGAGAGAGGCGAGGAGGGAAAAGAAAAGAAGGGAAAAGGAATTCAAAAGGGAAAAGGAAAAAAGAAAGGACAGAAGAAAGACGAGAAAAGTAAATTTTCAAAATAAAGAAATAATAGAAAGAAAAACAAGGTAATATTTGAAGGTAGTGAAACCGAGGAAGGGGAGGGGTCCTTTCTGCAATCCTCCTTATTGCCGGTTTGTAATTATTTTAAAACCCTCCCCCCATCCCAGGTTATGGGCGCTTCCAAGGTTTTCTTCTGGTTGCAGCGTCGCAAAATCTTTACACCTGCCAAAGATGGGTAGAGACTTTCCACTGCACACGACAATCCAATCAAAGTATGTACAGAGACTTCATGTGTCCCCTATACGAGAGTAAAAACGGAAGAGGTCACCGTCTGAAGGACCTATTCAGCCGAAGTCAGACAAGGATTAAATGTGATCAGTTACCAACGTCAACTAAGAGTGCAATGATGATGTGCCCCCCCCCCCCCCCAATGGGGATTGTCATAAACGCCAAAATTTTAGTCTGAAGACGCCAGAACCGTTCCTTATCTGATTTACCTCCATCTAAAAATGCAAGACAACTTTTGCATCACGTCTCAAACATCGGCGGTGGCGCAACTGAGGAGGGGGTGTGGCCTGAGTATTCCTGTCTGGGACACGCCCCTCCCCCACCCTCTTCAGCCGTTTTGAGTAGAGGAGGGGCTCTTTACGCAGGAGAAGAGACAGGTACAGGGGGATAAATTGGTTTCCGGTAGAAAGGAAATGGTGTTTAACCCTAACCCCAGTCACATCTTTGTTACTTTTGGTGGAGGTGGTTCTGATGGGAATAATGGATGAGGCTGGCCCTTGGCTGGCCTAAATTGAAGAAGAAGAAAAGAAGACAAGAAAGAAGAGGATCTTGAAAAGAAGAACAAGAAGAAAAAACAAAAGTCAGAATCAACATAACCACCCTTGAAAAAGTGCGGCTGACTGTCATCCATCCCCATGTCTTTGGCCTAAAGCAGTGCTTACGTCTCCTTTCAAGGTCGCCCTTGGTCAATTAGTAAGGTTGATCTCCGAGAGCATAAATATAAGACAAGTGTTTGAATTCTCTAGAACCGCCCCGGAACGTCGGACATAAGCCAATTTCTTCTCTTTGACACCTACCCTTTTGCCCCCATTACGCTCAACCCTACCCAGAAAGAAAAAAAAAAAGTGAAACCCTAAACTATTACTTTTAGAACCCATTGCCAAAGTCAAACATGCCTGTCACAGAAGTCGGATGTATGACTGTCAGACCTGGCCTTGACGTCATGAACGAGACCACACGCGAGGGAAAGATCGTAACGACTGCTTGGAAGGCCGTCACCAGCGAGAAGACTGGTCCGTATCGTGTGTCCTGGGGTCTGGAGGAGGAGAACCCCGTGAACTTCTGGGCCTTCTTCGACTTTGCCTCGGTAGAGGAGCACCAGAAATTCGCTCAAGAGTTTGTGCACCTTTCCTTTTCTGAGATAGAGACGTCCTGGACGGTTCTACTACTTCTTCTCTGTATTAAAAAATTACAACCTCGGACGCAATATGATTCATCTGAAACCAAAAAAGAAAAAGAAAAAGAACGGTGCCACTGACCGCCCGTACATAGGCACGGATCGGGAATTGTCAAAGACTTCCCCGAGGTCTTCGACCGCGGTCTGTTCACCAAGCACATTGACGTCAACCCCTACCCAGCTGCTGCGCTCAAGTCTCCCGTGACGGAGATCATGCTGGCCTTCTTCCCATCGGACGTCTCGGACGAGCTCAAGACCGCCGCCAGTGATCGTGTCGCCCGGTTTTCTGAGACAAGTCTCAAAAAGTGTGCCGATGTCCAGGCGGTGAGCTTCGGCTGGGGGGTAGAGAACGACTTCCCCGTGCGCGGAGGGGAGGAGGGCCAGAAGGGCAGCATGCTGATAGCTCTCATCGGGTGGCCGAGCATTGACGCGCACATGAAGTACCGGGAGACGGATCTGTTCAAGGACAGCGTGCCGCTGATTCGGGGGATAGAGGGGCTTACGGCGCTAGGCATGTTCCATGTCAAGTCCCAGAACATGGAGAATGAAGTACGGAAGGTGTGAGGGGGGGGGGGGGATGAAGTGAAATTACTCTGCGTGGTTCCATTCCCAAAAAGGAGAGGGAAAAGGACAAAAGCGCAAAATGGGGTTGATGGGAAATAACTAGTCCCTTATGCTGCAGATCAACATCTTTGGTCTCTCCCTAATTCCCCTTTTCCGTGACCACGTGCCTGTTCTAATATGCGACCATACTCCGTGATCTAAACCTTTATAGTCTTGACCAGTTTCAGATTTCGTTTTCACCGCTTTCTCTCCCTGGATACGCTACTCTCTATACATTCTCATATGATGCACTGAGCATCTTTTTTTAGTGTACGTATTCTGGTTCCTCGAGATCGAATGGCGGCTTGAGGCTCTTAACAAAGAGAAGGTTCATGACGCCTACTGTATAGAGAGAGTGTTGAGCTGAATTCTTGACACTGAGCACAGTATATACACACACGCACACACACACACATCTATCTCTATATATATGTATGTATATCAGTTGGGCAGCATGGTCAAAAGAGTCCTAGCGTAAATCTTTTTAAGGTCATCCAGCTTTGTTTCACAGGATGCATATACGGATTGGGAAAGAAATAATTTGAATACGCCACAATATATGCCCAATCCTCCCTTGGCTTGATAGTACACATGGTGCTCTCACTACACCAATGTACTACTGTAATTCCTACGAGATGACCAAAACTGCAAGGAAAGATATACGAGCTCTACATTTGAAGCTAAACAAATCATGCAGACGGTCTGACGAGTCCACTTGTGCCCATAGAGCTGGTGACTGGACCGATCTGTCAAGACCACACCCACAGTGTCATACATAGGTACTTTTTGGGAAACCTGCTTTGAATAGTCTTAGGCAACCAAGTTTGGGACCATCAAACAAACGCTCCATTGCCCCGAGGCCACCATCTCCACTCTCAACCGATAACAGCCTCCCAACTAGCAGACGCAATATCCTCAACCAATGAGGATCACGGCCGCTCGGCAAATCTGACATCGAAGAAACCATGGTTCGGCAACGGAAGGGGAAAAAAGTCCTCTCTCGGCTTGTCGCAAGAGAGGGGAGATGGAGGGCAAGCTGACGTGTGTTCGCACCTCCTTTAAGTAAGTTGATGATCAATAATACCCCCAAAGGTTCCACCTCTCCTCCTCCTCCCGGAGGCATTCCGCCCATTGCCGTCAATAACCTGGCCGGCCTCACAGGAAGGCTGCAGTCATCAAGACAAGCTTTCTCTCTGTAGCGGTCCAGAATTTGTGGGTGGGTAACACCCCTTCCCTTCCGTAGCATTTAGACAATCAGTCAAGACGACAAAAATACGCTCATTTTTGGCCCTGGTCCGTAAGTCTTAGAAGCGCACGAGTGGGTTGCTTGATAGTCGCACGTGTGGATGACTTCTTCTCTGTATTGGCGGAGCAATGAAGTTCCGGAAGCGCATTTCGATTCTTCGTCATTCCAGTGCTGTGTGACTGTTTCACTATCCCGTGACATCCTCTTCTCGGACCTTCAAATTGGTAGATACTTGACACAGTGTGGCAATGCCTTCAAGGGAAGACTGGGGTCCTCCCTCGTAATAACAATGTTTTGATCAGGACCTTGCGACTCGGGACCAAACATTTCTTCTGCTTTCTTTTTTCTTTCCTTTTCTAGAGGGCATCCGATGCCTCATATTCCTTGTCCCATGTCATCTTGTCCCATCACCTCCCATCACCTCCCATCATCTCCAGCTTGATCCTGCTGGTGTCTTAATACGTAGCCTCGACCTAATTAAGTATTAGTAGTAGCGTCTTCATCGTCCAGACCGCCACACCGTAAGCCCTAATCACAAACCACATGGCGAACTTCTCGAGGACCGTAGAGACGATCCAGAACGCCGCTATCACTGTCCTCAGCGCGAGCCCGCAGCTGATGTTCAGTACATGCGCGTCGACTCCAGACCCGACAGAGGCAGCAAGAACGCCCATCTGTCCAACGCGCGCCGCACCTCGCCGGAGGACCTCGCGTTTTCTCCTGACCCGGACTGCATCATCCACTTCGTAGCCCCATGACATTGTCCGCGGGGCGCTGCTGAGTCAATGGCCTCCACCGCTGCTAGACGCGAGAGACAACAACCGTCGGTTCTTCTTAATCACCTGGTTCAAACTCTTTTCGAGCTTCTCGGCCTCCTTTCTGGCTAGCATAAAAGCCTGTTCCACATCATCCAAGGTCAAGCCCGGGATATGAGCCAGCATACCGCTTTTGGCGGGGGGTTGGCTGTGCTTCAAGTCGCTGTCGCCGCCATCAGTCGCCGCCAAGGTAGGGAGCGACGGCGCGAGAGCCTTGGTGGTGTTCTTGGACGTGGCTGCTGGTGACGCTGCTGAACCGTTGCTCAGAGCTGGCGAGTGGGAAAGCTCCACTTCGGGATCGAACGTCATCGTGCCTAGATTCAAGCATGTCAGAATCGCCTGTTTGATGTTGGCAAGGACACCCTTACGGTTCATAATGTGCGCAGGGTCGTCGACCGTGGGCAGGAGCAGGTCCGTATCTGCGGTCAAGAAGGCTGGGCTTCGAGGAAAGTAGGTGCCAGTGGCGACGGCGCGGCCTTTACCTTCGTTGGAACCGGCTCCCGTGTCGAAGCGGGTGTGCACATATGCCCCAGCACTGTTGTTGGTAGCCACCAGGTTGGCGTGCAATTCGATAAAGCGGTCCTCCTCAGCGGGCGTCAGATTGCGCACGCAGCCTGCCGGAGGCGTGAACAGGTAGCGGATGCCCTCGAAGGTCTTGCGCACAGGTTTGCCACCCATGAGGGTCAGATGATCTTCGTTGGTGAAAAAACTCGAGATGTCTTCAAGAATCTCCGTAGAAACAGGTTGTGTGGTGAATTGGTCAGAGCGGTGTGACGTGCTTGAGATAGCTTTGAAGACATTCAGAGCCTCGGGGTCCGAGATTAGGCCGCCCTTGACGAGATCTTGATAAATAGCTGCAGGAGACGGAACCGGCTTGTCAAGGGCTGGCTTTGGTGCTTCTCCTTGAGAGGACATGTTGCCCTCCTTTCTCCTCGGTCGAGGTACGATCGGCTCTGTCAAGCTGATTGACTCGTTGACGGCCTGCCTGTATGTTGATGCCTTCTCTGGGGTAGATTTGCCGTCCTTCTCGACAGGTCTCTCCTCAGCGGGACCGGGAGAGGGAGGACGGCTGACAGGAGCAGGAGTCACCGCCTCCTTGGGTGCAGCAATTAGCTTCTCCTTCTTTTGTTTCTTCTTACGGCCTAGGATAGGGGCAATCTCGACTTCGGGCTCCGGTTTGGCAGTAGCAGCAATCGCAGCAGCCTCCTTCTTTGTCGCGTCCTTCCTCGCCTTCCGCTGCTGGCTCTTGGTGGTGGAGCGAACAGCCGCTGACCCAATACGGCTGACAGGTGGCGGGGAGTTGGTACGAGAGGCCGAGACAGACGCCGAAATGATCGATGCCGAATCCGACACATTCTCGCTGCCAGGCGTGTCTGGTCGGCCCAGGCCGCTGAAAGTATGACGGAGGGAGGCTTGCGCAGGAATCGAGGGAGGTGTCTCCGTCTTGGGTGTAGAGATCACTCGCAATGTTTTCGGCCCGGTTCGCGCAGCCGGCGAGGACACGACAGCTGAGCTTGGGGTAGGCAGGGCCGGGAATGCTGCGTCATCAGGCTTCTCGACGGCCGACGTCACGGCAGACGGCGGGTTCGACTTCTTGGCCGCCTTGGTAGCTGCAGCGATATTGAGGGCAGGCATGGGCTTTTTGTCGGCCTTCTTTGGCTTGTGTGCAGAGTCCAGACCCGCATGCGTGTCAGAAACGACAGGGCTTGCGACTGACTTTGTCGGAGTTTCAACTGGGGCTTTCTTGATAGCCATAGGCGTCTTGACGGACGGGACCTTGGTCGGTCCTGGGGTCGATGTGCGCGACACAGGCTTTGCGGATTCCAGAGCCGGGAAGTCCTCATCTTGGAGCACAGGCTTTTTGCCCTTGGTAGAGCCCTTGGCCTGAGACGTGATTTCTTTGGACAGACCACTCTCGACTGCGAAGGCTTTGATGCTCTTCTTCGCTTCTGCGCCAGAGTGTACAGCAGACGCTTTCCTACTGATTTTGGGGGATTCGGCGATAGAAGAGGATACAGGAGTGAGAGCAGGCTTGAGGGGAGTGACTGGGGTAGGCGTAGCAATCATCATGGCTGCCGGCGCAATGGGGGTGGTGTGAAGATTAAGGAGGCCTGGCGGGGGTCTAGTCGGCGTCGCCATCCGTGGAGGATGGCCGAGGGGTTGGAAGCCCAGACCAGGGGGAACAGAAGGCGTTCTAGGTGTCCCAAACTGGGAGAAAGAAGCCAAGGGCGATGGCGATGCCACGCGTGCGTCGTCAGCCTGGTCGTCAGATACGAGGTTGTCGACGTCGAAGGCAGCCTCTGGTGTGAAGCCGTAATCGTCTTCTGCGAGGGAGTTAGCTTTTCATGTCCCCTCAAGTAGGTCTGGTAGTATGAAGTGTAGGACATGAGGGCCAGAGAAAGCAAAAGGGAGGGGGGGAAAACAACAGCGCTATTTCGGTCTCAAAATGAGTGTGTCACAAGGCAGCACGACAAAAGCCCCCACAGTATGGATTTTATGTACAAGAGGGCCCAAGGTTACGTCACGGCTTCCGTCTAGACAATCCTGGGGTTCGCTCAGGAATAGTGAAGGTATTGTTGAAGTAGCTGTAAAAAGCTCTTTATTTTCCGCACAGTGCATGCCGCTTCAGCCCCCGGGTAATTGACCGGAAACTGGGCACGTTGTGTTAACGTACATGGGTGCTGTGACCTTGGGGAAGACGAGATGGCTTGCCTGACTTAACCCTGAGCCCGAAGGATGTGTGAAAGTTGTGTAGAATGCGAACCAAGTGTGTGTGTGTGCGCGTGAAATAACGCCGTGGACGAATCTGTTGACGATTTGTTTTTTCTCAAAACTCCTTTTGTCCAAATGCAGAATCGACGCCTGCGCAACCTTCTCGCCAGCCTGTAATCCGCCAGTTGCCAAGTGTTGCGATGCTCGCTCAAAGTTCAGAAAAGCAGGCAAGAAGATCCGCCCCGCTCGTGCCCGTCGTGCTGCCCCGTGACCACCCGTTCGCAAGCCAGACACGCCTGCATTAAACTTCGTACAGCAGAAGAAGAACAAAAGTCGCTTCATGTCGACATTAAACAGGGAAAAGGAAACGTGAAAACCTCGCCAGGTCGGCGAGAGGATGTGCTAGAAAAGAAAGAAGAAACAAAGACGCGTGATCTACCACCCGCGGTACTGTGTCGTGTTGTTGTACAACACATTTGGGTTGTACCCACCTGAAGCCTGGCCACCGAACAGTCCCGCCGAACCGACTCCGGCATTGCTCTGTTGATGGTGCTGGATTCTCGCCTGCAGTATACTCGGGTCCGCAAGATCAACTAAGCCACCTCCCCCAGAGGAGGAAGTGTTAGCGTGCCTGTGCTTCTTCCCCTTCTTCTTCTGCTTGGCACCGATATCTTGGTGGGCTCCATTGGGATAGAGCGCTGCCATGAGGCCGGCGGTAGCAGGAGCTGGGGTGGAGGAGGTGGAGGGTGGGTACTGGTGGTAGGGAAAGGTAGGGAACATAAACTCACGCTTGCTAGCATCATGAGCCTGGCCGACGCCAGCAGTCCGTCCGCGGATCAAGTTTTGCAAGACCTCATTGTTGTCCTTGGCACCGAACCCCGAGTTTCCAAACGATCCGCCCTGACCAAACATGTTGGGCGGCGTGCCGGTAGACTTGAGCCCTGGTGGAGGGCCAGGCATGGAAGAATAGTACGGACCGGTAGGCTGAGAGTGAAAGGCGGGGTTGGAGGCCTGTTGAGCCATGAGACGAGGGTTCGTCGCCATCTTCAAGGTGTTGGCAGCAGATGTCTGCGTGTCTGAGCCGAAGTTAAAACGAGAAGTCTGGCGGCTGTGTCCCTGACCCTGGAAAAGCGATGACGGAGAGGGAGTGATACCAGGAGGCAGGCTGTCGGTGAAGCTGCGCTGCGGACGCAGGTAAGCCTGTTGCTGTGGAGTCAGGGTGCGATTGCCGAGAGCCGCCGCGACGCCGGGTGCGCCTTGCTGACTGAACCCAGAAGCAATGCCTGGCCCGTAAAGTCCATCAGTACTGGATCGCGAGATGGGTGGCTGGGCGATGACACGACGTTGCTCGAAGGCCTGCACCTCACGACCGTGATCGCGATCCTCGGGCTCTCCGCCTAATGCTAGACTGCCGCTCTCAGGCTCACCCTCTGACAGGTCCATAGGCTCTCCCTGCTCGTCTTGCTCTCCGTCGAGGCGTCGTTCCTCCTCCTCTCGCATCGCCCGGCGCTTCTCACCACCTCGTGGATCGAACAAGGGAGGGCAGCTATTGTCAGGGCTGATAGGTCTCAGCCTCAATTCGCCGGCGCCCAAAATTCGAAGCATCTCCCTCAACGCGATGTCGGCAGGGTGCTGTTCCGGTTTGGGGGCCTCGAGGGCCGCTGTGTTGGTCGCAATCTCAGCTGGGGGAGCTTCCTCGGGGCCGGGAGCCTCCTCTTGAGGCAGGACCTCGACGGCCTCCTCCGTTGCTTCAGTTGTCACCGGCAAAGACATGGAAACGGCCGGGCTTGATGCTGCACCACTAGTGGCATGACTGCCGCGCCGGCTGCGTTGTTGTGGATTGCGGGCCCAGTTTGCAGAGGCGGGAAGGGCAGGACCCTCTCCCGCATCGGAGCCCTCCTTGCTAGAGGTGCGGGCCATGGGTTGAGAGGGCAAATACGACTGGGATTGGACTTGGGCCTGGGGTTGGGCTCCTTGTTGTCGGGATGCAGATCTTGACGATGGCCCTGCGTTGCCACCGGTACGGTGCGTCTGCATGCTGTTCAGGGACGAAAGGTCCTGCCTCGTATAGCTGTCCTCCTCTTCACCGAGCTCATGCAGGAACATGCACTGACGGTTGGTGCACTGCTCATGTCTCAACCAGGCGGAGCAGTATTTGGTCGTGCCCAGTTGCGCCTTGAGAATGCGATCGCCGTTCTGCGAGCCGTTGACTGCTTGGATGCAGCGCTGCGCATCCTCCTTCTTTTCAAAGGTAACGTAGATGCCCAGGGATTGATTTTGGCCTTCCTGATTTTTTCGGTTGCTGATGGATATCTTCTGGATGTTGCCGTACTGGCCAAAGAACTCAGGACGTCGGAGGGTCTTGAGCAGCTCGTCTTCCTTGACCGTGGGTGTCAGACCGGTCACGTAGACCAGGTTTTTCTGGACGACACGGATGCCGACAAGGTTCTTGCGTGCATCTTTCTCGGACTCGCGTTTCTGGACTTCCCTCTGGCCCTGCAGTTCGGCGCGCTTCTTTCGAGACTTTTGGAGGTTGGCACGAAACTCTGCTTGCTCTTCAGCAGTGACGGCCTTGTACTGTATTGTCTTCTCGTCGTAAGGTCGGCGGCAGGCAGGGCAGAGACCATTCATGTTCGACTTGATGTTGTGGAAACAGAACTGGCACACCTATATGGACACATTATAGGTAAGCAAAACGATGGCTACCACATGGGCGGTGCGAAGCGGGCCGCCAAAGGGAGCCAGAAGGGGCGAAGGGTTAAACCAAACGTACCTGGTAACCACACGGACAAGGCCGAAAGTTCTTGTCCGAAAGATCGAACTCTTCGATGCAGAGAGGACTGTTAAAAGGTCAGTAGGGTCTTTTTGGTGGTGGTGGTGTTGTTGTTCTTGTCAAAATGTAGGGCGGGCATGGTGAGGGCTGTGGTTCCGGATGGCTGACAAGGAGCAGAACAAGACTTACCAGGTCTCCTCCTCATCATCGAGGTAGGTATCTTGAGGTGCCATGGTGATTTCTGGGGTTGATGACAATGAAAATGACTGGAAGGAACCCAGCTGCAGAATGTACAAAACACGTTGCTCTGTGGAGGAGTGCTCCTAGATGGGGGATAGTGGTGTGTTAAAGTGCTGCCCAATGAGACAAACAGTCATGCAAATGCAGAACAGAAGAGGGCCCGGAAGGACAGAAAGATGCAGAGCTTGAAACACCAATGAAGTCTATGATGGGTAGAAAAGACCGGTGATGAATATGTTTGTGTGGTAGAGGGTAGAGGAGGTTTGAAATGGATGGGGCAAAGATCCGAGGGTGGTTTGGTCTGGTGGAAGAAAGTTGGAGAGGTTGAAGATGATGATCGCGGAATCAAAGCCTGCATAGAAGGTGATTGCTGGTTGGCCCGTGCGTAGAACGACATAAGGCTACTGAGCCAGGGACCACTTAGTCAGCGCTGGCCAGTCACTCTAGCCTCCAGGCTTGTATCGGGGTTGGGGTTTTGGAAGGGGGGAGTGGAGGGTGACTGCCAGCCAGCTTCTAAAGACCCAAATACTGCAACAGAGAAACTTGCTTGCAATATGAGCATGAGTCTGCAGTAGTCTGCAGAGAACTCCACGTCCCTTGGGGCCTGTCAAACTTCACTGTATGAGCCAACCTCGTCAATTAAAAGGTATTCACTACAGACTACATACATACTGGGGGTGGGTCATCACGTGATTAGCAGCCTGCAGAGTCAGAGCCGGCTCGGTGCTGACTAGCATTAGATCCAAGCTCCCTTACAGTCGACATCACCACTCCCCGAGGCCCTTACGAGCACCACCCCCCCCCTACCTGTTGGGAGCTATCAAAGCACCTCAGGCACGAGTTTGACCTTGCAAGGAAGGTCATCCACCATCAATTGGCCTTCTAGCAACCCTTCGCCAACCTGAGATGGCCAGCAAATTGTGTAGGAGCAGAGCGTTGGCTCAGGCTCTCCGACCGTCCTCTAAGCCATGCGTCCCGGCTCCCCGAAACGAGGCTGCCGCGCGATCTTTCTCGGCGACCGCTCGCGCTGGCAATTATAAAGTCCGTCTTCCCGCCGATGTCAAGAATATGCGGACGGCAGAGCGCGAGAAGCTGGGCACGCTCGAGGCGCCCATTATCAATCCTACCGACAAGTACCAGTCCAAAGCCGACAACCTGCACAGATATGGCGCCTGGTTGATGGGCTCCCTGCCCAAGTACATTCAGCAGTTCTCTGTATGGAAGGACGAGCTTACCATCTACATCTCTCCGTCCGGTGTGATACCGGTCTTCACCTTCCTCAAGTGTATGTAACGCCTCTGATGCCCACTCGTCTTTATGTCGCTCTTGTCCCTCTCCGTTCTCAGCTGACCCCTAAGCAGATAACACTGCCGCCGAGTTCACCCAGGTCAGCGACATCACTGCGTGCGATTTCCCGACCCGCGATCAACGCTTCGAAGTCGTCTACAACCTCCTCAGCGTGCGCCATAATGCGCGCATCCGCGTCAAGACCTACGCCGACGAGGCCTCGCCCGTGCCCTCTATAGTGAGCCTGTACCAGGGTGCCAACTGGTACGAGCGTGAGGTGTACGACCTGATGGGTGTCTTCTTTGCGGGCCACCCTGATCTGCGCCGCATCATGACCGATTACGGCTTCGAGGGACACCCCCTGCGCAAGGACTTCCCGCTGACGGGATACACCGAGATCCGGTACGACGAGGAGAAGAAGAGGATTGTGACGGAGCCGCTCGAGATGACTCAGGCGTTCAGGAACTTTGAGGGTGGGTCGAGTGCATGGGAGCAGGTGGGAACGGGTGTGGACAGGAAGCCTGAGAGCTTCAAGCTCCCTACGCCCAAGCCGGAGGAGAAGAAGGAGGAACCAAAGAAATAGACAGACATGGGAGTACTGGATGTACAAGCTGTGCCAATCATAACGGAATACTACAACTATATGGACGTCCCTATCGCGAGTGATTTGATGGGCTACTGGACTCAGTCTCCAAAATCTAGGTTACATAGGAGAAGGAATGTGGTCGTGGAGGCCTTATAGACAGGGTGGTCTGCCTGATCTACGTCTTCTTAGTTGTTCATGCCTCTCTTTGCTCTCTGCTGGCTCCAAATACTCTGTCCTCAAAAACCACATGCATCACCACCCTGACCCTTGTATCCAGGCAGCCGCGCCTAACTGAAGCAGAACCTACAAGTACTTAGCCAACGTAGCTCAAGAAATAACCCATTAAAAAGGTCCACAACCTCTTGATGATCTGGGGTCTTGTAGTCAATGGAGTAACGTGGATCATTCAAGACCTAGGGCTGCAGAAAGACCCTGTAGACCCTTGATCATGACATTGTTTAACAGCTCAGCCAGATCCAGTTGTTTTGCTTGTTAGATATGTGGTATGAAAGCAAGGGTCAAAGACAGCCTAAAGCATGTTTTCTTAAACTCCTCTGCAGTCATGGCAGGGCGAAACCTGTCAGGTACCTGGGGTGGTCTTGTGACAGGCCCACTTGATCACCCCTGCTGCCCCCAGGCCTGATGTCCCACTGGTCCACGGGGCACTGGGGCCAAACCTAGGGCGTCTAGGTCCCTTATTCCCACTGTCTGGAATGGTGACTGCACTATATGTAAGCAAGAATCCCACCTTCCCATTGGCTACATGCCGTCCCTCCTCTAGGTTCTTCAGTTGATTCTAAGCCCCGTTCAGGCTCCTGCGCCCAGTACTCACTCTTCGTCATCCATTCCCTTCCTCACACCTTCACACAGTCAGCCTCCGATCACTTGACATTCCCATCTCCAATCCATCACCATCACATAGGGCTCAGGTCTCTTTTCCCCCATCACCATAATCCACACCCTTCTTGTCTGCTCTCACTCTTGGCCTGCTCTCTGTGGGACCTAGCTGGGGCCCAGTGCTCTGGCTCCCCTGTTGTGGGCTGTCACCTTGTGGGCAGTTTTTCGATGGGTGGTGCTGGTGACCATATGAGTTGAATCAGGTCCAGACCAAGGGAACCTACCTACCTATGTCGGGCTGTCTTTGCCAGCCAACAGATGGTACACTTTGCCCCCCATCCGATTTTGACTCCTCCCGACTCTTGGTCATCAACCACGATTTGACTCTCAACTCGGCTTCTTCTCTCTTCCTCATCTCATCCAAACATAACTACTTGCTGCTGAAACTGATCCTCTTTGGCGAGCAACATACGTCACACAAGTCATCTGTGGAGAGGTAGAAACCTCTCCCAACTTTTCAACCATGATGGAAGCCAGCGATTACCTTGATGACGATGCCCTGGACGATGGCTTCTTCCGCTTCGATAACGAACACGAGGAGGCTGCCGCCATGGATCATCTCAATGACATGGAACCTATGACTCCTCCGTATGGAGTGGCGGGTCCCTCGGCCACAGCTGCCGCAGCCCAGACCGGCGCGGCGTCAGGACGTCTCCACCTTTCTTCGGCGCAGGTCTGGCAGGCTCCGGAGCAATCCTCACCACCTGCTCTGTCGTACTCACCATCGCCTGGCGCCCCTTCTGCTTTTCAGTACCGCCAGCAGATCCCACCTCAGCGGCAGGAACATGCTGGTCATGAGCGAAAACGTTATCCGTCACCTCCCTTCAGGGCACAGCAGTCTCATCAGCTCTCCCGCGAAAGTCTGGAGCAGGCAGCTGCGCACCACGCCAACCACATGACCAGCCGCATATCAGAACTGGATCTACGGCGGCAATACCAAGATCCACCACAGCGAGATGAAGAACGTTCACATCACCGCAGCCGCCGTCAGAAGAAGGGGATGCGACATGAACACCATGATTACGACCAGCCTCTCGGGGCTCATCCCAACCGTCGTCGCTCTTCTTATGATGACGGCGATGAAAGCCCCCAGGATTTGCAGCCTGATCTACGGGATGGATGCAGAGATTCAAGACTCACCAGGCCGCGTGCGATGGACCAAGCCGACGATGACAGGAATCATTCGCGTCCTTCGTACGATACAAGTTTGCAGGCCACACAAAGCCTGGCCTCAGCACACGGCCTGGAGGAACCAGAGCTTGTCGCCCCGTCTGCGGAGGAGAAGGATTACGTTGTGATTCCAGAGGAGGAGGTGCTCGAGATGGAGTACAATGGCGACGAAGAAAGCCGTGTCACGGCTGAGAAACTAAGGGCCCAGGTGGTGCAGGCTGCCATCCATAACGGCAAGGTAGTACTCATGGTGACAAAAGCCACTGGTCAGTGGTGGACCAGTTCCGAGATGCGGCAAAGAAGGAGAGCTGCGGCGCGCATGGTCTACAATGCTGCAGGCCAGGTTCTGTCCGGTGCCGGCCATGTCATCATGACGAGCACACCCCTCGGCGGCTTCTGCAACTCGGTGTCGACAAATGTGACGCGGTTCAAGGCCGCTCCTTTTTCCTATGCCATGACGGGCTTAGGTCTCAGAAAGAGCGATGATGCTACTCCTCATGAACAACAGCCCGAGCCCAAGCCGATAGTCGCGGATGAGGATGCATTCATTGACGACTTTGAAGATGGGGATGGCTTCTTGGACATGCAAGACATGTTTACTGAGGAATAAGGTCTGAGGTGGGCGTGCACACAAACGTCAGACACAACCACCACTACTGATCATCCTCTTTCGAGCGACCATGACAGTAATGTGTCTCACTACGATGAGACGCCTTGAATCAGCACTATCATCGGATTGTGGGGCCGCATCTCCCATCTCAGTCAGAACAATAGTAGCGAAACATCTCCGCAGCAATGGCCTACCTCAAATTCCCTGCTCGCCACTTTGCTCGACGGAATAGCCGAACTTCTGATATCACAACAAAAGGGGGAAAACTTACACTGGGTGCTGCGCCACCACTACGACGTTACCCAGAGCACTTGGTGGTTTACGATCAAGGGAAACGATTATACGATATCCATCTTTTTTTTTCTTCTTCTTTTGTCTGGGGGCTGGCTGACATTCTTTCCGTTTTCCTTCTTTCCTTTTCATTTGGCATTCCAAATCGCAGCAAATAATGTCGTGGGAAATTGGACATGGTCCCACACGCGTGTGTTTCGATACCACGATACCTATACCGCAGCACAAACAGGGTTCTGGCGCAAGAATGTATTTATTCATGGATGCATGGCAACTGCGCTTATAACGCCATTATGGCTGCCCCTTCCTTCATCTCTACGTTTTCTTTCCTGCTTCTTTCGGCGTTGGCGGGCAAATGCTTGGGATTCGGAACCCGGCTGGCATATTTGATCAATCGCAAGGGTATCATCCAACAGCCTGGCAAGGCTGAAGTAGAGGGAGGGAAATAGAAAGGGGGTTTGTCCTGATCTCTTGAAGGGTTTGGCGTTCAAAGGCATTGGATTTGTCTGCAAATGTCTGCATGTCTCCGGCGGCGCGACTGCAACCAATAAATACACCCATTCTCCAAAAATGAAACAAGGTCCAAAACTGAACGATGGCAACATATTTTTACTTTGCGCCGGTCATCTCGTGTTGGGATCAACTTTGTTACCGACCCTCCTCTTGAACGGTCCATTAATGTGGCACACAGAATTTATCCAGTCTTGCGCCCACCGAAAATGAATACTTATTATCATTATTAATCCGATGTTCTTGCCAGTCATGATGAGATATCAAAAAATGGCGACAGCATTGGGGGGGGTTGCCACGCCGCCTGGGACGTTGAGAGGCACGCTCGAGAGGAAGAAGGTCCAGCGGCCCAGCTCCTTGCAGCGCACGCTCAGCTCCTCGAGGTCAAACATCTCGCCGATGGGGACGCCCCAGCCGGCTAGCAGCCACTGGTGCAACAGACCGCCCCATCGCATGTCGTGCTCCCACGGCTCGCCCGCCCAGGCGTGGTGGCCTAGGGCGGCATACTGGCCCTCGACGGGGGCCTGCTCGAAGCTGGGGGCATCCCCCGCCACAGCGGCGAAGCCGCTCTCCCAGAGCCAGCGCAGGGTGTCTTTGGATGGCTCGACGCCGAGGAAGTCAGGCGTCGGCCTGTCCGGGAGGGCGTGTTGCCCGGCCTCGTCGAGGGCGTTGTAGGCCTTTGTGAAGCCGCACCGGATAAATAGGATATCGCCGGGGCGGAAGGCCACGTCGGCGTCCCGGGCCATGGCCTGGAGGTGTGCGAGCGGGATGGAGGCGCTGGCCAGGGCGTCGACGGTGGGCAGGTGGCGCCTCTCACAAAAGGACACATAGTCCAGCAGCACCCCACGTCCCACAATTCCACCGCTGGCCGCCCAAGCGTCAATGCCCAGCACGGCCGAGCCCTCGATGTCGCCCTGCGTGCGGCCCCCGTAGAACCGCCTCGCCTTCTGGTAGCCAAAGTGGCGGAAGCCGTCCCACTGGCTGCTGCACTGCGTGTTGAAGCTGAGGTGGTCGTCGTTGATGGCCTGCTGGGCTGCTGGGCTGCTGGGCCGCAGGGTCCACTGGAACGCCGGGCGGTCGAAGCTGGGGCGCGACGGCTTGTTCAGCTGCCAGTCCAGGGCGACGCGCTGGCCCGTCTGGATGTTCTCGCGGGCGGCCTGCGCGATGACCTCTGGGGTGAGGAGGTTCAGGGCGCCCAGGACATCGTCATCCCCGTAGAGGCCCCAGGCGTTGCCAGGCGGGCCCGACTTGTCCAGTGGTAACTCGTCAAAGGATGGTCTTGGTCGTGGCGATGGCATCATAACAAGAGACAATGAGCTGGCTGTCTCTCTCCTTTTCTTTTTTCTCTTTCGCTTCTTCCTCTCCACTTTTTCTTGCTCTTTGCTTTTTCGTGCCTTTTCTTCTTCTGGCTTCGTGGAGAAAAAACGGCTCAGCAGTCGCGATAGCCGGCACGACTGCACAAGGGGCCCCTGGGCATTAGTAGAAACAAATACGAGGACCTATTATACATTCAATGTAAGCAGGAGGACGACGTGGAGAGGAGTTGCTGTGTAGGGAGAGATGGACAAGAAGGGGGCAACACCTTGTTCCTACCCACCCTGAGAGGCCAACACATACATACATACATACATACACACACACACAAACCAAACACACTCACACACACTCACATACGTTACAACACACATCACATACAAACCCACTCACACGTACAGGTGGTCATGCCACTAGAACCGTTGTACTATGGTAATAAGAAGTAGGGATGCCGGAGTAGGATGCGATCGGCACTTGTCCCGGCCGTCGGCTGAAAGCAGAGTAAGTAAGGTTCACTAAGGAACGACCACTTGCATGACGCTTCTCGCACACCAGGGGACCACCACGCAATCAAATCATGGTTTTCCGCCCTTATTTTGTCTCCTCGGTCTCTCTCCCTAGCCAGAAAAGGTTATTTTTTATGAATAAAGTCAACAATTCCCGGGGTCAAGCATATCAAGAACCCAGGACCAACGGCATTCCTCGGTCAACAAGTAATTGCGAGAGGCACAGAGAGAGAGAGAGAGAAAGAGAGGGAGAGGAGAAGAGACAAAAATGACCAGACCGCCTCCACCTGCTCTCCAGGCCCCCCCTGATTTTCTTCTCTCCTTTGCCCCGGACACTGACTGCACACATACAAACGCACACGCTCAACCAGTCCACTTTGTTATAGTTTCGAGCGAAAAAAAAGAGAGATTGCGCGGAGAGAGATCCGAACCGGAGTGGATGAGTTTATTTGCTGCTGCTGCTGCTGCTGCTGCTGCTGCTGCTTCTCGTGACTCGCATCGTTTTTTTTCTAATGCTTTTTTGAGGCATCTAATAGAGCCCCAGCCCTCTTTTTACTCTCCGCCACCCCCCCCGACGACCCAAACAGAGCGTTGACGCACGCATCCGACGAACTTTTGCGAGCCGACCGAGAACACACATACTCGCCTCGATGGGCGTCTAAGGTGTATCCACACACACAGACACCCCCCCTTGACTTATCAAAACGCCCAGTCAAGTTTGTGTTTTTTTATTTGTTTTTTTTATTTATTTCTTATCCCACTTCGCAGCGGCTGCCTTTCTTGTTTGGCAACGGATGTCGTCGCATCCAGCTCCGTCGGGAAACCGGCATGGCTCCGCTCGACTGAGCAACCGGTCGTCTATCCGCTCGAGACTGGGATGTCTCACGTGCAAGTAAGGATACCAGGTGTTGCATCTTGATACGTAGCAGAAGGAGAAGAAGAAGGAGAAGAAGAAGAAGAAGAAGAAGAAGAAGAAAAGGGGAGGAGTCTTCTTCCAACTGTTGTTCATCTTTTCCTTTTCTTCTTATTCTCTCTGGGCTTTATCATCATTATCAGGACAAGGCAGGCGGGCCAAGAAAGGAGAAAGAAAAAGAAAAAAGAAAGGAAAGGGAACGAGAAGATCTTTGTGCTGACAAGTCATTTCTCTCTCTTTTCTCTGTCTCTCTGCAGGCGGAGAAAAGTAAAGTGTGACGAGCAGAGGCCACGGTGCAGCCACTGTGAACGCCTGAACCTGGAGTGCAAGTGGCATCTTGCCATCGTTGGACAGCGTAACCGACCTGGTGCAGGAGGAGGAGGAGGAGTGGGAGGAGGAGGAGTTGGGGCTGGAGGAGGAGAGAGCGTCCAGGATAGCGGAAGCAGCGTGACACTGAGGACACCCGTGCCGGAATCAGAGCCACCGTCCAACGGGCCTCTGTTCCAGACTCCGCCTCTCCATGCCGTCAACCAGCTCTTCGACTATGCAAGTTTCATGTGGGATATTGGCACCGAGAACGTCTGGCAGCAGTTGAATCCAGACGCCACCACCACCACCCCAGTTGGGGTTGCTTCTGGCATGGAGAGGACAACAAGTGCGCCGACGGTGGATGACGGCGATCGAACCCTGGTATCTGCTAGCACTCTCGACCCCTCGTCCTTCTCGCCACCGAATCTTGGCCCTGGATCACAGCAGGGGTTTCTCTCCATGCCCACTGGCATCTCGGAACCGTCTACGGTACCCGACACAAGCAGCCAGACTGATCACACCAGCGTGCTCGCCTTTTCCGACACAGCAGTGGCCGAAAACCACCGGCTGATGGACTACTTCTCGCAGGCGGTGACGCCTCCGATCCTGGCCGATGTAGAGACGCAGAAGAACTGGCTGGCGATGCGACAGATCCTGGTGGGCATGTCCAGCTCGTCCAGGATGGTGCGCTGGGCCGTGCTGGCCTTTTCCAACCTCATGCTCTGCCGGGGCGACGGGGCCTGGATGTCGAGCCAGCAGGACCACTACAAGAACGCCACGGCCGAGGTGGCGGCGTGTGATGAGCAGGACCCAAGGGTCCTGTCCAAGCCCGGCACCCACCGCACGAACCTGCTGGCGACACTCTTCTTCTTGAGCTACATCGACATCATCGAGGACAGGATCGAGGCGGCCCACTCCAGCCTGAAGAGGGCGCACAACATCTTCGAGCATGGCGAAAAGGACACCTTCACCACGACAGAGAAGCAGTTCCTCCTCTGGATCCGGCTCCTCGATGCGCGCGCCGTGTCTGCCGGAGGAGAAGGTCTTTTCCTGTCCAAGGACGAGGAGACACTGCTTGTCGACGCAGGGTCGCCCAACATCCTCAAGGACGCCGTGGAGAACGGCAAGGATGACATCGCCCCGGGCGATATCGAGGACACCCTCTTCCAGGTGCTCTACCAGCCCGGCATCGTCTTCTTCCAGAAGGTGCAGAGCTTCATGGGCCGCATCTCCAAGATCGACCCCTGGCACCGCTCGCGAGGCACCGTCGAGGACGAGACCGAGGTCATGAACATGGGCCAGGCCATCGCCGTCGACCTGCGCAAGCTCTACGAGCAGAGGCCACCGCTGATGGACATTGCCGTGGCCGGCAAGCTGACGCCGCCGCACATCTCGGCCCATCTCTCCTTTGTCGTCACCAGGGCGTTCCGGACCTATCTCTCCAACTACTATGCCAGCAAGATCCACCTGCACAGGGTCGTGTACAAGGCCTTCCCCCTCACCAGCGAGGCCACGGATGCCCTGCAGCAGATCAAGAGGCTCACCAGGCTCATCGTCGAGGGGCTCGACCACGGCGACGCGCTGCCTGTGAATATGCTGTGGCCCCTCCTGATGCTGGGCTCCGAGGAGCAGGACCTGAGGGAGCGGGCCTGGATCGCTGGGCAGATCCTCAAGATGGAGAAGGTGGCTGGGAACGCCAAGATCACGGCGCAGGTGCTCGAGGAGGTGCAGCTCCGACAGGACCAGCAAAAGGCCAGGGTGGACATCCGGTCTGTCATGCATGCCATCTTTAACAGGTGTTTTGCCATAGTGTGAGAATGGTTGGTGATAATGTCTGACGTTGATGATGGATTTCAACTCATGATCGATCTCTTCTACAAAAGCTACTTTAGTTGTCTCATCTTTTTTTTTTCCCCTTCTCTTCTTTTCTCCCCTTCCTTCTTCCTTTTTTTTTTTTTTTTTTTTTTTTTGGCCTCCTCATCCTTGTCTCATGTGGACTTCTTCAACAGGTGCTTGTTGACAGGCGTCAGAGGCTGTTCCCCATTCAACACCGCCAGCACATTCTGCATCGACAGCTTCTCAAACCCGACCGTCGTTTCCAGCGCACCTCCAGCCGTATGACAAGTCAGCGTGGCCTGCCTGTTCCCGGTGAGACGAGGGCTCGGCACGGGCTCATGCTCAAACACATCCAGTCCGACGGCAAACAGATGGCCCGACTCGAGCGCATCCGCCACCGCCTCCTCGTTCACAAGGCTGCCCCGCGCAATGTTGACCAGCCTCGCGCCCCTCTTCATCGCGGCAATCTCCTCCCTGTCGATGACCTTGCGCCCCGCCTGTCCCGGCGCCGCCACGACCGTGCAGTCCGCCTCGGCCAGCAGCTCGGCCAGCGTCGCACACCTGCGGGCCCCGACGGCGCGCTCCTGCGCCTCGGCCTTGGGGAACACATCGTAGTAGATGATCTTCATGCCGAACGCGGCGTGCGCCTTGGCCGCGATCTTGTACCCGATGTTGCCCAGGCCGATGATGCCCAGCGTGTGGCCGGCCGGGTTGTGGGCCGTGAACTGCGCGTTGAGGTGTGCGTCGACGAACGTGTTGGGGTCGTTGGCCCGCGCCGCCGACGCCGTCCACTGCATGTTGCGGAACACGCTGATGATGTGCCAGATGGCCATGTCGGCCACCGCCTCGGACGACGCGGACGCCCCGTTGCAGTACAGGATGCCGTGCGCCGCCAGGATGTCCACGTCGGCCCAGTCGTAGCCCGCGCCGGCGGATGCGAACACCTGGAGGGATTGGGGCAGCAGGGGGATGAGCTCTTGGTCCCAGCGGCCCATCTCGCCGCCTGTTCCCCACCAGGGCCGCATGACGGCGCTGAAGTCGCCCCATTTCTTCTCCTTGAGGGCTGCCAGGAACGCTGGCCGCTGCCGTTCCTCCAGGGATGGGTTGATGATGGTGAACTGGGAGGCCAGCTGGGCGTACACGTCGGTGTTGAATTTGATGGGGTCTCCGAGGTGGAGCACGATTGGTTTGGAAGATGACATGGTGTGTGTGTGTGTGTGTGTGTGTGTGTATGTTTTGGTGTTGTGGTTTGTTGTGTTGTATCTCTCTCTTTTCTGTTGGTTTGAGGGGAAATCGAGAACTTTTACAAGTATAAGACGAATAGTGTAGTTCAGTGTAGTAGTTTGTTTAGTATGGAGGGGGGAATGATAACAGGAATGGAAGCTGTTGGCTACAGTGGAGCGTTGAGCTATTATTATAAACAGATAGAGATTCCTGATTTCCGGGTTCCTTTTTTTTTTTTTTCTTCCTTTTCTTGGGCTCTATGAGAGCACGATATTGCCGTCTAATTAGGTGTATGGAATGCAGGCTTTCTCTTTCGACATCTGAGGAGACAAATATGGGTAAAATTATAATAAAAATTGAATCAGTCTCTTGTGTTTGTGAGTGCCATCGTCGCCGGATGTCGTCGTCCCCTCCGATCCTTCGGTGCTTCGGGACGGTGGAGACGCTCAGAAAGCGGGGGGGCAGTAGCATTCCTTCTGCCGATGCACGCGGAATGTACCGTTTTGTTGCCTTGGTCGGCTGGACTAAGTTGACGTGAAGAAGCATGCATACATTTGCCAGCCTGCACCAACGTTGCGCACCAATCCGATCGGCTATCGGTTAAACTATAAAGGTACATGATCTTCAAAAGTATACGGCTACAGGTGTCTAACTAGCCGACCCCATGGGGCCCGGCGGGAAGTAAGACATGGCTGACTCGCGACGTGGAAAACGGAAGATGAGTTTGTTCCCCATGGGGATGAAGAGAAAGAATAGATTGCTGTTCAGAAGTTGAGAATGTTCCTTCAATAGCGAAATGGTTCATCTCAACTCCATCATCTCAAGACTATAGTCCAGAAGTGTGATATACTTCTTGGGGCTCCATCGAGTCCACCGCGAATGGGAAGCCTCCCCTTGATTTGTGCGCGGTTGTGGCAGATCTTCTACTCTTCTGTTGGTTGTTTTCACACCGCCACTGTAAAGCATATCTGCCGAATCACAACCCCTCCCCCCTTTTATACGACAAAGTGAAGTCAGAACTGCGTGTCGACGACGAGGACGACAACAACAACCACAACAAAAACAAAAACAACAACCACCATGGCTCTTCAGGGGCTGGTCTTGAGGGTGATCTTCACCGTCTGCTGTGGAGTTAGTTACCTCCTTTATGGCTACGATCAAGGTATGCTTCCATATGACACAAGGCGCCGGAAGGGGCGGGGTTGGTCATCTGTCGGTTGTTGATACTGACTGTGACTGTCACAATAGGATTCATGTCGGGCGTTCTGCTCGCAGATGACTTTCTACAACAGATGGGTCAGCCTTCGACTTTCATGCAAGGCTTTGTGACGTCTGTGTACGAGCTGGGTTGTCTCGCAGGTCAGTTCAAGACCAGTGTTATAATTGGCATACATAAAACAAAACCCATTTCTCCAGCCTCTTCCGAGTCATTGATCTGCATGAACTGTTCATCGTTAAATCTCTCTTGGCATATACAATGTGGATAATCAAGACTAATACGTGACAAAACAAAACAACACCAACAGGCTGCATTGTGAGCTTCGTTTTCAGCGAGAGATTCGGCCGCAAGAACCCCATCTACTTCGGAACATGTCTCGTCATCATCGGTGCAGTTCTGCAGACGGCAGCCTACGGCATCCCCCAGTTCATCGTCGGGCGCATCGTCAGCGGCGTGGGCACCGGTCTCAACACATCCATCATCCCCATCTGGCAGGCCGAGGCCCTCCCGGCCCAGACCCGAGAGAAGTTTGGCTCGTTCCAGTATCTCCTGGTCTGCTTTGGCGCCAGCACGGCCTACTGGGTCAACTACGGCCTCTCGTATGCGAGCGGCGCCTTTGAGTGGCGCTTCGCCACGGGCGCACAGATGATCTTTGCGCTTCTCCTGCTCAGCATCCTGCCGCTGATGCCCGAGTCGCCCCGCTGGCTCATGGCTCACAGCCGCACGGACGAGGCCCTCGACGTCCTCCTGCGGATGCACGGCACCGCGGAGCAGGACGACGACGAGGTGCAGACCGAGATCAAGATGATCAACGAGGCCATCGAGCTCGAGAACATGTCCAAGTCGGTCGGCTGGGCCGAGCTGTTCACAAACCACCCGGAGAGCCAGAACCTGCGCCGCATCTCGCTGGCCTGGTGGCTGATGGCCATGGTCATGCTGAGCGGTGTCTGCTCCATCGGCTATTACATCAGCTACCTCTTTGAGACCTCGGTGGGCCTCTCGCACAACCTCTCCCTCCTCCTCTCGGGATTCAACGGCCTGTGGTACATGGCCTCTGCCGTCATCCCGCCCTTCATCATCCACCGCATCGGCAAGCGAGGCTGCATGATGCTTGGCGCCTTTGGCATGGGCTGTTGTTTCCTGGCCATGGCCCTGGGCATCCGCTCGGGAAGCTTTGGCGCCTCCATCGTTGTCATCATCGCCTTCTTCCTCTACTACACCTTCTTCGCCATCGGCTACCTCGCCGTGCCCTGGCTCTACTGCGCCGAGATTATGCCTCTCCACCTGCGCTCCAAGGGCAACGCCATCTCCACCTCTTCCAACTGGCTGTGGAACTTCGCCACCGTCATGATGACCCCCAGCACCATGTCCAGCCAGGGCTGGAAGGGCTACTTGATCTTCACCGTTTTCAACTTTGCTTTCATCCCTTTTATCTATCTGTTCTACCCCGAGACCTCCGGAAGGCGCCTCGAGCAGATCGATGCCATCTTCTACAAGACCAGGCCTATTGTTGCGAGAACCCAGTGGGCCAAGCGTGGCAGATTCGAGTCCGATGCCCTCGAGTCCGCTCTGGCTGATACCAAGGGGAGCGAGCCTGCGGACAAGACGGTGCACTTGGAGGAGAAGGAGGTAGAAGTGGAGTGAGTCAGTAGTTCTCCAGGGCCTTCTTTTATGTGTGTGGTATTTCATCTCTGGCAGCTTCGTGTGTATGTGGATGATGTTTACTTATTGTACGAACGGACGAGAATCTTGAATCTGCTGGACAAAGGGCATTGAAGGATTCATTCATGTTCCAATTTTTTGTCGATTAATTAATGTAATACCTAGTCTAAACTACGACTTTTCTCCAGACTTTAGTCAATTCTGGCCAACATTCATCCATTTGCCTGCCCCCAGCCCCTCTCTATCAGAAGGAGAAAAACAAAAGACAAGCTTTCAAGGTGTGGTGGCGTCTTTGGGTCCCGTTTTCCTCTGCCCCCTCCAAGACAACATAGACTTGTAGGCTGATTTTCACTCCTCACAGGCAAATAAGAGGCCCCAGAGCGTACTAGTCTATCAAAAGGTCTCGGACACAAAGCCGGTCTCACTTGCAATCTGCATTGCCGACCCGCCACCACCCAACATCAGCCACAGCCTGATGAAGATCGTCCACCCCCTTCCATCATAATACAACATCGTCCCCAGGTTTCTTTCTCTCTGCTATCGCAAATCCATCACAATATTACCACTTCCTTCTCCGGGACTCGTACCCATATACATGAAACCTAAAGATCGTGGCAAAGTGGAGTCCGATCGGGTCGCACGACTCCACATGGTTCGTGATGTGCGGCTGAAAGAGGGAAAGAAGGCAAGAAAGACAAGACGGAAGAGTGGGCGCACGCCGGGCAAGATCCGTGACATACCATAGTAGTTTGCTTCTTTGAGACCCACCCCCTCTTATCCGGTCGGGTCGAGCAAACGCATTAGGGAAGAACTCTTAGCCTTTTGAGATGAATATCGAACGATGAAAGCTGTGCGAGGTTACATAGTACGTCTTTATAGTAACATGGTGACATGCCACTATAATCGGCAACAAATAATATAGAGAATGAAAGGGGTGGGGAGAGAGCCTGTGAGAGAGCGAGGTGGTTTCAACTAATATGGACTTTAAAGGACGTAGGAAAATATACAAAAGGGAAACAAATCTCGTAGGAGCAACTCAGGGCCGTCTAACAACATTCTCCCACATCTTCCCTATTCCGTTATCAAACGCACCTATCCATATCCATCTCTAACTTAGTCATTCCCTTTTCTCCGTCACCTATACTAGTTTTGCCTCTTTACTGTTAGACCGTTCGTCTAAGCAACAACCATGGGCTCTATGGCATCTCCCAGACCATTTCCTCCTGGCATACATGTGCCAAGCCTGACATGGTTCTCTAATGACCAGAACCAAGAAATTGACTGGGACGTCCAGACGAAACACCTAGAGTTTCTTGTCAACTCTGGTCTCCATGGCAGTCAGTTGGCATATGCCTTTTTCCCCTCTCCTTTCCTTCACTCTCTCTCTCTCTCCTTTACTGTGATAAAGAATACACTAACTCCTCACCTTTTCCACAGTCGTCCTTGCGGGCACCAACGGGGAGGCAGTGACTCTCACTCCCGCCGAGAAGACCAAACTCGTCAAGACGACACGAGAGATCGCTAAGAAACTGGGCCGACCTGACCTCACAGTCACACTAGGCTGCGGTGGCCAGTGCACTCGTGATGCGATCGCTGAGACGCACCTCGCCAAGGAGGCGGGCGCGGACTTTGCCCTTGTCCTGGTCCCGAGCTACTTCCACTTCGCTATGAACGAGGAGGCCATCATGACTTTCTTTGAAGAGGTAAGAGCAAACGAGCCAAAAAAAAACCCACCTGAAGACATATTCCCTTCTTCACAGGGGGGTGGGATGGTTTCCCCATTGAAAATGGTGCATCAAAATGCTGACGTATGGTTCCTTGTGTGTGTGTGACGAAAAACAGCTGGCCGAGGCAAGCCCTATACCCATCGTCATTTACAACTTCCCAGGTGTGGCTTCCGGGCTTGACGTGAACTCGGACATGTTGGCCCGCCTCGGCCGCCACCCCAACATCGTGGGCGTTAAGCTCACCTGTGGCGGCATTGCCAAGGTGGCACGCGTGAGGAGTGTGTTCCGACCCGACCAGTTCTGTGCGCTCGCTGGCCAGAGCGACTGGCTGGTACCAGCCCTTGCCGTGGGAGGCATAGGGACCATCACAGGCGTGGCGAACCTGTATCCAAAAGTAAGAAAGACATTTCCCTTTAGAGCTTTCCCTTTCTCCTTACTCTTCTCTTTCTTTCCCCTTTCCCCTGCCTCGTCGTGTTGCTGACCACTTCTGTGGGGAAATTATAGTTTTGCATCAAGATCTACAACCTCTACCTGGCCGGCAAGACCAAGGAGGCCGGAGAAGCGCAGATCGAGCTGGCCAAGATGGAGTGGGGCTTTGGAAAGGGAGGCATCAACGGGACCAAGTGGGTGGTGGCCAAGCTCAGAGGATATCCTATGGCAAGCTGCCACTGCAGGAAACCATACCCTCAATATGCGGACGAGAAGAAGCAGGCCTGGATCCTGGATGTCTGCTCGCCCCTGGCCGAGTTCGAGAAGACTGCATAGCGTTTGAGCTTATATACGATCTAAGAAACCTTGAAATGATGCACGAAATACATACTCTGAGAATAGAAGTATACGTATTGATATTCCGACGGCTCGAAGGTGTATTCGCTCCTAGCCGTCGTGAACAGGTTGATTACAATGTACATCACGCCGATGAGTGCTCGTAGCAGTGTTCTTTTTGCGTCTTGCCCAATACGCCGAAAATTATGGCGAATTATAGCGAGGGATCCTTCGAGATGGTAGCGGAACAAGCCTCGCCGTGGAGATGTGGGAAACTCTGGGGTTCAGCCGATGCGACCGCATCGATGATCACTCTTTGCGACAGGAAAGGGACAGCAGCCACAAAGCAGCCCTTGCTTGTTTTGGTGGAGCGGTTGATGAGCCGACAAGCTTTGCTTTTGTCTTTCGCCCCTGATTTTATGAGTCGGTGAGATGAGGCTTCTTCGCTAGGTTCATGTAAAACTTGCCGGTCTCGCTGTACGAAGTCTGGTAGATTTAGAACCTCTTAGAACATATAATGTTGTTACCTTTTCCGTAAGCGATGAACGGCCCTAGTCAGGCCATGCAATCATAGACAGTGCCAAAGAGATCTATAAACTCACGTGAGTCTCCAGCTCAACATGACAGACACATCAATGATGTGGAAGCCAGCATTTGCTTGATTGGGAACAAGGAAGGCGGTGCTGTATCCCAAACAGCGAACGCCGGTCTCTGCAGGCGTGGTCCCGAGGAATCACTGTTGTGTGACATCCCCGTTTCAAGTGGCACCTCTGGAGGATTCCGATCCGAGTTAAGAGATGTCATCATGCAGCAAGAGTGAGAGTGCTTGAATTCGACATAGTGCTTACCATGCATTCTCCGAACCCTATGAGCTAAATCGTTCCTCGGGGTCGGATTCGTGCTGACCATCCAAAAAACGAAAGAGATCCTGTGGTCAGAGTTCCCGGCCCAAGTATGCCATTTTTATCAGAGTACCATCCCTTTGGCCATCAGACGAGCCCTTTTCCGTCACACGTATCGTTCTTGAAAGCATCAGCGGCCGCGGGCGTGTTTATTTTGTCAAGATGCGCCTCGTAGGACGCACGCCATCACCAGCTGGAGACTGGTTGGCCTTTAATATGGACTCTCTTCCCTCTTTATCTTCTACGTGCACGACGGCTGCTGAGCCTACTGGATGACGCGAGTCTCCTTCCATATCGCAGCAGTATCGTGGATCCCCAGCCTTGCTCTGTGCTTGTGGATGGCCGAGTTCCTAAAACGACCATGAACTACCCAATCCGAAGAAGGAGGCCAGTGTCGCCATGGGTATACATCGTCACAGCTGTTCTCATGGTGCTTACCATGGCCGGCTTGTATCTTCCATATCCTGACCCGAAGCAGCAGGTCACGCCAGTTGCATACTCGAAGACTGACCACGAACCCCAGCTGGACGACTCAGTGACAGCGGAGCTCATCCGGTACTTTGAGGATTACCCATTGGAGCGTCCATACTCGGCACATTTTGGGGAACTGGGCCAGCGCACTGGACTGCTCCGTGACCTGCTCAATGCGGCCGAGGAGAGCCAGGACCCATCGCAGCAGGAAGCTCTATTAGCTACTGTCGACCGAGGCGCTGCTTCGCTGTACCCTTACCTGCATCGACCGCCCAAGGGCTCACCCCTAACCGGCGGCCTCTCTCATCTTCGGTCCTCATTCATCCCTGGCTCAGCGGGCATTGTGATTCCCGTCGGTAACGCCAACGTGCGCTTCGCAGCGCAGCTCATCGCGTCGATGCGCCACGTATTACGTTCCATGCTGCCTATCCAGGTGGTGTACGCGGGGGAGGACGACCTGTCTCCTGACAACAGGAAATTCCTCGCAGCAGTAGTCAAGTCTATGGGCCCTCCGATCGAGTTCCTCGACATCCTCACCGTTTTTGACGACGAGACTCTACGGCTTCGCGACGGCACCTGGGCGATCAAGCCCTTCGCCGTGCTCGGCAGCCACTTCGAGAAGGTCATCCTTGTCGACGCCGACGCCGTGTTCTTGCAGAAGCCTGAGGTCCTGCTGGACCAGCTGGCCTTCCAACGCTCTGGGACTCTCCTCTTCCGAGACCGACTGATCTTCCAGCACACGTATTACATACGACACAAGTGGTGGAGGAGCCAGATCAAGCATCCCAGCGAGACCCTCAATAAGTCGCGCGCCTGGACGGACGACTATGGCGAAGAAGGCGACTCGGGCGTCGTAGTGCTCGACAAGGGCAGGACGGGCGTGTTGCTGGGCCTGCTGCACACGTGCTGGCAGAATTCATACAAGGTGCGCGAGGAGGTCACGTACCAGATCATGTACGGGGACAAGGAGAGCTGGTGGATGGGGCTCGAGCTCACAGGGGCTCGGTACGAGATGGAGGAGCACTACGCGGCGATCGTGGGATGGCCGCGAGAGGCAGTGCTGCCCAAGGACAAGAGGGCAAAGGTGTGTAGCTTCGTGATCGCCCACCTGGACGAGAACGACAAGCTGCTCTGGTACAACGGCGGCCTGTTGAAGAACAAGAAGATGCCGAGAATGGGATACGAGGTCCCGACGTCGTGGATGGTGGACGGCGAGTGGCAGAAGGGCTATGAGAAGGAGGACATGAGCTGCATGGTCGGAGCAGATATCAATGATCTTTCGGGAGGAGAGACCGAGACATTGAAGACATCCGTGAAGGTCGCCAAGACCATCGACGCTGCACTCCAGAATTGAGTCAAAAGCATGTAAAACAGGAAAGAGGATCCCTTTATATCGGTCTTGTGGAGTTTAAGGATAGCATATGGGTAGTGCTTCGAATCCAATATGATTGAGATTGATGAGACGAAGAGTGACATTCACCAAGTTGTACTGTTGTGCCAGGGTTGCTCTTGCAGGGAGGGCATTATTGTAACTCCTGCTGAGTCATCCAAGTTAGAAGCAGGGAACAGGGCAACAAGCCTCTGAGGACGGTGATTCACGTGCCGACGCGACAGCGCCTCCTTCTTGGGACGGTGCCCCTCCTTCAACAAACCTTCCCACATACCTCCAAGAACCCTCGCTGGACGACTTTGTCTAGTCAAGATGGAGGGTTTGCCTTCTCGTCTTCATATCGTGGTGCTCAACGTCCACCGTTCTGACTCGCGCAATCCATCGTTTTCAAACACTGCTGTCTCGAGTTGCGCATCGTGATCGTGAATCGTGATTACTATGGCAGGCAGGCGACGAGGTGCTCCTCGCGGTGCCGCCAGAGGAGTTGCCCTGCGCGCCGAAGCAGCGCGCACCAGAGCGGCGCGCACATCTACGCGTACCACTCGATCACAGGCTGGAGCATCCGACGTTCCCCAAGTCTATCGCGAGATGCTGGCTGAGGCTGGTGTCAACCCGAATCGCGTGACGACATCAGATGCCCCCGAGCGACCCTTAAAGAAGCCTCGAACGGGACGACGCCCTGTCGATGTGGCGGCACCAGAGGCTGAAACAGTAGCAGCGGCAGCGGCCGTAGCCCTCGAAGCGGGAGCTCACCGTCATGAGCCTGCCGAGTCTTCCAAGTCGCAGCAAGCGAGTGTGCAGACAGTAGTGTCAGAGCCCGAAGAGGAAGACGAGGACGTCGAGTTCGAGGACGTCGAGATACCCAAGCCAACACTCCAGACAACGTATCTGTCGAGTGCAGATGAGTCTGAAGAGGATGAGGAAGAGGAAGAAGAAGAAGACATACATTTCGAGGACGTAGACATCGATGCAATAGCATCGAGACAAGAACCGGCAGACAAAGGCACAGACACGCTCCAGCTCAACCTCACTGCCGCCCAAGAAGCCCTCACGCCCTCCAAGCGTAATCGCAAACAGCCTCTTACAAAGGAAGAAAAGGAGCGTCGTGTCCATATACACCAGATGCATGTGCTGTGCCTGCTGGCGCATGTTGAAAAGAGAAACCACTGGTGCAATGACCCCTTTGTGCAGGAGAGCCTGCGACCTCTGCTTCGGGCCAAGACGGTTCAATACCTCAACCCCGCCTCGAGCCTGACGCAGTTTGGCCAGACTGAGTCCCTCAAAAGAGGCCTGAAAGAAGCACAGGAGGTCTTTCAGGAGAGGTTCAGGATTACCGAGGTTGGCTTGCGCAGGGCGCTGTGGGCCGAAGATCCGACAGACCTCCAGGACTATGAGCTCCCACGCAACATTGACAGCTGCCTGGACAAGGTTGAGTTTCGCAAAGCTGCACGGAATCTCAGGGGTTCAAGGGACGTCGGTGCGCAGCTTTTCTGCGCACTCCTCAGGGCGGTGGGTGTTGAGACACGACTTGTCTGCTCCTTGCAACCTCTGTCATTTGTCCCTGGTGGCCCTTCACTCCCCAAGTCTTCTCGTCAGAACAGGATGCCCTCACGGCCACCTCCTGCCTCTGCTAGAGCCGACCCCGTCTTGGCGTCGCCCTCCCCAGCTCGCCCATCTCCTCGTGCCCGACTTGGCCACCCAAACGCCACTGCTTATCGTATTCCCGACATCGCTACACCATCGTCTTCGAGCGATCAGCGACCTCCAAGACCCAATGTAAGGATCAATGAGTCGTTCTATCCGATCTACTGGGCCGAGATTCTGGACGTGGGCCACCAGAAATGGCAGCCCGTGGACGCTCTCGTGACAGGGCAACATTTTCGACCTCACCGACTGGAGCCTCCAGCTGCCGACCGGACCAATGTCCTTACGTATGCTGTTGCTTTCGAGGACGACGGTACTGCGAAGGATGTCACTCGGCGGTACGCCAAAGCCATGAACTCCAAGACGCGACGAATGCGGATCGATGGCCCTTCGGTCCCGTCCTCTGTTGACGGGGCCAAATGGTGGCGCAAAGCTCTGCGGCGGTACAAGCCTCGGGGACCGCCCAGCGACCTGGATCAGATCGAGAACATCGAGTTGAGCACTGCAGAGGAGCGTGAGCCTATGCCGCGCAACGTGGCTGATTTTAAGGACCATCCCATCTATGCACTGGAGAGACACCTCCGTCGCCATGAGGTTTTAGTACCTGGCGCTCAAGTCGTCGGAACCGTGGGCGCAGGCAGCAAGGGTCCACTTGAGAAGATCTACCGCCGCAAAGACGTGCGAGTTGCGAAATCGGTGGATAAATGGTACCGCCTGGGACGGGTGATCAAGCCAGGAGAGGATTACATGAAGGTTCTGCCTAAGAGAAAAGCACCCAAACGGAAGGGAAGATGGCATCTGAACGAGGCCCCGGAGCAGAGCTCTGACGACGACGACCCCGTCCTAGGCCTTGACCCTGCCAAGGGCAATCCTATCTATACTTTTGAACAAACAGAGTTGTACACGGCCCCACCTGTGGTGGCAGGTAGGATCCCCAAGAACAAGTTTGGCAATATCGACGTGTACGTCCCTTCCATGGTACCCCCGGGAGGTATCCATGTGAAGCATGCTCGCGCGGGGCATGCAGCCCATCTTTTGGGCGTGGACTACGCGCCTGCCCTGCAGGGCTTCGAGTTCAAAGGCCGCAAGGGCACTGCCGTGTACAACGGGGTGGTCATTCCCGTCGAAGCGGCCGAGGGTGTGCGGGCTGTACTGAAGGGCTTCGACGACCTCGAGAGCCAACTGCAGGAGGAGAGGAGGAGCCTCCGGGCGCTGGAGACGTGGCGAAAATGGCTGCGTACGCTGAGGATCCGGAGAAGGATCTTCGAGGGTGATGAGTACTGGGGCGATACCGAGTTGGGCGAGTTTGACATTCCTTCAGAGTCTGAGGATGATGATGATGATGATGACGATGGGGACGATGAGCCTCGTGGTTATGGTCTTGTTGGGGGCATGGTCCTCGACGATGATGAGGATGGTGGTGGTGGTTTCGAGCCTGGTGGGTTCGAACCAGAACCTGGTGGATTCGAGCCTGGACCTGGTGGCTTCGGTCAGACTGATCCCAGATCAGGCACCTTCGCAACCGGTGGGTTCGAGCCAAGCGAATTAGAGCCTGGTGGCTTCGAGCTCGAAGAGTCACAGCCAGGCGGCTTCGAGATTGAAGCGGGTGGAAAAGGCAAAGATGTTGAGCCCCCAATTCTCAGCCATCTTTCTGGAGACAAGACTGTTGAGATCACATCAGAAAAGTCCAACGGTGAAGACGAAAACTCTGCACAAGACGCGGGCGGCTTCATCGTGGAAGCAGATGTCGACATGGCGGACCGCTCACCGCCAACAGTCGAGCGATCCCACACAGCTAGTGTAGCCGCAGCAGTGAAAGAAGGCGACTTGGCGTTGTCTGGTGCAGTGCCTGTAGGGGAACCCATACCTGACGCGCAACTGCAGGCTGGTGAGAAGAAGGTATTGGTGGACGGCTCTTTGTTAGCAGAACAACGACTTGCGGAAGAAGAAGAAGAAGGAAGCGAGGATGTCGAGTTGGAAGATGCACCCAGCGATGTGACGGAGGAGCTGTTCATGGACGACGATGGATCTTTGGTCGAGTAAATCGAATGCTGTCAGGTTTGGATAATATGATAGTATATATACCTTTTTGTCTATATAAATCGTTGGCGAGTGTCCTTCAGAAATCATATTCTGATCAAGAACCTCCGACTTGCCTCCGCACGCACGCACGCTCCTGCATGCGCAGTCCATCAACCCAACCGCTCCTCTAGCCACTGCATAGCCATCTCCTCGGCCCTCCGCCCCATATCGTCCGGCCCTCCGCCCCGCCCAATCGCCCCCGTGCCGACCCGCCTCCCAGCCTCCCCTTCCCAGTCAGCACCCTCCTCATCCCACCGCCTCCTCCCCCGCAACTCAACCTTCTCCACGCTCCGCCGCATCAGCCCCGCGAGCCCGGCTGCCTGCGACGCGAAGCTGTTCTCGGTGTCCCTGAGCCTCTTCCACAGGGCGGCGGCGACGGTGCTGGGGAGCGGGGGCAGGGGCGGGGAGGTGGTGTGCAGGAGCAGCGTGTCTGGGATCTTGAGGGTGCTTGCGCGCGGGGGAAAGGTGAGGTAGCCCTTCCTGGGGGCGGGCGCCGTTGCTTGTTCGATGAGGTGGCTGTTATCGCTGTGAAGAAGGGCGTCGTAGCCTGCGTAGTCGCTTTCTGCGTCGGACTCGAGGTTGAAGGGCGTCGGCGGGGGAGGGTCCTCTGGGTCTGAGTAGACGTAAGGGATGTCTTCCTCGTCGGTACCGTCGGTGCTGCTCCCGGAGGGGGAAGAGACGCTGCGGTATCCGGCGTTCCAGGGACTCCACCGCTCCGAGAACCCAGGTGGCACCATCATGCCGGGTGTGTGGAAGAACAGGACCGGGCTGGCGAACGGGTCGAAGAGGTCCACGGGGCGTCTGAAGAGGAAGGGCATGAGCCCCTTCATGAGCCCCACGTTACAGACGTCGTCATCCTCGTCGTTGTGACTGCCCAGCCCCTCGGACCCGCAGCCCAGCTCGTCTGCCACTAATGCCCGGTGGTCGTTGAGCGGGTGGGCCGGCAGGAAAGTGGTCCAGTTGTAGACGCCGTTGACGGCCACTAGGCCGCGCACCGCCACGGGCTCAAGGGTGTGTGATTCGGTCAGGGCCAGGGCGGCGCCGAGACCTGCGCCTAGATAGCTGCCGTAGACGTACACGTCGCGGTGTCGCAGGTGGCGGGCGTTGTTGTTGTTGTTGCTGCTGCTGCTGCTGCTGTCGTTGGCCGGTGGCGGAGCGAGGAGGACGCGGACGAGGTGGTCGTATGCGGCAAGGATATCGTGGATGGGTGTGGGCCAGTGGAGGCGTTCAGTAGCGGAAGAAGGATCTGAGGAGAGAGTTGGTGTGGAGAATCTTGAGTTCAGTGCTGCTTCTTCTTCTGCTGCTGAGGAGGAGGACGACTGTGGCCAACGGTAATGAATTGTGGCACTGGGATAACGGTGTAGGGCGCGTGGGAGATAGCTGTCTACATCGGCGATGTCCTGCACTGGGAAGGCTGGGAGGTTGATGACGATAGGGGACGTGGCTGGGTGCCTCTCCACGTCGTGCAGGCTGGTTTGAGACGGAGGAAGGTCAGTCGAGTCTGCGTAACGAGGCTGAGATGCGTCGCGTCGTGGAGAGAGGAGGGGGAGGCTTACCTTATGGCGACATGGCCTGCTGAGGCACAAGGCACATGTATATGCTCTGTGTAAGGTGTCCTGAGCCATGCTGTGGTGTTGAACCGTCTAACCTGGGACGATCGGTGTGGTAGTGGTATTGGTGGTTGAACGACGAGAATGGCCTTGAATGGGCGCCATCTTGACATGTTATGCTGCGCGCCTCCCTTGACCAAAAGAGCCAGGCATGACAACGTGTGTGTGTCTGAGGAGAGGATGGAGGTTGTTCTCCGGGCTCCAATTGATAAGAATTACGTCCTCCCAGTATTGGTCCCAAGTTTCAGTTGCCATGTGATATTGTGATCTTGACATCTCTCGTCTTGTCTTATCTCATCATCGAATGAGGTATGTTTTGAGACGAGATCAGTGACCCTAACCCTCACGTCTTGGCACATCTTTACTATCCCCACGTCCACCCTGGATGACGGGAATCTGGGCATTTGCTCTATGATACAGCGTCTACAGTGTTACGTTGTAGGAGGCATGTTCATCTCTTCCTATTGAGGGTAGATGTACCCCATATTGAGAATTCTTAAGTATGTCCTGCTAAACTTCAGCATTGGGTCGACACTGTGTCCATGAAATGTGGCTAAAGTCAAGAAATCATGAATATCAGGCCTCGCAACCGTGACTTTTGACATTCCTTTCTTTTATGCCCATCTTCCAACAGTGAGTCGTCAGGTCAGGTCTGTCAAGATCAATATCGAGGTTGAACAATGCTTTGTGACGCCCTTTTCCCACCCAGCCAATCAGGACTCGGAAACGACGGTTCGGTTATGCACCCCACGTGCACGGTCAGGTCAGGTCAGGTCACGCTAATTGTTGCCCATCCATCATCCCAGAGCTCTGGACCGCTAGAGCCCAGCTCTGTAAGCGTTTGACAGAGTGGGAACCTTCAGTGGGACGATCCCCCAAAGATCCCCCAAAGCACGTACACAGACGTTACTGCCAAGGCGCGATCCGCCGACGTCATCCTGTGCCAACCCCTGTCAATTTCCTTGGCATTCATCGTTTTCTTGCGTGACACAAGATGCGGTGCTCACTATCAAAGCCTCTCCTACCTGGATCATGTGGCTCTTCTTCAGACATGCTCTTCATCTGTACCCTCCTATAATGATCTGCCTACCTTCTTTGGTCTTTTCCTAGGGGTTTTTTTGCCTTTCTTTTCTCTAAACTACGACTACTTTTATGTTTTTCTCGTAAGATTAGAGACACTTCAAGACGTCCTGACGCAGGTCTCCTCTTTCTTCCTCTCATTTTCTCTTCCTTCCTCTCTTCTCCTCTTCTGCTTTCCCGGACTACACATATTCAGCCTGTAATGTTTACTTGGATCCCGAGGCGTTCTCAGATACACGCTTAGAGACAACATTACCATATCGACGAGATACTATAGTAAGAGAAAGATAGGGAAAGGGAAAGGGAAAGGAGAGACAGCAGAGAAGCCGCCCTCCCCCCCCCCCCTTTTACGGGTTCCTTAGGCGAAGAGCCACCACCACCACCGCCTCTCGGCATACAACCCCCTCCACATAACCGCCGTCAAGATGATGGCCGATAGTGGTGACCATGTCGAAGAACATGCCGAGTCCTTCGACGACGAGAGAGACGACCAACAGCAGTCACCGAAGCAGGAGAAAGAGGCAGAGGATGGAGAGGCAGCAGAGCCACGAATCCACAACGATGAGGCCCACCTGGACCCCAGCCGGTACTGGTTCGCCAGCTCCGCCTTCCCTATGCTCGCAGGTACCCTGGGGCCTGTCGCCAGTGCCTTCAGTGTCTGTGCTCTGGTGCGGCCCTGGAGACAGTACTATCCGACAGGGTCAGATCTCGACCTTGCTGTGTTCATTGATGATCCCATCTGGTACGTTATGGCAGTCCTTGGTCTCATAACAAATCAGCAGCAGAGGAAAGCAGGTAGCTAACAGCAGATTTACCCAGGCTGACTGTCATCAACGCCATCCAGCTAGTCCTGGCCTTGGTTGCAAACGTTATCCTGCTGCTCAACATGGCAAGGAAGATCCGGTGGACCATTGCCCAGCCTATCACCATCGTCACATGGTATATTTCTTCCATTTTGCTGGTCGCGTTGTGTGCCACCGCCGCTGGTCCCTTGGTGCGGCAGCCACAGACGGAATATATCTGGTCCGGTGCCTTCTACTATGGCATCTACGCCGCCATCCTCTACTTTGTCTGCTCCACGCTCATGGTGGTCACGGTCTGGGGCGCCCTCAAGGGGTACTACTCCAAGGATTTCCAGCTCACCACCAGCCAGCGTACCCTCATGCTGCAGACCATCATGTTCCTCATCTACCTGCTGCTAGGTGCCCTCGTCTTCTCCAAGATCGAGGGCTGGCCGTTCCTGGATGGTGTCTACTGGGCCGACGTCACTCTGTTCACCGTCGGGTTTGGCGACTTCTACTGCCAGACCCGCCTAGGCCGTGGTCTCCTGATCCCCTACGCACTGATTGGTGTTATCAGCCTCGGTCTGGTTGTTGGCTCTATTCGGAGTCTCATCCTGGAGCGCGGCAGGAGACAGCTGGGCGCGCGGATGCTAGAGAAGAACCGTAAGCGGATGCTGAAGCGCATGATCCGCCGCGGGAAGGACGATATTCTGATCCCTGTCACGGACGACGATCGTAGCATCTCCAGCAAGGCCAGCAACCGCCGCACGCCCACGGCCCTGACGGAGCTCGAGCGCCGCCACAAGGAGTTTGAGCTTATGAGGAAGATCCAGGCGCGGTCCGAGAAGAGGCGGCGATGGATGGCCATGGGCGTCTCCACCACGGTGTGGCTGATTCTGTGGCTGGTGGGCGCCGCCATCTTCTGGCAGTGCGAGGTGGCCTACCAGGGCTGGACCTACTTTGATGGCTTCTACTTTGCATTTGTCTCCCTGACGACGATTGGGTATGGCGATGTCACGCCCAGCAGCCCTGCGGGCAAGTCGTTCTTCGTCTTCTGGTCCCTCCTGGCGCTGCCCACCATGACGGTCCTCATCTCCAACGCCGGCGACACCGTGGTCAAGCTGATCCGGGAGTGGACAGACTGGCTGGGCACGGTGACGGTGCTGCCGGGCGAGAGGGGTATCAAGAAGGAGCTCAAGGTTCTGGCCAAAGCTCTGTCGGGGGGCAAGGTCTTTGAAGATGCAGATGCAGATGACGAGGATACTATAGAAGAGAGCCCGCCAGGTTTCTTGGGACTTGCTCAGCCGCATCACAATCACAGTGAAACCGAAGATGAGGAGGAGGAGGAAGAAGAGGAGGAAGAGGAGGAAAGGTTGATCGCTGAGGAGGAAGAGGTGGGCCGCCAGCGAATGAAGACGCAAGTAAACAAGCTTGCAGGTGAAAGCACCCGGCGACCAGAGGAGAAGGGTCATGTTGCGGAAGACAACGATGAAAACAGCGACACAGCCGTCGCAGATACGCCTTCCTCGCTGGAGAAGGGGGAACATCGTCAACCTGCCAACAAGACGAACGGTAGTAGCAGCGCCCACCTTTCCTTCCGGGAACCCACCGAGCGGCCCTCGTCATCTCGCAAAGCGGGCGACACGCTCAAGCTCAACGACAATCGCCCAGGAAGCAAAGGATCGACCACCAAAGCCAGGAAATGGCAAACTGACAACAGCAAGAGTCCCGATCCTTACACCCTCAAGATGACGAGGACCATGTCTATACCAAGGATGGCCGCCGACTTCCCCCAGGACATCCCCGAGGACCGCAACGACTTCACCATCCTGCTCATCGACGAGATCTCGCGCGTGACCCAACACCTCCGTACCCACCCGCCTCGCAAGTACTCGTTCGAGGAATGGGCGTGGTTCCTCAAGCTCGTCGGAGAGGACGAGTCTAATGCGGGGACGCACAAGAAGCCCGTGCCGAAGCAGCGGCGGAAGCAACACCAGCAGCAGCACGGCGGGAAGACTGCTGGGAAGGATAACAGCGGCGGCGGCAGTGAGGATGGAGAAGGAGGAGGAGGCCACGACGAGGAGGTGGTGGGGGATGACCCAGAGAACCTGCAGTGGAGCTGGGTAGGGTCCAGGTCACCGCTCATGGGCAGCCAGGAGGAGGCGGAGTGGGTGCTGGAGGAGCTCGAGAAGAAACTTGCGGGCGAGCTGCGGAACATGAAGGATGAGGCGCTGGCGAGGGTGAGGTCGGCCCCGCAGCAGACGTCGAAAGAAACATGATGCACGGACACAAAGACGGCAAATAATAAGACACGATGATATCGAATAAGCGACA